ACTGCAAAGTCTTCCAAGCACTTCTGACTTTGTCAACGAGGGATGAGGTGCAGCGTCTCGGGCCCGTCGAGAACGGGATGCGCGACCATTTCGACGGTGGGAGGGGGCGATTCACGGAAGCGCTCGTCGAAACATTAGACAAAATATGCAAAAAGGCAGAGAGGAATGAGCGGACGGATGACGTTCTGGGGGCCCTGGGGCTGACCTTGGCGATCATGCTGGACAACGGCGGTGATCACCCAAAGCGTCGGGAGCACGCGCTCAGGAAGGGCGCCGTGGCCGCACTGACGTCTGCGATTGCGTCGACATCAGATGACGCACACAACGTGCGCTTCGCTGTTTGCATCGCCGCCTTCTCCGCGCTACGTGACGGCAACCTCAAGGGTCATGCGACAAGGGATGCTGTCGTGAAGTTGGAAGACGCGCTCTGGACGGCTCTCGGGAAATCGACAGGGGGCGTCGAGATGGCGGCGGCGTGCATGGCCATCTATGTCCTGCTTGAGAAGTGGCGTGTGGACGGTGGCGTGCAAGACGTCTCATCTGAACGCTTCGAGGTGCTCAGCGCCGCACTGGACCGAGCGAACGAGCTCCCGCGAGAGGATCAGGCTCTTCGAAGTGCCACCATCGTGGCGATTTGCTGGGTGCTGTCCTGCCTGCTCAGCCGGCACGGGGCCGCGAGTGACGACAACCAATCTTCGATCGTCGCTAGCCTCGAGAAATCCCGCGAGATGCTCAGCAGCGGAGACGACAACAGAGCTGCGAGGATCGCAGTGGACAGGGCGCTGGGCCAACTGTCAGGGCGTCCCACGAACGGTGGCGCGGGGGAAGCACCTGTCGAATCGCAGTCCTCGTCGCGGACACTTCAGGCAACATCATCTGGGCATCAGTCGGGGTCGACTGCGGACCTGGACACTGCTAGCAGCAACGGCCAGTCAGCATTCCTCGCTGAGCCTTGGATCACCAGCCACTGCTACCGGCTCGTGAAGGACCTGCTGATCGACAGCAGTGCAGCTGGTCGGCTCGGTTCGGGCATCGATGCGATCGTTTTCAGAGGCATCGATTTGAAGAGGTGGGAACCTGTGGCTGTCAAGCAGGTGGCGCGTGAACGCGAGGGCGAGGTGAAGCGCGAGCGGCGGATCATCAAGCTTGCTGGCCGGCATGACGGGATTGTCGAGTCTCACGGCCTCGAGGAAGACGCTCTTCACTTCTACCACGTGCTCGAACGATGCGACAGCACCTTGACCAAGTACGTGCGCGAGCTCGGCGAGAAGCAGCTGTGCCAAACAAGCAGTGTGTGCTGTGTCGACGGGGAGGTCGTTCGCCCCACGGACACGGCGATGCGCATCGCATGGTGGCTGGCTGCGACGGTTGCGCATGGTCTGCACGGTGTCGGGATTTGCCACCGGGACCTGAAGCCCGACAATATCCTCATGTCCGCCAAGACCCCGCACGGACGTCAACGCGCTGAGCTCACCGAAGGCGGGCACCAGGGACGTATCGCCGACCACGCAGCAGATGCGCACTACGTTCCGAAGGTTGCCGACTTCGGCATCGCGATGGATGCTGAACGCGGGGCGAATCAGCAGCTGGGCCGTTACGGAACACGGGGCTGGATGGCGCCGGAGGTGTCAAGAGGTTCCGGCGCGGGGACGGCGTTCGAGGATCCAAAGAAGGCCGACGTGTTTGCGCTGGGCTGCGTTTTGTTCTTCGTGCTGACCGCGGGACGCCATCCCTTCGGAGACGATTCTGACAGGCGGCAGGAGAAGATCGACAACGAGGACGAGGCGGCAGATCTCAGCGCGCTGTGGGACGACCATGTGTTGCTCGACTGCTTGAAGGGCATGTTGGAGAAGAATCCTGAGCAGCGCCTCGACATGGAACAGGTGCTGGCACATCCTTGCTGGTGGGGGTTCAACGTCGACACCACCGACGGCGCCACTGGACAGGGCCGCGCGTGGTTCGATCATCGGCGTGAGTTTCTTGAGACGTTGTCCAAGGAGGCCTGGGCACCCGGTGGGCAAGAAGCCGGTCTGATCGAAAAATTCAATTTTCATGTGGAGACGGCCATGGGACACGATGGGAACTGGCTGCCACTCATCAGGGAGGAATTGAAAGACCTGAAGAAGTTGAAGCAAAAAGCCAGCAGTTACGGGGACAGGACGAAGGCACCGGATTCTCGGTCATCCTTCGCGACCTTTCTCAGATTTATCCGCAACACGGCGCAGCACTACAAAGACAATCACCCGGACGAAGATGACGTGAAGAAGATATTTCTCGCGCCGTGTCGGGAAGGAACACCGTGTCCCCGCTCTTGCACAGAGTGTCAGTCCAGCTGCCAGGATTGGAGCAGTCCGATGTCTCGATATCGGGCGGCGGGCGACAACGAGCCACTTTCGCACGTCAGCAAGGAAACTCTGATCTACTTTGCTGAACACATCTTCCCCGGTTTCTTTTTGCACGCGTACAAGTTCGCATGCAAGAACATACAGCCCGAGGGCGACTTTGCGCCATTCCTTCCGCAGCGCCGATGCCAGCCAGATGAATAGGGAGTCGGTTGCGCGATCGTCCACCCAGATGGCTGTTACAACTCATCACCTGTCGTGGGGGCACGTCACTCCCTGACCGCCAGGCATGCATGGCTGGCGGCGCGATAGAACGTGTGATACATATTTCGAGTTATGTCGACCGCTTCCTCAGCATGCTGTTGCGGCCAGAGGCTGCCGAGTTGCGCTCGAGAGGGAGTGCAGCTCATGCGTGTCAACGCGCTAGCGTTCGAGGGGCGAATGTCCATCGTGCGCTCCAGGTCTACATGGTCATCGCCGGTCGAAGCCGCACACGCGCTGGCATAGAAGGCGGGAGGGCGCTTTGTGACCGCAGGACGCGCTGTCGACAGGAATTGCGGAACGTGGGCGAAGTCCTCTTGCGCTGGCAACCTGGGCCTGTATCGGAAGAGCACGACCGTCGAGACAGACGTGAGCAGGCGTCCGGGTGCGTCGTCGTTGCATGCTGCAGTGCGGACGCGTAGAAAGCGGCAACAGAGGCTCGTCGCGAGGCGTGTGGACCGCCACAGCTGCAAGCGATGCACTGTGCCAGCTGGTCCTGTAACGCAGCCGTGCAAGCATTCAGAGGCAGTGTCGTTCATTCAGACGTACAAATGAAGAGTAAAAAAAATCAGAACGAGAGGCAGGTCGTTCCGGGCCCGGTCGCACCCGACTTCTCGTCCATGCCTTCGTTCACAGGTTGACGTTCACGGCCGCTCACGGACGACCCTCGCGACGGAACGAGGCGCGTTTCATTGCGTCGGCCTCTTCAACACTGCGATCCATCGCAGGGTCTCCTGCCGCGGAAGACTCGCTTGCCCGCCTAAGCGAGTGCGGCGACGACGCGTGCCATCGATGATGCGCCGATCCACGGGCAGCGCGGCACTGGCAGGCCGCGGTCAGCCGACGCTTGTTATCGCGACACACCGTTGGCTGAAGCTTGAGCTTGAGCGTGTGGCCGACAAGACGGCGCGATCGCGGAGACGACGCGCAAGATCCGCCGCGGGACGCTGCAGCACCGTCGACGGTCGGGTCCGTCTCCAGCCGCATGCCATTCGCTGGATCAACGTCGGCGCTGCCCATGTGCTGACGCCCCAGGGCAGTGATTGCTCGGCTGGCCCAGCCGCCAACCAACGCTCCTGCGATCGCGAGGACTTCACGGACTGCTGGTGGGGGAGCTGTATCGCGACCCCTGTGATGGCTTGTGCAGCGCGGCCCCAGCACAACTACGTGATCAGGCGAGGGACAAACATCCAGTTTCGACGCACCTGGGGTCAACTGATCGCTCGAGCCGCCGGCAGCGTCCGTCGCCGTGCTGCCCCTCGGCTGCGGCGTGCCTCTGAGGCTGAATCAGCATCTTGCGACGCTGATCAGTGATCGGGAAAACGTTGCATCCGCAGAGCCCCGGATCAAACCACGCACCAAGCCCCGATGCTGCTCAGCTGGGCTGTGCGGTCGCTGACGTTGGGCCTCCGATGCCCCCGGGCTGCGCGTGCCCCCTGCCACGCAACTTGTCGGGCCTGCGCTCTCTGATGGCACGGATGTTGCACAGGCCGCGCCCCTCATGCTGTGGAACAAGGGCCGCGTCCGACCTGGCGTGCGCGAACGCCATCGTCACGCAGCGCAGCATCCCCAAAGGTTCCTGCGCTGGCAACAGATGGTCAGGACCGTGAGGGTCGCGGCCTTGGACGGATGCGCGGGAGCGACGTTGGAATGAGAGATCCGTGCTTGCTGGTGTATCGGCTTGAAAGAGCCTCGCCGCGGTTGACGTTTGGGTCTGGTCTTGCACGAGAGTTGGTGGACCAAGCAGGCACTCCTATGCCGCGCGGTCGCATGCGAGAGGCTCCCGATAGCGCAGAGAGGGTCTCGTATAGAAGCAGTAGTAGAGCGGCAGTCGCGGCACCAGGAGCGCTGTCGCTGGGCGTCAAACATCACGCTTGTGTTCCGCAGTCTGCTCTGAACCCGCCGCTGTGACGCCAGTCGACGCGCGGCCCAACATCGGGCAGTGAGGGGACGGAGATGATCGAGCTGCACAAGTTCATCGATTGTCCAACTCACCCTGTGTTTCGAGGGCTGCTTGCGGACTCTATCCGTTGCTCCCAGTGCACTTGCGGCCCAGTGTAGTTGCTCCGTGATGCAGCGAGAGCCATCGGCTGGCCTCGCGCAAGACTGAGTCAACGGCTTCACGCTGGCAGCGACGCGCAATCTCCACGCCACACACGGTACCGAAATCACGCCCCCAAGTACCCTCCGGAGCCTCAGAGGCGCTCCGTCTGGCCAGGCCCATGGTGACGACCAACGTGCGACCATGCCGCTGCCATCTAGCGCCACTCGAGAACCACTTCATGCCGCGTACACGACGCGGACCGACCTGTACGTGCGTGATTGACCTCTAGTGTGCATCCTTCAGGTGTGGAGCAGAGTCGCTGCGTCGCGGTGGTGCCGTGACTCGCGGCGACGATGGTGTGGCCGTTCGGCGGCAGGAGGAAGGCCGCGTCCACGACGGCGGACTCAGGCAAGGCCGCTGCGCCCCGCACAATCCTGCTTGGCTTGACCCGCGTCGCGCGGCGCTGCCATCAGTGAACGAAGGTTTCTTGACCACAACGTGGTCTCCAGTGGCTCGACAACATGTGGTGCTTGTCACGTCATGGTTCGCGCCGATCTCGCATCGAACCACTGCGCCTTCTCTGCGCAGGTGCCAAGGCGATCTCTGCCGCGGACGAGGGCCTGCATGAGGAGGCCTGGAGCGACGGGAAACAGGAGGTCAGTTCAATCCGACGACTCCCGCGTTACGTCCTTCCGACGCGCGGCGATCTCCGAGCCAGCCGGTTGCTGATGTGGCATCTCATGCCCTCGTGCCATGGTCTCACGTGCGCGCAGGTCAAAGTGTACCAGCCGGAGGGGCTGATGTGCCTCGTGCAGGTCCGCGCGCGCGTCCCGCTGTCCCCGCAGGAGATCTTCGACATCCTCACCTCGGACACCAACCAAGGCAAGTCCCCACTCATATCATATCAAATATCAACTACCATCAAAGTGGCTCGCCCCAACAGTACAGCACGCATGAGCCCGGCCATCCAGAGCACAGCGGCGCTCACACAACGCAGCCCAGCCCACGTTCATCCCACACCTCTTCCGCGCAGAGGTGTTTCGCAACATGGTGGGCATCAAGTCGCGGAAGATCCTCGAGGACGACGGGCGCGGGCGCATGAAGCTCCAGCTCGAGCAGGAGGGTCGCTGGCGCTTCCTGATGTTCCGCGGGAAGTTCCCCGTCAACCTCCTGGTCGAGCAGGACCGCAACAAGGGCTTCATTAAGTTCCGGCTGCTCAAGACGGGCTTCATGAAGGTGTTCGAGGGGGAGTGGGAGCTCAAGCACTACACGCACCACAACGTCGAGCTCGCGCGCCAGAAGGACACCGTGCAGGCGGCCGCGAGCGGCAAGCGCCGCAAGGGGGCGCCGGTGGCCGCGGCGCCGGGCAAGGACTCCCAACACAAGTGCGTGTTCTGTTGCTGGCATGCACTGCTCCTGCCGACCGCTGCGCGGAATGTTTGCTTGGCTTTGCAAACTTGATTGATATGGAAACGTTTTGTTTTCATTTGTGCCACGTTTGCAGGTTCGGGATGCCGTCGCTGGACCTGTCTGGCCTGCCGGGATTCCTGCGGCCCGCGGCTGCGAAGCGCGACACGCTGGTGACGCTGCGGCAGTCGCTGAAGCCTGCGGTGACCCCGCCGCCCCCCCTGGACTCGTACGTGCGGCGGATCTCGGCCAAGGTGACGCGCGAGGTCATCGAGGACCTGCAGAAGGAGGCCGAGCGGCGGAGAAAGAAGGAGCGAGCCGCGAAGGCCCAGACAGCCGCAAAGTCGGCATGACCCTTGCTCGCTACGCTATATGCACACACGCAGCCAATGCAAGCCTCACAGTTAGCAGGAGACTTCTTGCAACGCTGAACGATGTGATTTCAGCACGCAACAGGCACAGACTCACACGGTCGAGCCGCCGCGTCAGCCGCCCTGCCCCCCTGCGTTCCCGCTCCGATCTTGTGCGTGTTCGTCGCAGTGTGGTTGGCCGGCAGCTGTCGCGGCGGCGTCTGCGTGGAGCGCCTCGCCCAGGGACGCCAGGACCTCGGGCGGTGCGCTGGCGAGGTGGCTCTCCAGCGCCGTCATCTGCGCGTCGACTTTGTCCAGCAGCGCAGCGAGGTGCAGCTCCTCGTCTCCGGCGATGTTGACGCCGGCGGACTTGCGGATGGGACCGGTGCCGCCTGCAAGGAACCAAGCTGTGTTTTGCTGTCACGGAAGGATAAAATATCGAACGACTACCCTGCGGAGCGCTGCATGGGGCTCCGGCTTTACGTGCTAGCTGCGGCATCAAGCAGCCGCTGAGATGACGCTTGACACGCGTCACGTCATCTGAATGAGCACACACGTACCGTAGTCTTCCGCTGCCCCTTCTGGCTCTCTTGGGACCGCAGTCACGTTCGGCACGTCGCAAGCCTGCGGAGCGCCTGATGCACTCCTGTGGCCGCGGAGCTGCGCCATGAGCTCCCTGGCTTGCTCATCCCTGCCTCCGCTGGCCTCCTCGATCTACAGACGACACATGTGAGATTCGCCGGTCTCGGACGATGCCGCCGCACAGCGCCATAGGCACCACCAGCACTGCAGTGTCTCAAGGGCCGACCACGCGGCGTGGCCTCTTCCCTCACCTGCTGCAATGTCCGTTCGAGCATCAGCATCATCGCATCATCCTGATTCTCGCCTCCTGGCTTCTCCCCTGAACCCGCCCCCGTCCCGCCCGAACCCATTGGGCTGTGACGTACCCACGCTCAGACGTATGTGCTTAATTCCGAGAGGACGCAAACAACGGCCCGCGCAACAGCACTGATGCTCGCCGCTGACGGAGCCGGTGGCTCGCGCACCCCCTTGTTCCAGCGGCGGACGCTCGGGCGCGACCCCAGCCAGCGGGGGTGTTGAACAAGCGCAAAGTTCTACCCAAGGCTCTGCCCACCACCCTGAGCCCGAGACATTCCTTCGCCGCACGTCCCGCTGAAGCACACGCAGCCCGCGTTCTTTCCGAGAGCCGAGTCAACGAGTCACACATCCGCGGATCCCAATATGTCCATAGTCCTCCACAGATCAGATCTTATTCCGCTCAACCTACGCTCACTCAGTTCTCCTTCCCAGTCCCCACAGCGCCGCCCCGCGCCTCCCGCACCCGTCCGCCGCCCGCAGCCTTCCCCGGCGACAGCTGCGCAGCGTTGGCGCGCGTCGACGACGCCTGCAGCCCCACGCCCCGCCCGGCGCGCAGCGCCTGCACCTCCTGCTGCAGCTTCCGCAGCTTCCCCTCGAGCACGGCGTTGTCGTACTCCTTCGACAGCACCCCCTCGAGCCTCTCCGCGTTCTCCTCCGACCACCCCTGCTTGAGGAACTCCGCCTTCATGCGGTGCTGCAGCGCCTGCAGCTTGATGTGCGCCTGCTTCACCTTCCGGATCTCCTGCTCGTACGCCGCTACCTGCTCCGTCGGCATCGACGCCGCCTGCGCGCCCGCCCCCGCCCCTGCCGCCGCCAACCGCCGCTTCTCCAGGTTCAGCCGCTGCACCGTCTGCATCAGCGCCTCCTCGCGCTGTCGCAGCTCCGCCGCCTGCTTCTCGAGCGCCGCCGTCCGCTCCCGCTCGCCCTCCAGGTCCGCGCGCAGGCGGACGGCCTCCTCGTCAACAACCGGCGCAGGCACCGCAGTGCGCGCTGCCTCGAGGGCGCGCTCGAGCTCCGCGACGCGCCGCGCCATCGCGATCGACGCCGTGCTGTCCCCGCGCGCGGGCGTCCCGAACGCGTCGTCGTCCCCGCCGAGGCGCCGCGACTGTCCACGTGCCGCAACCAGCCGCCGCTCGAGCTCCGCACACCGCTCCTCCGTGCGGGCGCGCTCGGTCCGCGCTGCCTCGACCTCTGCATGGGCCGCCTCGACCGCGAGCACCGACTTGCGCGCTTCCGCGAGCTCGGCCTCGACGTGCGACGTGCGGGTCATTGCCTCCGACAGGGCGCGCTCGAGGCGGGCGCGCTCGGCCTCGGCCTCCTTGCGGTGGCGCGCCGCGGTGTCGATCTGGGACGCACGCATCTCCAGCTCCGCGCGCAGGTCGTCGACGGCGCGCGTCTGCGCTGCGAGCTTCTGCAATTGAACAACGACGCAAAAACGAACTCGGTTTCACGGACATGCAGGTGTGGCCGTGATCAACTTTCGCACGAAACGACGTGGACCAACGAAACGGATGCACGCTGAGTCAACCTCGCGCTTCGATGTGTCACCGCGACGACATCAGCCTGCCCCGTGCGTGTCATGAGAGCAGCATGGTGATGATGGTGATTGGCGAGCAGGGAACCGCGGCAACGCACCTCTCGCAGCGCCTCCGCCTGCGCCGTCGCCCGCTCCGCCTCCTCCCGCAGCCGCCCCTCCCGCGCCTCCAGCCCCTCCGCGCGCCCCCGCAGCTCCTCCCACGCCGCCTCCGCGCTCTCCGCCCGCTCCTGCGCCGCCCGCTCGCGCCCCGCGCCCTCCCGCGCCCCCGCAAGCTCCGCCTCCAGGTCCTGCACGCGCTCGCTCGCGCGCTCGATCTCGTGCGTCATCGCCTGCAGCCGCACCTCCAGCTCGTTCCGCGTGCTCTCCAGCGCCGCCACCTTGCCGCGGGACGCCTCCACCTCCACCTGCGCAGCGTCCATGTCCTGCCGCAGCGCCTTCGCGCGCCCCTCCGCGCGCTCGAGCGCCGCTGACAGCGACGCGATCTCCGTCTGCGCCGCGCCAAGGTCCGCCTCCGCCGCCGCAGCCCGCCCGCTCTGCGCGTCGCGCTCCGCCGCCAGCGCAGCAGCACGGTCCTCCGCGCCGCGCAGGTCCGCGTCGCGGCTGGCAACCGTCGCGTTCGCGGCATCCAGCTGCTTCCCGAGGCCCTCGATGGTCTTCTCGGCGGCCTGCATCTTCGCGACTCCTTCCGCGATCTGCCTCTCGAGGTCCTCCTTCTCGGACCGCAGCGCCCGCTCCCGGTCGCCCGCATCGCCCTCCGCGGCCGCAAGCTTCGCCGCCGCCTCCTCCGCCGCCCGCGCTCCCTCCTCCTTCGCAGCTGCCAGCGCCGCGGACGCCGCGGACGCCTCGCGCGCGAGCTCCTCCGCCGCGAGCGCCCGTGCGGCCTCCATCGCGCCCATGTGCTCCTTCCGCGCCCGGTCCAGCTCGGCCCGCGCCGCCTGCGCGTCCTCCGCATGCTCCTTCGACTCCGCCTCCAGTGCGGCGATCCGCTCGCGCGCCTCCGCCGCCTCCGCGTCGTTCCTCTGCCGCTCCTCCGCGCGCTCCCGCACCGCGGCCTCCAGGTTCTGCCGCGTCGTCTCCAGGCGGCTCTCCGCTGCCTCGAGCTTCGTCGTCAGCACAGACGCCTCGTGCCGGGCGGCGTCGAGCTCCGCCGCGAGCTCCGCGCCGCGCTTCGTCGCCTCGGACTCGGCCGCGCGCGCTGACGTCAGGTCCGCGCTCAGGCGCTCCCGCTCCGCGGCGATGTCCGCGACCTGGTTCCGCAGCACGTCGCGCTCCGCCGTGAGCCGCTCCTCCGTCGACTTCGCGCACTCCTCGGCCTCCCCGCGCGCGTACTCCGCCGCAGCGAGCTTCTCGCCCGCGTCCGCCAGCTCCCCGCGCAGGTGCTCGATCTCCGGCAGCCGCGCCTCCGCCTCGTCCCGCGCACGCTCGCACGCCGCCAGCCGCTGCGTCACGTCCGCGATCTCGCCGTCGCGCGCCGCCACCTGCGCCGCGTGCGCCGCCTCGGCGTCCGCGAGCGCCCGCGCCCCGTCAGACTTCGTCGTCTCCACCAGACCCTCCAGCCGCTCCTTCTCGCCAGCGTACTCCGCGCGCAGCTCCTCGAGCGCGCCCTCGACCTCGGCGACCTGCTCGCGCAGCCGCTCGACCTCCGCCTTCGACGACGCGAGCTCGCCCTCGAGCGCGGTGCACTTGCCGACGGCGTCGTCCCGCGCCGTCTCGGCGTCCTGCAAGGCGTCCTGGAGCTCCGTGCAGCGCCCGCGCGACGCTGCGAGGTCGCTCTTGGTGCCGTTGAGCTCCATCGTAGTGCGCGAGGCCTCCGAGGTGCGCTCGTCCAGCTCGGTGCGCACCCGGTCCAGCTCGTTGCCCACGTCGCCAAAGCGCCGCGTCAGCTCCTCGACCTGGGCCTTCGCAGCCTGCGCGCAGCACGAACAAACAATTGCTGGACCTCGAACAATGATCACTTCTCCTCGGCCGATATCGTGCGGGCGCACCGACGTTCACGGGGGCGGCACAAACGGATCAATCAATGCATATATGAAAGCGCACCGTGAGTTCCTGCTGGATGTGTTCGCGCTTCTTGGCCTCGCGCTCCTCGATGCGCTCGAGCTTCTTCGACGCCAGCGCGTGGTCCCGCTGCAGCTTCTTCAGCTCCCCCTCCGCGCGCGCCCGCTCCGCCACCGCCGCGCTCTTGTCCCCCAGCGCCGCCTTCAGCCGCTCCTCGACCTTCGCCAGCCGCTCCCGCGTCCGGTCCAGCTCCTTCCGCGCGAGCTCCGCGTCCTTGCTGCCCTTCGCCCCCGTCGTCTTCAGGCTCCGCTCCGCCGCGATCTTCTCCTGCTTGAGGCGCGCCGTCTCCTGGCGGTGCCGCGCCTTGAGGTCCCGCAGCTCGTTCGCCGCGTTCAGCGCCCCCGCCGCGCGCGCCAGCTCCGCCTCGAGGTCCAGCTTCTCCGCCCCCGCGCTCTCCGCGCGCCCCTCGGCCTCCTCCGCGCGCGCCACCGCCGCGTCGCGCTCGGCACACGCCACCTCCATTGCGTCCTCGAGCTCCCGGTTCCGCGACGCCGCGGCGTCCGCGCACGCCTGCGCCTCCGCCGCCGCCTCGCTCAGCTCCGCCTCCGCGCGCCGCAGCGCGTCCGCGACGTCGTTCGCCGCCGCGAGCCGCTCCTGCAGCCCCACGCGCTCCGCCTCGAGCTCCCGCGTGGCCTCCAGCAGGCTCTCGACGCGCGCGCCGAGCGCCGCACGCGTCGACTCGAGCTCCTTGAGCGCCACAGCGCGCTCCGCACTCAGCCGCTTCTCCGCCGCCGCGTGCGCCTCCTCCAGCTCCTCCCGCTCGCGCGCGTGTCGCTGCCGCAGCTCCTCCAGGTCGGTCTTGGCGTCGCGGAGGGCGCGACGGTCCGCCTCGCGCGCGTCCCGCGCGACCTTCGCCTCGGCCTCCATCTCGAGCGCGCGCAGCTCCGCGGCCTCGGCCTTCTCGCGGTATGCTTGCAGTTCCGCCTCCTGCTTGCGCTGGTAGAGCGGGGGGCGCTTGCGGGACTCGAGGTCCTGGCAATGGGCCTCGAGGCGGAGGGTCTCGTCGTAGAGCTCGGCGACGCGGGCCTCGGACGCGCGCAGGCGCTCCGCCGTGGAGGCTGCGTCCGCAGCTGCGCGCTCCGCTGCCGCCTCGTGCTCCTTGATCGCGGCGCCCAGCGCGGCCTCGCGCTCCCGCACCTCGTCGACCTGCGTTCGAGTGGGGCAGGGCAGCGGCAAGGACTTCAGTCTCGGGTCGTTGGCACGTGTAGACTGAAACAAGGGGCAACTGTGGTTCGTGACTCGCCTTGGCGTTTGCGCGGGCCGTGGCCTCGCGCTCCTGCACGAGGTCGTTCCTCGCGCCCTCGAGCTCGACCCGCAGCGCCGCCGCCTCGGCCGCCGCGTCCGCCGCGCGCCCGTCCGCCTCCGCCACCCTGCGCTGCGCCTCCGCCGCCGCCTCCTCCATCCGCGCCCCCATGCTGCTTAGCTCCCGCCGCAGCCCCTGCGCCTCGCCCTCCTGCGCCCCGCTCGCCACGCTCTTCCGCTCCGCCTGCCGCAGCCGCCACCGCGTCTCCTCGAGCTGAGGCACCAGCCTGTCGCGCTCCCGCACCACCTGCACCAGCTGCGCCTCCGCCGCGTCGAGCTGCTCCTGGAGCTCGCGGATCTGCCGCATCGCGCCGTCGTTCGCGGCGCCCGGGGACGCCGTGCGCTGCTGCTTCAGCGGGCCCACGGGCGCGCCCAGCATGGCGGCGCTCACGGCACGCTTGCCCCCGACGCGCATCTGCGCCGGGACGCTGCCGCGGGACGAGCCGTCTGCGGCCTGCGACATCCCCGCGGCGCGAAGCACGCAGAACGTCGCCCGCCGCGACCCGCCGCCGACGACGGTGTCCTCTGCAGCCGCAGCGTCGGGGGGGGCCGCGCCCTCGCTGCCCGACATCATCCCGCTCTCGCGCGAGGCCTCCGCGTACCGCGCGAGCTCCGCCTCGTACCGCCGCAGCTGCTCGCGGAGGGCGTCGAGCTCCGACACCCCCCTCGCGTCGCTGCCGTCCGCCAGGCGCCGCTTCAGGGCCTCGATCTCCTGCTGCTGGCGCTTGAGGAGCGCGGCGTCCGAGAGCACCTCGTTCTGCACCGCGTGGTTCGTGACCTGCTTGGCGCGGCACGCGAACCGCAGCGTCGAGTGCGTCTCCTCCACGTGCATGCTCGCCGGCGTGACGGCGCAGATGACGGCCGTTTTGGCGTTGCCGCCGAGGGAGGGCTGGAGGATGCGCGTGAGCTTCGAGTCGCGGTACGGGATGTGCCCAGACTCGCCCTCGCTGAGCTTCGAGATGACTGTGCCCAGCGTGAGAAGGGATTTGTTGATTGCCGCGCCCTCCTTCATGCGCATGCCCTCCGCGCCGGTCTTCGAGACGCGCTCGGAGCCCGCGAGGTCGACGAGCGTGAGCGTCGACACCCAGACGCTGTCCTGCCCGCGCGGCTGATCCCCCGACGCCACCGTCGACGCGGGCGACGCCGTCTCCGTCGCCGACCCGCCCCCCGCGGTGCGCGCCCGCGACTCCACGACCATGCGGAAGATCGTGTGCGACCGCGACGACTGCTGGTTCATCTTCGTCTCTCCCACGTGCCTGCGGGACCGGACCTTGCGTGACGCGTCATGCAGGCCGCCGAAGCCCATGTCACCAGCACAGAGCAGCGGCAGTGGGCGGCATGTTCACCTGTGGCGCTCCCCGCGCTCGAGGAGCTGTAGGACGTGCTCGGGCGTCGCGACGAGCTCCTCCGCGAGCCCCTTGACGCACACCCCGAGCTCGCGGTCCTCCTGGACCCGCAGGTTGCGCGACCCCGGGCCCGTCGTCGTCAGGTCGTTGATCTCCTCGTTGTACAGCTCCATGTACGACACGCGGACGAGGAAGTCGCGCTCCGGCGTGGCCTCGATGTGCCGGAACACGTCGCGCACGGCCAGCGGCACGATGCCGGCCTCCACGCCGGGCGTCCCGCGCATGGTGTGCGTCTTCCCTGATGACGTCTGGCCGTACGCGAACACCGTGCCGTTGAAGCCCGACATCACCTGCGCCGACGACGGCTGCCAGGGGGCGTGAGGCACCGGCGCGGCGAGCCCAGGGCGTGGCAGCGCGGGCTCCGCGGGCGAGGTGGTGGTGCAGCGTAGGGGACGGAGGCACGCACGCACCTGTGCGATGATGCTCTTCGTGGTCTGCTCGTAGATGGCGTTGGTGTCCCAGGAGGAGTCGAAGATGCGGTCGAGCTGGTACTGGCACCCGGGGACCTCCCACAGCGGCTCCCCTGCGCGGTGCGTGGTGGCCGCCCCCGTTGTGATGCAAGCAGCGGGGCGACAGCTCGGACGCGCGGGCCGCGGATTCCCGCCGCGCGGGTCCGGTTGCGCCGGCGTTGCGGCTCAGCGTAGTCCAGGATGACGCGAAATCGGAACGAGAAGGGCGTCGCGCGGCACTGGGAGTGCGGGAGCGCGCGGCGCGTGCTGCGGCGGTGCGTGCTCACCATTTGTGGGGCTCAGCTGCGCGATGCGGTTCCCGTTGACGACCCACAGCGGCCCGCCGCTGCCCTTCTCAGCGTCGTTGAGCGGCCGGACGCGCACGCTTACGCTGCACGCCAGGGGACCGGGGCCAGGGCGTCATCGAGCAGCAGAGGGGGAAGGTCCAGTGCAACGGCGCATCACGATTCCGTTCCGTTTGTTCCACGCGTGTCAATCCAACAGTATGATGTGGATTTCTCAGCTTCGCTTCACGATCAGCCAGGCCCGGCCGGAACAGGCCAGGAGGACTGGCCTACCTCCACCAGAGAGACATCGGCTGTGCAGCGGGTTGCAGGGCCTCCGTGGAAAGTTCGACGCTATGATCCGATAGCGTCAAAGTCAGAATAGCGATGAAACGCAAGAACATGGAGGTGCATGTCCGCACGCGACCGGCGCAGCGCAGCGCCTCGTCGTGCAACAACGCGGGAGGCTCACCTGATGTTTTCCGACATCGTGTCGCCACTTGATTTCATTCAATGCCCCAACACCGCCTCAGAGATGCTATCCGCGGCTCGAAACCGCAGCTCGCGCCCCACAAGTGACAGCGGGCGCCCAGCAGCCCCGGCAGAGCTGTCTCTACGCGAGCCGAACGCACGCCTCGCAAACACCTCCGCGCTCCTCTCTGGCGCGCGTACCTACACGCGAGCCTCTGTCCCATCCGGCCACCGCCACGCACACTCGTCCCCGCGGCCACACGCCCCCAATTTCGCCCTGACTCAACTCAGACCCCCAACACGCACGCGACGCCCCCCTGCGACCGCCCGCGCACGCCGCGGCTCCGTCACACCTACGCGCTCACGTCCGAGATCCCGAGCGTTTCGAGCAGCGCTTTCCACCTTGGCGGCTCCTCATCGAAGATGTACGTCATGGGCTGCACCAGCACCCCGCTGCCCCCGCACGCGCGCAGCTCCTTCACCGTCGGGTACAGCTCCTTCTTCGGCACGCAGATCACCGCCGCGTACAGCCCCGGCTGCTCCTCGCCCTTGGTGTACACCGGGCTCACCGTGGGCCCCGACAGCCCGCTCAGGAGCTCCGAGGAGAGCAGGCGCGCCGCCACGTCCTTCGCCGACTCGCCCTGCATGTTGACGATCACGGAGTAGTAGCCCTCCGCCGTGAGGTGCGCGTCCAGGCGCTCGATCAGCTCCTTGACCGTCGCCAGCAGCTCCGGGGACTCCTGCGCGTCGGGGGGCGCGAGGCACGTGTGAGCTCCACGCCCGCCAGGCGCTTCTAGCTGGAGGTGACGGCGCTGCGCAGCGTGTCGCCGGCACGCGTTGGCGCAGCTCGGACCGCGGCAGGCCGGCGTCGCAGGCGGCACGGGTGTCTGCGCACCTGCAGGGCCTTCTTGTTGCCGACGAGGCAGCCCTGGGACTGCAGCATGGTGGCGCCGGCGATCTGCTTGAGGTTGTTCTCCCGCAGCGTCGTCCCCGTGGACACCAGGTCCAGGATGATGTCGGCATACCCCATCTTCGGGGCGGCCTCGAGCGCGCCGTCCGCGCTGCACAGCTGGACGTGCTCGAACCCGAGCTGCTTGAAGAACTCCTGCGCCACGTACTGGTACCCCGTCACCACGCGCAGCGGACTGCATCGCACCGGCACAGCACCGACGCAACTCGTGTCGCCGCGTCCACGCGCAGCGGGCCGCGGCGCGCACGTCGGGCAGGCGCGCAGCGGCGCGCTCGCACCTGTCCGGCCCCCAGCAGTCCATCGCGAGGAGCTCGTCGATGGTGTTGACGTTGGCAAACTTGCCGTCGGTCGGCACTCCGAGCCCGAGGTGGCACTTGCCGAACCCGAGCGCGTCGTGGATGACGATGACCTCCTTGCTCCCGCGGTTGAACTCGTAGAACATGTCGTACCCGACGATGCCCAGGTCCACGTCGCCCGTCTGCAGGCGCCGCACCACGTCCGAGGCCCGCTGGAACCACACCTCGACGCCCGGGAGCTGCGAGATCGACGCGACGTACTGCCGCGGGTTGACCTTCTTCACGTCCAGCTGGCAGTCCTTGAGGAGCTGCAGCGTCGCCTCGCTCATCCGCCCTTTGCTCGGAATGGCAATGCGGATGTTGTCCCGCTCCTGCCAGCTCGCCGTCACGGAGTCTGCGGACGCGGAGACGCGCGGGGCCGTATGTCCAGTGAACGGACCTCGCGGCGGGGGGGCGCCCGGGCCGAGAACGCGCGCGGGCGGGCCTCGGGCGCGAGCGCGGGGGTGGGCGGTGCAACAGGCGGGCCCGGCGTGGGCCTGGCGGGCGCGGGGCGCGGCGCTCGGGCGGCGACAGGGCTGCCCAGTACCGTGATCGGCGCGGCCCGCGGTCGGACGGATCGTCTGGGCGGGCGGCCGCGCTGCAGGCGGTGGATGGGCCGCCCCTCACACACAAGATGCTGCCGGGCGCGCCCAGGCGGCATCGGCGCCGTCCGCGGCCGCGGCGGCCAGGCGGGCGTGGTGCCTGGCGCGGGGCGCCGGCGGGCCGCGCGGCGCCGCGTGGCCCCGGTGGATCCGCGGGCAATTGCCTCGGCATATCGGGGAGCTATCGCGCTGAAAGGAGATTGGGTGCCGCGTACCTGCGGGGTCCGAGTACTGCTTCACGGAGCGCACGGCGGTGCTAGCGGCGCGCCTGTCCGTCCTCCCGGCGCGCCCGAACGGCTGCGCGCGCCATCCCGCGGCGTGTGGCCGCAGGCAGGGCCGCGCTGGGGCAGGGCGGTCCGGCTGAGCGGCCGCCGGTTTCGACGGCGCCTGGTGGAGGGTCCGCTGCATGTCTGCGGCGCGGGGGGTGCTTCTGGGGCGGCGGGGGCGGCGCGGGAGGACATGTGCGCGGAGCGGGTGGTTGGCCGGGTAAAAGACTATGTGTTCAATACACGCCCGCGCGCTCGACCGGGGCCCGCGGAACGTGGGCGTCGCTGCATGCGGCGCGTCTCCATAATTTCTCGCCGCGTGGCCGTTCTATATAGCGGGATACGGACGGAACGCAGCGTGCGGGGGACCTTCGCGTCGTCGGGCCGCCTCCTCGCAACCACGTCGCGCGTGCGGTCCGCGTCGCCAGAGAATCGCTGCCTGGGCATATAGAGCTGCCCGCGGCTGAGCAGTCCGGAGCCGGAGGCCGGCGCGCCGCGGCAGCCCCGCGGGTTTTACCAGGTAGGAGCCGCTTGTACCTGCTTTTTCGCGGCCGCTGGCCGCCCGCGCCGCGACCAGCGCCCGTCCGGACGCCCCCCGTGCGCCCGCCGATCCGCGCATGCTGCCGCCGCCCTCCCTGACGGCCGCACTGCGCGCCACGCCCGCACATTGCCTCTGCAGGAGCACACTCGCGGGATCCCCGGCATGTCGGGGGACGCAGGCGACGCAGAAGGCCCCGCGCCGCACAGCCTGCAGAACGATGCGACGGGCGCGCCGCCCTCCAAGCGGCCCCGCGACGCGTCCGAGCCGGAGGAGGGCCCTGATGCGAAACGCGTCGTCGGCGCCGAGGCCCACCCCGCGCCGGGGGGCGACGGCAACGACGCGGCGACGAACGGCCAGCACGGCCAGGTCGGCGAGCACGGCGACCCGCCGGCACACGCTCCGGAGCCCCACGCCGCCCCGGAGCCAGCAACCGCCGCCGCGCCTGCACAACAGCAGCCTCCGCAGCCAGCCTCCGCGCCCGCACCGGACGCCGCGGCCCAGGACACCTCCCAGCCCGCAGCCGCCACACCAGCGGAGCCGCCCACCGCGGCGGGCGCCCCGGGGGGGCCCGAGCAGCAGCCTGACGCCGGTGCGGCAGTGGCAGACGGCTCCAAGGGCGGGGGCGCGGCGAAGGCGGAGGGCGGCGCCGACGTGGGCGCGCAGGGGCCGTCCGATGCGCAGGGCGCGATGGGGTCGCTCGGCATCCCCCCGATGGCGTTCAACCCTGCGATGATGTCGTCGATGCAGCACATGCCCGGGCAGAGCGGGGCGATGATGCCGGACGCGGGGGCGATGCAGATGATGGGCGGAATGCCGATGTCGGGGTGGATGCAGCAGGCGCCGCCCAGCAGCGGCGGGCAGGACGGCACGGGGGGCGCGAGCGCCGCGCCGTGGCTCGTCCCGCCTCCCATGGCCGTCGTGGCGGACGGCGGCAGCGCGGTGAGCACACGGCGCTGCATCGCGGGACCGTGCACCGCTCCGAGGCGCAGCTGACGCCCAGATGCGCCGAAGAGCGCGAAACTATATCTTTTGGGTTTTGTTTGTGCCAGTCATCTTCAGCCGTCGCTCTTCTTGTATGCCCGCGTCGACACGGCCGCGCCCGCCCCCGCCCCGTGTCTGCAGGACCAGAACAATGCCAACCCCTTCGCCGGCATGGCCGGCATGGCCGGGATGCCCGGGATGCCGATGCCGTTCCTCTTCCAGAACGCGGAGAGCGCGCGCATGCTGAACGCGCTGGACGCGAACAACAGGGCCGCGCTGGGCGGGCTCGACCTCGGCGCGATGGGCGCGGTGGGCCCGGGCTTCGACCCGTCGGTGTTGATGGGCGGCATGATGGGCGGGATGCCCTTCTTCCCGCTGCAAAGCTTCGCGGCGCCGCCGCAGGCGCAGGCCGGGCGCGGGCGGGGCCGCGGGCGCGGCGGCGGCGGCGGGCGCGGGCCGCGGACGCCCGGGCAGCGTTCGAGCAAGTGGCGCGGCGTGTCGGCGCACCGGCAGCCAGGGAAGTGGATCTCGCAGATCAAGGCCGGCGGGAAGCAGCCGGTGTACCTGGGGTTCTACACGAGCGAGGAGATGGCGGCGCGAGCGTACGACCGCGCGGCGATCAACGTGCACGGCCGCGACTACCCGAACCTGAACTTCAACGCCTCCACCTACGGATCCCCCGAGGAGGTGTGCAGACACCCCCCCCCCTCTCAACACGCGCGTCCGCGCCGCGTCCGGCCGCGCGCGTGGAGCGGTCGATCACGGCTGCCCTGGCGGTGCCGTGCGCGCGCGTCCCGCGGCTGACGCGCGTTCGTGCTGTGGGTCGTCGCGGCGGTGTGTTGCAGTTGACGGTGCTGGAGAACCGCGAGTTCCAGGACCTGGTCGAGGAGCTGAAGCTGACGGCGCGCGGCGCGGACCGCAAGGTCGGGCGCGTGGACCCGTCGAAGTACCGCGGCGTGGCGCCCGACAAGACGAACAAGTTCCGCGTGCAGATCACGCGCGACAAGAACCGCACCGCGTACCTGGGGCTGCACGAGGACGAGGCCACCGCCGCGCGCATGTACGACCGCGCCGCACTCAAGCTCAAGGGCGACAAGGCGCGCACGAACTTCGACGCCACCGCGGTACACACCCCCCCCCCTCCCACACAATCCTACCTCGCTCTCGCCGCCCGCCGCGGCCCGCACGCCTCCCGCCCCCACTTCCCACGCACACGCTGTGTCCATCCCATCGCCTGACCGCCCCCCCGCCGCCCCGCGTGTTCGCAGTACGCCGCGGAGATGCATTTCATTCAGCACACCGACCTGGACACCCTGATCCACCTGATCCGCCACGGGGAGCCGACGTACCTCGAGGCGGTGCAGACGGGCGACATCCCGCCGAGCATCGCGAGCGCTGCGTCCAAGACGATGGGCGGCGGCGGCGGCGGCGGCGCGCAGGGTGTGGCGTTCGCGCCGGGGATGCCTGCGTCGATGCCGATGGGCACGATGGGCATGGGGCTGCCCATGGGGAACTTCTCGAACCACCTCGCGATGTCGTCGCTGATGGCGTCGATGGGGATGACCATGCCAGGCATGGGCGGGGACGGCGCGGGGATGCCTGTGCCTGTCGACGGCGGGGAGGGGCACGCCGTGGGAGTCGACGCGGGGGAGCCTGCGCCGCAGGGCGCGCAGGACGAGCCGCAGCCGGAGGGTGGTGCGGAGCAGGGAGGGGCGGGCGGGGACGGAGCGGGGCAGGCGCCGGAGTAGATATATGCCACTGGCAAAACAATAGGACACAAAATGGGGGGTCAGACTGAAGGAATGTGCAGCATATTGCGTGGAATGAATTGTGAATGCGTCTCACATATTCGACTGGTCGCGGATCAGAACAGCCGCCGCGCTGGTGGTGGCGCGATGCCTGCAGGGAGCCCCCCCTGAGGTCCTGCGTGTCGCAGGGCGCCCGCGAGGACGCCGGGGTCGCCGGCGAGCAGCGCCGACACCCGCACCACGGCCTGCCTGCGCGCGTGCTCGCGCCACGCGCGGAGGCACGCGCCCATCACGCGCTGCTTGCGCTGTCGCTCCATTTCGCGGACCATCGCGCGGCGCCCCTGTATCTCCACCGTGAGCGCGCGCCACTCCACCAGCGACCGCCGCAGAACCCGCATCTGCACGCACCCGCCAAACAGAGCCGTTTCATCCGCGCACCGACGTGACAACGACAAGCACATAGAAGATGAAGTGCGGACGGAGTGAACGTACCAGCATGCGGGCTCGCAGCCTCCAGACCTTCCGCGCGATGGCCTGCTTGCGCGCCAGCTCCTCCTGCTCGCCGGGGTCGCGTCTGCCGCCGGAGTCCTCCGTGTCGGCTGCCGCGCGCTGTGCACGACCCAACACGCGATCGTACGACGCCATCGCCGCGTCCGCCTTGCCCCCCACGCCCGCGCCCTCCACCGCCCACTGCAGCACGTCCGCGACCGTGAACTTCCCCGCGCCGTCCCTCCCGCCCCCCAAGGACAGCACCTCCTGCCGCGCCCCTCGCGGCGCCGCCGACTCCCTCTCACGCGACTGCTCCGTCGTCGCGCTCGACGGCGAGGACCACACGGCGTCCTGCTCGACCGCATGCGCGCGCAGTCCGTCGGGAGACGAATTACCGCGCTGCGCGGGCCCTGTGTGCCCAAACAGCCCATCGGCGTCGCCCGGTGCAGGCGCGACGGGGCTCGAGTCGAACAGCGGGTTGTGAGCCACGGCGACAGTGCGGCGCGCCGGGCTCGCCTCCGCGTCCCTCACGGTGCCCTCCGCGTCCTCCACGTCCCCCTCGTTGCCGTCGCTCGGCGCAGCCCCCCCCCGCGGCGCCCCGCACGCGTCCCTCCACGCGCGGAAGCACCCGCGCATCAGCGACCGCAGCGTCGCGACGCGCAGCACGTGCGCGAGCTGCCGCCCCCGCTGCGCCTCCAGCGCCCGCGCCACCGCCTCGCCCTCCGCCGCGTCACGCTCGAGCAGCCCCTCGAGCGCCCCCGCCACGCGGCCCGCCACCGACTCCCCCTGCCCGGGCGGCGCCATCGCCCCGATCGCCTCCGCGACGTGCCGCGCGCCCCCGCGCCCCTCCATCATCACCCGCACCACCTCCTGGAGCTCCCGCAGCTCCGCAAACAGCATCTGGACGGTCTCCGCGCGCTCCGACGCGACCTTCTCGAGGCCGCGCGCGCGGTCCTCCGCTGCGCGGAGCTTGCTCCGCAGCCCCGCGTGGTCCGCGGTGTCGGGCACGCGCCCCGCCGCGTCGAGCGGCACCGAGGTGTGGAACGACGCGGCGCCGCTCTTGCCGCGCAGAGGTACGTACTGCACCTCGATCTCGAGCTGCTGCATGCCGGAGTCGCGGCGGCCGAGGTGCACGCAGCAGTCGACGGTACCGTCCGGGAGCGGAGCCTCTGCCGCGCCACGTGCCGACGCACGGCACGGCGCGACGCTGTGCAGGGAGAACTCGGACAGCGCGCCGCGGCTGCGCTGAGACGCAGTGCTCTGCAGCGCGCCGACGTGCAGCATCACGTTGCCCTCGCCGCACATCACGACCGGCAGCCCCGTCGGCGCTGCGAGCGCGCCTCTGCCCGCGCTCCCGTCCTTGCCCTTGCCCTCCGTCTGCGCCGCCTGCTTGGGCGCCGCATCCTCCTCCACGACGGACCCGAGGACGACCGCGTCCTCCTCCGCGGATCCGGGCGCTCCCGGCGCCGCGCGGACGACTCCCCCCGCGTGCCCCGACGCAACGTGCCCCGATTCGCTCGCGCCGTCGCCCGCCAGGCCCCCAGCGAGCGACACGCGGCCGTCCGAGTCGTAGCGCTCCCCGGACGACCGGTGCGCGGACGCGTCGCCCTCGGCGGCGGAGCTCGTCGCCGCCTGCGCCACCCCCGCACCTGAGTGGTGGTCGGCGGCGATCACGGACGCGCCCGCCCCCGCAATGGATCGCGCGTCCGAGCCCGCGGGCTCCGGCGTCCACTCGAGCGCGCGCATGGCCTTCTCGAGCGACGCCAGCAGCTCCTGTGCGCTCTCCGTGGCGGGGGAGCGCTGCGAACCGGGGGCGGGCTCGGCTCCCGCGGCGGCGTGTTCTGGCGTGTGGGGCGAGCTCGAGGTCTCGAGAGCGTCCCCGTCGGACGCGGCGCGCTCTGTCGCGGCGCTGGGCCGCGTCCCGAAGGCGTCAAAGGCGGCGCGCAACGAACCGTCGCGTTTCGGGGGGGGCCGGGCCGGGTGCTCGCCGGGGCGGGGCTCGGGGCCGTCTTCCGAGCTCAGCCGTCTGCCTGCCGCGCTGAGCGCCTGGAAGGGGACCTGGTGCGCGGCGAGCTTGCCCCATGAGGGCTGTCGCAGGGGCCCGTCCGGTCTGGTGGGGTGCGTCGCGGCCGGTGACCCGCGCGCTGGACTCTCGGCTGCGTCTTCGCTGCTGCGTCGAGCGCTGCGTGCCCTGGCCCGCGGCGAGCGCCCGGGGCTCGCGGAGGGGTGCCGCGCAGGCGAGTGGTGCTTCGGTGAGGCGTCGAGCCCGCGAGGGGCCCTGCTCCAGGAAGAAGTGGGCGTGGTCGTGCGCGCCGGCACATGCGAAGAAGTGGTTCTTGCTTCGCTCGGCTTCGCGGGGGAGTTCCGGGGGCTAATGCGGGCGAACGGCGCCTGAATAGGAGAGGAGCTGCTTGGCCCGTCGCCGTTCGCCGCGTACTGGGCGTACGCGGAAGCGAAGGCTCGGACCGAGGAGCTCGACGTGTCCTGCTGCAGCTTGGCGCTCATTCCTGCTCCGTATCCCGGCGGCCAGATCGCAGTAGCGGCGGGCAGCATTTCGACCAGGCCACCTCGTGGCCGCCCTGGGGAGGCACCACGCGCCGCGGACACACGTTCCGAGACGCTCTATCGCCCAGGTAGTGACTGAAGGTGGTACACAGACGGTCGGGTACGCCTTAGCGCGCCGAACGGTGCCGGAACCAACGGGTGCAGTCAGCGAGCTTCAAGCGCCGCCGATCCGCTGCCACCTGCGGTCTTCCCGTGTTACGCGCTGCCCCGAACGGACGCGTCGCGATATGTGCACGCACCGCGGCGTCTCCGGGCGAAGTGCCGCACCGTGCGCCGCCAACGCCCCCATGTGCCGCAACCACCACCCGCAGTCAGCAAACAGTCCCGCCGCGTCGCGCCGGGAACGTGCCGACACGAGCCGCGGCGCGCGCGGCAGCGGCTGGCTGGGTCCTGGCGTTACGGCGGAGAGTTCGTTGCGTCATGCCGCGGGCGGTCCGTGGGGCGCGATGCTCGTGTTGCGGCTTCAACTGGATCACACATTCGCGGATCACCGCGCGGCGGAACACGCCGCGTCCGCCGGCCCTCATACGTCGTCGAAGTCAAACACCCCCAGGAACGGCTCCGTGATGTCCAGCACCACGTCCCCCACGTGCAGCGCCTCCATCTCCAACCTGCAATCAAAACACCCCAGCGGCGCGCGGTCTCGCCCATTCCCTCACCGCTCGCGCGCAGCAGCAGGCGGCGTCCATCGCGCGCGGTGCCGCGGGCCGTCCGCACCTGCGCGCCTGCGCCTGTTCGAGCGCGAACCCGGTGAAGTTCTGGCAGATGAGACCAGTGGTGCCGGGGAGCTCCGGGGTGGCGACGAGCCACGGGTTCGGCCACGGGTACTGCGGGAACGCCGCGCGCTTCTCGTCGTAGAACTCTTGCTCCTGCGCAGCGGACACGAGCAGCGGAACGGCGCGTTGGCACAAAGTGTGTGTTGGCGACGCCGCGCGTACTGGCGGGCCGTGTCACCGCTGCGGCGGGCCAACGCGAGACAGATTGATAGATAGTTGGATGCGCACCTCGACGGTGCCCGGGAGCGGCTTGAGTTCGGTCTGGTTGGTGTTGGGCAGGATGAGGAGGGCGTTGCGCGGGCCGCCGATGACGTTCACCGCGGGCGTGCCCGACGCGGTCGCGAGCCTGAAGGCACCGACGAACCCGATGCACGCCTGCGTGCGCACGACGGTCGTCCCCACGCGCACGGACGTCCTGATAGACCCCCCCTTGACGTCGTCGAGGATCACCGCCGGGTCGCCGCCGTTCTCGGCGCCCTCCGAGTCCACGGTGATCTCCCCCGCGACGAGCTCGCAGACGAGCACGTCCTTGCGGTACGCCTCCTCGCGCGGGAACCCCTCGGTGAACACCGAGCGCAGCTGGCAGTTGCCGTCCGAGGAGAACAGCGCCACGTCCGACGCGCGGATGATCGCGCCGTCCGCGCGCCCCTGGAGGAACACCACGTGCGCCGACAGCTTCGAGGCCTCGATCAGCCCCGTCGAGGTGTTGAGGTTGATCCGTTGCGCCGACAGACCTCCCACGGTGATGTCCCCGATGTCGTTCAGGACGGACACCTCCTTCAGGCTCGCGTCGAACATCGACTCCTCCACCGTGACGTGCGCCTGCGGGACGGCGGGCGCGGCGGCGGCGTCAGCGCCGGCGAGGGGCCTTTCCACAGACTGGGCACGCGTGCAGGCACAACAGGCGGTCGGCGCGCAGGGGGCGTCCGGCTGGGGGGAATCTCGCTGACCTTGGGCGCCTCGATGGTGAGGAGGGTCTCGTCGAGGAGGCACGCGGCGGGGACGAGCACGACCACGTCGGCGCGCGTGCACGCCAGCTGGCCGTCGTTCTTGTTGTTGGTCTTCGACTCGAGCAGGAGGTCGTACCAGGTCTCCGTGCGGTTGAACTTGCCCACGCCCGTGATCACCTGGACCGGCGTGAGCTCCATGTCGGTGATGGCCGTCAGCTTGCTGCGGTCGCGCGCGCGGTTAGTCACCTCGAACTCGACGCGCGTCGCGGCGGGGTCCGGGTGCGCGCGGACGGTGTACGTGCCGTACCCCGACGTGAGCTTGATCTCGCGGAGGCGCGGACCGCGGACCTCGAGGTTCTGCGGGCGGCGGGGGGCCGTGGGCGCGGGTGACGCGAGGTGGAGGGTGGGGCGAGGCGCGCTGCGTGCAAGATTCGGCGTGGGCGCCGCCCGTGGGTGGACGAGGGTGTCGCGGTGGCTCGGGCAGGTGTTGCGTGCGGGCGCGGACCTTGCTGGACGTGAACAGCCCTTGGTTGGAGCCGATCTGCTGGGTCGTGTTGCCGACGAATATCCCTGTAGACGCGAGGTCGATGTTATATATGAACGTCTCCGTCAGGGAGAACTGCGGGAACCGACAAAGCTCCGCCCGTTCGAGAAAGATGGCTCCGACAACGGTCACCGCCACCATTCCGAGGCCTAGGATGACCAAAACCGCCGCTATCGTCCGCGCTATCCGCTTCTTCTGTCTCTGCAGAACACAAGGGCCAAGGTCCGGTGCATCAGAGCGCGCAGTTCGGTCCCAGGCGGCCACCAGCGCCGGTCCACTGCCCCACGCGCGCATGGTCTCCTCGCGTGCGCACCTGCAGCGCGGCCCACGACCGCTTCATGGCCCGCGCGACGTCCCCTCTGCGCTTCTGTCGCAGGTCCGACACCCCCGCGTCCCGCTTCTCGTACGTGTCCGCGAACTCGGCGCCGCGCTGCCGTGTGCTGGCATGCGTCTGCATCTGGCGCTGCCGCACCGCCCCGAGCCCCGGGCCCGCCACCATCCCGACCTCGCCGAAGAGACGGAGCGCAGCTCGAGCGGAAAACCACAGCCTCGGTGGGGCGCCCCGCCGACGGGGGTCGTGCTCGGCGCGGGTGGTGCGCTTGAGCGAGCCCAGGCGCGGCCCAGCGGCAGCTACGGAGCGCTACACGCGCTGCGAGTGCGTGAGTGAGGTGCACTGCTGTCTTGGAATCACGCCTACTGCTGCACGGGGCGGCGTCACGGCCTCAACGTCATCTGGGAGACGAACACGAGCTGCGCGGAGCGTCCTTACGCAGTGCTGTGGTACGTCTCTTGTGGGGCTTGTAGCGGTTCCAGACACAACGCGCACAGCAGCGGCCAACCATGCGCGGCGTCGCTGGCGCCCCGCGCCCTCGTGCCCGCGACGCGCATCGCGGCGACTGAGTCAAGTCGGACCGACTCCAGGGGGGGGTCGCTGAGTGTCCCCGGACCGTCCGCACACGCGCCCGGCCGATCCGATGATCGGATCCAGCGCCGCCCGCACGTCGAGCTCGATGCCGCTCCCGGGCGACGACCGCGCACGCGAGCTCCCTGGCGTTGCTGATTGCTGCTGTCCGTGCGGCGAGCTGACTGTGCCGGTGACACCGGACACGCCTCAGCGGCCGCGTGGCTGTCGATGCGACGTCCTGCGGCACGACTCACACCCTCCTGTACCCCCGCGGCCTCTGCTGCCTTCGTGCGCTGTGACAGGCTAGCGACCCGCTTACCGCCGCCTCGCCACCCGCGCCCCGCCCCTCACCTTCTCGTCGCCCTCCGAATTCCCCTCCGCCTCCCAGGCCCTCACATTCACCACCGTCCCTCTCCCGTGGACGTACAGCCCGTACTTCTCATTGTCGCGCATCGAGACGCCCCGAAGGCATGCACGCGCGCCGTTCTCCACCTCGGCACCGTTCTTTTCATTCGCGTCGCACACCACCCCGTCCGCCTCCACCTTGGTGCCAGCGTCAAAAGCGCAGAGTCCGGCCCCCACGTTGCCGCTCAGCTGCCCGCTCACGTGCAGCTTCGCACCCTGCTGCGCACACGCGCCGTCGATGCCGTTCCCCTCGCACACCACGCCTGCCGCCCACACCTCCGTGCCCTCGCCCTTGGCAAACACGCCGCACTCCTTGTTGTGACTGAGCCGCCCGCTTACGTGCAGTCTCGCACCCTCCGCCGCACCCGCGCCGTTGGTAGCGTTCCCGTCGCACCGGACGCCGACCGCCCACACCTCCGTCCCACCGCCGACGGCATACACGCCGCAGTCCTTGTTGTTGCACAGCTCTCCGTTCACGTGAATTGTCGCACCCTTCTCCGCACACACGCCGTTGTAGCCGTTTGCCTCGCACACCGCATCCCTCACCCACACCTCCGTTCCCGTGTCGCTGCTGGCCGCGCCGCGCCCCCCGTTGCTGCACAGCTGCCCCTCGCTCACGTGCAGCTTCGCCCCCTCGTTCGCAGCCGCGCCGTGCATCCGATTCTTGTCGCACATCGTGGAGACAGCCCACACGTCCGTCCCCTCCCCCTCCACCAGAAGCCCGTCCCAGCTGTTTCTCACCACCTCGCATCCCCACAGCGTCACCTCCGCGCCCCCCACCGCCTTCACCCCCCCACAGCACGAATCGTCCTTGTTCTTCAACCCCACCTCGCCGCCCTCCGCCCCCTGCCCCGCCCAGCCCCCGTCCACACGGCACTGCGCCATCCGCACGCCCCGCGCCCCGCTCACCCGCACCAGCGCCTCCACCCTCCTGCCCCCCTTCAACACGCCCCCACGCACCACAGCCACCCGGTCCAAACACGTCCCGCTCGCGCCCGCATGCACCTCCACCGCCACGCCCCGCAGCACGCCGTTCCGCAGCACCACCCTCTGCATCAGCTCCACCACGCTCCCCTCCCCCACCACCGTCCGCCCCCCCAGGTCCACCACCCCCCCGGGGCTCTTGGACGCGATCAGCGACCGCAGGTCGTCCAGCGTGAGCTCGCCCGCGTCGCCCGCTCCCACGCCAGTTTGCAGACCAGCGGTCTCCGCCCGCTCGTCCCGCATCTCGTCCAGCCCTTCCTCCTCTTTGACCAACACAGTCCCCGCGTCTCCGCCGTTGACGCGAGCGCGCTTCGCGCGGCGTGACGGGCCCGCGCCGTCGCCCGAGGCGGCTGGCATGGTGGCTCGTGTGGCGGCCTGCTGCGCCCGCCGATGTGTGTCAGTGATGCGCGTGCGACCTGCGCCAGGACAGGTTGGTGCAGATGTGTATCATCGAACAGGCGCCCGAACGGCAATGTCGTGAGCTTTCCGTGGTATTCACGGCATCCACGTCATATGAGAGTACCATGCACGCCGAGCCGTGGTCACCAACGCCACAACGGCGCCGCAAGACCAGCCCAGGCGCAGAGCGGCCCACGGCCCGCGCATACGTCGCTGTGACGCACGCATGCATCGTGCTCGGCGCATCTCAGTGCTCTCGTGTACACAGCCATACCTGCACGCACCCGTCGCACGCACAAACGACCGCCCGCGGCCGTATCACGGCCTGTTGTCTGCACCGCACTGCTCTCTCGCGAGACCGGCCTCGACGCAGTCGTATTGGCAGGTTGGTTGCCGCGCTGTGGTGACGGAGGACATGCACAGAGAGCGCCCATGACGCCGCGCCTCTGCGAGCAGCAGTAGTTTGGACGCACGGGACAGTCCTGGGACGTCTTCTGACGCCCCCGCACGCGGTGTACGGGCGCACTGGCGCGTGCCGGTGGTGCCGCAGGGTCGGCCGCGCCGTGTGCTTCCATCGAGAAGCTCCATGGTACATGCGTACCAGCGCCGCGTTGCACGGTGCACGAGAAGCGGGAGGGCAACCACATATTCTCTATTGAACCCGGGCCCCCCGGAAACACAGCGATCGAGCAGTCTCAAGTGTCGAGGTGTCGACCACGGCATGAGCGCGCAGGCGAGGACGCTGTGGGTCTGCAGCCCTCACCAGCAGGCGCAAGCCACCTCTGCTGCGTCACGCTCGCGCCATGCTCTGCAGGGAACAGCCGCAGCTCCCCCGGGTTGCTCGTCGCACCGGCGGGTGCGATGCTGCGCTCAGACGGCAGATCGACGTGCCTGACAAGCACTACGCGACGCCGCAATCGCGCCCCGCGCCTCCTCGCGTCCCATCGACTGTGGAGGCTGTTTGAGTCGCATCGTCCAGTGCCCTGTGCTCAGGACGAGGCCTCCAGGGGTGCAGCGGAGGCTCCTTGCGGGTCGCTTGCGGGCCGCTTGCGGCGAGGGCGCCCCAGTGAGTAGGCACTTTTGAGAACTTTGACGCTTCGTGCCCCAGTGAAGCCGAAATACGCTCCTGCTGCAGAGCACAGAAACTGGGTCCTGTGGCGTCGTGTTCGGCGCCGTGCTTGGGCTTGCCGTGCACCGAGGTGCGTCTACGATATTGATTGCGCTCGAACGTCCGTCGTTCACGCCGTGCGCGGCGTCCTACGGCGAAGATGCAGGCCGGCTTTGCTTCATCATCCTAGGCGACGAAAACCGCGCACACTGTGCCCCTGCGAAGCAGGTTTCACCCTCAACGCCTGAAAGACGATGTCATACAGCAATGATGTCACGGGAGGCTCGCATTTTGCGGAGATTTCGTGGGAAGACAGCCAACTCTGCCGCGCGCTGCGGGAGGCGCCCGTCCTCCTGGACTGGTTTCCATCCGGTGTCAAGGTGGACCTCGCGGCAACATGCTGGGGTGCGCTTGAGCTGGTGCTGCGGGACACCCGGGCGGTGCTCCGGGTGCACCCGGCCGACCCGGTGCTGGCTGGTCTGACAAAGCGGCTGACGGGGGGGCCGTGCGCGGGACAGGTGACGCTGTGCGGGGTGCGGGTGTCAGCCACGGACGCCTGGGCGCTGCTCGCCGCGTCGCAGGGTCTCGGCTTCGACCTGCCTACCAGCGTCGCTGGCCCGTACTCCGACTTCCAGTACGGGGTCGCGAACAGCGAGGGATGGTCGCGTGCAGCGCTGGATGCCTGGGTCGATCTCGTGCTGACGCTCGCGCTCGCGGGAGAGTTCGGCGATGTACACGTGACGGGGCTCATCGTGCCCACCCCGAGCCACCGCCCGATGGCGACGGAAGAGGCGGAGGCGGTGGCGGAGGTCTTGCGGACGCGCGCGGTAAAAGACAGCCTGCGGTCCCTGAAACTAGCGGGCGAACGAGCGTTCGAGCTGTCCGAGGAAGCCGTCGGGGTGCTGCACGGAGCCATGCGTGGTCTGACCGCGCTGCAGCACCTTTGCAATCTGTGGCCAAGTCGGGCAGGTCTGGTGGACGGGAACAGCTGCCTGACGACGCTCGATCTGAGCGAGATGGAACCGGCACCTCGATTCGGCCCGGCGAGCTGGGGGGCGTTGTTCAGCGCGGTGCAGGAGGCAACGAAACTGCGCAGCCTCAAGCTGCCCGATTGGGCCGACTCCAGTGTCGCGGAAGACGTATGGGGTCTTCCAGCGGGGCTCGAGGTGCTTTGCTTGGAGAGCACATGCCCGTTGCGCTGGTGGGAGGCCACGAACCTGCGCAGCCTGGAGTTTCATCGCGACGTGGAGATGATCGATGATGCTCCTGTCTGGAGACGGCTCGCAGAATCGATTGACCGCAGCAAGAATCTGCGGCGGTTGGTCATCGGCGACGTCGGGTGGCCCGCGGATCCAGGACAGGTGCTCGCGGTCTTCTCGGCCCTGGAACGGAGCAACGTGGAGGAACTGAGCATCCTCTGTCCGTGTCTCGCGTCCCTGGGAGCGACGGCGGCCTTGACGGCAGCGCTCGTGTCGGCACTGCGTGAGATGAACCTCACCTTGATAGATTCCGCGATGCCTAGGTCGCCTCTCAGCCAATATCTCCGTAACCCCGGAACGTGGCCTTTCCCCGGGATGTCGGAGCACCACGTGGTGATGGCCCTGCACGACAAGCCGACCCTACGCGAGCTGCGGCTGGACTGGTCTCGCAGCGAGGGTTTCGGCGCAGCTCTGGGCGATCTGCTTGGTCGCAACACGTCGCTGGTGCGGCTGTACCTTTCGGATGTCCAGTGGACGGAGACGTGGCCCTGCGAGCTATTCCAAGGCCTGAGCAAGAACAGGACGCTGCAGGTCTTGGGAATGAGCGGTTTCTCCGGGGAAGTGTTTGCGGGGTGGGCCAGGGAAAATGTGTTCCAACTGATGGATGCGCTGTACGGCGGAGACCGTCACAATGGCCGCCAGCTGCACACGCTGGAGATAGCATCGGCCCACATCTGCAACGTCGGCGTCGAGCACATCGCAGCTTTCCTGGAGAAGCCGCAATCAAGCAAGCTGCGGAGGCTGGCTCTTTGTGTTTACCTCCTCGAAAGAGGGGCCGCAGCGATCGCGCGAGCGCTGGAGCGGAACTGCTCTCTTGTGTCGCTTGAGCTGGGAGGCCACGTGCAGTGGGCTGGATACCAAAGATTGGCAGCGTCACTGGTGCAGAATACGACGCTGCGACACCTGGAAATCACGAGCGGGCGCGACAATGTCCCGCGGGCACAGCAGCTGGCGAAGCAGCTGTTACATGCGCAGCGGTATGCGGCCGGCCAGAGGCAAAAGCCGGTCTTGCCTGAGCGCCTGTGACGCCCGACCACGCCGATGACGCCGACGCAGCCCTCCGACCACCACCGCTCTGGATTCCCGACGAGCATCGCGTCCAGCCTCCTCTCTGTTGGGTGTGTTCACTCCGCGGACGGCAGCCGGGCGCTGGCACCTCCCGACCTAAACCGCGTCCCATCGCAGCCCGTGGACGGACGAACAGTCGTCGCGGATGTCTGCCGCCGCGTCCACAGCCGCGCGCAGATGCGTGCGGTGCAGCCCGTAGCGCTCGTAGTGGTGCACGTACGCGCCCACGGACATCAGCTCGTCTGCCCGCGTGCACAGCGCTGCAGCCACAGATCGCACTTTGCACGTGTGAGACATCACGGCAGGACACCTCGCCAGCAACACGCGCAGCCGAGTCACGCTGTTGCGTCCGCATCGGCGTCAGCCGGCGCGACGGGTGCGAGGCAGGGCACGAAACACCCACCGTTGAAGTACTGGGCGGTGGTTGACCGGCTGGACGCCACGGTGAGAGCCTGGCCGTAGGACAGCGCCCCGCGGGACGAGCTCGACGACGGCGTGCGCCGCACCGCGCCCCCGCGGCCCGCCGCCGTCTTCGCGTCGGGCGGCACCACCGCCACCGGGCACGTCCTGGACGTCCGCAGCATCGTCTCTGCCCACTCCAGCGGCTTGTTCCCGCTCGCGCGCTCGAACGCCTCGAGCACCGCGCCCGTCCAGAACTCCGCCGCCTCCTTCGGGTCCACCTCGACGTTCTGCGGCCGCGCAAACGCATCGCGGTTGCCAGGGTTCATCGCGCGCACCCTGGTCTTGGCCTTGGGCGCGGCGGGGGGCGGCGGGGCAGCGAGGTCGAGCCCCCACGCCGTGACCACGCTCGCCGCGGACGTCACCGGCACGCCGCCGTCCAGCGCTCGCGGGCCCGCCGACGAGAGCTTGCGCGCCACCTCCGTCCACGGGGCCGCGCTGGCCGCGAGGGGGGTGTACTCCGAGGTGGTGGCGGCGGCGTGGATCTCGAAGAACTTGCACTTGGGGTCCGGAGCGACGTGCGCGATCAGATCCTGCAGGGGGGTGCCGCCGTAACCCCCTGACGCAGGCAGGAGCGTCCCAGCCAGACACGACGCGATGTACTCGTTGACCTCGGTGATGCCCGCGTGGACGGCTGCAGGAAGGACGCGAACCGCAGCGTACGGTGTCTCTCGAGCAGCGCAAGCACGGCAAAAGCAACGATGGTGGGATGCAACGCGCTCGTTGTTGTTGACGCACCCTTGGCGCGCGGTCCGCGCTGCGGCGCGAGCAGGTCGAGCAGCGCGCCGTTGTCGAACATCGCGATGCCGTCGGCGTGCTCCCGCAGCCGCTTCGCCGACAGCGCCACGTTGTACGGCTGCAGGACAGTGTCGCCGCCGATGCGCGGCGCGACGGACGACGCCATCACGAACGCCTTCGGACCGATCGCGTCCCGCAGCGACACGAGCACCCTGGACCCGAGGCCGGACCCCGTGCCGCCGGCGAGGGAGTGCAGCAGCACCACGTCAGGCACTGAGTCAGCTGCCTCTGCCTCCTTGCGGACGGCCTCCAGGGCTCTCCGCACCACGGACCGCTCCTGCACGCGGACGAAGCGACCGGGGTTGCACACGTCAGTAACGCGAGCGTCCTGCGCCGGGGATCGCGCCCTGTGTGGTGCTGAGAGCAGTGACTGGCTCGCTGACGTGGGACCGGCACAGACACGCACCTCTTCGTGGTACTTCAGCTCGCTCTTGATCGCCATCGGCGTCTTCCACGCGGGGCGGTCCGTCAACGCGCCCGCCTCCTCGCGCCAGACCGGGTCGCGTGGCTTCACGTGCTCGTACCCTGCGGCAGAACAGACACGTGACGCCAGCGGTTCGCGCGAGGCTTGTGAACGCGCCGATATGGCCGCGCTTCCTGCGCCTGAGCGTCAGCGCTGTGGTTCTGGACCGGCACGGGGCGCACCGAAGAAGCCGAACGCCCAGTTGTTGCCGCGCCCGTGGTGGCACGTGGCGACGCGCGTGGGGTCGAGCAGGTTGCCCGCGGGGCCCAGCATGCACTGCTCGACGACCTTGGGCTCCGTGTCCACCATCACCGCCCTGGCATGCAGCTTGCCCCTGCACACAAAGATCATCGCACCACAGCGACGCTCATGTCGCGTTGCTGGCTCTCTGCGGCCGCCACGCCGATCGCATAAACGCGCGAACGCGAGCGTCTGCTGCGGATGGGCGTCGCGGTGCGTGATCAGCGCGTTGGTTGCGATGGCACAAGCGGCGTGCCTGCTGTCCTCGCGCAACAAATGCCCCACGTCGTCCGGTCCCAGGCCCGCGCCGCCGTCACCGACGATGCTGTTCTGGACACGCTGCCAGAAGGCCTCGCCCACCTGCGGGAGCAGGTGTGCCGTCATGCAACGGCTGAGTTGCTTTGTCCAGTCGAGGCGAGCAACGGTTCGGATGCAGTCGGCGGGGGAGTATGTCGACGCGCACCTGGTTGCCGCACTGGCCCACTTGGATGAAGATCGTCGCGCTCATCCTCAGCCCGGCCGCCCGCCCGCGTGAGGTCTAGCACGTTGACGATGCTATCGCAGCATATCGCACGGAGATATATGGGCGTCCGTGGGCCGACTGGCGTGCTCTCAAGACGGCGCTTGATCGATAGCGTGCCTGGGCCGAGCTTCCAGAGCCCCCAGGGCGCGCGTTCCGACCCGCCCAAGCAACAGCTCCTGGCAGGGGCCGCGCGTCGCCTGTCGGTTCTCCCGCCCCGCGCGGCCGCTGGATCCGATCAGGCCCGACGCACTGCTCCTACGGCGCGTGGCGCGCAGGGACAGCGTTCAGCTGCCCCCCGGGCTGCGATGCGTCGTGCCCGAGACAGCGCCGATTCTCTCGCAGGTGCCCGCCGCACAACAGCCGCTGTCAAAGCGCGGGAGCCCGTCAGATACGTCTGCAGTGCACGCGTGACCCGCCGGGGCGCGACTGTCAAGTCGCGGGAGCCGCTGGGAGGCGTACCGTGTGTCGCGCGGGCGTTCTACTTCGCGTCCCCCCTGCAGCATATGTGCGGGCTCAGCGACCGGAAGCGGGCCAGTTACGTTGACCTGGCGCTCAGGTGACGTTGCAAGAACTACCTCGTCCCGATGCTCCTTCGAAGCGCTGCCGCGGCCCGCTGTGTCCCTACCGCTGGCCCCGCCTCTCGCCGCGCGCTCTCCGGCAGCCTCTCGACCCGCGGGCCCTTCTCGGCGTCTCTCCAGACCCGTGCTAGGCAGTCCGTCATCTCTATGGGCTTCTTCGACTTCCTGAAGCCAGGTGCGGACCAGCCTCTGGCCCACAGCGCCATGAGCGCGCCCCCACAGCCCGCCGCGGAGCGGAGCGGCCGCGCGAGACCCTCCACGTACTGCCACGACAGTTGCGACCGTGTCCGTGGGCCGAGACCGCCGCCTGACCGCCGCCATGCGCGGCGCGTCGACGTCCTGCTGGAAGCCACTCGCTGCCCTTCCCGAGGCCCTAGCTTGTTGCCGCGCACACCGCGCCGCACACGCGCCTCTGCGCGCGTCTCTGCGCATCCGCGGAAGCTCCCGTCCATGTCCTACACGCTGCGATCGCTTTCGCGGCCAGCGGCCCCGCGTGGGGCGCGCATCACGCCCGTTTGCACGGCCTGGACCTCGGGAAGCAGGCCGACGCGGCGGTCTTGCGCGCCGTGCGGAGCGGCAGTCCACGCGTCCTCGCCGGCCCGCGCGGCATACAATTCGCGCGCGTCCTCGAGCGCGACGCGCCCGCCGTAGGCACCCGCACGACGCGGCGCGCCGGTCGGGCCAACCTCCACTGGGGCCATCATGGCGCCGCGGCCCCGCGATGCGTCCCTAGAACCAGCCCCGCGCCCCGCAGCGCCTCCGCCGCGCGCGATCCTCACCGGCAGGGCGGCGATCGTCGCGCGTGCAGGGTCCACGAAGAACGTTGAGTCGATGCGGCGCGGGATGGGGACGGAGGCGGCTCCCGAGGCGCCGCCCGACGGGCTCGAGTACGCGACGTTCGCGAGCGGGTGCTTCTGGGGCATCGAGCTGGCGTTCCAGCGCGTGCCCGGCGTGGTGAAGACCTGGGTCGGCTACACTCAGGTAAGCGGGGCGCGAGCAACCACCTGTGCGCGCGGGGCCGCGGGGCGCGCGGACGGGCGCGGGTCGGGCCGCCGCGACGTTCTCACGGATCGCGTTGTGGGATCGCGGCGCAGGGCGAGGTCGAGGGGCCGACGTACGAGATGGTGTGCACCGGGGGCACGGGCCACACGGAGGCGGTGCTGATGACGTACGACCCGAAGGAGGTGTCGTTCGACACGCTGTTCGACACGTTCCTCGCGCGCACGGACATCACGGCGCTGAACCGGCAGGGCAACGACGTCGGCACGCAGTACCGGTGTGGTGTGTACTACCACACGCCGGAGCAGAAGGAGGTGGCCGAGCGGCGGCTGGCGGCGGAGCAGGAGAAGCTCGGGTGCGCGCGCGGATCGCCCTCTGCATGCGTGCGCGGCAGCGGGCCGTTGGTCGCTCGGCGGTGTCGTGCGGCGCCGCTGGCTGGGCCGACGCTCGCGGTGGTCATTCGAGCGGCAAGCGGCACGACCTGGTCGCGTTTGCAGCGACCCTGATCTCACGTTTCGTCCGCGCTCTGCGAAAATCGGGTGCAGGAAGAAGGTTGTTGCGGAGTGTCTCCCCGCCAAGACGTTTTACATGGCCGAGGACTACCACCAGCAGTACCTCGAGAAGGGCGGGCGCATGGGCAGGAAGCAGAGCGCGCAAAAGGGCTGCTCGGACCCCATCCGGTGCTACGGCTAACGCCCTTTTGAGGGCGTCAGCCGTAGCCTCCACGGGCACGGGGGACACCGTCCACGCGGCACAGCGCTGGACGCGGTAGGACGAGCGGGAAGGCACCCGCGTTGTGAGCGACGCGGTCAGCATGCGCCCGTCTGCCATCCGCAGACTGGTGCTCAGACACAGTCGCGGCGCCGCCTCCGGCGGCAGTGTCGGGCGCGCGGCCTTCCCACACTTGTTGCGTGGCGACGTGCCAGTGCCGCTTCGACCTGCGCGCCTCGGCCTGCATCGTGCGGTCCGTGCTGCCGGCGCTGTACATGCGATGCCTGAGCGGTGTTGATGACCCCCCTGCTGCGCAACTCGCTTGTCAGTGGCGCTATCTTTTTCTCGTCTTGTTCCGCGCCGGGTCATACGCCGCCTTGACGGCTCTGAGCCAAGGCGGCAACGCGCAGCTCGATACCTTCGCGCGTGCCCACCCCGCCAGAGCTGCATCGACACGCAGCACATGACGTCGGGCGCGGCCCTGCTCATGTCGCGCCTGGCCGCCCATGCGCGCCTGCATCGCGAGCGCAAAGCAGCGGTCGACGAGGCGGCAGGCGGCCGCGCTGGCCACCCGTTGTCGAAGCCAGTCGGGCAGGGCGCGATGTGACGTCATGTCAGAGGGCCTCTGAGCGGCACTTTGCCGCCTGTGAGTGTGCACGGAGCGTAGAATCCGCCGAAACTATCGGCAGTGGCTTCACTATATCTTCTCCTCTCCTGCAAGACGTTGATTGCGTCACGCGCACGCCCCGACAAGGAGCAGCGGGAGAGAGGATGGCCACCGAGGCAGCGCCCTCGCAGCCCCCCGAGGGGCTCCAGTACGCGACGTTCGCGGGGGGCTGTTTCTGGGGCGTGGAGCTGGCGTTCCAGCGCGTGCCCGGCGTGGTGAAAACGTGGGCGGGCTACACGCAGGCACGACCAACCACAACAACAACCACAACAACAACCACCATGCGGGCCAGCCGAGCACGCGCGGTGTGACGGCAGGCCGCCCTCCGCTGCCGCCCTCCAGAGCGCGACCGACGCTTCGTCATCCACGAGCCAGGTTGCAAGGCACGACCGCGTAGCGTGTTGACGTGCTCCGGGCAGGCGTGGGCCAGCGGAAACTTGTTTCAGGGCGTCGCGCTGGTCCACGCCTTCGCGGAGAACGTCTACACGCTACAAGACCGTGACGTGAAGGCCGGTTGATGGATGACGAAGCGTCGGTCACGCTCGGGAGGGCGGCGCCGGAGGGCGGCCTGCTGTTACACACCAAGATGCCGTTCGCTCCCGACGTCCGGGGTCAACCCGTCCCCCCCCTTCCTTGCGCTGCTCGAACGCCTGAAGCGTAGGCCGAGCCAATTAAAGTACTTTCGTTCAATTGTTTCAACCTGCGCTTCAGGCGTTCGAGTGACTTCTGTCCGCGCGGAGACGCTGCCAGTCCATCTTCGTTCTTGTGCAGGGCCATGTGGAGAGTCCGTCGTACCAGCAGGTGTGCAGGAAGGACACGGGCCACACGGAGGCGGTGCTGATGACGTACGACCCGCAGCAGGTGTCGTTCGACACGCTGTTCGACACGTTCCTCGCGCGCACGGACGTCACGGCGCTGAACCGGCAGGGCAACGACGTCGGGTACCAGTATCGCTCCGGCGTGTACTACCACACGCCGGAGCAGAAGGAGGTGGCCGAGCGGCGGCTGGCGGCGGAGCAGGAGAAGCTCGGGTGCGTGCACGCGGCGAAACACAGCGGTGCCCTGGACCCTCCGATCATCTGCGGCCCGCTCTGTCCGACCGGGCGGCGCGTTGGTGTCGTCACTGCAGGAAGAAGGTTGTCGCGGAGTGTCTCCCCGCCAAGACGTTTTACATGGCCGAGGACTACCACCAGCAGTATCTCGAGAAGGGCGGGCGCGGGTCGTGCCGGAGACAGAGCGCTGCGAAAGGGTGCGCGGATCCTATCAGGTGCTACGGCTGAGTCGACAGTCAACAACAATGCCTCTCAGGCTGCTTTATATATCGTATTATATATATATTGTGAGACTGGCTTGTGCTCGCGGTTTTGCTTGCCCCTGGCACGGCGGATGTCGGACGCCGGCTTGACGCACATCTGTCAGGCCCAACGGCTCGGTTGCACCTCGAAGCAGCCATGTGAAGCCAACAGCCTGTACGCCCCCTGCAAGCTCGAGCGCCGCTCCTCGTGCACAGGCGACATCTTGGCATGGCGGCTGCTGACCGTTCACGATCAGACGGCACTCACGCCCCGTACCTCGATGCTAGCCGGGCCTGTGGTGTTGCTAGCCCACGCCAGAGACGCCGCGGGTCGCCGAGCATTCACCGTCGCTCTCGCTGCCTGACTGCCATGTTAGCGCGACAAAAGCACGAGAGGAAGCGGAGCAGGGACGAATGACGGGCCCGGCGGGCCGTTGTGCGCGCGGGGGGACTCGGCCGCTCCAGGCGCGCCACGAGCATGACCGTTGCGGCGACCCCTGACGCAGGTACCGCGCTCCCGCGCATCATTGGCAGCGGACGAGGTCACTCGAGGCCAGCAGCGGGCGTTGCAGCAGTTGCAGGCCCGCAACAAGGCGAACGCGTCGCCCGAGACAACAGCCCGCGGAGCTGCGTGAGCCAAATTTGAAAGCGCGGCTTTCCTGCGCCAGACACAGGGCGTGCGAGCACGCGAACCGCCGCTTCGACACGCAGAGCTCCCGGCCGAGGCAGCGCGCGTCCGATTCAGAGCTCGCGGGAGCCGCTGGGGCCGTCGCGCCTGTGCACGGCTGGGCGCGAGCACCGAGCGAGCGGACACCATGGCCGCCCCTTCGTCCGCGGTCGAGGATGCTCGGCAGCTCGTGACCAAATGCGGCGAGCTGGAGTCGCAGGTGCGTGCCCCAGACGACCAGCCAGGCCCTCCCTCCCAATCAGGCAGCTCCGACCGCGGCAGCTCGCCTTGCGTGGCAGCCTGCAACGGCTGGGACCGCCCGCACATGCACGACACTTCGTCGAGGACGCCATCACGTCGGCGACGTCGATGGAAGTCACGCGATCAGCGCGGCCGGGGCTCGGCCACTCCTCGTGCGTTGAATGCCACGGCTCGCAGCGCCCGTGCAGAGCGGGAACGTCCGCCTCCGACGCCCATTTCATCCGAGGCGAAGGACATCATACCATGTTTGCCCAGCAGTGTCCCTAAGCGGTTGTTTTCCTTCGCCGCGACCCTCTGTGCGGCCTGAGATCGCTTGTTGCCCACACCCACCTTCTCCCGGCCCGTCCCTCGGCTACGGTGCCCGTGCAGTGGGACAAAGCGCTGTCGAAGGACGCTGAGCACTCGGACGAATCCTCGCTGGACTTCTCTCCGTCGGAAACCCCGTCGCCGGCGAGCATGGCGCCCCGACCCCGCCTAATGGCACAGCCTCTCGCGGAGGCCTTCCCGCCGCACCAGGGCGACAGCCTGCCGCCGCTCCTCATGGCGCCGGGCACAGTCGCGTTCCAGCCCGCTTCCAGCTCGCGGGCGCGGACAGAGTCGCCCCTGCCGCTCCCCCACGACCCACCGGGCCTGTCCAGCGGCCCGGGCGTCGCGGCGGAACTCGAGCGACAGATCTTCGACCGCACCTCCGTCGAGGCCAAGATCGGCAAGGCCCGCGCCGAGCTCCGCAAGGCACGCCCCCCCTCCCCGCGCCCCCAGCCCCACGCGCCCGGCGTCTTCAGCACGCGGCACGTGCAGACCCACCGCCCGGCGACCCCGCGCAGGTCACGGACGAGGTCGCGGAGGCCAAGGTGGCCCTCGCGAAGGCCGAGGGCGAGCGGCAGGCGGCCCTGAAGGCGGCGACGTTCTCGGCGATCCGCGAGCAGCTGGAGCAGGAGCGCGTGGCGGTGGCGGAGCAGGAGGCGGCGTTCCAGGAGCGGTACGCGGAGGTGGCGGAGAAGGAGCGGGCGGCGGAGGAGGCCCGGCGGCGCGCGGGGGAGGTGGTGGCGCGCGAGACGTCGCTGCGGGCGGGGGAGGAGGCGCTGCGGGAGCGCCGGGCGGAGCTGGAGCGGTCCGTGACGGCCATGGAGCTCCGCAAGGCCGAGGCAGGCGAGTGATGCGCGCCGCGCTGGGCGCGGTCGCTGGTCGCGTGTCGCTTCGCGGCGCGTGAGATCGAGGAACGGATATTGATTGAGATTGGGTGTGTGTTGTTGTTTTGATGTGTTCGCAGAGCGGCTGCTGGAGCGGCAGCGGCGGCAGGAGGCGCTGCTGGACCAGCGCGAGGCGGACCTGCGTTCGCGGGAGCAGCGCGTGCAGGAGGAGGAGGCGGCGGTGTCGCGCGGGCTGCGGCGGCGCGAGGAGGCGGCGAGCGAGGAGCTGGCGCTGCGGGACCGCGCCGCGGAGCACGAGGCGCGCGTGCAGAAGCTCGGCGCGGAGGAGCAGGGGCTGCTGCAGCGGGCGAGGCAGCTGCGGGCGGACGTCGAGGAGCTGCAGGGCAGCAAGCGGCAGGCCGTGCAGGCGGAGCGAGACGCGCTGACGGGGCTCAAGGAGGCGCGGCGGGCGGCGGAGGCGGCGCTCTCGCAGGTGCGATGGCCCACGCGCGGCCGGGAGGGGAACCGAATGAAAGGGTGGAAACGGTGTCGTGTTTCGGTGTTTGATGATGACATGCGATTGCGAGTGTCTTGTTTGGCTGCAGGCGCGGAGCGAGGTGCAGTCGGTGCGCGCGCAGTACGAGGAGGGCATGCGCGAGCTCGAGGCCATCTCGGCCGAGCGCGACCGCTGGCGCCGGGAGCGCGACGCGGCCGAGAGCGCGGCGCGCGACGCGGCGGCGGCCACGCGCCGCGACCTGGACGCCCGGCAGGCCAAGCTCGACGCGGACCGCCAGAAGTACGAGCGCGAGCTGCGCGCCCGCGAGGAGCAGATCGCGGAGGCCCGCCGCGACCACGAGCTCGCCGTCGCGGAGGAGGACGCGCGGCTGGTGCGCGAGCAGGCCACGATCGACGCGCAGCGCGAGTCGCTCAAGGCGACCGCGGACGACCTCACCCGCCGCGAGCGCGACCTCCTCGACCGCGAGAACACCGTCGCGGCGCGCGACCACGAGGGCGGCGCGCGCCTGCGCAAAGCCAAGAAGCTCGAGGCGGACCTGGAGGCGCGGGAGCGCGCGCTGGCGGAGCGGGAGACGGAGGCGGTGGAGGCGCTGGCGAAGGAGCGCGCGTCGCACGCGGAGGCGGTGGCGGAGCGCCGCGAGCTGCTGCAGGACTGGGAGCGGCGGCTGTCGGCGCTGCAAAAGGACCTGGGCGCGGCGCGGAAGGTGGTGGACGAGCGCGACGCGCTGCTCGTGGCCAAGGACCGAGGGCTGCAGCAGGAGGCCGGGGCGCTGAAGATCCGCGAGGCGGAGCTGGCGTCGCGGGCGGGCGAGGTGGAGAAGCGGGAGCGGCGCGTGCGGGGCCTGGAGGAGCGGGCGGAGCGGGACGCGGAGGCGGCGCGCGGGGTGCGCGCGGAGCTGGAGCAGCGCGAGGACGCGCTCGCGCAGGCGGAGCGGCGGGCGGCGGCCAAGGAGAAGGAGCTGGGGGACCTGCGGCACGAGCTGGGGCGCAAGGAGGCGGCGCTGGGGCGGCGGGAAGGGACGGTGGGGGACGCGGAGAAGGTCGCGAACGAGGCGAGGGAGAAGCTCGAGAGGTGCGCGCGCGCGGCGGCCGTTGAAACGCAATCTTCTCCGTCAATCCATGTTTCCCGATTTATCGTTCCATGGAATTGATTCCATTCCTCCTCGGCGACCGATCGCGCGCAGGGCGGCCGAGGAGATCACGGGGCGCGAGAAGGCGGTCCTGGAGCGCGAGCGCGCGGCGGAGCGCATGCTCGAGGCGTCGGCGCAGTGGGAGCGCGACCGCCTGAGTCAGGAGGCGGAGCTCAAGGCCCTCGAGAAGCGCGCGACCGAGCAGGCGGAGCGCGCCGAGGCGGGCGTGCGGAGTCTGCGCGAGGCGCAGGGCGCGCTGGCGGCGATGGACGCGGCGGTGGCGAAGCGGGAGGCTGCGGTGGAGGACACGTGGCGGACGTACCGCGCACAGGCCCGGAAGCGCACGGCGGAGGCGGAGGGCGCCGCGGGGGAGGCGCGCCCGCTGATGCAGGCGCTCGAGGCCCTCAACGGTGCGCCCGAGACTCCCCGCCCCTCCGTGCTACCTTCTTTCTTTCGTGAAAACAGCATTCTGGTGAGACATGGCACCCACAGTGTTCGGCGTGTTGCGTGTGTGCAGGGATCCTGGACGAGATGGGCGGTGTGCAGGGGCGCGTCGCGGGCGGCCCGACCGTCAGCGAGGTGCTCGACCCGGCAGGTGCGGGCGGCGGCGCGCCGTCGCGGTGGACGCCGGAGGAGCAGGCGGTGGCGCTGCAGGCCGCGCGGGCGCGTCTGACGGAGCGCGAGAGCCGGCTGCAGGCGTGGGCGATGGCGGTGGAGCTCGAGGCCGCGCAGGCGGTCAAGGCGATCGACGCGCTGCGTTCGCGGGAGGCGGCGTGCGCGGATGTGGCAGCGCGCGCCGAGGGCACGACGGCGGAGCTGAACGCGCGGCAGCGGCAGCTCGAGCACCGCGAGGCCGAGGCGGCGCGCAACGAGGCGCACACGCAGCGCCTCGCGGACCACGTCGCGTCCCGCGGGCGGCAGCTCGAGGAGCGCGAGGGGATGGTGGTCGCCGCAGAGGAGCGCGCCCGCGCCCTCGAGGCGGCGCTCGGGACGCGCGAGGCCGAGACGATCGAGCGCGAGAAGTTCGTGCGCGACAAGCTCGCGCGCGCGGAGGCGCTCGCGGAGCAGCAGCGCGAGCTGGCGAAGCGCGAGGCGGAGCTGGCGGACAAGACCGCGCGCGTGGAGGCCGCGGAGGAGCGCGCGCGCTTCGAAGAGCGGCGCTGGAAGGACGCGCGGGCGGACCTCGAGCGCGAGCGCCGCGAGGCGCAAGAGCGCGCGGCGGCGGTGGAGGCCAAGGAGCGCGCGCTGCGGGTGCGCGAGGGCGAGCTGAGCGACCGCGCGGAGGAGGTGGAGCGGCTCGCGGTGGAGCTGAACACGCAGGGGCGGGCCGCGGACGCGCGCGAGGCCGCCGCGGTGCACGAGGCGGAGGTGCTGCGCGCGCGCGTGGCGGAGATGGAGGAGCGGCTGGCGCGCGCGGACGCGCTGGTGGCGGACGAGATGGAGCTGGGGTCGCTGCGCGCGGAGGTGGAGCGGCGCGGGGCGCGGCTCGGGGAGCTCGAGGAGGCGCTGGAGGGCCGCGAGCGGGCGCTGCGGGCGGCGGAGGCGGAGGTGGCGGCGGCGGGGCGCGGGGGAGGCGGCGCACGCGGCGGAGGTCGAGGTGCGGAGGCGGGTCGCGGCTGTCGAGGAGCGGGAGCGCGCGGTGGAGCTGGCGGCGGCGGACGCGGCGGGCGTCGAGGCGCGCGCGCAGCGGGTCGCGCGGGACGCGGCGGCAGCAGCGGAGGACGCGCGGGCGCTCGAGGCGTCGGCCGCGGCGCGCGGGCGGGCCGTCGAGGAGCAGCTGCGCGCGCTCGACGCGGAGAAGGAGCGGCTCGAGGCCGCGAAGTCCGAGCTCCGGATCGCGGAGGACCGGCTCGCGATCGAACGGGAGAGGCTGGAGGGGGTTGAGGAGGCGTCGAGGGGGCTGGAGCGGCGGGAGAGGGGGGTCGGGGAGCGGGAGGTGGCGCTGCGGGAGGCGGAGGCGCGGCTGGAGGAGCAGGCGCGGGCGATGGAGGGCGCGGCGGCGGACCTGCGGGGGCGCGAGGCGGCGCTCGAGAGGGACGCGGCGGAGGCGGTGCGGGCGCGGCGGGAGGCGGAGGCGGCGGAGCGGGCGCGGGACGCGGCGGAGGCGGAGGCGCGGGAGCTGCGGGGCAAGGTGGCGCAGCTGCGTGCGGAGCGGGAGGCCGCGGAGGAGGGCGTGCAGGACGTGGAGCGGCTGCGCAGGCGGCAGGAGGGCATCCAGGTGCGCGGCGGGGGCTCTCGCGGCGCGGTAGCGTCGTGCACGGGCGTGATGCTGTCTGCGTGCTTGGCGATCTGGTTTGGCTCCGGGTCGGAGAAATGACGCCAAATTTGGTTGGTGGCGCGAAAAAGCAAATTGTGCGTGCAGGAGCGGTCGGTGGCTGCGCGTTTCTGTAGATGCGGGTGCAGACGCGCGTGCGTGTGTGTGCGGTGACGTGCAGGAACGGGAGCGGGCGCTGGCGGTGCAGGAGGAGGCGCAGCGTGCGGGGGCGATGGACCTGGCCGCGCGCGAGCGCGAGCTGTCGGAGTCGACGTTGCGGCTGGAGGAGGAGGTGCGGCGGCTGCACGACGACCGCCGGGCGGCGGACCAGCGCATCGCGGAGATCGAACATCGCGCGGTGAGCAAAGATTGGCTCCCGCATGTCTGGATGTGTCGTCCTGCGCTGACATCATGATGTCCTCCGAGCTCGTGCATCGCTTGGCGATGAGCATGACATGGATGGCCGTCGGTGATTCGGACGTGTTCATCGCGTGTCGTCGCAAGTCCTCTCCATGACACGCCCGACCCAATCTTTGCTCTCTCGCAGGAGGCGCTCGCCCGCGCGGAAACCGCGGCCGCCGAGCGCGACCGCGAGGCGCGTCTGCTCCTCGAGCGCGCCGAGCGGCAGCAGGAGCGCGCCACCAAGTCGCAGCAGGCCGTCGACCTCGCGCACACCGAACACGCACACGCGGGCGAGCGGCTCGCCGCGGAGCGCGCCGCGCTGGCCGCGGAGCGCGAGGACCTCGTGCGCGCGCGCGATGCCGCCCTCACGGACGCCGCGGAGGCCCGGCGGCACCTCGAGGTCACCCGCGTCGAGGTGGCAGCGCTGCAAGCAAAACTGCAGTCGCAGGCCGACGAGAGCGAGCGGCGGCTCGCGCGGCTCGAGACCGAGCGCGCAGACCTCGAGCGGCAGCACCGGGAGCTAGCGGAGGAGTCGCGGGCCGCGGCGCGGACGGTTGACGCGGAGATGGCAAAGGCGAAGAAGAAACTAGAAAAGAAGCAGCGGGAGCTGGAGGAGGGGCAGCGGCGGGTGGCGATGCAGGCGGAGGAGGTGCGGGCGTCCGGTGCGGCGCTGATGGACGCGCACCGGCGCGCGCAGGAGCTGCAGGGCGCGCTGGAGGCGCGCGAGCAGGCGGTGGCGCGCGCAGAGGCGGAGCTGGGCGCGCGCGTGGAGGCCGTGCAGGGGGACGCGGCGCAGATCGCGGAGGCGAAGCGGGAGGCGGAGGTGCTGCTGGAGACGGCGCGGAAGGCGGCGGCCGCGCAGCAGCAGCCGGGCGGGCAGGGCAACGGGGCACGCCCCCCGAGGGACCCGCGGCTGGCGCCGATTCCGGCGACGACGGGCGTGGATAGTTTCTTCAGCGAGGGGCCGAGCCAGGCGGTGCCGCGGAACCTGAGCCACGAGCTGGCCGCGGCGGGGGCGCGTGGCGCGGCGGGGGGGGTGTCGGTGCCGGCATCCGACAGCGGCGGGTCGGCGCCCGTGCCGTCGACGAAGCGGCGCTCGCCCAGCGAGCGGCAGCTCGAGCGTCTGCGGTCGCTCGCGTCGTCGGTGGTGGGCACCGGGGAGCGCAGCGCGACGAAGCTCAACCGTCTGCGGGGGGTGTTGGACCGCCGCGCGGGGGGGGAGTCCTCGGACCGTCTGGGGTCTGACCCGCGCGTGGACCTGCTCCGGGAGCGCTGGGAGGACCTGCGGCGCGAGCACGAGCGGCTGCAGGCAGACGAGCACAGGTTTGCGAGGGAGATCGAGGAACAAGGTCTGACGGGGGAACTCCAGCTCATGAAGGACAAGCTCGGGCGCGTGCAGCGGGCGCGCGCGGACTGGGAGGCGAGGTACCGGTCCCTGCTGGGGACGGTGACGGCGATGCAGGAGGCCGCGCTCGAGGAGTCGATGGCCCTTTAATCGATCGTATGGATCGACCTCCGATATGACCAATACAATACAAGACAACGCACATCTTCACGTGGTGTCGGCAGCGAGGCGGCGAGGTACGGCGGAGTTGGCTGTGACATGCATCACACGCCCGAGTCTCGCCGCGCAGGCTGCTGCAGCCCCGCACCTCACCGTTGCGCCCCGAGTCCCATGCAAACATATTTGATGTCCAGGAACTCCTGGATGCCGTACTTGCTCTGCTCCCTGCCCAGGCCCGACTGCTTCATGCCCCCGAACGGCGCCACCTCGGACACGATCCCCACCTCGTTCACCCCCACCATGCCAAAGTCCAACCGCTCCGCCACGTGGAAGGCGCGCGCCAGGTCGGCCGTGTAGAAGTAAGACGCCAGGCCGTACTCTGTGTCGTTGGCCATCGCGACAACCTCGTCCTGCGGCGCAACGAGCGCAGGACTGTGTGTTGTGTGCTCGGCCTGCGCGCGCGCTGTTCAAGCGAGCACAGAACAGACAACCTGCCGGGTGGTTTTGCGCGGGGCTGCGTCGCACCTCGGAGCGGAACTTGAACAGCGGCGCGATCGGCCCGAAGGTCTCTTCCCGGAAGCACCGCATGTCGATCGTCGCGTCCCGCAGCACCGTTGGCGCGTAGTATGTGCCGCCCTGGAACTCCGGGGGCATCTCCGCCACGTGCCCGCCCACCATGGCCGTCGCCCCCTGCGCCAGCGCGTCCTGCACGTGCCCGTCCACCTTGTCCAGCGCCAGCGACGTGATCAGCGGCCCCATCGTCACCTCGGGGTCCAGCCCCGACCCCAGCACAAACGTCCTCACGCGCGCAGCAATCAGGTCCGCGAACTGGTCGTACACGTCCTCGTGCACAAACACCCTGTTCGCGCAGATGCACGTCTGCCCCGCGTTCCGGAACGCCGACCCGATGGCGCCCGTCACCGCCAGGTCCAGGTCCGCGTCCGGAAACACGATGAGCGGCGCGTTCCCGCCCAGCTCCAGCGACACGCGCTTCAGCGAGCGGGCCGCGCGCTCGTTGAGCATCTTGCCCACCGCCGTGCTGCCCGTGAACGCCAGCTTCCTGCACCATGCCACGCCACGCGCGTCTCGCTGAGTCAGGGGCATCGGCCAGATTTGCATCGCAGTGGCGGGCCTGCAGCAGCACTGGGGCGGCGCACCTGACGACGTGGGACTCCAGCATGACGTCCCCGATGCGCTCCCTGTCCCCGAACACCACGTTCATCACCCCGGGGGGCAGCCCCGCGTCCGCCGCCAGCCCCGCCAGCGCCAGCGCCGTCAGCGGGGTCTCCTCCGCGGGCTTCAGCACCACGGAGCACCCCGCTGCGAGCGCCGGCGCGACCTTCCGCGTCACCATCGACATGGGGAAATTCCACGGCGTGATCGCCGCCACCACCTGCGTTCGGACGCATCTGTACGGACGCAGTGAGTACTTCAAGCTGTCGCGCAGGCCAAAGCGGCCAAACAGCGCCCGTGCGGGGCTCTCAGAGCCGGTTGATCGTCGAGCACGTGGGCATCGCATTTGGCGACGACGCGCACCCCTACAGGCTGCTTGAACACCATCAGCCGCCGGTCCCGCGCAGGGGGCTCCATGACGTCGCCGCAGATGCGCTGCGCCTCGCCCGCGAACCACAGCACGGACGCCGCGCCGGCGTCGATCTCCAGGCGCGCCTCCTGCGCATGAAAAGGGGTGCGGTTTGGAGTTGGTGGCTTTCCGGAGGACGCGCGGGGGGGTGCTCTGCGGGACGGACCGAGCGACGTCGGCGCGCTCACCTTGAGTGGTTTGCCGCACTCGAGCGTCATGATGGTGGCGATGTCTTCCCTGTTTTCCAGGATCAGGTCATGCCACCTGCGCAGGACAGCCGCGCGCTGGGCCGCGGGAGTCTGGGCCCAGGGCTGCAGCGCCGCGGCGGCGGCCGCGATCGCGGACTCGGTCTCGGCGCCGCCCATGAGGGAGACCCGCGCGAGGGGAGCGAAGTTGGCGGGGTCCTTGACATGGTAGTTGTGGGGCGCGTCCGTGATGAACTCCCCCCCGATGTACCCGCCGCGGTGCAGCAACGACTTGTTCTGCATCGAGCGCGGCCGAATGTGGCCGTCACGTGCCGCGGCGGCGCCCCGTGGCGCAATATGTGGAGAGCCGTGCATATATCGGGCGCGGTATTCCCGCCGGCGTTGGTTCGATCGCGCTGATGCAGTGCGGGTTTGACAGATACTTTGGACGTGCACGTGACAGCATGGCGACGTGCCAGCGTGCCGCGACAGCGGTGCGTGTAGGCTCCGATGGATGCACCCTGCAAAGGCGGAGCTGGTAGTAGCTGCAACGCACCCGTACGAGCTCGCTCAGCTTCCTGTCGAATCCTGATGCATCGATGGGATCGCCCTCCAAAGATTGCGACGTGGCCATCGTTCGCACGCGCCCCAGGCTGCGCAGGTTGGCCAGCGCAGCGCTGGGCCAGCGGCTGGCGCGCGACGAAGCGGCGAATGGCGCCGCGCTCCTCCCCGCGTTCACGAGACCGCTTGCGATGCTCCACATACCGTGCCCGCAGCGCCAGCCGCGCACTGTGCGCCGACCAGGAGGCTCCCACCCACCGTCACCCGGCGGCAAGGATCCCTCGCGCTTGGCACCTCGAACCCAGCGCTGGCCGCCTCCGCAGATAGCCGGGGCCGTGGTGGTATCCGGCGCGCCGCACTGTGCACGGTGCGCGCGCGGCCCGCCGGACATGTCGCGTGGTTGGTTGGGGGGGGGCGGTGTCGCCGCCAAGACCGACCGGTCAACGCGGGGAGGCCCGGCCACCGCCACGCAAGTCGCGCGCGTGGCAGCCTCCCCGCACTTCCCGGAGTCGGTTCCGCCGGCAGTGAGTGCGAGGCGAACGCAAGCAGGCCACGCCGCTGCCAGGTTTTCGACTCTCAGGCAGCAGAGCGCTGCCGGGATGTGGAGCGCGGCCCTGCTGTCCGGTCTGGCGATCTGCTCCTCGTTGATAGCGCACGCGGCGGCGGAAGATGCTGCCGGTACGGCCCCGCTCCCGTGCGACCGCGCTGGCACGCTCCCGTGACTGCTGCGCCGCGGCCAACCCGGCGCACCGAGACCGATTCGCCGGTGCAAGCGACGTCGGAGCGAGATAATTGAACCAAACATGCTTTTCCGATGCTTTCTAGCGATGATTGATCTCCCATTCGCCCGCTTTCCACGCAGACCCAGGCAGCGGTGCACGCCCGCAGGCGCCGCGCCCCACGCAGCTGATACTCGAGGCAATAATGCATCCGGGCGCCCTCGAGCTGCTCGCGTTCGTCGTCATCTTCGCCTACATATTCAACTTCTTCGTCGGCCGGAAACAGAACGAACGCATTGCCGCTTCCTTTGCCCAGGCCTTCCTCCCGGACGGTGCGCCCGCGCCGGAACGCACCACCAGCCGCTCAGAGCCCCGCCCAGCCCTGCTCGCGGACACGCCTCCCGCCGCGCCGCCGCCCCACCGACACCCTCTGTTGTCGCCGCAGGTGCGTTGTTGGACCGCGAGTTCGCGCAGCTGCAGCCCGACGACATGCGGCCGGGCGAGGTCATCCTCAAGGACTCCAACCACTTCTTCCGCTTCTACCTCACCGGCCGCCGCGGCCCCGTCGCCTGTTGCAACGTGCGCCTCCAGCTGTCACCGCGCGCCGACCTCCTCGCGCGGGTGCTCGCCGTGGCCTTCGCGCAGTTCGCGGGGCTCGAGTGGCTCGCGCCGCGCGACACGTGCGTCGTCGAGCTCGAGCTGGACGGGCCGGGGGTGCCCGGGTTCGTGATGGCTGTCGCAGGTGCGCACCCGCAGCCGGACCACGCGACGCGGGCGTCGCTGCCAACGGACGCACGTACACGCAGCCGTGCAAGTCGTCGCGGTCGACGCGCCGCAGCAGCGCCCGCTACGGCAGCCGATTGCATCGGTCGGCGACACGTCGCCGGCGCCTCACAGCCTTTGCGGCGCTCTGTACGCCCGTGCTGTCTGCAGCATCGCGTGCGGGGGCCGCGGACCTCAAGTCGCGGCATAACGACCTGCGGCGGTTCGCGCGGGAGATGGGGCCGGAGCCGGGGCGCCCGTGGCTGGACTCGTCGCTGTACGTGCTGTGCGAGCACCGCGACCCCGTCGTGGACGTCGCCGGGCTGCCGTGCGTGCAGGAGGTGCTGGGCCCCGTCGCCGGCGACGGCGGCGCGGGGTCGAGCGGGTACGCGCTGCTGGCCGAGGGCCTGTTCGACTCGCTATTGCTGTCGCCGCACTACGGGCTGCAGACGGACAAGGAGGACAGGCCGCCCGGCGCGGCGGAGCAGCGGGGCATCATGCGGCTCACGATGAGGTGCGGAGGCCTCCCCGGTGTGTGTGGCGACTTGCTGTCGCTGGTCTCTCTCTCAGGCGGCGAGAGTGGGAGACCGGCGGTGCTGAGTTCTGGCGGGTGGTCGTGCGTGCAGGCTGCCGCCTGGGTCGGGGGTGCAGGGGCGGGTGCGCGTCCTGGAGCCGCTGATGGAGATGGCGCTGGCGCTGGCAGACGCGCTGCCGGCGTACCGGCCGACGGAGCGCGCGAAGAAGAGGCGGAAGGTGCGTGGGCGCGCGGGTCCTTGCGTTGGTGCAGGCGTGGGCGTGCCACGCCGCGCGTCGCCGTCGGCCGGACGGGTCGGCGCTGACTCATGAGAGGGGGTGTTGCGCCGCCCGGTGATGCGTGCTGCAGGAGGTCGAGGAGGACCTGGCCGCGCCGGAGCGCGAGAGGGAGGAGGAGGCGCGGCGGAAACGCGCGGAGGATCGAGCGGTGCGCCCCTCGTGGAGGCAGCAGGGCGCTCCTCTGGTGCTTCTGTGCTCAAGGTTGCTTGCGCGCGGCGACGGCGCGCTGCGTGGCAGGCACTGGTCTCGGAGCGACGCACGGGCGCCGGGGCGCGCCGCCGCGGCCCGCCGTGCTGCCTGGCCGGCGCCGCGCGTGAGAGAGCCGCGCGCGCGGGTGTGTGTGGTGTGCAGGCGGAGAAGCGGCGAGAGGCGGCGCGGAAGCGGAGCGCGAAGGCCGCGCCGGAGCGGCTGACGAAGGAGGAGCGGGCGGCCAAGAAGGCGGAGAAGCGGCGGAACAACAGGTGGGCGGCGGGGCGCTGAGGGGGGGCAGCACATGGGGGGACCACGTGGGCGGCCAGGACGGCGCGATGGCAATGTTGGTCGGTCGCCACTGGCGCAACATATCACCCACGGCCTCGCGTCGCGCGAGCGGGGCAGACGGGCGCCGCGTGGGCCGGCGGGCGGGGGCAGGGCATCGCCGGGCGACTCGTTGCGCGTGCGCGCTGTGAGGGCCCTCGACGCCGGCTGCGTGATCGTGTGCAGCTTGAATGGTGACGACGAGGGGCACCGGTGTGTAACCGAGTGCAGCGAGGACTGGAGCGCGCACCCGTCGAGCTCGATGGGGTGAGTCCAACCGCTCTGCAGGCAGGGGCTCTCGTGAGACGCGCGGCCTCGAACCGGCCTCACATTGAACTGAAGAAGCCGCCGCGACGTCGTCGGGCCGGCGGCAACCCGCTGGCCGCCGCCAGCTCAGGCCCACCAGAGCTCGACTCAGGCGTGCGCGCGGCACGGCGCGGCGTCGCGGCGGCTGAAGGGCGGCGTCGCGCGCTCGTGGCGGACAGAACTGCATGCAGCGGAGGAGCACATTCCGCGACTCGAGCCTTTGGTCCCAGCGTGAAGCGCGTTTCGTTACGAGAGGCCTGCCTTCTCTCTCAGCGCCGCGTTGGCCACGAGTCTGGTTGAGTGTCGCACGCCATGGAAGACATTGAGCAAAGCGTCATCGGGGACAATGCGCTCCTGTTTGACGTGGACCTCGAGGACGAGAGCCTGGCATTGGACCCGCCGGAAGGAACCTCGGTGCGTGCACACGCGAGGCCGACGACCGCGCGACTCGGTCGCTCCGTCGCATAGTCTTCATCTGAGGATACAGTGCACGCGGCGAACAGGGCCGCGCACGCCGTCATGGACCCGGCTCAGCCGGTGTCGTCTCGATTTCGATCCGGCCTCCTCCTGTGCGGCCTCATGATGCGCAGTTGTCGGGACCGCGCTCAATCGCCACAGACGATAATGAGGAGGAGTACGGCGCTGACGAGGTCCGGAGAATCATTTCCGCCGGCGCGCCCCACGAGCAGAGCACACTCGAGGTCCTCGCGCTTCAGCTCGAGCGCGCCGGCTTCGAGGTGGTCATCCGCGACGCCATCTCTCACTTCTCAGGACGCAGCAGCGACGGACGAAGCCACCACGCGGCCCCTCACTACGCGCCAGCGCACTCGTTCTTGGTCGTGAAAACGTGTCGGCCTGTTACGGTGCGGAACCTGCCTGTTCCAGACACATCATGCCGTGTCCTGGGCTTTTCTGAGACAAAGCACGCAATGAACGCACACGCACGATCGCACATCTTCGAAGCAGCCATCCCCGTGAGCTGTTGGTGGGCAGAGCAGTTGGGCCACCATCGCTCCCGCTGCGCGGCACAGCGCCACCTCGTTCGGTCACTTCGCCCGCCATCTGCCTCCGCAGAATCCGACCATTCGGAAGCCCTGCTCCCCCCCGCGCACGCAGGCCGCCCGGAGCTCCGGCGCGCACGTCTCCGACGGGCGCCTAGCCCCCGGGGCCTCAGCGCCCGGTGCGCCGGCCTGCGCCGCCCCCCGCGCGGGCGACCCCGGCTTCCCCCGTGCTCCCGGTGCTGCACGCACCGGCGTCCACGTCCAGGTGGCGCGGACGTCTGTGTGGGCGGCGCAGCGGCACGCGGTGTCGCCCCCCGATGAGGGGAGCGGGACGGGCCGGCGGTCGGTCCCGGTTCCGCGGCGCGCGCACTCGGGCACCTCGGGCGGCCTCCCGATGATCCGCGTCGGCGGCCGCTTCACCCGCCCGGCGCGCATCTTCGTCGTCACGCCCAGCGCCGCGGCGCCGGAGCGGCCGTCCGAGGCGTCGGCGACGGAGGCCGAGGCGCCGGGCACGCTGATCGTGGACCCCGCGTTCAAGACGCTCGTGCGCGTGGCGCACCCGACGCCGGAGTACGAGCGCGTCCTCGACGGCATGCCCGACGTGTTCGTGGGCTCCCCGCAGCGCCTGGAACGCACCATGGCCTACCTGTCGACGTTCGTGCGGTCGTCCTTCGCGGCGAACGGCACGGACGTGCCCCCGTGGCGGCGCCTGGGGAGCATGCTCGAGCGCTGGACGCGGGCGCGCTCGTACGAGGACCGCCGCCCGAGCCTCGACACGACCGCGCAGGACGCGCGCCCGCGGTGTGCCGTCCCGTGCGACGACAAGGGGCAGCTGCACTACCACACCGGCCCGGTCACCTCGCCGACCTACTTCGGCTTCCTCCCCTGCGGCAACTTCGTCACGCCGCGCCACTGATGCGTGGCTGCCGACGTGACGCTCCACACCACGCATGCATGTCGCTTCGCCGCGCCGAAGCGATGCCTCCCCGTTGTCCGGGGTCACTCGGACACACCCCTGTCTTCCCCCCTCCTCCTCTGCCCTGCTCTGACCTCTTTTTTACGCATCTCAGACTTGAAGTCAGCCTCCCTCCTTGTCCCCCCCCCCCTCGTTGAAGCAGCCGCGTCTGACGTAGCGGTGCCGACGCCGCCGCCCGCCACGCAGCCTCCGGCCGCGTAGCTCTGCGCTGCCCACTCGCCGCGCGCCGCCCGCCATCAGGACGGCGCGTCACCCGCTGCGTCCCCAAGCTCGCAGCGCCCCGCCCTTGCTCAGTCGCCCCCTCCGTGCGAGCCGTCGCGAGCCGTCGCGTCTCGTGACCCCACCCTGCTCTCAAGCCTACAGGGCTCTATCTCGAGCGCGCTGCTGCCCGGGCGCTGCGTCCCAGCGCCTGGCCCAACCCCGTTGCAGCCCGCGCTTGAACCAGGCGATCTGATGCCACGCAGAGGTACAGACGCATACCTGCTGTGCGCATCCGCTCTCGCATCTACTATCAATCCACCGACACGGCCTAGCAACCAAGAAGGATCTAAGTCAACAACACAACTTGAATGACTACATAAGTCAAGAACTACCTGTCTGTCATGTAGGCTACAAATTGCGGCTTTTCGTGCCCCGCTACACCTCACGGAGCTTGTCGCACGTGCGTCTGTCGCGACGTTCGCAGCGTCGCGACAGACCAAGCTCCTTCTTTGCTTCCCCCCCCCCTCTTTGCGTCCCCTCCCCCTCCCTTTGCGTCCCCAGCCCCTGCCTTTGCGTCCCCAGCCCCCCACCTCTCGCAGCGGAAACACGCGTCTTTCCATCTTTCTAACCAAAGATCTCGAGCACGTCGAGACCTCCGGACACGACACCCGTGCCCGCGCCACCACCGCCGCCGCGTGCATCGACTCAGAGGCATTGGCGTGCACATATGCCATCGCCGTGCGTGCGATGTACCTATGTGGGACTTTCAGTCCTGGCAACCGCTTTGGTTCCCGAAGTCCTCCTTGTTCGTGCAGAATGGTCCCAACCAGCGAACACACTTTTGAATGGTCCCAACCAGCCAACACACTTTTCCTGCGAGGCCCAACCAGGCCGCCGCTCTATCTAGCACTAACACTTCCAAGCACTAAGACCAACTGCCCCACCCTTGCAAACCTACACCCAGTCCGCGTACAACCGACGGCCCGGTGCATCGCGCGGCAGCCCTGCCGCTCACCAGCGCCCGCGTGTACTTACCCGGGACAGCTCCTGCGTCGACCGATCAACGGGCCCTGCTCTCACATGGCACGAGGAAGACACGCCATGCGCCGGGAACACGCACCCGCAAGGGAGTGCGGTTCTCCACCGCGGCGAAGACTGGCTACCTCGATGGTTGACTTGTCCCCGGGGGACTCTCTTGGTTCCGACCTGGCCTGTAACTGCGATGTCACGCTTGTTGCCAATCGAGCCGAACAGTTGAAGCTGCTGTGCCGAAACGGGCTGCATTTCGGTCGCTCAAGCGTCCTCGCGGCGAGGGTGCTCGTAGGTCAGCGAAGAACTATCGTAGGTCAGCGAAGAACTAGCGAGAGTCCATCGCTGCTGAGTGGCTCTCTCACGTGGCGGCGCGCTTGCAGTCTGCCGTCGCACGCATCTGCGAAGTGTGTCCGACACCCCGCGCCTCTTCCACATCGAACCAGGGCCGCGCGGCGCACGCGCGTGTTTCGAGCGCGCTGCCTGTCTCGTGGCCCGCTGTCAGTAGGCCTTCTTCTTCTTCACGAGCCACGACCACCAGGACCTGCCCCGCGGACGACCGAGGCGCTTGAGGTCTCCGGCGTTGGCCGCGCTGCGCTCCCACATCAGACACCCCGCCACCACGTACCACACCGTCAGACACAGCCCTGCACACACCCCCCGCGAACCGAGAAGTGAGCGCGTCGCGAAGGCGCGCACGCGCCGCACAGCGCATGCCGGGGTTCCTGCGGGCGCCGCGGCCAGCTCCGCACCTGCTATGATGGCGCACGTCAGCCACGCCGAGTTGAACGTCGTCCGCGCCTGCCCGAGCGGCAGCGGAACGCGCAGCCGCCGGTCGCAGCTGTGCGCCCGGCAGAACTGCGCCTGGAAGTACGCTGCACTCCAGCAGAGCGGGGGAGGGGGGGGGTTCCACAGGGCGCCGAGCAAGGCGCGACCACCCCCACTGGTCACCGCACGTGGTGGCTGCCGAAGACAAGGCAGTCGGCGCGGGCGCGTGGCTCACCGTTCAGGCGCTTCGCCTCCTTGCTGGCCTGCGGCGGGAAGCACGTCCGCGCGAGGTCCTCGCACGCCTCGCGCCGTTCGGCCTTGACGGTGGAGTTGCACAGGATGGACGGGCGGTAGCGGAACCGCTTCGAGAGCGACGTGGCCTGCTCGACGTGCTCGCAGTGCACGACGTCGCACAGCTCGGCCAGGCACGCGTCCGAGCCCGCCACCAGCAGCCCCGGGTGCTTGTTCGCGATGTGTTTGTCAATGTATGTCTCCGACCGGAAGCTCTTCCCGCACAGGTTGCATCGCCAGTTCGTGCGCCGGACCTTGTTCTTCTGCTCGTCCCAGAGCTTCCACATGTCCTCGGTGGCGTTCAGAGGGCAGCCCTGCGGGCGAGCGAGCGGTGTGCAGTCGGCGTGGAAGGACCGGGCGTGCGGCCGGGTCCTGGCACGAAGCGGTGTCCGCACGTGGGACGAGACGATCAGTCGGAGCAGACGGGCCGTGCGTGCATCTGGCAAGGGGGCTGGGGTGCCGCGCACTGCGCCGCCTGGGTGCAATTCTTCTTTGCGTGGTGCCTACGCGCAGACATGCGTCGACGCGACTGCGGCGCCCCAGGAGATGCGACTGGGCGGTGATCTCTGACGGAGCCGGGCCGCGTCGCGCACCTCGGGGAACTCGTACCGCCCCACTTCAGGCCAGAAGTAGTGCTCGAGCAACCAACGCACGTCTCCCGACGTCTGACGCGAACACTTCTCCTCCGCCTCCGCTACGTTCACTCCGTCCATCTCATACTGTGGCTTCTTCGGCTTCGAACGTCGCCGCCGTGCATGCGCTGAGTGCGGGAGCACGACCACAACTAGGAGCACCAGCGCTAGCCAAGCGAGAGCGCGCCCCCTCCCGCGGGCGGCCCCCATGGCCCCCGAGCGCCACTTCCACGCAACGCTCAGGTCCGTCTGTTGTCCCTGAAACCGCGACGCGTGTCTGAGGGACCGAGAGCAGCCAGCTGCGATGCCCCTCTGCGGCAGACTACTCGTCGGGTCTCGTCCTACGTACTGCGGCAACATGCAGTTACAGGAGCGCGCCGTCCAGCGGGTACTTGGGCCCAAAAAAGGTGTGCGACCGCTGCCTGGCAGTGCCACGTCGGGCTGACGCAAAAAAAATCTTCTACCAGCAGTCAGGCGCCACATGGGATCGACGCCCCTCGCGCCCGATGCCGTCGCTGTCGCGGTGGACATTTCCACCACTGGCCGCGCTCTGCAAGGGGGCGCAGTGCCTCGCACGACAGCGCTCAAAGTGATAGTTCTTCGCTAGTGAATATTGACTCGAATTGGACCGCGCTCAACTACAAGGACAGTAGTTCTTCGCTGACCTCCGCGCGCGGGATCCGCAACGCCAATAGTACGTTCACAGCTGCGCTGGCAGGCAGTCGCTGGCCCGGCGCCTACTTGAGTTGCAGCCCAGCCATGAACCCGAGGCTGTTGGCAGCAAACAGCACCTGGTGCACCTCGCTCCAGCACAGGCTCGACACGAACGACTCCTGCCGCCCGCGCGCTCCCGTCGCCGCGGCCTGCGAGTTGTCTGGCCCCTCGAGCCCGACCATGGACGCGGAGCACATCGGCGCGGGCATCGAGCGGTGGTAGGCGTACACGGCGTTGTCCTCGCTGCCCGTGAAGATGTGGCCGTCGGGCGACACCGCGAGGCCGACGAAGTTCTTCGTGTTCTGGTGCCCGCGGTACGACATGAGCGCCGGGATGCGCTGCGACATGTGCGACATGCTCGCCGCGGCCATGCCCTCGCCGCCCTGCACGTCCTCCGCGGTCACCGGCGGGAGGCTCGTGCCGGAGTACGGCGCGGAGTCCCAGATGGCGAGCGTGGAGTCCGTGGATGCGGTGACGAGGCGGGAGGCCCCCATGAAGCGCACGTACGACACGGCTTTCTTGTGCCCGGTCTGCAACGGGGGAGGACACGCGCCCTGCGACGTCAGCGACGAGAAGCGATGCAGCGCAGGGAGCTTTCCGGGCACACGCGGGCGGCGGTGCGGTCGACGTGACGGTCGCGGCCAACGCACCATGATGGCAAGGGGTTGGCTGGTGTTGCGCAGGTCGTAGATGCGCGCCTCCCTGTTGGCCACGCCGACGGCGAGCTTGTGGCACGACTCCGGGGAGTACGCGACCGAGCAGACGGAGACGCCGAGGCGGATGGTCGACATCGGGCGCTCGGCCTGGATGGACCACAGGCGCACGGTGCCGTCGTCCGAGCACGAGGCCAGCCGCGTGGGGTCGGTCGGACTGAACTCGACGGACCAGATGCGCTGCAACGACGGTCAACAGACAGAGAGGGTCTCCGGCGTCAGCGAGGCGGGGGAGTCACGGGCGCGGGTGCTGTGGCAACGCATGGGTGGCGAGCGCACCTTTTCGTGTTCCTCGAGGCGCAGGACCTCGCGGCCGCTGGTGACGTCGTGGATCATCACGCTCCCCTCGTGGTCCCCGCACGCCAGGTGGCTCTTGAGGTACGGGTTGAAGCACAGACTGGCCAGCTTGGATCGGCTGGCAATCTCCACCACGGGGTACTGGATCTGCCCCACGCGCCCCAGCACGGAGCCGCAGTCGAACACCTTGATCCGCTTCGACACGCCCGCCGCCGCGAAGAACTCCTCGTCCCGGTCCAGGGCGATGGAACACACCATGTCGTACAAGTCCAGCAGGTCGCCGTGCCGCACCGCCGTGCGCACGCCGAGCCCGCGGTGCCTCGTGAAGTGCATCAGCCCGTCGCCGAACCCCAGCAGCCGCGTCTGCCGCGGCGCCAGCCGCCGCAGCTGCAGCGCGCCACCGCGCCGCAAGGCCCCTCCGTGCCCCGACGCCCCCGCCTGGCCGTCGTGGCGGTTCCCCGCCGCAGCCGCCGTTGCCGCCGAGCGCCGGCTGTCCCCCTCGGCGTCGACGCTGTCCGGAGGCGCGCGCAGGTTGCGGGCGCCACCCACGTAGCTCTGGTACGCGAACTCGACCTCCCCGAGGCGCTCCGTGACGCGCTCGGCCCGCTCCTGCGCCTCCGCGTCGATGTCCTCCTCCTCGTCGTCCTCGCCGAGGCCCGTCGCGTCGGACCAGCCCCCCGTCGTGCGGCGGCGCTTCGACGACGGCACCAGCATCAGGCTGGTGCCCCCGTGGCGGATGTGCAGCTCCGCCATCATGGCCTGCACCGCCTCCGCGTCCCTCTCGATGTCCCGCACCTGCATCTCGAGGTGCCCCTTCATGTGCGACCGCTCCCGGTGCAGCAGCTCCAGCGCCAACCCCAACCGCCTGCAACCCTCCGCGCTCTCCTCGGCGTCCTGGCGGATCCCGCCGTCCTGCAGCGCGCGCAGCGGGTCCGTGACGATCTTGTTCGCCAGCAGCTCCGCGAGACCGATCCGCCGCGTCGTGTCCGGCAGCGTGGCGTGCAGCACCAGCGCCACCTCGCGCGGGAACATCGCCAGGAGCTCCGGCGGCGGCAGACGGTCCTGCACGCAGTCCATGTCGCTCTCGTACGCCGACGTCAGCCCGCCGTGGCAGTGCCACAGCAGGTCGAACAGCAGCACGCCCAGCGCGTACACCGCCGCCGCCTCCGCCGCCTCCGGAGACGGCCCAGCCTTCGGGTTGCGGTACCACCGCCGCTCCTCCTCGCGCGCGGAGCGCGTCGCCACGCACCGCTGGTCCGCGTCCGGCGCGGCGTGCGTCGTCTGCGCGGGGCCGCTGCTGGGGTCCTCCGGCACCAAAGTGTGGGTCTCCTGCTGGCGGGCGCCGGAGGGCGCCTTGCCGCCCTGCCTCGCACCCGCCGCGCCGTCCTCCTCCGCGCGCACGACCGCGCCGTCGGCCGTCACCGCCAGCCGCGCCGCGGTGGGGACGGGCTCCGTCAGCGTCGCCGCCGCGAGGTGCGCCGTGGCGTAGAAGACCGCGAGCGCCGCGTGGAGGTTGCCGCGGAAGTGGCCTGCCGCCAGGAGACTGCGCAGCGTCGTCCGCGCGGCGCCGGGCGGGTGCCACAGCTCGGACGTGCCGCCGCGATACACCTTGACTAGAAGGCCGCGACAGAACTCGCCCAGGTCGGTTGCGGTGGAGGACGCGGCGCGCGAGACGCGGGCCTTGCGCGCGGTGGCTCCGCCGCCGTCCGCGGCCAGCGCGAAGCTCCGCGGGAACGACGCCCCCTGGGCCCGTTCCTGTGGCAGAGGCGTCGTGCCGTGGCCCGTGCTGTGCCGGGGGGTGCCGAACGTGACCGCCTGCCCGCCGGAGGACGTCGAGTGGGCTCCGAAGACGGCGTTGCGCGAGGAGTCGAGCTCCGCGGGAGGGTACGCGGCCGCGGCGCGGCGACCATGCAGGCCGTCTGCCACCGCCGTGTGCTGCCTGAGCGCTGCGCGGCGGGCACGGGCCCCTCCGCGCCGGCCGGCCTCGCGATCCTCGTCCTCATCGCTCGAGTCGCGGCGAGAGCGCGGCATCTCCGCACGGCGCGCCTGGACAGCCGCGTCGCCGCTGGTCCGCCGCGAGTGGCAAAGGCGCGCGTCGTCCAAGCCGGATAGATGTGGCGTGACGTGCACGAGTTGCGCGCTCACGCTTCAGCCATGCGTGCAAGTACTCCTCGGGGGGCGCGAGCTGCGCGCGTGGCCGCCCGTCTGCGCGCGAAAGCGCGACGAGCAAGCTGGGTCAAGTGGGTGGCGCCTCCGGCCTGCAAGGCGGCGCTTGCACTCTGTACGCGCGGCCCGCGGCTGATGTGGCCTCCCAACACGCGTATGCGCCGCACTGTCGCGCCTAAATACCCGCGCACGCGACGGCGTAGAGGATCTTCTTCTTGAGTGGTTGCAAGCTAAGGTCCGCGAGCGAGGCGCTATCCGCAGACAAAGCAGCGGCCGACCGAGCTGCCGTGTTCCAGCGTGCTCACCGCTGTCAGAGTGCCGCCTCGCGGGCCCGTTCCGGGGCCAAAGCCACCGGCGCCAACCGAGGTCGGTCGGTCCTGTGCCGTGACACCACACCTGGCGCGTCAGACGGCGCGTGCGGCGCGGACGCTCAGCGGCATCGCCACGAGCGCCCGCGAAGGAACGCGCCCACGTGGCGACGCCGCCCCTGCGGCTGCTGCCGGCTCACTCGACCGCCCACGCGCGCACCGCCACTGCGACATCACATCTGCCGAGGACCCGCCTTCCCTCGCACCGCCCGCTTTTAGGTGCCGTGGCCGCGACCGCCTCCCTCACCGCCGCCCAGCGCCGCCCCGCCTCACTCACTGCGCTCCAGGAAGTGATCGATCTCGGCCAGAATGTCACGTGCCTTCGTCGCAGCCGCGCCCGACGCACGCAGCTCCACCTCGCCCGGCGCCGCGGCCGGCGCGGACCCGCGGACGCGCTCTATGGAGGCAAGCACGGCGAACATCGTTGCGAGGCGCGCTGGGTCCGACATCGTGCGCTCCATGTTGAGGCGCCGGGGGACGACTGGCGACGCACGGGGGGCGGCGGGGCCGCCGAAGGCCGGCGTGGCTGCTGCGGGGCCCACGTACGCGCCGAGGTCCCGCGCGAACGTGAGCGGGGGGCTGCTGGCGCGGCCGGGGAGCCCGCTGCCGCTGAGACCACACGGCGCGCCCCCGTCCGCGCGGGACGCCGACGTGGAGGGCGTGCGGACGGCCGCGGACCGCGGTGACGCCGCACGAGGCCTGCGTGCGCACGGAGCTCGCTCGTCGGTCGGTACAGCGCGACGATGACATGAATTTACTGGAACACGTGCAGAGACACGACGGTGTCTGGGAGGTGGGCGGAGACGTGGTCGCCGCGCGGGGATCTCTCGGCGCACCTGCTGCCTGGCGCGTGCGTCGCACTCGCGCAAGGGGTGCCGAACGCCAGGCGGCGCGGCATGGCGTCCAGCGGCGTAGCGTCGCTCGCCGTCCCTGCGGCCGGCGCCGACGCGTGCTGTCCCGGCGCCTGCGCGCCCTGTTGCTGCTTGCTCAGGACGGCGTCGATGGTCGCGATCTCCCCGGCGATGGCTGCCAGCATGTGCGACCCTGCCTGGGACGCTGCGGAGCTGCGCGACGTGGCTGACGGCGGGGCGGCGTGGCCGGGCCCTGGCCGCGCGGTAGCCGGGGCCCAGGGTGCCGTGCGCGCCGAGAGGGGCGTGGCGCCGTCGTCGCCCTGCGGAGGCGTTGCGGTTGTTGGGTGGGGCGATGCGTGGCGCGGGAGCCGTATTGAGGCCGCGCCGAGCAGAGGTTTGCATGTATTGGCAATATCAGTATCAGAATCGTGCTAAAACGCGTTGTTTCGGGCGAAGAGACGGCTTGCTGTGTCCGCAACGGCTTGCTGTGTCCGCAACGTGGCACCGAGCCCAGATGCACTGCTGGCTCGAAGCGCCGGCGGCAGCCCTGCGCGCGTCGGCATTCCGTCACAGCGCGCTCACCTTGTGACGTGGCACGGGCGTCGCGAGCTTCGCGAGCACCCGGCAGCGCTGTTCCTCGAAGGCAGCCACCTCCGGCAGCGACCTGGAAAGATACCTCGTCATCGTCTTCCAGCCGTCGTCCACGAGCGAGAGGAGCGCTCGAACATCCTGCTCCGTCCCAGAGCCATCGACGTCCGCCATGGCGTCCCTCGTCCGCCGCGGGGGAGCGAGTCCTCCCTCACCCTCCTCCAGCACGCTTCGCTACGATGTTTCCGCGCGGCTGACGGAGCAAAACGGATCGCAACGTGGCCAGTCGGTCCGCCGGATCGCAGAACTGCGGCAGACGCGCTCCCGGGTGGAGGCAAAATTGAATCCAAGCACGACAGCTCTCTGTCAGACCGTCTGGCGGCCCTCCAGCGCGTCGTTGGCGCGCGCGCGGCAGTGCTCGGGCACTTCGCAGTTGCCTTGCTGGTACGGAGCTGCTGCGCTGATCCAGCTAGGCGTCGGGGTGCGCCCGGAGTTGCACCGCAAGTCCCTGGAGAGGAACTTCGCTCCGTTGCGGCGGTTTCTGGTTCCACGTGGATGAATGTGGCAGTCAAAGTAAATCTACCTTGATAGCTGTTTGTTCGGGCCGCAGCGCGTAGCCGTGCGCGGGTCGCAGATGGGGCCGCGGAAGGCGCGTTGAAGGTGCTTGGGACCATGAAGCCCACCGCGGCGATCCTCGGGACCGCCCAGCGGCCTGCCGCAGGCAGAGCTGCCGGAAAGGTGGCGCAGATACGAAAATGGATGAGTTCACTGCCTCCGCCGGGCAAGGAAGCCCCGCCCGAGGTGCGCTCCTGCACGGGTCGCGCCCAGCGGCCACACTGCACGACATCGACGTGGCAATACGCTCGTGCAGACCCACACGAGCCCGCACGGGCTCGCGGTCAGCCAGAACTCTCCGTTCGCCCCGCGTCGACGGAGCGCGAGGCGCGCCCTTCCCACCAGCAAGCAGCCCGCCCCCGTCGCGTTCCAAGGCCTCCGTCGCCCGTTCGCGCCCTGCAGCCGAATCCGAGCGATCTCTCCGACCCAGCGTCGTCGAGCGCCCTCGAGGAGTACGCCGACCTGCCAGCCTCGGCCATCACCCCACCGGACAGGTACCACCCCGCACGACCCGCAGACGCGACGCAGCGACGCAGCCCCGGGCGAGCGCGCGCCAGTGCGCGCTCCTGCCGCCCGTTGCGCGCGCCCCGCGCCCCCCTCGGGCCCCCACGGCGCCCTCCTGCTTCTCTCGCTTGCAGCCCCCGCGCTGCGCTGGAGCACCAGCAGCGCCCGGTGTCGGACCAGGTCGCGGACATCGCCGAGGAGGCGCGCGCCGCCCGGCCGGACCCGCGGGCCTCGCGCGCGTCGCCGTCGTCGCGGCGGCCGCTCCCCCAGGCCCCGCGAATACCCCCCCCGCCTGACGTGGTGTACCGCGAGGGCGTGCCGGGGCCCGCGGCGCCCGAACACCACGCACGGCACGCGGCCGAGCGCGCGGCCCGCCGCAGCCGCGAGCCCCCGCCCGCCGACACAGGTCGGGCACACCCCCTGGAGGTGACTCAGGACCCGTTCCAGGACACGGTCGGGTCGGGCGGGGTGCTGATGGGGTCGGTGCGGTCGGCGCTGAAGGACGTGATCGTGCGCGGGTGGCGCGACGTGGCGCGCAGCGACGAGTCGGGCGCGGGGGCGTCGGACTGCGTCGAGCGGGGGGGGGTGTCTTCGCCGTCGCGGGCGGCGTCGTCGTCGCCGTCGCCGCCGTGGGTGGGCGGCACTTCGGAGCCGCCGCCGGAGCCCGCGCCGCGATACGTGCCGCACGCGCGGTACGGCCACGGCACGCCGTCTCTGTCGGACACTGACAGCAGTGCTGTCAGGGCGCCGGCGTCGACGGAGGGGAGCGCGCGCGACGGCGACAGCCTCCCGAGGCCCTCGCGGGCCGCCGCGCCCAGCTCGACGAACGCCCTCGCCACCGTCGGCACGGGCGGCGGTGCAGCCGCCTCCCCCACACCCCCGGCCAGCACGCACGACCGTCCGCACACCGCGCGCCGCCGACCCGCTCGCGCCGCGCCTCCGCCGGGCACGCCGCCGCGCCCCGCGCAGCCGTGGGAGCCCGCGCCGCCCGCGCCGGCCCCGAACGAAGCAGAGGCGGCCATCAGCCCCGCGTCCAGCATGCAAATGAACGGCGCGGAGCTACCGCAAGACGTCAACGAGGCCGTCTGGGCGCTCCTGGAGGGCGCACACGTGGGCGGGATACCTCCGCGGCCGCGCGGGGGGGGTTCCCGCGGCGTTCCGCCCCCTGCCATGATGCAGGCCGCGCTTGCGCTGGCCATCGGTGAGCTGCGGGACGCGCGGGCGGGCGCGCGCGAGCAGGCGGAGGGCGACGGGGGCTGGGGGAGCGAGGGGGCGGAGCGGCGGGGCACGCGGGTGTTCCGCGAGGTGGACGAGAAGGACGCAGAGGCCGTGCGGGAGGAGCTGGCGGGGCTTCGGGCGCAGCTGAGGGCGAGGGACACGGAGCGGGAGGCGGCGGAGGCGGCGTTGCGGGAGGCGCTGGCGGGGATGCAGGGGCGCGCGGAGGCGGCGGAGGGGACGGTGGGGAGTTTGCGGGCGCAGCTGCGGGCGCTGCAGGAGCAGCTGACGTGGAACAACGAGAAGGTCGAGGACGAGCGCGCGGCGATGGCGGTCGAGATGGACGAGGCGGTGCTCGAGGAGCGGAAGAAGGTGGGCACACATGAAGGCGGTCGCTCGCACAAATGTACAATGAGAGTACTTTGGATAAGAGTCGTAGTCTGTAGTGCATGCTGTCGTGGCCTGCGCGCGAGCGTGTGTACTGCGTCGTGTCCGGGTACTGCGCAGGTGGAGAAGGCGCAGGGGGAGATCGCAGAGCTGCAGCGGGCGCTGGAGGGTGCGTGGCGGGAGGCGCGGCTGGCCCGGGAGCGAGCGCAGGCGGCGGACGCGAGGCGCGAGGAGGCCGAGGCGGTGCACACCATCCTCGCCGGCAAGGTCGCCGAGGCGGAGCGCAAGGCCGCGGCGGCGTCGGACGAGGTCGAGCGCACGCACCGCGCGGCGCAGGGGGCGCTGCGGCGCGCGAAGGACCTCGAGGAGGTGCTGGCCCGCGAGAAGGACGCGCGGGCGCTCGCGGAGCGCTCGGAGCGCAGGGCGCTGCGGCGCATCGCGGAGCAGGTGGCCCTGGAGAGCGAGAGGGGGCTGGCGCTGACGCAGGCGCAGGGGCTGCGGAGCCGCGCGGCGGAGGTGGACGCGGTGCGGGTGGTGACGGAGCTGTCGCCGGCGCCAGCGGAGGGGCCGAGGGCCGGCGAGGGGGACGTGGGGGAGTTGGAGGTGCCGGAGGGGTCGTCGATGGGGGAGTTGCGGGCGGCGATGCACTACGTGGGCGACAAGGTGCTGGACGCGAAGCGCGCCGAGGCGGAGGCCGCCCGGAGGGAGGCCAGGCAGGCGGAGGTGCGGCTCCCGCCCCCCCTGCGAGTTGCTCGCGCTGGTGTTTGTTTGTTTGTTTGTTTGTTTGGCATTGTTGATTGACTCCGATGAATCCATCAGCGCGGCGTTTCCTGCGTTCGAGGTGCGCAGGAGGCGTTCGAGGTGTGGCGGGAGCGCGAGACCGCGTCCGCGCTGGCGCACGCTCCGCGGCACCTGCGCCCGCTCGGGGTAGCCGCTCGCTTCCTGGTGTGTGCGGGGCCGGGCTCCGCGGCAGCGCGCGTGGCGAAGCGCCTCGCAGCCGACCTGGGACGGACGCATGCCACGCGGCTCGAGCTCGCGAGCGACGACTCCGGGTCCTCTTCGGGCCCGCTGCCGCCCGCGCCGGCGGTGCCGCTGGCCCACCGCATGGTGGTGGTCGTGGGCCGACAGTCCGGGACGGACGCCGACGCGAACTCGCCCGCGTGGCGCACGCTCGCGGCGCGGCTGATGGAGGCGCTGCGCTGCAACGCGCAGGTCCTGCTCGTGACGGAGGCCCCCGCGGAAGCGCACCGGGGGGGGTGTACCGCTGACGTGGCGGCCGCGGCGAAGGTGCTGGAGAGCAAGTACGTCCGGGCGGCGCAGGCGCTGCTGGCCGCGGAGTCGAACACGCGCGTCGAGGCGGGGGTGGCGCTGGGCGCGGGCGCGCCCGGCGCGGGGCGGTTGTGGGACAAGGCGGTGTCGGCAATCCGGGCGCACGGGGGTGTGCCGGACGCCGCGCTGATGGAGCTGCCCGCGGAGGAGCTGCGCAGGCTGCGGCCGCGGGGCGAGGCCGAGCGCGCGCTCGGTGCGCGCGTGGAGGGGAGTCCCGCGAAGGGCGCCCTGGTTCCCGTGTCAGCCATCGACTTCGTGGGTCTGACTGGCATCCGGCACCTCGACATATCGCTGTCCGGGCCGGGGGGCGCCGCGTGGATCTCCGCTCTGCCGGCGCTGCTCGCGCGCGGCGGTGCGGCCCTGACTCAGCTCTCTCTGCGCGACTGCCCGTCTGACGCCGCGGCAGCTGACGTGGCCGACGCGCTGGTGGGCGCGGAGTGCCCCCCGAAAACGGCGGGGTTCAACGTCGCGCTGCCGCTTCGGGGCCTCGTCGAGGGCACCGTGCGCGACGTCGACGCCACGGGCGGCCCCGGCGCGCAGGCGGAGGACGTGTTGCTGCTGTGCCGGGTGGTCGAGAAGTGCGAGTCGCTGCGGTCGCTCGCGGTTGCCGGCCGCGCGCAGTCCGCGACAGCTGGCGCGCCGGAGCCGCGCTGGCGCCGGCTGGCCGCGGCGGTGCTGGCGCACCCGCAGATGCGGCGCGTCAACGGGATCCGCATCGAGCGGGGCGAGGACGGCACGGCGGAGTTGACGGGCGTGATCCAGGACAAGGTCGGGCTCTTCGGCCCCGTGCTCCAGCTCGAGGGCGCGGAGGTGGGCCCGCTGGGGTGCGCCTTGGTGGCCAAGTGGCTGGCGGGGGAGTCTGGGACGGTCCCGGGGGGTGTCGAGGTGATCGACCTCAACGGCTGCAGCGTCGGGTGCGCGGGCCTCGCGGCCTTCGCGAAGGCCTTCCGCGACGCCGGCGCCGAGGACCACGCCGGCCCAGGGGCGTCCGTGCGCATCCTGCGCATCCGCCGCGACTCGTTCGTGTCGCCCCGCGGCGCGTCGGCGCTCAAGGCGCTCCTCAGCGCGTGTCCCGGTCTAGCGCGGCTCGACCTCTCTGCGTGCGCGATCGGAGACGACGGCGCGCGTGCGATCGCGGCCGCGCTGCCGGTGTGTGGGGCGCGGCTGGTGGACGTGTCGCTGGGGACGAACCGCGTGGGCGCGGCGGGCGCGCGGGCGCTGGCGGCAGCGATCGGCGAGGGGCACACGCCGGAGCTGCGCGTGCTGGACCTGCAGGGCAACGTCGTCGGCGACAGCGGCGCGGCGGAGCTGGCGACGGCCCTGCAGCGACAGGCGGCGGCCGAGGGCGGCGGCGCGGTGGAGTGCCTGCGGCTCGCGGACAACTACAGCATCGGGGCGGAGGGTGCGCGCGCGATGGGCGAGCTCGCGGCGGCGTCGGCGGCCCTGGAGACGCTGGACTTGTCGCGCAACCACCTGGGGCCGGAGGGGGCCCGGGCTCTGGCGCGCGGGCTGCGGAGGTCGCGTGGGCTCGCGACGCTGGACCTGCGGTGGTGCAAGCTGCGCGCCGAGGGCGTCACGCACATCTGCGAGGCGCTCGGGGGCGGCGCGGGCCAGGCGCCGCCCATCCGTGCGCTGGACCTGGCACGGAACAACATCGGGGACCGCGGGGCGGCGGCGGTGGCGACGATGCTGCGGAAGGGCGTGCCGAGCCTGGCGACGCTGGACCTGGCGACGAACGCGATCGGCCTGGAGGGGTTCCGGCAGCTGAGTCTGGCGGTGCGGGAGGGGGGGACTCAGCTGGGGAGTCTGTGCTTGGAAGGCAACCAGATGGACACGGGCGGGCGGCAGCGGCTCGAGGAGGCCGTGCGGAAGGCGGCCAAGGCGCGGGCGGCCGCGGCGGCGCAGGGCGTGGACCGGCCGATGTCTGCGGCAACGTCACAGCGCGCCGCGGTCGCAGAGGCGTGACGCTGCGCACGGAGACATTGCAGGTCGACGCAGTAGATATCTTGTGACGCAGCGGCTCTGCGCCGGACGCCAGCGTGGGCGCGGGTCCGACGGAAACGCGCGTCACAGCACGCGCTTGGCCCTGGTTCTGGTGGGCATGTGCTGCGCGGTGGGCGCGGGGCGCTACCGGTACCGCGTGAGGTGGTTTTTGTACATGTAGTAGGCGGAGCCGCACTCGAGCAGGAAGGGCAGGATGTTGAAGAACACGAAGAAGGACACCAGCGAGCTCTGGTTCCAACCCCCCTCGATCCAGCCCGCCACCAGACCCGTGCCCACGGCGTGGAAGAGCGTCTGCCACGCGGCGAGGCCCGAGAGGAACGTCGTCAGGCCCGACATGAGCAGCCCCACCTCGACCACCATGAGCACCACCGCGCTGTAAGACAGGCCCTCGAGACTGCAGCGGGCGGAGGAGGCGGCTCAGCGGTTCCGGCGAACGGATCCGTGGAGACTACAGGGGCGGCAGCGGCAGTGCGAGGCAGTTGCGGCGCTCTGGTGCGGCGGCGGGCGCTCACTCCTGGGTGCTGATGCCTCCTTTGGACGACGCCTCGCTCAGGTCGAACAGAATCGTCACCCACGTGATGATGTGCGCGACGGTGGCGATGAAGCGCACCGGCAAGCCCGTCGCCTGCATCGCGCTGCGCCCCCCCGCCCGCGAGTGCAGGAAACTGCCTCCCCCGCTGCTCCACGCGAGCCACGGGCCTCCTCAGCGGCCACTGAGCTGCCGATTGCTACCTGCGCCTCGAAGTTGATAACGAGAATATGTTGGGATGCTGTCGGCGCGTCGGTGCTGTGCGTGGGTGCCGTCGTCGCACGTAGAGCAGCGCGATTCAATCTCACGTCGCCCTTCGCAGTCGGAAACGCAGTGGGGCCAGCCATTCGGTCTCTCCGGGCGGAGAATCGCAACAGATATCATGTGCGAGGCAAGGCGGCCGCGTTGGGCGCGCGTTGAGTCCAGGAAGTCGAGCTGAAGCCGGACCACCCGCGGGAAGCGCGCGGGGCCTCTATTGTGCAGGCAAGGGCCTCCCGCGCCCTCCCACTGGTGCGGCCGTGACGCAGCATGTCTCGAACATCGAATCCGATGCCGAAACGTCGTGATGTCTGCGTGCACTGGGCACAGCACCGCACCCACCTCGGCTCTCTGCTCCCGACGCGCTCCAGTGCGCCCGCCTCTCACCCGCTTCCAACAGTTCCGTGAGCTCCAGCCTGAGGCGAGAAGAAACAATCTGTTTGCGCTGCAAGGAATCGCAGCGATGCCCGCCTGTGCCGAAAAGTCACCTTTCGATGCTCTAGCGCGTCCAACTGAACAGAGCCTACTGGAGGGCTGTGCGCCGAAATCGGAGCGATCCCGCTGCTCTCAATCGAACAAACATGTTCCCCTGACCTTCCCGGTCGCGCACCAACGCGTTCAGGTGCGGCGCCCACGTCTGACGAGTGTCACACTCTCACAGGACACTCCCCCTGCGCACGCGTCAGGCGGGCCAATCCGCCCACCTCCGCCCTGAGCCCCTGTCCAGCGTCACCGTCCGCGCCGCACCGCCGCACCAGCAGCACTCGACCCCCCCGCGCCGCAGTGCCCTCGCACCACATCATATCACGCAACCTGCGCTCGTCGCAGGGGGCTATCTTGCGGCAGGAGGTGCCGCATCCCCGGCGGCGCGTAGCACACGGCGATGTTCTGCCCGCCTATCGGCAGCTCCTCCACCACGATCCCCGGATCCAGCCCCGCTAGGTAGCGAATCAGCTCGTCGTGCGTCGACACCGGCCGGCCGTCCGGGAGGCGGCGGTGGTCGTTTTCGCGCGCGAACACGCAGCACGGCACGACGCAGAACGCCTTCCCGCCCCCGCGCAGCCCGGCCTCCACGATCGGGTCGGTGGCCTGGTCGGGATGCATCCCCACCACCAGGCTGCACGCGCGCAGACTGGCCGCCGCGGCCGCGGTTCGCGCCTCGACGTCCCCGCGGACCTCCCCGCAGTCGTCCTCCTCGTCGCCGTCCTCTACGAACACCTCCTTCCCCGCGAGCCTGCTGTACACGGCCTTGCCGCCGCGGCGCGACACGGGGGTCGCTGGGGCGGCCCGCGCGGGGTCGCCGGGGTGGCCGTCGCCGACGAGCTCCCACGCGGGGTCGTCCGCCGCGGCGATGGCGTCCCGGAACGCGGCGGCGGCGCGCTGCGGGTCCGGAGGTCCGTCGGGGAAGACCGCGTGCACTACGGCGCGCGTGAGGATCATGCGGTGCCGCACGGGGGTCGCGGCCGCCCCGCGCGCGCACGTCTCGAAGTCCCGGGAGATGGTGGCGTTGAGACACGGGTTTTGGTGGTAGATGCCGACCTTGAGCTGCGCGCGACACTTGGCCAGTGCGCCCCGCCGCGGATCGATGACGTCGCAGCGCACGCCGTTGAGGTTCTCCAGCACGAACGCGAGCTCGCCCTTGCCCCCCGCGACGTCCAACACCCCCCCGAGCCGCATCAGGTCCTCCCCGAACACGCGCACGAGGAAGTCGCGGAAGAGCTTCGCGCGGCCGCGCTTGAGCACCTTCCGCCGCTGCCGCTCGCCGCCCCGCGCCTCGCCCCTGCGCCCGCTGCCGTTGTGCGGCCGGAGCGCCAGCGCCCCGCGCTCGTGCTCGGGGTGCGAGAAGAAGCACCGGCCCCCGTCGCTGTCGAAGAGGCACGCGCCGCGCCGCAGCCAGTGCTTGCAGGGCGGCGGCGCGGGCAGGACGCCGCCGTTCGCCCGCGCCGCGCACGACGGGTGCACGTACAGCCGGCGGGCAGCTTGTGCCGCGCCCTCCGCGGGGACGTCGACCGGCCACATGCGGCCGCCGGGCTCGACGCGCTGCCCGCAGTACCAGCAGTCGAAGCGCTGCGCGGCGCAGGAGGCGGGGAGCGGTGGTCAGCGCGCGCGTGACCTCGCCTCGCGCACGCGCTCTCAGCGAGCGCGCCGTGCGGTCGGACGGGTGTAAAGCGCGTCGTCGAGCGCCAGCTGCGCGGCACGCGCAGTGTTGTGCGCGGACAACGGCATCGGGCGCACCTTCCGCGCTGTGAGCGGTTCGCGCGAGGGCGATTCAGTTTGCCTCGCCGGCTCCGCCGTTGCCGGCGCGCACAGCGCGGTGCCGGCCATCGGCCGATGCTCAACTCCCCCCCTAGATCGTGAGCATGCGCGAGTCCAGCGCGGCGCCCTCGAGGGCCTCTCACACGCGCGCGGCGGAGTGAGGCGTTCCGGCGTTGGTTGGCTGCAGCGTACGGGGGCTGTCCGCCTTGCGATGCGTTTCCGATCGTATTGAAGGTGTGTTTCCAATCCAAAACCTCAAACCGTGGCGCGCACGCACACGCCCGCCCCGTGTCGAAGCCGGTCGGCCCCTCGGAGTGCTGAGCACTGCTCCGGGCACTGGACGACTCACTGTCCACGGGGAACCGCGCCCCCCCCCGGCCCCAACGCCCCGCGGCCCGCCTCGCCCCCTGCATTGCGCTGTCCGACGAGGGCCGGACCCGCACGTTGCATCCGCACAGGGCGCGAACGGCGCGTTCGAAGCACTTGTCCCTGGTCCCCACTGGTAACAGCGGCGCGCGGGGGAGCTCTCCCCGATCCATCGCGCCGAACCGACGACCCAAGGGCCACTCGCGGCGGGCAGTACCGTGGAGGCATGCCCGTCGCCCTGCCGGGCCCCGCGGCCGCCCTGCAGGCATCTTCCGCAGCCAGCAGCAGGGGCGTGCCATGCGGCGCTGCTTCGTTGAACCCGCCGCAAGCGTCCGCCGCCTGCCCGAGGCAGTTGAGACTGATGGCGCAGGGCGTCCGGGGTCTCAACCGGCGGCCGGTGGAGCGCCGCGCGCGAGGAACGACTAGGACTCGGGTAGCCCACGTCGCCCGCGGGGGCGCAAGCGTGGCCGCGCGGCCCTTCAGACCCGGCGAGCAGAGGGGCATACATCGCAGCAAACAAGGTGCGGAAATGCACGCGTTGGGGTGCACGGCACGCCGGGTCCGCGCGCCTGCCCTCCTCATGGTCACCAGGCCCGCCCCGGCCCCGCAAAACGCGCAATGTGCGATGAAAGTGCCCCGGAGCATCGGTCTTTCGACCGACCCGCGGCCGGACATGCCGATCCCCAACGCCACCGCGCGCGCACTGCCCTGTTCAGACAGCAATACGTGGCGCGGCACAGCTGCACAACGTTTCGAGCCCCGCCGCGCATTCCGCCAACGTTCCCCCTCATCCCGCTCCCTGCGCGCAGAGACACTTCCCTTCTCCCGCCCGGGCGCGCCGAATGTCCGCACGCACGCGTCCCGCGGCCGCCAGACCGCCTACACCGCGCACGTTGACCAGCCGAAGCAGGCCGAGGCCCCGCCGCGCCCGCTCCCGCCGGCCGAGGACCCCGCCGCCGCGCCCCAGGCCGAGCCCGGCGCCCCCGCGGTCCCGGGCCCCCTCGGCGCGCTCTTCCACTCCCCCTACGACGACTCCATCGCCCGCGTGGCCGCACCGGCGCTGCTCGCGCTCGCCGCCGACCCGCTGCTGTCCCTCGTCGACACGGCCTTCGCCGGGCACCTCGGCACGGACGCGCTCGCCGCCGTCGGCGTCAACAGCGCGTTCGGGCTGATCCTCGTGTTCAACTGCCTCGGCACCACCATCACGCCGCTGGTCGCCGCCGCCATGGCCGAGGGCCGCCCGGAGCGCGCCGCGCGCGCCGTGTGGCAGGCCGGCGCCGTCGCGCTCGCGCTCGGCGTCGCGATCTCCGCGTCGCTCCTGCACTGGTCGGCCGACGTGCTGCAGTCCCTCGGCGCCAACCCCGCCGACGCCGCGACGTTCGCCATGGCGGAGGACTTCTTCCGGTGGCGCGCGCTCTCCGCGCCGGCCGTGCTGCTCGCGATCGTCGGGCAGGGGGCGTTCCGCGGCGTCGCTGACATGAAGACTCCCCTCCGGATCGTCCTGTTCACCAACGCGCTCAACCTGGCCGGGGACTACCTGTTCCTGGTGCACCTGAACACGGGCGTGTCCGGGGCGGCCGTCGCGACCACGTGCGCCGAGTGGACCGCGGCGCTGGCGTACCTGTACTACCTGACGGCGGGGGGGGGGGTCTCCGCCGACACGGGCAAGGAGGGCGAGGCCGCGGCGCCGCGGCTGTCGCTCTGGCCGCCGCCGCCCGCGCCGTGCGGCGGGGACGAGCTCGCGGAGATGGGCGCGCTCGCCGCCGGCGGCGCCGCCGTCCTCCTGCGCACGTCCCTCCTCCTGGGCACCAAGACGGCTGCCACGGTGCGGAACACCCGCGCCCGCGCTCCCCGCCCCCGCGCAGCGAACGGCTGCACTCGTGCCGATCTCACCCGCCGCCGCTCGTTCGCGCCGCTCGTTCGCGCAGGTGGCGGCCACGCGGCTGGGCCCAGTGCCGGTGGCCGCACACCAGGTGGTGACGCAGCTGTGGACGCTGTCGTCGCTGATGTGCGACTCGCTCGCGGTGTCCGCGCAGTCGCTCGTGGCCGCGAGCCTCGGGCAGGGCGACTTTGGGACGGCGCGCGGCATCTCGCAGCGGCTCATGCAGCTCGGCGTGGGCCTGGGGGCGGTCATGGCGGGCGGGCTGGCGTTCACGTCGCCGGTCCTGCCGGGCCTCTTCACCGGTAAGCGCACGCGCCACGCCGCCCGCCTCGCGCCGCCGCGCGCCACCCGCTCGCGCTGCTGCTGCGACGCCGACCGCGGCTGCGCCGTCCCGCGCGTGCAGACGACCCGGCGACCGCGGCGGCGATCTCGTCGATCCTGCCGATCGCGATCCTGTCGCTGCCCGTGAACTGCTCCGCGTACGTCCTCGACGGCATCATGGTGGCGGCGCGTGAGTACATCTTCATGGCCGGGGCCGCGGCGGTCGCGGGCGCCGCGACGCTGGCGGCGCTGGCGAGCGCCGAGGAGGCCGGGATGGGCCTGCAGGGCGTGTGGGTGGCGATGGTGACGCTCATGGTGTGCCGCGCTGCGTCGCTCATGTGGCGCGCCCTCGCGCCGGACTCGCCGCTGCGGGACCGGCCCAGGGCGGACGAGGAGTGACGCGGGTACGAGAGTCTTATTTGAGGGGGCACTCCGGGTCCGGGCGACTGCGCGGCCGCGAAGTGGAGGGTTGCTGTGTGATGTTGTCACGCACGTGCGATGGCGGTCGGACGTACGCGGGGGCGCGAACGAACCGTGCGACCTCGCAAGGGCGCCGGAGACCGGGTCGGACGCCAGGGGGTTCCGTCGGCTTCGACCCTGCTGGCGTCAGGCTCACTGTGTCAGGCTGACCGAGATTGTCGATGTCAGCGGCGCGCGTGTTGGGCTGAATGCACGGCCGCGGTGTGCGCTCCGTAGACGTGCACGTTGCGAGTAATCACAGGTAGCTGGCGGCGTTGAAGCTCCCCGACAACGAGCGTGGGCAGGACCTGCATTCTCGGAAGTGACTGGTCGGTAGCTCGGCGGATTCAGCCCGGCGATAGGGCACATGCGCCTCCTCGGCGAACAGGCTAGGAAGGAACGCATGGGGCACTGAGTAGGGGCAGTCAAGCGGCCCGTGATGGACGGGCGGCACCCCCGTTGGCTGGCGCCGGCTGGTGAGTGCCCGTGAGACACTCTCACGGCGAGGTTTCGTGGTAGTTCCTGGCGCTTCGGATGGCATCATCCGTAGAGGCCCTCGGCGTCGCATGACGTCGGCCGGGGAGAGGGGCAGACGCATCGCAAGTGCCGTCGCTCCTTCCAGCTGCCTCTGCAACACCCGAGATCCGGGCGTGGAGAGATAGACACCCTCTGCCACTGCACCGGCAGAATCCACGATGACCGGTGTCGCCGTTGATCCACGGATACGTTCTGTCATAGCTTTCACAGGCGGTTATTGCGCAAGAGGAATCTGCCTCTCTCTCGCCCCTGATTACTCTCCGACCGCCCCGCCAGACTTGCGCTATTGCGGCAGTGACAATGTATGCCATATGAGTATTCCAAATCAATGTTTTTCCGTTCAAATTATGCACTGCAGGCCCCCCCGGCGCGCCATATGGGAACCGCCCACCACACGGCCCCTCGCCAGGACCGCCGTGGCAGGTTCCACGGGGTCTGCCTCACCCCCCGGTGCTCCAACCACCTCCAGGCTCCGCGCCGCCGTACGTTCCACGTCCGGACGGCTATCCTCACGCCGGACAGCCGGTCGCCTTGCCCCCTCCGCCGCGCCCCCCGCATCTACCCGCGAACTACGGACACGCGGGCAGCGCACACGCGCCACGCTTCCCGCCCTGGCCAGCGGCAGCCCCGCCCCCGCCCGGGCCGCCGCCCGGACCGCCACACCCCCCCTTCGGGGCCCCACGCGCCCCCCCGGCGTCTCTGGCACCGCCGACAGCATCGGCACCGCGCGCAGCAGCCGCCGCCCCGCCCGCCCGCCGCCCGCAGCCGCGGCCCGCGCCCACCCGCGCCACCCCGCGCGCCCAACCCCGCGCCCACCCCGGCGGCGGCCCCGCCCCCGCCCACCCCTGCCATCTCCGACGCGCTCAAGGCCGCGATGGCCGCGGCGGCGCAGCTCGCAGCGGCAGCGCACAAGCCCGCGGAGCCCCCTGCACCCGCGCCTGTGGCCCAGCCGCCCCAGACGCAGCCCCAGGGCGCGGGGCAGAAGATTCGTGCGGGGGCGTTTGTCATGGGCGCCGGCTCTAAGGTGGCGTTCAAACCGCGAGCGAAGCCAGCGATCGCGGCCCCGCAGCTGCCGGTGGACGTGGGCGGTGTGGCCGTGCCGGGGGCGGCGGAGCCGCGGCAGGAGGCGCAAGCGCAGGGCGGCGCGGGAGGGGTGGCTGTGCCGCATGCGGCGGCAGTTGCTGTGGCTGGGGACACGGTCGAGGTACCTGCGGACAGGAGCGAGCAGAAGGACGGCGAGGGCGACGCGACGGAGCATCGCGGGCGCGGGCGCTCGCGGGAGGCGCCATCTAGCACGCGCAAGCGTCGCCAGGGGCGCAGCCCGAGCCGGGATCGCAAGAGGGACCGGCGGCAGCGGCGGAGCCCGTCGCGCGATCGGGGCCGTAGGTCGCGGAGCCGCAGCCGAAGCTACAGCCGCGGTCGCAGCCACCATCGCCACAGTCGCAGCCGCAGCTACAGCTCCTCTCCCGGCCGGAGCAGGAGCAGGAGCAGGAGTCGCAGCCGGCGGCGCTGGAGCCGGAGCCCGCGGAGCCGCAGCCGCGGTTCCACGCGCAGCAGGACTCCGTCGAGCGACAGCAGGGGCGGCCTGCGCTCACGCAGTCGCAGCAGGCGACGGAGTCGGTCATGGAGTCGGCATCGCCGGTCTCCGGACCGCAGACAGCGACGGAGCGTCGGGAGGGACCGCCGTCGGGAGGACAGGGGCGACGCGAGGCGGCGTGCGGGCCGCCGATCGCCAGTGGACCGCCGCCGCCGCTCTCCGGCGCGCCGGGGCCCGCGGCGACCGTCCCTGTCGCCGAGCGCATACTCCCTCAGAGGACGCACGCCCTCGCCGCGGCCCGAGCACCGCAGCCCCCTCCGCGCCCGCCGCGCGCCCGACCCTGCCGCAACGCCAACCAAGCCCCACACCCCCCCGCCGGCGCCCGCGCCGGTCTCGGCGCCCGAGCCTCTGATCGAGCTGCCGAGCGACGACCTCCTGGATAGGCTCGCGGAGGGCGCGGCGTTCGAGCTGCGGCGCCACGTGTGCCCGCCCCCCTCCAACGGGCTGTGCGAGTGGTGCAAGCGTCGGGCCGAGGAGCTCGTGCTGCACCGCGGCATCACCGCGTGCCCGCGTGCGTGCGCGGACGCGCTGCTGCCGTGGGGCGCGGAGGCGCGCGAGCCGACGGCGAGCGGCGTGAGCGAGGGCGTGCTGGCGGCGTTGCGGCAGGAGGCGACGGATCGGCACGCGGCGCGGCCCGGGGCGGACTGGACGTCGCAGGACGACGCGGAGATCAAGGAGAAGGACGTCGCGGAGCCGATGATCGGGGCCGCTGGGTACGACCCCGCGCGGCACGCGGAGCCGGTGCCGTTTGGCGACGCAGCGGGGGGGGGTCCCGCAACGGACCCCAGGGTGCCGGTCAGGCAGCGCATGGGCGGCGGCGGCGGCGCATGGTCGCTGCCGCTTCCGACCTGGGCTGTGCGGCCGCAGCTGCTCGCGGCATCGATGCGGCATCGGCAGTCGGCGGCTGCGGCAGCGGGGCCCGGGCCCGTGTGGGACGCGTACGGCCGCAACGAGCCTGTGTGGGCGGCACCGAGCGTGGGCACGCCCGACAGCGACGACGAGTCGTGGCCGGGCACCGCGATCGACGACGAGGTGCGGCGGTTGCTGGGGCTGTCGGAGAGAGCAGATGTGGCGGGGCAGCCGCCAGACTAGTGGCCTGGGGGCGCCGCGAGCGCCGGTGTGAAGAGCGGCACGCAGGAACCCGCTGGTGGTCGCGAGAGGCGCCTGGCTGCATCAGTAGGGGGGGTCTGAGTCATGCCTGACTGAGCCTGAGGCTGCCTCAGAGGTGCGCTACTGCGGTTACCTACGAGGCTCGGCCCGTTCGGTGACGTTCGTCGCAAGTGCACGAGTGACCCTTGAAGCTGCTTCCTCCTGTCAGACAATTCGTGGGGAGAGAGTGACAAGGCGCAGAGAGAGACGCTCAGTGGCACGATGGGCAAGCCCACGGTCGTTCTCGGGGCAGGAGGGCCGACTGGGCAGGAGTGCGTCGCCGCGTTGTTGAAGGAGAAGCAGGGACCCGTTCGCGCGGTTGTGCGCAATCCCTCGAAGTACACGGGCGTCGAGAAGCTGGCTGGGGCTGAGCTTGTCGGGGGCGACGTCAGCGACCGTGCCAGCCTTGACGCGGCCATGTCGGGGGCGAAGAACTGCATTTTTGCCGCCAGTGCGTCCAGCTACTTCGCGCCTGGCGCCGTTGACAGGGACGGGGTCGGCAAAGCCGCGGATGCAGCCAAGGTTGGTCGTGTGGCATTTCACATGGGCGCAGGATGGCCAGCGTTGCACGGGCACAGCTGACTGCACTCGCTCTGCTTCCTCTGCAGGCGGCCGGCCTCGAGCGGTTCGTTCTCGTGTCGTCGATGCTGGTGACGCCGCGGAACCGGTGGGACAAGCTGCGCCTGCTGCTGAACAACATCCGGTGGGGGCTCATGGACGCCAAGTTCGCGGGCGAGAACCTGCTGCGCAAGAGCGGCGTCCCGTACACCATCGTCAGGCCGGGGGGTCTCAAGAACCAGGAGGGCAACCACGAGGTGGTGGGCGCGCAGGGCGACGACAGGGCCAAGTTCCCGCAGCCGTACACGTCGATCGCGCGCGCCGACGTGGCGCGCGTGTGCGTGGCGGCGCTGCGCGACCCCGCCGCGGAGGGCAAGACGTTCGAAGTCGCCAACAAGAACGCAGCGGCCTCGGCCAAGGACGCGCCGGTGCTGACCGCAGCCAAGGCCGGCTGGCCCGACATCAAGAACTTGTTCAGCGCACTCAAGCGCGACGACGAGCTCGCGTGACGCGGGGTTCGCCCCCGCAGTGCGCATGCGTGTGACAGCTTCGCCTGTGGCCCACAGACAGGCAGGTGGCCTCCTACTTTGGTCCGTATGGCACTCGCATTTTGATGCGGGCGTGGATGCTTGTCGTGTTCGGATTACGTTGCATTCCGATGCGCTGCGTGGCTACCGGTGCAGTGGCAGCGAGGGGGCTATGATGTCGGCCCTGTGTCGCGTGGCAACGACGGTCAGGGCGTTCGGCCGGTCGTTGTTGGCGATGCGCTGCTTGCTGACAGCGACGGGGATGCCCATCGCGACCTGCCGCCCGATGACCCGCGACATGGCCTTGTCGACGTCTACGTCGATGAAAAACGACAGGTCCAGCAGGCCGCGAATAGACCCCCAGGGGGGAGTTTCCAGCAACAAGTAGTTTCCCTGCGGCGGGCAACGCAGTCTCAACGGCACGCGTCTGCGAGGCCGAGCAGCAGGTTGCGTGGGAGACTGTTGTGCTGACAGAGCACGATGGCAGCGCACCTCCACTATGACGACCTCGGTCTCTGCGTCGATCTCGATGTCATCTTGCACGGGGTCCTTGACCCGGTGGTCGAACGACGGGCACTTGAGCCGCCCGCCCTGCGCTGAGGCTGCCAGCACAGCGTCAACAAACGCGACCGCATCGAACGTGAACGGCGCACCACGGCGATCGTGTGCGTGTTTCGGATCCGCCATCGCATCGAGCTGGTGCCTGTAGTAGTGGAACCCGTCCATCGGCAGAATCCTGCACAGGTGCAACACCAAGCACCAAAGGGTCAAACATTTGCACTTTCATGCGCAAGAACCGCCGGTTGGCAGCCCTGCGTCGACAGGGCCATGGCAGCGGGGCCGGACGTACTGGCACGAGACGCCTCTGAAGGTCAGACTGTCCCGCACGCGGAGCGCGGCCGTCGACTTGCCCGACCCCGGGCAGCCGACGATCCCGACGAGGACACGCGCTGGCCCGCGCACGGGGCGGCTGGCCTCCAGTAGCGCTGCGATGCGGTCGGCCATCTCCTCGTACACCTCTTGCATGAACTTGTGCCCGGTCATTACCAGCTGCAGACAGCGCTGGTCAGTTGTGATGGAACAACCACTTTGCTTCGCGCTAGCGTCGGAACGCGGGCGTCGCGAGGAACGCAGCGCGTGCCACGTTCGATTGCGGCGTCAGGCCGTGCGCCGGGCAGCTCGAGCGGCTTTCGGAGGCGCGCCCACCTGTGGCCGCTGCTGGCCGCTTTCTGTGCCTGCCGTCTCCGGTGCCCATGGCGGCGGCCGGCGTGGCCCTGAAGCTTCTGGAATACAGTTCCGGTGGACTCGACACCGTTGCTTGCCCCACGCGTCCCACAACCTCCTGCGAAGGGACAAGTGGTCGCAAGGGGCACGTGGCTGCGCTCCCACGCCTGTGACATGCGAAACCTTTACTGCATGCACTGCACTGAAACGTAAGCTCTCCGTATGGCGCGGCCACTGCCGCACCTCGGCGATGCACCCGCGACAGGGACCCTGCGAGCATTGGCGTGGGCAGGGTCGCGAAGTGGCCGTGGTTGCACGCTGTAGATCGTGGACGGCGCCATGGATGCAGCGGGAGGGTGGAACCATGGAAGGCCTGCAACCGCGCCCGACGATCGCAGACTCATCGCCCCTGGCCCGCCCGCCCCGCCCGGCCCCCAACAGTGCATTTTTTTTCCTTCAGGGGCCTCCAGCCCCGGGCCTCGACCTTCTCCGTTGCTTCCGGCTCACGAGCGCATGCTCCAGACTCAGAGCATTCACGTGGAATACGGTCCACTAGATATGCGCTGAATCTGCGCTGGAACTAGCCGGGGAGAGAGTGTTGCCAGTGCACCGGCGATCGCCACCGAGCGCATGCGGGCGCGCCCCTGCGCATTCAGTCTCAGCCGGCTCTGGAGTACAATGTCGCACCATCCCACGCACTTCGGTGCCCCGGCCTGTTCGCGCTGCGTGGCGCGGGCGGCCGGTTTGCTAGCACTCCATCCACGTCCGCGACACGCAGTGGCGGGGGAAACCAGGCCGCCGCGCCGGACAAGGCGTCGAATGATGGAGAGGCTGCGTCCCTGCGCGGGCGTTGCGGAGGCAGCGGGCGTGAGACTGTCGCGAGAGGACTTGGTAGCTCTCAAGGGGAAACTGCCGCTGAGTACCGCGGCCGAGCTGCCGGCGGGGTTCCGGCCGCCCGTGATCTCCCCCGACCCCGCAGAGTACGAGGCGCAGTGCGAGGAGAAACGCCAGGTGAGCCCGAGCCGAACTGTTCGACTGCGTGGCACGCGATCATGCTCATGTGCCGCAGCGCATCGCGACGCCCGAGCTGGGGTTTCGCCCGAAAAGTAGGCTGGCAGTGTCACAACACTCTGGCCATCGCCCCCCCCGCCCCCGCTCGTTCCGCAGCGTGTCCTGGAGTTGTTTGGCGAGCTCGGGGTGACGGACGTGGAGGTGTTCCGGAGCGCGCCCCTGCACTACCGGCAGCGCGCTGAGTTCACCATCTGGCACGACCGCGAGGCCAACACCGTGGTGCCGGTCATGTACGCCGCGCCGCTACCTGGCACGAAGATGGAGGGTGGCAAGGGGAGGGTGTACGCCATCCCGCTGGAGGTCCCCCTCGCGAGTCCAGGGTTCACTGTCGCCAGCGAAAAGATCAACGCCGCGCTGCAGCACATCCTCGCCAAGGCGGGGGAGTCCGAGGTGCTGAAGACAAAGCTGTTCCAGATCAACCTGCAGACGACGCTCTCCGGCGAGCTCATGGCGTCGCTGCTGTACCACCGCAAGCTGGACGCGGAGTGGGAGGCGGCCGCCGCGGACCTGCGCGACTCGCTCGCCGACGCGACGGACCTGCCGCGACCAGAGGCGGCCGTGGGGGAGGCCAGCACGACGCTGCGGCGCGGCGAGGCGCCGGAAACCGGCGCGGGGGGGGTGTCGGACGCTCTGCCGCGCGCTCCGTCCATCATCGGGCGCTCGCGGCGGCAGCGCATCGTGCTCGGAGACGACGCCGTGGTGGAGGAGTTCGAGCTGCAAGGGCGGGGCAAGCTGCGGTACCGGCAGGTGGAGGAGTGCTTCTCGCAGCCCAACGGCGCGGTGTGCAGGTCGATGCTGGAGTGGGCGAGGGACGCGGCGCGCGCGTGCGGCGGCAGGGGCGCCCTGGTGGAGCTGTACTGCGGCAACGGCAACTTCAGCGTGGCGATGTCCGACCTGTTCGACGAGGTGCTTGCCACGGAGATCTCGCGCACGTCGGTGCGTGCGGCAAAGTGGAACGCCGCGACGAACGGCGCCGCCAACGTCCGCGTCGCGCGCATGAGCGACGAGCAGTTCGCGGCCGCGTGGCACGCCGGCGAGGCGTGCGAGCACCTGGGCGTGCAGGACTGGGCACAGCACGACCTGCGCTGTGCACTTGTGGACCCGCCGCGCGCGGGCTGCGACCCCGGCACGGTGCGGCTGTTGTCTGAGTTCCCCCGCGTGATTTACATCTCCTGCAACCCGGAGACGCTCCTGCGCGACGCCCGTGCGCTCGCCGAGACGCACGAGGTCGAGCGGATGGCGATGTTTGACCAGTTCCCCTACACGCACCACTCCGAGTGCGGGATGTGCCTGGTCAGACGGTAGGGCTGTGACGTCCGGGCAAGTCCTGCTCGCCGCACTGATCGCGTCTTAGGCGTGCCGGTGTCGTGGTCGCTCAGCTGGGGACTGAAATATGCTGGTGGTCGCAGCAACACGGCTGCCACGCATCCACTGGGTGCTCGCTGGCCCAAAGCCACTCCTCACTGCGAGGGGGCTGGCAGATCGAAGCAGACATTCGTAATGAACTTTCAGTCTGACGTTTGTCACACTGCATGTTCAATACAAATGTGTCAAAACCGGAGGTCACAATTTCGTTTCACAATTTCGTTTCATTTCCGACTGTACCATGGACGCCACACGCGGCGTAGCGGAGACGCTGACGGCGGCATTGCGCGCTCTCTGTCACCCTGACGAGGCGCACGCGGTGTGGCGCTCGCAGCTCTTCGCCGGCATCCCCGAGGACCTCGTGCCTCCGTTTCGGCCGTTTATGACGAACAGCCACGACGGTGTACGCGAGATGGTGCAGGAGTACAACCGGTGTTCGCAACCGCGACACGCGGCCGACACTCGGAGGGCCCCGTGCTGGACGGCGCCGACGTGACGCGCCTGTACACGCACATCCCGCACGGCGATGACGACGTGAACGGGCGGGGCCTGATCAACCGGGTCTGTCACTACATCTCCTTGGTGCACTCCGTCAACCACCCTGGCGAGAGGCTGTACCTGCACCTGCGCCGCGGCCTGGACGATCCTGCCTGGTCGTGGCTGCCGCACGACGCGAACCCGGAGGAGGCGTGGGCCGAAGACGACCCCCGGCGCAACTTCTACGTGCCGGGACTCCCCCTTCTGCACGAGCTCGTTCGCTTCCTCGTGACGAACTCGCACGTGTACTTCGGGGTCGAGATGGTCTACCGGCAGCGCGCTGGGGTCCCCATGGGCCTCCCGTGCTCGCCATACTTCGCCGACGTCTACATGTTCATGTACGAGCTCGACTTTCTCCTACAGTTCCGCAACCGCTGGGAGGAGTCGGGCGACCTCGCATGGCTCTCCGTGCTGTCGAGGTTCCGCTTCGTGCGGCGCTACATGGACGACAACCTCTCGGTGGGCAACCCATGGTACCGGTATTTCATTTCCAACCCCCGCCCCCCACTCCCCCCCGACACCCCCCCCTCCATCTCCCACGCCCTCCCCTCCCTACGCAACATCTACCCGCCCTGCCTCTCCCTCGTGCTGGACCGCCCGTCGGACCCCCTCGACGGCGTGACCTTTCTTGACCTGCGTGTGCGCCCGCACCCGCACTACCCCGCGTACCTGCTAGTGTCGCACTACGACAAGCGGTCCGACTTCCCCTCCCTCGACGTGATCCAGTACCCGCATATCACCAGCGCCTTGATGCGCAAACACCTTTACAACATCATTTACACGGAACACATCCGTATCGCCTCACAGGTGACCGACCGCGATAGCTACGTTCACGCTCTGGCCGCCAAGATCCGCTACATGATACACGAACGCGGGTATGACAGAACGCGCCTATATCGCCAGCACCGGACTGCATGCTTGAAACACGCTGTCCCACACTTTGCGCCCGCCACGCCAGAGGGTGTTCACGACCTCGTTGTCCGCGAAGTCGCGCGCCTTGACGCGGCCCGCGCACCCGCGAACCACGCGTACCCCGTCGACCGCACCCGACACGCGCCGTCGTACCACGCCCCCGCGCTGGCAGCGTGGCTTTCAGCGATCTCCCCGTGAACGATTACGGCTAATACACCCCCTCCCCCCCCAAACCCGACCCCCCCCCGCCCTCCACTCCCCCTCCCTCCCTCCCCCTCCCTTCCCTCCCCCAACCCCCTTCCTGGGGCCGTGCGGGTGTTCCGCGGCCCTGGAGCCCCATGACAACGTCATCGTCATGTTAACGATCACACGCACGAGCTTCCTGGGCACTGCACCCCCACCCCTGACAACCACCACGCGGATCCGCTGCTCAACGTGTGCTTCCAGGAGCGGCCCGAGTAGCGGGTGACGTGAGGGGCTGTCACCTGACATGCGTGATGTCATGCATGCTGTCTTGCTGGGCAGGGTCGCCGGCCGACGACATCGGGACGCGTGGTGGGGCTTGCCGACGAGTACCCGCACGCCCGCGGGGCTCGTCACTCATCGAAGACTTCACTCGAGCTGCGTGCGCAGGTGATTGGGACCCCGACACTTGTTGCTGCAGCTTGCTCATCCTGCGTGCGGGTACTCCACCGCGTCGTTGCTCGGCCACCCCTTTCCTTGGTTATCGTGACCTCCGGTGTGACACGTTTGTCACACTGCATGTTCAATACAATAATTTATTGTATGGTTAAACCAAGGAAAGGGGTGGCCGAGAGCAACGACGTGGTGGAGTCGTCACTCGCTGCGGGCGATTGTTTGACTTCGGTCGCATCCCGTGGCGAACGACGGACGCACAAAACCCCAGCACCCACCTGCGTGATCGTGCAAGGGCGCTCAGCCACTGCTCCCCATGAGCGTGCGGAGCAGTGTACGTTTGGGGACGCCCATTCGTCACTTGGGTTCCCTCGCCCTTGCGCGCGCCTCACATAGCGAGGAGAGACATTATGATTCGAAGTTTGCCTGCTGGGCATCGTTCCGCCTCTGCCCACGCGCTAGTGGTGTGGAAGCGTCAGTGTCAGCCGTTGGTGCCCCGAAACGCGCTGCCGACGAGCGGCGCGCTCTTGAGACGTCAGTCCAAGAGGAACCGCGTCGGTCCGGCGCCCACGGGTTGACTGGATGATGCATGCGTGGGGGTAAAGGTCTCCCACGTAGCGGAGGCGCTGGTGTCTCAGGCGCGGAGCAGGAAGCTCGGCGGGCATGCTGTTCCGGGAGCGCCGGGCTGCCGTGGCGGGCGGAGCATGGCGTGGCGTATTTGCCTGGCTGGTTCCAGTTCTACTTATAACTATCCAGTAGGAGGCGTGGGTGGGGCATGGGGGAGAGAGCACGCGATGGCCGCAAGAGAGGGGGGGCGGGCAACCGCGGAAAAAGGATGGTTGGAGCTAAGTAGGGAAGGCGACGGGCTGGGGGGGGGGTTAGGAATATTGAGGAACGGCGACAGCATGCTCGCACTCGGGTACCTCGAGCTTGCGCGCCAGCTACTCCTCGTGCACGACGGCGCCGTCGCTGCCCACCTCGGAGCCGTCTGACACCACGCTCATGCGCAGCTCGAGGGCGTCTGACGGCTTCATTTGCTCGCACACGCTTTCGAACGCCGCGCGCCGCCCCTCCAGCTCGCGGAGCTTTTCCGCGATAGGCGCGGGCAGGTTCGCCGGGACGGCTGCATGCACGCCCGCGCCGCCCCCGCCCGTCGCCGGGCGCGTGACGCCGCCGCGGAAGAGGATTTCCTCCTTGTACAGGTTGACCCACTTCTCGTAGTTGGGCAGCATGTGCGCCGTGAGGGACTCGAGCTCCGGGAGCGTCTTGAAGACCACGGTGAGGAGCGGCGCGACGATGACCTCGAGGAAGGACAGCTGCGTCTCCGTGGACGCCTGCGCGCGGTCGAACATGGGTGTGACGGGAAGGCTCTTGTCGCGCTGCAGGTCGCCCTGCCGCCAGAACTCCTCGTTGACCAGCCGCGCCCATCGCTCCGCGCTGTGCCACGGCTTGAGCGTGTGCCCGATGTCCGCCGCGTGCATGAGGCCCGCCAGGAACGTGTTGCGGTCCACGACCGGGCCCTCCCCGTCAGATCCGCGCGAGCCTTCTCCTTGGCTGCTGCGCGCCAGGTTGGCGGAGAGCGCTTCGAAGCGCGCGAGGAGGTCGAAGTGCTCGCTCATGTCGGTGTGCAGCACCAGGTGGATGATGAGCGCGCGGACGTACACCTTGGTGTCCGGCTGGAGCGCCTCGAGGAGGCGCGCGGGGCCGTGGTTGAGCAGCGAGAAGAGGAGGTAGAGGTGGTGCTGCTCCTGCACGGACCGGTCGTTGTACCGCAGCGCGAGCTCGTGACCCGTCTGCACCAGGTACTGGTTCGACACCCCCAGGTGGCCCAGGTCGTGGCCCAGCGCGGCGACCATCGCGGCGAGGCGGTCGACGGTCGGCACGAGCTCGAGCGCGCTCGGGCTGTGGAACAGGAACAGGAACAGGCGGTGCGTCACGTCGATCGCGTGCCGGAAGTTGTGGTAGGGGTTGTCGAGGTACTTGCTCTGCAGCCCGTCCAGGAAGACGCGCAGGCAGTCCGGCGTGACCAGGCCCTCGTCGAACAGGCACAGCTTGTCGAACATCCGCACCACGCCCGCCTTGAGCTTCGCGACCGGGGCCGTCAGCGTCGCCCACTCCATGGACTCCAGCGAGGCCTCGTCGCCCGCCGACCACTCCAGCGCGGCGCTGCTGCCCGAGGGACTCCCCGTGACGCTGCGCGCGAGGGTCTGCTGCAGCGAGGACCGGTACCGCCCCAGGCTGTCCAGCAGGGACGCCTTGGGCGTGCTGGGGGGGCCGCTGATCGGCGTGCTGCCCGGACTGCACGCGGACATGTCGCGGCTGCGACCAGGGGGCGGCGGGGCGGCGGGGCGTCAGGCACGCAGCGGGCGGGCGTAGAGCGGTGGGCGGCAGGCGGGCCTGGCCGGGGTGGGGTGGGCGGTGTGTTGTTGCGCACCTCTCTGCGCGGATGACCGAGGACGAGTACTGGGAGATCCACGCGTCGCCGCTCTCGTTGCTCACGTAGGACATCAGCCGGCTCTGCCTGAGCTTCCGAATGATGTTGGAGTCGGAAGGCATGAGGATGGACTGCAGGGCGCCGCGCGAGAACGGGTCCTGCACGGCGCGCGGACTCGACCCGGCGACGATCGGGAGGATGCTGATCGACGCGCCCCGCGAGACCCGCCGCAGGGGGCCGTGCCGGGGCATCGAGCCCGCGGCGTGCGTCAGGGTCCCCCCTGCTTGCTCCGACGCCAGCGGCGCCACCGCGCTCCACTCCCCCTCGCCGCGCGACGCGACGCGCGAGCTCGGAACGGGCACGGTGGGCGACGCCGGGGCGGGAGAGTGGGGCGAGTGCGGGGACGGCGCCTGCTTCGCGTCCTCGTCGTCGCAGCCCTCGGCAAACGAGGGCTCTGCGAGGCGGGACGGGCGGCCCCGCTGTGACGACGACTTCTGCGTATCTATCGCCTCGTCGTCCTCGTCGTCGCGCACGGACGGCAGGTTCCCGCCCAGGAACGCGTCCGGGTACCCGCCGTCGGTGCTCTTGTGGCGCGTCAGGTCCTCCATCCTGGACACCTTGCGCTGCTCCTGCTGGCTGAAGCGGCTCTGCGCCGGAGAGGCGCGCACGGGCAGGCCGCTGGCCGACGAGATGCTCGCCCGGACCGAGTCGGCCGCCCCGCCGGCGCCAGGCCTGGTGGCATCCTCCTCGTCCGAGTGCGTCGGGACGAGGCCGCCCCTGCTGACGCTGCTGGCATCGGCCTTGAGGATCGACCGCAGCGAGCTCAGCTTCTCTTCCGGCGCCGTGACGCGCGACATCCCGCGTTCGGGGGGACACCCGCTGAAGCTCGCGCGCAGGAGGCCCACGGCTTCGCCCGGGGCGCAAGGCATCGCCAGGTAGCGTCCGCTGTACTGCAGGCCGCCGAACACGGCGGCCGGTCCGGACTGTCCCTCGGTTGGCTGCGGCGTGATGGTCTGCGCCAGGGCTCCGATCATAATGGGCACGGCGATCGAGAACCCGCGCACGACGAGCACCGCGGTCGCCGACGGGATCCAACTGCCGGAGAGGTGGCTCAGGGGGACGACTGCGGCGCACGCGGCCAGCGTCGACGCAGCGCCGATCAGGAGGCGACCTCCAGCTGGCACTTGCCACCCCGCGCCGCGCGTCCTGAGCTGCGGACGAGCCAGCCCTGACGTGCGGAGAAGCGCCAGAATGCCGCGGAGAGCGAGCAGGAACGCCGTGCAGTGCGCGAGCGCGGGGAACAGCGCCTGCGCGGGGAGGGGAAGCACATGCATTGGATGGAGATGAGCGATGCCTCGCATTCCGGCGGCACCCACAGCGCGGGCCGCGGGGACCGCGGCATCGTGGAAAACAGCGGGCTTCTCGGCAGGAAAGGCGCGCGCGGCACAAGCGGGGCCAGGGGTCGCACCTTGCGCGCCACCTGCAGTGCTAGCAGTGGAGGCAGGCCAGACTCCGCCAACCACCGCTGCCGGCCGCCGACGTGCACCGCGTGGGTGGCGGTGAGCAGGAGACCGAGCCCAGTGTCGTAAATCGGGCTTCGTCCGTGCAGGATCCGATTCGCCAAGGTCAAAAACGCCGGGGACCCGGTGGTGGTGCCCGTGCCCGAAGGGGTCGTGGGCTCCGACTCCCTGCCGCTTGCAGTGTGCCTGACGAGCGGGGCCTGCCCCTTCGGTTCGGACTGCGTGGTCGAAGCGCCCTCGATGCACCACAGGCACACCAGGACGACGGTGAGCGCGAGCGAGAGCTTGATGGGCACCAGAGCCCTGGTCCCGTCGCCAGGGAGGAACAGCGCCGCAAGAAGACTCGCGGCGGCAGTTCCCACCCGCAGTGCATCTATGTGGTTGTGGTGCAGCGTCCCGCGAGCGCCGCGCAGCCCGAACGGCCCCGGCACGGATCCATTTCGTGCCAAGGCATAGTAGCCCGGTTCGTCCGTGGAGGCGGTCTTGAGCAGTTTGAACTGCGATGGCTCGCATTCAGACGCCCGTTCTTGCCCGCCGCTGCTCGCACGCTGGCCGTTCATGCTCCCCCGCAACAGGAAGGAGATCGGGGCTGGCCCAGTGCGCGTGGCTCCCTGCGGCCTCCCGTTGTCGGCCCCGTGCGCAGACACGCTGCCGACCCCGCTCATGATGGGGCCGGCAGTCAGGAGTTCGTATTGAAATGCAGGCTTTCCCCCCAAAGCATTCGTCACCAGCGTCGCGCCCGCGGTGGCACTCTGCGTGGATAGCTGCGGGGGGCTCTCATTCTCCTCGTGCCGCACGGTGCACGCACATGCTGCTGTGCGTTGATATCAGTGTGCAGATGCGCGTACGCTGGCTCGGCGGGCTGCAAAGAGCCCACTGGCAGCCAGGTCCTGGTCTCGTGTTGGCGATGTCAGCCCGGAGTCCACCGGGGTCCGGCGGACCGTCCGACGGCAGTGCCACGCGGCGCACTGCTGCGACGGACTCCACGCACTCTCGTCAGGTGTCCCTGCGGGGGGCCGGCTCTCCGCGCTGGGCGCCACCGCCAAACACGCAATGACGAGATCCTCCGCACCCGACTCGACCGCACGGTCCGCAGAAGAAGCGATTGACCACCCGCGCAGGAAATGAGATGCGGGTGCGCTGTCGTCCTGCTCAAGGCGGCGTCGTGCTGGGAGTACTCGCGAAGTCGGCGTCGCATGATTGGGTGTGTGCACTCAGTAATTGATTGGCGCGAAGTAGCATAAGACCACCCGCGCACGAAACGACATCCGGGTATGCCACCGCCAGGGAAGCAAGAGCCTGTGACCGCAATCGTATCCGGGCGAGCAGTCGTTTGCGGCGCTGCGAGGCACACTTCGTGGTTCACACTAGCCGAGGCCACTCGTCGAGGGCGTCCAGCTGCCTCGTCCGGGCGAATGATGGAATTGTCGGGGGGCCTGCAGGGGTGGTCGCAGCTACGGCTTACGAGGGGCCGACGGCGGTCTTGGCGTCGTTGTGCTTGTCGCGGGTGTCGCGCAGCTCCAGGAGGTTGCCCTCGATGGTCGCGCACAGCTTCTCCAGGGCCAGCACACCGAACGGCTCCTCGATCTGCACGCCGATCTCGTCAATGCCTGCGGAGCGGGGCGCACGTAGAACAGCAGGTGAGCGGCAGTCGAGTGGTCGCGTGCTAGATGAGTCGCGCGGAGGCCGAATTGGTCGGGGGGGCGCGGTCGCGGGCACTCACCGAGCAGGAAGAAGGAGATGAGCACCATGACGAAGGGAGTGTCCCACTTCAGCTGGGGCCAGAGGCCGAGCGGCAGGAAGAGCAGCCACACGATGAGGAAGCGCGAGATGTGGTGCGTGTAGAACACCGGCACGGGCGTCTTCAGGATCTTCTCGCTGGCACCGATCTGGTCGGCGAACTCCGTCAGGTTGGCGTCGATGGCGATCAGCTGGTTGGGGTTGAGGTTGGGGTCCTCGCGGATGATGTCCGACATCACCTGCATGACGAAGTTGGGGCGGTGCGTGGCCGACAGCAGGGCCTTCGCCTCGTACGGCGACAGCTTGTCGCCGATCTCGTCCTGCACCGCGGAGACGGAGTGCGCGCGGGAGGTGAGCGGTCTGGGACGACGACTACAACGCGAGGGCGACATGTTGGCGGAAGGCAGCGTGGGCGACGTACCTCCAGGTTGCGGTCCTCGCGGACGTGGCACATGTGCACGTAGGGGAAGATGCGCATCCAGCGCGCGACGCGCTCGGCACGCTCGGGCTCCAGCCACGAGTAGGCCTGACGGGTGAAGTCGCGCGAGCGGTTCACGATCTTACCCCAGATGCCACGGGCCTCCCACCAGCGGGAGTAACCCGAGTTCGTACGGAACGCCAGCAGGAGCGACAGCGCGAACCCGGTGGTGTTGAAGGGCACCAGCGAGGGGTTGGGCAGGCCGTTCCACCACGAGGGCAGGACGCCGGCGTCCAGGCCCTCCGACATCAGGCCGACGAACACGGCGACACCCACCGAAGCCAGGGTCGGGCCGGCGAGGGCACGGACGATGGACGACTGCGATCAAGGTCGGAGCGGGACGCGGATGGCGTGAGCCAGCGGGGTCGAGGGGCAACGGGGGCGGGTCCGCGCGACGGAGGCGGCACCAGGCACGAGCTGGTGCATCTTCTTGATAAGAGGTCGCGACGTGCCAATCGATCGCGTGAATGCGCCGCGTGGTAGGTTCCTCGCGAGCTGCAAGGGTGTTGAACTTGACGTGGGGCGCGCGGCGCGGTCGCTCACCTGCGGCATCGTGAGCAGGTGGCGCCAGTAGCGGTCCGAGGAGCGGTGGCGCGCCCAGTCGTCGAAGGTGTACACGTTGCGGCGGAAGGGGCGCGACGCGTCGAGGGGGTTGATGGCGTAGGTGGCCGGGAGGACGTTCGACACGCGGCCGGACGCGGTCACGATGCCGGTGCCCTCCTTCTTCTCCTCGTCGATGGTGCCCGTCAGCTTCTCCTCCTTCTTCTCCGCGACGACGTCCTCCGTCTCCGCGCGCACCACCACCTTGCGGGCCTTGCGCGACATGCGCGGCATGCCGAGGCCGGCGGGGCGCACGGCCGGCAGCACGGCGCGGCCGTTCATCGAAGTGGTCTTCGAGGCGCCGGCCTTCGCGGCAGTCTGCGGGCGCAGCTGAGCGACAGCGCTCGCACCTGCACCGAAAGCCAAACCTACGTCGGTGGTTTCCGGGGGAGCGGCACGCGCAAAATGCGGACTCGCGGCCGCCATGGGGCGTAGACCGCAGTTCAACTATCCGGGAAAACGCATCATCGCGCCGAACCCGGGGCCGGGGGCGCCGCGCAGCCGGTCCAAGGTTGAGGGCAGAGACCCTTCCACGACTTGCGCGGCAGGGGCCCGATGCGGCCGCAACCACGGCGATGCTTGAATATTTCGGCTCTCCTGTTACGCGATGGCTGGTTGGCGGCGCAGCGACGTCAAATGCGCGGCGGAAAGCGGCCGTGTGCGGGTACTTGCCAGCGGGGATAAGGCTGCTCATGTTCGCTCCGGGGTGGCGATCCGACGAAAACAGGCGACCTCGAAGCCCAGGGGTCCACTCCGTGTGCAGGAGAAGTGCCGAGTGACCGCGTCTCTCGCCCTCATGTCCGCCCCCGCGCAGGCCCGCTGGCCTGGGCCCCAAGCAAAGCTCCCCCCCTGACACAAGGTGCTCCCACGGAGGCGGCAGGACCTCCAACGCGGCACCTCGCCGCGGGCACGACCGCGCGCGCCGCCCCCGCGGCCCCACGTCGCCGTCGGCCCGCGCGAGGCCCCGCGCGCGTCCCGCCGCGCCGCCAGCCCGCTACTCGCGTGACGCAAAGCCCTACAACACCCCCCCGCGCCCCCTCGCGCGGCGGCGCTGGCCGAGTCCGCGCAGGCACGGCACGACGTCACATGTGCGCGTCCCTAGGGCCCGGTTCCGGGCGGCCGCTTCACGCTCAGGAACCCGCGCGCGTCGGAGAAGTAGGACTGCGTGCCATCACGCGCGTCGGTGGGCTGCTGGCGGTTGGGGTTGACGAGCTCGATGCCCTGCACGGGCGTGAACGCGAGCGACGTCGCGATGCCGCTCCCGCCGCCCCCCGCGCCGACCCGGAACGCCGGGTTCTTCTCCAGGCGCTTCATTTGCATCTTGGACAGCTTCTGCTTCTGCTGCTGTGCGACGGCGCGCAGCATCCCGGACCCCTGCCGCGAGCTGAGCATGCCCATGCCGACCGCCTCGTCGCCGTCGATGAACTCGTCCTCGACCGAGTTGAACCCCACGCGGTTGGCCAGCTTGCGCACGTCGGTGATGCCGTAGCGCTCCTTCATCTTGCGCAGCCGCCGCCCGCCGCGCCGCTTCTTCACCTCCGCGTCCGGCCGCGGCAGGGGCTTCACCGTGCGCGCCGGCGGCGGCTCCTGCCACTTGTCGATCTTCGCGCGGATCTGGCGGCGCATGTCCTCGCCGGTGCGGCCCGCGGGGTCCGTCCGACACGCGTCGACGCGCGCCATCAGCGAGCACTTCGACGCCACGAGCTTCGCGGCCTTGTTGCGCCACGCCGGCGGCGTGCCCTGCACGATCTCGCAGAAGTAGACGAAGCCCTGGTGCGTGTTGCCCGCCGAGGAGGTCGCGCCGCGGAGGTTGCGCTTCTGGCCGAGGACCTGGACGTTGCACGCGGGCATCTTCGAGATCGCGACCAGCCCGCCCGCGACGCCCATGAGCTTCGCGGCGATGGTCGCGCCCAGGCAGGCCGTCATGTTGGGCGCGATGAGGAACATTCGCGACTCGATCAGCTTCAGCACGTGCGCCTTGTCCGCGTCCAGCGCCAGGATGCACTCGCACGCGTCCAGCACCACCGCCAGCTCCCTCGCGCCCAGCGCCCTCCCCGCGGTCGTCGACGCCGTGACGGACACAACCATGACCTGCGCGGCCGGGAGCACGTCCTCCAGCGCGACCGTCGCGATGTCCTCCGCGTCGCCGATCTGACGCACCACCTTGGCGTAGTCGACTGCACGCGGACGCGCCGGCGCGGGGTGCTGTCAGCCGCGCGCGTGGGGGCGGGAGCGCTCTCGAGGGTGCACAGCGGCACGGTGCTCACCTGCGTTCTGGACGAGGCTCTCGAGCTCCGGAAAGCGCGGCTTGTACTTGTCTCGGAGGAACGCGTGCACGGCGGTGATCTCGTTGTCCAGCTCCACCGCCAGCCCGTTGCAGTCCACCAGCAGCTGGTACAGCGGGTCCTCGCTAGACGGTCCAGCCCAGCTGTCCGGAAGCTTCTCCGCTCCGTCCACCCTGTCGAGCTCCTCGCGCACCCTGCAAGATCCCCGGGGACACCGCGTGCGGCCTGAGTCAGGCCCCGGCGACGCACCGCCGCTGAGAACGACGCCGAGGAGGCAGGTGCAAGCGACCGCTGCAGGCCGCGCCGCACCTGCTCAAGAGGCTCTTATACCGCTCCGTGGTGTGGAGCTTCGCCACGTCTTCCAGCCTGTCGTACCGGACCGCCGCCTTCGCCCGCTTCTTGTCCTCGTCCTCATCGTCCGCCATCAAGGCGTCCCCCTCCTGCGCGCCATGGAGCAGGCGGCGGGCGAGACGGTTCAGCGGAGCAGCGAGACGGTGGTTCCGCGGTGTTTCGTCCCAATGTGCGCGATCGCGGCTGTTTGTTCCCGGAGAACGAGCGGGGGAGCGTGTTGCTCCGATGCCCAGCTGGCCCGTCCCATGCGTGCCTCTCGCGGAACGATGCTCGAGGTTCGGCACACACGTACACGAGGACCAGGTAGACGCACGAGAACGGCAGGTGCGGTCCCTTGAAACAGCCACGAGGCACCGCGGGGCATCATGACTGCCAAGCAGTGCTCGAGCGGTGTGCGTGGCTCACGGACCTCGTCCTGCTCCTCCTTCTGCTCCTCCTCCTCATCCGATAGCTCTTCTAGGTCCTCGAGAAACGATTCTGCGAGAGTAGCCATCCTGGCGCCCCCAGCCCCACCACTGTTGCCCTACTGAAACAGACCTTCCTGTCTACGGCGAGAGACCAGCTGCTTCAGACCCGAACCTCCGCGTCACGGCGGCAAACGCGCGTGCCGCCCCTCGCAGCGGCCCCAAGGCGCAACAGGACCCTGACCCGGGGATACAGTGTCTGACAGACTATGCCTTGGTCAGACACACGAATCGCGCGATGGGTCACCGAGGGCGCGGGCCGCTTCCTGTCGGGCCTCACATTGAGTACGGGGGCTGCGCGGTGGCCGCGCAGGCTGCGTGAATGACCTGCGACTGCGTCACACATGGCAACAACAACAGATTTCAACATCTGGTCAGACGTTGTGCGGCTCAGACTGACCGGGACGGCCGCAATCCGAATGGAGAAGGTGCTGCCGCAGGGCTCTGTTGTCCGGGAACGGCCGTTTGCACTCCGGGCACAGAAACTCGTCCTCCGCGGCCTGCACGCGCAGCAGGTACAGCTTCGCGTGTCGGACGACGAGCACGTGCGCCACGCACGTGAACGGAGCGCGCAGGGCGACGCACCTGCACGGGCTTGAGGTTGGCCATGTGCTGGTCGAGCTCCTCCTTCGACGCGAAATCGTACCCACACACGCCGCACGCAATCACCGCCCCCGGGGCGCCACCGCCCGTGGCGAACGCCGACACGTGCCCCGGCCGGTCGTCCCGGACCTTACCGATCCAGTCCGGCTTCAGGCTCTCCGCGTCCCCGCCGTGCTTGGCCCTCACGTGCTGGTCGAGAGCCTCTGGGGAGCCGAGGTCCTTCTCGCAGTGCGGGCACGGGTGGCCGCCGCCTTCGTTCAGCCGCGCCACGCCCAACGTATGCACCATGTGGATGTGCTGCTTCAGGCCCCGTGGATCCCGGAACTCCCGCCCGCACTCGGGGCACGTCAAAGCCTCTGCGCTGCCCGTCGCTGCCTTCGACGGCGCATCGCGCCACGTCCACGGCGGCCGGCGCCACCCGCTGAGCCCGCCCAGCGCGACGTCTGGGAACTCCGCGGCTCGGCCGAAGGACCAGCTCGTCCCCGCGAGCCCGCGCCCCTGGAACGACCTCCCCGTGTGGTGGCGCTTGGGCTCGTAGATGCCCCGCAGGCCCGGCGTCGGAAACGCGCGCGAGTCCAGGAGAGCCAGACCGTGGCGCTGCGCCTGCTCCACGATCTTCCACCTCTTGGGCTGATCTCCGGCGAGCGACACGTGCACGATGCCATGCGGGGCCAGAACGGACTGCTGGGACGCTGCGTGGAAAAAGTGCGCCAACAGACTCCTGTGCTCGGGGACAGAAGATAGTTGGGCCAGGTTCAGCGCGTTCTTAGAGCGCAGGGCACGCATCATGAGGACGCCATCGCGTTGTGCAAACGGACACGTGCAGTCGGCAGCGGCCACCGCAGCACGGCTCGGGTGGGACGCGCGAGGCCGCGGACCTGTGGCGGTGCATGTCCTCGATGCCCGTGTGCGGGTTGTTGAACACGACGTGGTCGAAGGGCTCCTCGCAGGCGCCCTGCAGTGCTGCATAAAGGCTCGCTGGCACGGCCGTCGCGTCGACCCCGTGAGCGGTGACGCCCCCGAGCGCTTGGATTTGATCTAGGAAGGCCTTGGCCTCCGGGAACTTCGCCTGCACTTCGCGGACGCTCGGCCACGCCCGTCGGTGATGACGTGCCTCCCGGGCACTCCCGTGGGCGAACTGCATCCATGCGAGCACGCGGAGGCACCCACCAGCAGCTCATCGTGTTCGTCGAAGCTTGTTGCGACAAGAGACACTCGTGGCAGGGATGCCGTGTGCTCGTCTTGAGCTGCAGCAGGGGCCTGGTTGGCCTCCCCACCATCTGTCGAGCGCTTCGCCCGCTTCTTCGCTCTCCGTTCTTCGGCCCGAGAGAGCTTCCGGGTGTCGAGCAGTGATTTCGCCAGAGCAACACTGAAGCTGAAGTTCCCGTCGCCAAGCGTCAGGATGCGCACGGTCGTGCCACGCCCACCAGGAGGCGCCCCGTCACCCGGCGCCACGTGCTGTGAACTCATACCTCGATGCTCCACATGATTGCAATCAGCGGTGTCGCACCATTGCGGCTACGTCATGCTTCGTACTCGACCGCACACCGTGACTGCATCAGCACCCCATCTGCAGAGAGGCCCAACGCCGCTCGTCCGGTCAGGCAACACTACAGCCTTCTACACCAATAGCGTCTCATGAATGATACATACATGCACGGGGTGCGGTTCTCGTTCCGGACCACGCCGTTCGAGGCGCCGGGACCGTTTTCTCCCCCGGACAGACTCTGACGGGTTCCTACGACATGCCAGGGGCAGCGCTCCGGACCCCGCGCCCGTTCGCTCCCCCGTCCAGGTCACATCGCTGTCACAGCTCGACGTCCGTTCCCGGATCACGCGGCGGACTTGGCCTTTGCCTTGGCGACGACGATGTTCAGGATCTTGCCCGGGACGTAGATGACCTTCTTCACGTCGCCGTCGATGAACTTCGCGACGCTCTCGTCCGCGCGCACGGCCGCCATGACCACCTCCTCCGTCGCGTCCGCCGGCACCGTCACCGTCCCCTTCTTCTTCCCGTTGAACTGCACCGGCATCGTGATCTCGTCCTCCACCAAAAGGGACTCGTCGACCTGCACGCGCAACACGCACACCGCGCGGACAGTGAGGCGCGGGCCTAGAGCGGCGGCGGACGTGCGGGGGAGGGGCGTCGCTGCGGGGTGGCGTACCTGCGGCCACTCCGCGTGCGCGATGCTGCCCGTGTTGCCGAGGCTCTCCCAGAGCTCCTCGCAGATGTGCGGGGCGTACGGCGAGAGCAGCAGCACGAGCGGCTCGAGCGCCTTGCGCGGCCGGTTGGGCCACTTGTAGGCGGCGTTGACCAGCTCCATCATGGCGGAGATCGCCGTGTTGAAGCGCATGTCCTCCGTCTCCTCCGTCACGCGCTTGATGCACGTGTGCAGGTCGCGCAGCTGCTCCTTGGTCGGCTCGTCGTCGTCCAGCCCCGGGTCCTCCCTGAACAGCCGCCACACGCGCCCCAGGAAGCGGTACACGCCGCCGACGCTCTCCGTGGACCACACCTTGGTCTCCTGCAGCGGACCCATGAACATCTCGTACAGGCGCAGCGAGTCGGCGCCGTACTGCGCGATGATGTCGTCCGGGTTGATCACGTTGCCGCGCGACTTGGACATCTTGTGCGCGCGGGCCGACACGCGGACCGACGGGTCCTCCTTCAGAACGAAGTGCTCGCCCTGCTTCTCGACGTCCGCGACGTCCACGCGGACCGCCTCCGCGCCGTCCGTGGCCGCGTCGTCCGTCGCGGACACCCACGCCCCGTCCCTCTTGTACGCGGTGTACTCCGTCTCGCCCAGGATCATGCCCTGCGACACCAGCTTCTGGAAGGGCTCCTTCGTCGACACGACGCCCTGGTCGTACAGGAACTGGTGCCAGAACCGCGCGTACAGCAGGTGCAGCACTGCGTGCTCTGTGCCGCCCACGTACAGGTCCACCGGCATCCTGCACCAGCAGCCGCGGGCGCCCGAGGGTCGGAGACGAAGCGTGTGGCGCGCAGGAAGGTCGCGACCGGCAGGTGCCAGCCGGGCCTGTGTGCACACGTGCTGGCATCAACACCGGCACAAGGGCAAGGCTTGCGGGAGGGGTCAAGAGCTGCGTCGCCGACCGGCTGCGGCGTGAGGGTCGCGCACCAGTACTTCTCGGCCTCGGGGTCGACAGGCCCGCCGGTGTAGCCCGGGGAGATGTAGCGCAGGTAGTACCAGCACGACCCGGCCCACTGCGGCATGGTGTTGGTGTCGCGCCGCGCGGGGCGCCCGTCAGGGTCCGTGGTGTTGACCCACTCCGTGAGGTTCGCGAGGGGGGACTCGCCCGTCCCCGAGGGCTTGATCACGTCCGTCTCAGGCAGCGCGACGGGGAGGTCGCTCTCCGGCACTGGCACGAGCTCCTCGTCGTCGCCCACGTACATCACCGGGAACGGCTCGCCCCAATACCGCTGCCGCGCGAACAGCCAGTCGCGCAACTTGTAGTTCGTCTGCGCCTTGCCCGCGTTGTGCTCCTCCAGCCACTGCACCACCGCCTTCTTTGCCACCTCCGTCGCCAGGCCGTCGACGTCCAGGCCCGCGCCGTTCGTCGACGCGCACGCCACGCCCTCGTCCGTGAACGGCAGCTCGCCGCCCTCCACCACGCGGCGCACAGGGAGGTCGTACGCCGCCGCAAACGCAAAGTCGCGCGTGTCGTGCGCCGGCACCGCCATGACCGCGCCGCTGCCGTACGAACCGAGGACGTAGTCCGCCACCCACACGGGCACGCGCTCGCCCGTCACGGGGTTGACCGCGAACAGCCCTGTGAACACCCCCGTCTTGTCCTGTTGCAGCTGGGTGCGCTCCATGTCCGACTTGCGGGCTGCGGAGTCCACGTACGCCTTCACGGCCTCCTTGTGCGCGTCCGGGGCCATCTCCGCCAGCGGGTGCTCCGGGGCCACGCACACGTACGTGACGCCAAACACCGTGTCCGGGCGCGTCGTGAACACCCGCAGCGGCTCCGCGTCCACGCCCTCGACCTCAAACACGATCTCCGCGCCCTCGGACTTGCCGATCCAGTTCCGCTGCGCGCGACACAGGGAAGGCACGCGGTGAGGCACTGCTAAGCAACCACCGCGCAGCCGTCTCGCCGCCCGTGCAGGCCGCGCCGCGCACGCACCTGCATCTCCTTGGTGGAGTGCGCCCAGTCCAGCCCTTCGAGGTTGTCGAGCAGCTTGTCGGCGTACTCGGTGATCTTGAGCATCCACTGCTTCATCGGCATGCGCACCACCGGGTGGCCCCCGCGCTCCGACAGCCCGTCGATGACCTCCTCGTTCGCCAGCACCGTCCCGAGCGCGGGGCACCAGTTCACGGGCACCTCCGCGCGGAACGCCAGGTCGGCCTTGAGCAGCTGCAGGAAGATCCACTGCGTCCACTTGTAGTACCCCGGGTCCGTCGTGTTCACCTCGCGCGCCCTGCGAACCAGCGAGCGGGCCGCGGCGTCAGGCGGTGCGCGCGCGGACAGCAGGCGCCGCGCGGCGGGCCGTTGCGGGCGTGCGCACCAGTCGTAGCTGAAGCCGAGCGCCTTGAGCTGCTCGCGGAAGCGGTCGACGTTCTTCTGCGTGGTGACCGCGGGGTGCGTGCCCGTCTGGATCGCGTACTGCTCGGCGGGGAGGCCGAACGCGTCCCAGCCCATGGGGTGCAGCACGTTGTGGCCCGTCATGCGCTTGTAGCGAGCCATGATGTCCGTCGCGGTGTACCCCTCGGGGTGCCCGACGTGCAGGCCCGCGCCGGACGGGTACGGGAACATGTCAAGCGCGTAGAACTTGGGCTTGCTCGTGTCCAGCTCGGAAATGTCTGCACGGGAGGGGGGCGCGGCAGGTGCTGGTGAGCTGCGGGGGGCGCGGCGACGCGGGCTGCGGCGCTCGGTCACACGAGGGGGTCCCTGGGCGGCGGTGAACCGCCGGAGGTGCGCGAACTTCGCGGGGGGTGCCGTGTCCGGCGCTGCCAGGGATGACCTACTTGCGGCCCACAGACAACGGGCTCGACGCGGGGCGGTCCGCCGCACTGGATCGGACTGACTAGCCACCAAAGTGTGGACGAAGAGTCCGGGGGGGCGCTCGCGGCGCCAGGGCGGGCGAAAGGCCGCGTGCGGGGCAATCGTGGGCGCGGAGTGCTGCTGTATGGATGACGAGCCGAGGGGCGGATCGTGCCTCACCTGGAGTGCGGAACGTCTGGTTCTCGTCCCAGTACTGCTGCCACTTCTTCTCGATGTCGTTGAAGGGGTACGCGCGGACGGCCACCCCCCGCTGCGCTGCGTGCCGCAGCGCACCGAAGGGGACACGCACGGCGCGGTGGCCGGCCAGCGCGGCGGGGCCCGCCGCGCGGTGCGCCATTGTAGCGCGCATGGCTTCGTGGAACAAGCTGGCCCCGGGCAGCAGCCAGGACGCGAGGCGCGGGATCAGCCGCACGCCGTTACGGGCGACGTGTGACTGCCGGAGCGCGGGAACAATGCGCTGCTGGCGCGCCGGCTGGCGGGCGATGCTGCTCACACGTGACCACCGGGGCGGAGAGTGTCCTGCCTCCCGCGAATTTTGCCCGTGAGAGCGCCCGGGGCGCCTGAGCGGGGCTGCAGCGGGTGGGGAGTCCTGTTGCAGTGGCAGACTGGTCCACGCCCCTGCGACAAGGCCGCGGGTGGCACATTGGGAGCGCGCGGCGGCTCGCCGTGGACCAAGCGCATCCCCGGCGGCCACACTGAACGACGTGTCGCGACCCCCCGCTCGCCCAGCGTCTGCGCCACCTGCTCCTGTCCGCGCGCTCCCGCACCGAGCACACGAGAGCCGCGCCCGTTCCGTTTGTACGCGCGCGTGCACCGGGCAGATCTGTCTCGCACTCTCGAGCTGAGTTTCGGGGCGAGTCGTAGGTGTTCGGATCGGGCAGGGGCACGATGGACGCAGGGAAGAAGGACAAGGTCGTCGCGGCGCTGAAGTCGGAGGTGCCGGACGTCGCGGCCATGGTCATCATGGACGAGGCGGGCACGGTGCTCGTCAACACGTCCAAGGTGAGGCCCCAGGCGCGGCACTTGGCGGCCGCTAGCCCACGCACCTCCTGAAGGTCGTTGCGCAGCGGGAGCACGAGGCCCCACTCCGTCAACGGGCGCGGATCCCGTGCGAATGAGCAGCTGGCACAGCGTGGCTGGGCGGAGCAGCGCCGCGCGCCACCCCGCGGACACGTACCCCGCGGTCCGTCCCCAGGTCTTCGCCCAGGGCGATTGCCCGGCCGGGACACCGCCAGGACGCAGCGTCTTTGCCATTTAGCGTCGCGGCAGCGTCGCCTGGAGGCGGATCATTCGGCCTGTGCGCGAGTCCCGCAGCGCTGCGCCCGCGCCACGTCCCGCTGCGCGCGAGGAGCTCCCACAGCGACCCGCGCCGCTCCGGTGCGCTCGCCCGCCGCAGAGCAACGACGCGAAGGAGCTCGGCGCGCTTCCGAAGGCGTTCGACGACCGGGAAGCGGCGGTGATGAACGGAGTCGTGTTGGAACAGACGCGGTACGAGGTCCACAAGCACCACCCAGAGTGCAACCCGGGGCTCGTGTACGGCCGGACCATGCACCCCAAAGAGGACCCGCTGAACTCCACAGGTGCGCCCGCCATCGCGCGTCGCGCGCCGCGCCCGACTCCCCGCCTGCGGCAGCGACCGCGTGAACACCTAGCAGCGTGTCTGTCTGCGCGTGTGCGCGTGTGGCCGCCCCGCGACGTCCGCCACCCAGCGACGGCACTCGTGCGTCGGTGCAGGGTTCATGATGGCGAAGTTCCCCAGCGGCCCGACGGGCAAGCCGCTGGTGGTGATGGCGACGTATGCCATGCCCAACATATCTGCGCGCATGATCCCGGAAGTGACGGCCTTCATCAACAAGCACTTCTTCTAGCCCCGCGACGTGGAGCCGCGGGCACTCGGCACACCCGTCGCGACCTCGCCGCGAGGTTGTGCCGGCCGCGCCTCAGGCTCGCTGCCAGCGGACGTAGGTTGTCGGTGCACGACGTGGCGCTGTGAAGCAACTGCCACCGCAGCCCGAGCCGCCTGCTGGTCTCTCTGCCCGCGCCGAACCGCTCACTCGGCGCTCGACTGGCTACTTCAGCAGGCGTGCATGGAAGCGAGGGGCTCGCGCACCTGCGCGCAACGACCCTGGCGGCGTGCCGCGTGCGTCGCTGGCAGTCGCCTAGGCTTGCGAGCTGCGTCGGCGTTGGGTGGAAGACACCCCCGCTGTTTCGCCTGACGTCAGGATAACACGCTGTCAGCGGCAGCTGCGTCGTTGGGTGGCCATGCGCGGACCTCCGCAGGCAGCCCCGGCAGACACAGCGTGGACTCACAGGCTGCAGCACCGCGCGTCGCGTGCCGCCCACGCCCACGACGATGCGAGCGTTGTCCAGCCAAGTGGTTGGTCCTGTCCGAGCAGCAGGGCCTGTGAGGCCCCGAACCAAGTGCCTGGCCACGGGTCCGTCGAAGGACGAAGGAGGGATTGCGCCGCAAGTGAGTGCGCCGATCCCTGTTCCGGATGTCGGCCGGCAGCGCTGAGTGGCGGGCGAGAGAGACTCCCGTCCTTGCGCCGCGTGCGCATCTTCCTCGCGTCTAGCATGGCGGGAAGCATCGAACTGATCGTACTCGACGCGCCGGTCTTGCTCGTCTTCGTCATGGATTCGTTCGCCGGAAATGCGGGCATGCCCTTGCCCGTGCAACGGATTGATGCGGGCCAGCAGCCCGCGCGACGGACGCGCATCAGACCACGTGGCAACAAAGAGACCGTTGCAGCTGATGCGTACATGCCGCGTCCGCCATTCGCAGGTGCCGCGGCGCGCCGCGCTGCTCGCGGCCACGTCTGCGCTCGCAGTCAACCCAGCACCCATCGGGCGCTCCGGCATCGCGGCCATGGGCAGCGCGACCGCTGCCGACGCGCCCATCCCGCGGGCTGAGCTCGCGCCGGGCCTGCCCGTCAGCCGCATCGTGAAGGGCTGCTGGCAGCTCTCCGGCGCGCACAGGGGCGACCGCGCCACGGACCGCACCACGGGCGCCGCCGCCGTCGAGGACTTCGGCGCGTACGAGCGCGCGGGCATCACGGCCTTCGACACGGCCGACATCTACGGCCCGAGCGAGGGCCTCATCGGCAAGTACGTGAAGGAGCGCGGCGGCGCCAAGGGGCTGCAGATCCTGACCAAGGCGGCGTATTTCGGGCGCGACATGCTGGACGTGTCGCAGGCGGCGGTGGACGCGCACGTGGGGCGCAGTCTCCGCGCGCTGAACGTGGACCGCGTGGACCTGGTGCAGCTGTACTGGCACGACTACAACACGCCCGGGTACGTGGACGCGGCGCGCGGGCTGGCGGACCTGCAGCGCCGCGGGGTGATCGGCGCGGTGGGCGCGACGAACTTCGACGAGGTGCGGCTCCAGGAGATCGCGGACGCGGGCGTGCAGGTCAAGGTGCACCAGGTGCAGTACTCGCTGCTGGACCGGCGCGTGGAGGGCGGCATGACCGACTGGTGCAAGAAGAACGGATGCACGCTCCTCCCCTACGGCGTGCTCGCCGGCGGCTTCCTCACCGGTGCGCAACCACGCTCCCCCACCCCTCTGGTCCTGCCCTCCCGCAGCGCACAGCTCCCTGTGCGCGGTGCGACGGCCCCGCCCTGCGCGCCCCGTGTGCCGCAGACAAGTACGTGGGCGTGCCGGCGCGCGACGTCGAGCTGGACACGTCGTCGAAGCGCAAGTACTCGTCGATCATTCAGAATTCCGGGGGGTGGGGGTGGTTCCAGGAGCTGCTGGCGGCGCTCGCCGCGGTGGGGAAGAAGCACGGCGTGTCGGTCGCGAGCGTGGCCACGCGGTGGGTGCTGGACAGGCCGTGCGTGCCCGCGGTGCTGATCGGAGCGCGCAACGCGCGGCACGCGGCGGAGCACAAGGAGGCGTTTGCGTTCGAGTTCGACGACGCGGACCGGCGGGAGATCGACGCCGTGCTGGCCAAGGGCAAGCAGCCGACCAGTATGTTCTACAGCTGGGAGCGTGGGGCGTCCAAGTGGTAGCACGGCGGCTCACACGCGCCCTCGACTCGTTGTGAGCCGGGCGGAGGTTCGTCGCCGGTAGAGGCCGGGAGGGATGCGCCGGGCGCGGCGTAGTAGGGGGCGTCAGTGCTTCGCTGTCGTGATTCAGTGCAGGGCGGCCATGTCGGAGCCGGCGAAGCCCATGTTGGTGTACGCCGCCATGTCCGCGTACATGCTCGGGTCCATCGTGGACGGGTCGTACGTGCCGTATCCGTACGCGCCGTACCCGTACATCTGCTGCTGCTGGGCCTGCTGCTGCTGAGTCAGGTAGCTGCTGCCGTTGTTGTTGCTGCGCTCGTTCCGCGACCCCCACGACTGGCCGTCGTTGCGGCGCCCGCGGCGTCCCGAGCCCCACGACCCCGAGCCCCCGGGCTGCTTCTCGTACGACGACCGCCACGCACCGTCGCCGTTGGTGCGCTGGCCCTTGCTCGCGCCGGACGCGTACCCCGCGCCGTTCTGGCCCCACCCGCCGTTGTTCTGCCCCCAGCCGCCCGCGTGGTTGCTCTGCCGGATGTTGCCGCGGCTCCCGTTCGCCTGGCTGTCGCGGCTGTTGCCAAACCCACCGCTGCCCCACCGCCCGGCCCCGCCGGCCTTGCCACGCCCGCGGCCCGCACCGGCGCCGTCCGCCTCGTCGCCCGCCGGCTGCTCCGCCTGCGTGACCGGCTCCGCCTGCGCGGGCCCCGCCGGCGGGAACACCGTCGCCACCTGCACCGCCGCCTGCATGCGGTCGCCCTCCGACACAGGCCCGGGCGACGGGCCCCGCGCCGGCGACGGGCCGCGGCCGTTCACGCCCGCGCCGTTCGGCCCGTCCGTCGGGCGCTGGTCCTGCTGCGGGGCGAGGGCGCCCCCCAGCGGAGGGCGGCCCGCCCCGGCCTGCTGCGGCTGCGCGCCGGCCTGCGCCGGCACCGACGCCTGCTGCTGTGCCTGCTGGTGCGGCGGCAGGTACGGCCCAGGCGCGGGCGCCGGCGGCGGGACGGGCGCGTACGCGGCGTTCGGGGGTGGCACCGGCGTCAGCAGGGACCCCGTGGCAGGCGGGGGCGGCGGGGGCGCGTGCATCGGCGCCGGCACCGCGGGCGGCGGCGGCGGGATGCTCGGGTACGCGTGCTCCCCCGCGGCGTCGCCCTGCCCGTTCGGGGAGGCGGCCTTGCCCGCAGGCGGCGGCGGCATGGGCGCCATCATGGGCGGCGGCGGCATCTGCATCTGCATCTGGATCGCCATCTGCAGGTTGGGCGCCTGCTCGAGCAGCGCGGTGGACTCCAGCACCGCCTTCACGCGCGCGCGCAGGTCGCCCGCCGTCTTGGCCGGCAGCGCCGCAGACGCGGGGAGCTCAGCGTCGTCCGCGGCCGTCGCGTAGGCGACCGCAAAGTCCCTGCACGCGTCCATGAGTTCCTGGTACGACGCGACGGCCGGGAGCGGCCGCCACCGCGCCGCGCGCGCCGCCTGCACCACCAGCTCCACGTCCTGGTCCTGCGGCGCCGCGGGAGGGGGGGTCCCCGCGGCCTGCGCGGCCTCCCAGAGCTTCCGGTGCGCCTTGAAGCGCTCGAGGTGCTTCAGCGCCACGTCCTCGGACGTGTGCGGCGGCTGCACGTCCAGCAGGTCGCCCGCCACAAGGAGCTCGACCACCGCCGCGACGGCCTCCTGCGGAGGGGGGAACGACGCGCGCCTCGGACGCAGGAACGCTGGGACGACGAACAGGCGGCGCGCGCGGGGCGCCGAGGCGCGGGGCCGCCCGCGAGGCGCGCGTGTGTCCCGTGCGTGCGCACTGGCGATGCGGGGCGGTGCGGAACGGCGCCGCAGCACGCGCAGGGGGGCTGCGCCAGTCGCGCACCTCGACGGCCTTCTTCTGCGCGTCGTCGGCCTTCTTCCGCGCCTCCTCGGCGTCCTTGGCGGCGCCCTTGGCGGCGCGCTCGGCCTTCTTGCGCTCCTGCGCGCGGGCCTCCTCGACGGCCGCCTCGCGCTCGCGCTGCAGCTTCTCCGTGAGCTTGGCGCGGTCCTTGGCGGCCTTGTCGTCCGCGGCTGCCCTGGCGCGTTTCGCTTCCTTCTCAGCGGCCGCGCGCTCCTCCTGCCGGGCCTGGTCCGCGATCTGGTCCACGCGCGCGAGGTCCTGGGGGAGGGCGTCCTTCATCGCGGAGAGGACGCGCTCGAGCTCGGACTGCAGGAGCTGCAGCTCGGCCTGCATTGCGCGAGGGCAGGGAGTGCCGTGGTACCGCGGGCGCACCACCTCTGCATACGTGGCGTATTCCGGCCCCAGGCACGGGGCCAGACCGAGTATGGTGTCCGCGTGGCTGGACGCTGGCAAGCACATGGGCCGAAAACGCCAAATTGCGCGCGGTGCGCGTCCAAGCGCAGACGGGAGGCACTGGAGCGCGCCCGCGCCCCTCGAGGCCTGGAACGGCGCAGGTCGACCGCCCGCATGAGCGAACGAGGACGGGTGAGGGCGCATAGTCAAAGAGAGCTGCGCCATACGCACGCAGAGCGCGGGAGACGAGTTTGGAGGCATGGGCAGCGCCAACGCGCGCGCACGCAGCGGGCCGCACAACATCGCGTGCCCACGCGCGAACGGATCGGGAAAATTCTGGCAGCGTTCAGTTGCGCCGCCGCTTGTGCCTGGCGTGCCTCGGACGGCGAGCGAGACGTTGGGCGACAAGGACGGTTCCAGTAGCCCGCTCTGTTGGCCGAGGCGATGGCGCGGCGCGCGGGCCACGCGCGGCAGGTACGCGCAGGTGTGGTCACGGGGTCTCCGTGCCCGGCGTGCGCGCGGGCTCACCTTCTGCGTCACTGCCGCGACCTGGTCTGCATTCACCTTCTCCCCGCGAGAAATCTTCGTCTCCGTCTCCTGAATCTTCTCCAGGCGCTTGTTGAGGTTGCGCAGCCGCTTCTGCACAACCTGCAGCAGCGGGCTCGGAACGGCCCCGGTGTCCATGTTGCTTCGCGCTAGAGCTCCGCCGGCAGAACAATCGCAAGAACGGCGCGCCGCACACAACTTCGGTCCCCAGCCACTCCTTACTGCCCCTGCGGCCGAGCGGGGGGCGCCCTCGGCCCGCGCGCACGCGTTCGGCGCCCCCGAGGGCCTGACTCAACGAGAGGTACGTCGCGGGCGCGGGCTGGGCCGGTGCGCCCTCAACGCTGCTCGGCCGCGCCCGCAGCGCCGTGTTCGAGCAGTGCAGAGTCGTGGCAGCCCGCCCGCGTCGCCGAACGATCGCCAGGGCGGAGAGGGTCGCTGTGGCCCGCGATGGCTGGGCTCGTGGCGGGCAGCAGTGGCTGCCGGCCGTGGCAAGGCACGGGACGCTGCGCGACGGCGGGAAGGAAGCGCGTTGGGTCGCGGCCCGATGCCAGGATCTGGGCGGGCAGCGCCACCGCCGCGTGCCGTGCACGCTGCGCCCGGGCGGTTGGTTGCAAGGCGTTGCCGGAGGAGGCCGTCATGGACCGCGACACGGGGGCGCCACGATTCTTCGTCCCGACAGACTACTTCCCCAGGTACCTCGTATCGTGGCTGCGCGTCCCGCATCGCGGCGGCGGGGAGCACTGGACGCAGACGAGCTTGCCAGCACACTGTGCTGGCGGGCCCACGTCCGCACCGTCACACTGTGCGTGCAGGAGCGAAGGCGCCGCGACGACGCTCGAGGGCCAAGACGCACAGCACGCTCTCCGGGTCCTGCGCATGAAGCCGGGCGCCGCGCTGGACGTGTGCGACGGGCAGGGCAACGTGGCGCGCTGCACCATCACTTCGGTGACGCGCCGCGAAGCGCACGCGATGGCGGCCGAGGCGCCGCGCGTGGAACAGTGGCGCGGCCCGCGGGTCTCCGTCGCCGTGGGCGTCAGCACCCTGAAGGTGCGCCGCCACTCCACCGCCACCCCTGCTGCAATCCATCACACGCAACGTCGCGCGGGCGGCGGCTGACGCGCCACTCTCCGACGCGCGCATCGACGCAGGGCGGGCGCGCCGACTGGCTCGTGGAGAAGCTCGCGGAGCTCGGGGCGTGGGAGGTCGTCCCGTTCGAGGCGGAGCGATGCGGCAAGGTGCGGACTGCACGGCAGCCTCCTTTGCGCTCCGCCCGCCCTGCGGCCGCGTGACGAGGCTCGGGCTCGGCGCGGGCCGCATCGATGCAGGTACCCAAGGGCCGCGAGGGCAGGCTCGACCGCGTGTCGCAGGCCGCGTGCCAGCAGTGTCAGCGCGCACACCTGATGCAAGTGGCGGCCCCCGCGTCGCTGGCGGAGCTGTGCGACCGCGTCCGGGACGCCGACCTCGCGCTGGTCGCACAGGCCGGGGGCACGCCGGTGTTGTCGGCGCTGGACGAGTCGGCCGGAGCCGCTGCACGCAAAGTAGTAATTGACCACCCGCGCACGAAACGCGTCTTGCTGGTGGTGGGGCCGGAGGGGGACTTTACAGAGGTAGAAATCGCCTCGCTGCTGGAAGCGGGGTGCCGCAAGGTCGGCCTCGGGCCCCTGCGGCTGCGCACCGAGACGGCGGCGGTCGCGATGCTGACGGCCGCGAGGCTCAGCGCGGATGCCTCAGGCCGCGTGTAAAGGGCGTACAGATGACACACGTGTCGTACCGAGGGTCTGCGTGAGTGGACGTGCATCGTCATCTCGCGGGGAAAAATCGTCGACGGGCCGAGCGACGCGCGGAGCAGGCTGGCGGTGCCGGGGGGGGGGGGTCAGATATTCAGGATCATGCGGGCGACGATGAAGTAGATGATGAGACCCGTGGCGTCCACGAGCGTGGTCATCAGCGGCGCGGCCGTGTCCGAGGGGTTGAGGCCCACGCGGGCGGCGAGCAGCGGCAGGAACCCGCCCAGGACGTTGGCCCACACGCTGACGAGCGGCAGCGCCACGCCCACGGCGAGGCCCTCGAGCGGCGTCATGGCGGGCCACGCGAGGCTGCCCGCCCACACGGCGCACCCGAGCCCCGCGCCCACGACCAGCCCCGCGGACCCCTCCTTGAACACCACCCTCCCACAGTCCCCCCAGCCCACCTCCCCGAGCGCCAGCGCGCGGATGATCGTCGCCGACGCCTGGGACCCGGAGTTGCCCGCGTGCCCGATGAGCAGCGGCACGAAGTACGACAGCGCGATGTGCTGCTGGATGATGAACTCGAACTGCGCCCGGGGGGACAAGGGACAGGGGGGGCGTGTTCGCGCGGGGCTGCGGGGCGGGGTCGCCGCGCCGAGGCGGTCTTGCGGGGACGCACCTCCTCGACGACGAACGCGCTCGCCATGAGCCCGACGAAGAACAGCGCCAGCCATCCGCCGCGGTGCCTCACGAGCGACGTCACGCCCTCCGCCCTGCACCGCGCGTGGTCGCCGACGCCGCATCGGTCAGGACGACAGCGCACCCGCGTCGTGTATCTTGCGCGGTGTGTCAATCCCTTCTGTTCCCAACTTGCGGAGATCCACTCGCGTTGAACAAGTGAAGAAACGCTGTCTGCCCACGCTGGTGCGGAGCCCACAGCCGCGCGCGTCTCGGGGCGGTGAAGCACAGCCGCGGCAGGTGGGTCGCGAGGCATGTCATGTTCGCGGCGCACCTGTACGGCGGCCGATCTGCAAGTCCGCCCGGGAGAGCGTGCAGCGGACCCTCCGCTCGGCCCTCGATCTCCAGCGCGGCGAAGCGGTCCGTTGGCGGTTCATTGGTGGCCAGCGTCTTGAGGAGCTTCGGTATGAGAGGGTCCGATTCGCGCTGCGAGGCGGCAACGCCCTGAGGAACTGCAAGGCCTGGCCGCGGGGCCGGAGGGGGGGGGTCGCTCTCTCCGGGCCCGGGCAGGGATCTCTCCCGCGTGGACTTGTTCGTGATCGGCATTCCCGATGCCGGTGTGCGCGCTGTACTGTCGATCCGGTCCGCGAGGGAGCCCGATGGGCGCTGGGGCCCCCGAGGCGCTTGGGCGGCTCCTCAGCGCAGGGGGCTCGGTGAGCGCAGCCGTCCGCTGGAGGGAGAGATCTAACGACTCGCCCGGCAGCGCGCCGCGACGAGCGCGCGACTGTCATGTGCGAGGGGGCGTCCGAGGTACAACTGAACCAGAGCGGGTGCCTGCGGTGACCACCCACGCCATTGCCGGACGCTGGCGCCACGCTTCCAGCGAGCAGGCTGGGTGACGGACCTACCGTCGCACTGCCGTACAGCAGGGTTGCGGACTCGTCGCGCGCACCGCCCGTGAGTGCACTGCGTTGCATTGCCTTCGCCTCACCGCGCCCGGTCGCAACGTACGTGCTGGGGCCACCGTCGCGGCGCGGGGCCCTCGACGGAGCCAGCCGTGACATGACGTGTGCTGGAAAGTGAGGTGAAGTCAGCCGTGGGGAGAAACATGGCGCACCCGGGCTTGTCTTCGCCTGGTGGGACCAGTTTCGACGCAGAGAGCGCCCAGGAAGCGGTCAAAACAACCTTCCAGAAGCTGGCGGATGGGCTGGATGTGCTCAAGATCCTCGACGACACAGGTGAGCGTCAGGTGGCGATCACCCCCGTTGGGATGCACGATTGGTGGGCACTCTGCGCGCGACGACGGCGCGGCAGAGCGCGTGCCACGATGCCCACGCCTCCCTCGATAGCGACGCCCCCGCCCGGTCATGTTTGCTGGAGGGCAGAGGCGGCCGCGGCCGAGAACGCTCACATTCCTGGCGCTCCCTTCGACCTGCAGCGGCGAACTGGACGGCGGTGCAGCGGCTGATTTCGTCGCACAAAACGCTCGTGGACCAGATCATCGTCGCGATAGGCCATACCGCCGAGGAAGCGGGGCGGCGTGGCCGCGAGGCAGACATGAGCCGGGTGCGCCCCCCCGCGCGAGGGACCCCACGGCACGCGCGAGGAGCCGCGACGGTCCCCAACGCCGCACCCTCCCCTTGCTGATCAGTGCGAGGCCCCGGCGTCGAGCGTCTGAGCCCGGGCGCCTGACGCACCGCCTCGCACGCTGCCTGTCACGTCCACCGCAGCAACGGCACGTCCCCACTGTCTCCGCCCGTGTCCTGCCTCGCAGCGCGACAACGAGCAGCTGCGAGCCGAGGTCGCCGAGCTCTCCGAGAGCAACGCGGCGCTCACGGCGGAGCTGCGCAACGTGCGTGGGGCGCAGGGCGCGGCCGAGGCGCGCTGCGAGCAGCTGGAGCGCGACCGCGTCGCTGCGGACGCGCGTGCGGAGGCCGCGACGCGCGAGGCCGCGTTGGCGCAGGACTCGCTGCACCAGGCGCGGTCGCGCGTGGCGGAGCTGGAGCGGGACGTGGCGGTGGCGGCGGAGCGCGCGAGCGCGATGACGCAGCGCATCCGCACGGTCGAGGAGGAGGCGCGGCGGCTGCGCGCGGCCGAGGCGGAGGCGAGCCAGCGGCTGCGCGGCACGGAGGCGGAGCTGAACGCCAAGCTGGACGCGGCGCGCATCGACGGGGAGCGCAAGGGCGCGGAGGTGGCGGACCTGCGCGCGGAGCAGACGAGGCTGAAGATGCAGGTGGAGGGGCTGCAGCGGGAGGCGACGGGCATGCAGGGCGAGATGGAGGCGGTCAAGGCAGCGCTGACGGAGGCGAACGCGCGGCGGGAGCGGGCGCAGGAGCAGGCCGCGGGGCTCGAGCGCGACGTGTCGGACCTCCGTATCGAGCTGCGCGAGCAGGAGCGGCAGAACGAGGGCCTGCTGGACCAGGCGCAGCGGCTGCGCACGGACGTGCACCTGCGGCAGGCGGAGCTGCGCAGCGCGAAGCAGTCGCTGCGGGAGGGCGCGGCGCGACAGGCGGACCTCGAGGCGCGCATGCGCGAGCGCGAGCGCCACGCTGGCGCGCTGATCGGCGAGATCAGCGTGCTGAAGGTGAAGCTGGCGAAGATGGACGCGGCGAAGCAGATCGGGCGGGAGCGCGCGGAGATGCGCGCGAGCGAGGCCGAGCGGGCCCGCGCCGACATGGAGCGCGCGCTGCAGGTCGAGCGCGCCAAGGCGGCCACGCTCGCCAAGGAGCTCACACGGCTCGAGGCGGCGGTGGCGGCGGGGCCCGTCGCGCAGGAGCAGATGGCCGAGGAGATCCACGCGCTGCGGCGGGCGCTCGCGGAGCAGGCCGCGGCGGCGCAGAAGCGGCACGACGCGGCCAAGGCCAGCGTGGAGCGCCCTGCGCCGCTGCCCAAGGCGAGCAGCCTGAAGGCGCTCGCGTCGCACGACCGGGGCGGCGCGGTCGCGACGCTGCGCGCGAAGGCGCCGTCGCAGCCTGCGGGGGCGCCCGCGTGGGACCACGGCCCGGCGATCGACGTGATGCGGAAGCGGCTGGCTGCGCTGGATGCAGCGGCGGGGGCGCAGGGGCAGGAGGGCGGCGCGGGGGCCAAGCCGGCTGTGCGCGGGGCGCGCGGCCCGGCGGAGGCGGCGGTGCGGCGCGGGAGGGGCGATGGGGCGGACGGCCGGGGTGACGCGCGCGAGGTCGCTGGGGGCGCGCGGCGGAGCATCACCGAGTCGATTCCGGAGGAGGAGGAGGTGGCAGGTGCGGGCGGGGAGGAGATGGGGCGGATAGAGGTGTCGCATGCGCGGGCGCTGCACGTGGTGCACTCGGACCCCAACCGGCACATTCGGTGGGCGCCGGGCGTCACGGGGGGGTCTCTGAGCTCGATGGAGAGTCCCCGGGCGCAGCAAAGAGGCTTGCGTGGCGACCCGTTCAACTTGAACGTCGCAGCGAGGTAGCAGTGCGGGTTGAGGCGAGGCGAGGTGTTATCAGCAGATGACACGCGTCGCGACATGCGCTGACACCCACACACGTCCCGCCCTGGCGCCGTCACACGTGGTGAGCTGACACTTCACCTCACCTCGCGCGTTTGCGCCGGTCACGCGTCCGCGCCGGCCTTGGGCGAGCCCTCCCCGGACGGCCCCTTCTTGCCCTTGTTCCCACTCACGCGCCGCACCATCTTCACCAGGTCCTGCCCGCTCAGCTCGAGCTTCTTGCGCGGGTCCTCGGCGGCGAGCGTGAAGTGCGACGTCGTGCTGTAGTGCCCGGGGATGAAGCGCGTCTTCGGCGGCACCGGCGGGAACTGGGTGTACATGCGGTTGTACGTGGACTTGTCGTTGCCGACCGCCTCCACGACGTCGGACGGATCGCGCAGAACGACCACCGAGTGGCCCTTGTCGACGAGGCCGCGTGCCGCCCGCTTCGGGGAGTCTTCCGGCCGGTGGGGCCTGCGGAGGCAGCGCACGGGGGAACGAACCGCCGGCGTGAGCGTGAGCGGTGCGGGGGCGGCCCAGGGGCCCCGCGGCAGTGCGTCCGGCGCACGTCTCGCGCACCTGTACACGATCTTGTGCGTCGTGCTGAACCCCTGGCTCGTCAGCGGCTCGTGCCTGCCCACCTCCCACAGACTGTCCCGGTAGTGCGGGTCAGACATGTCCCTGCGCTTGCCCGCGGGGCCCAGGCCGGGGAGGCCGCGGTAGTCGGACCGCGCGGTCGTCCGGAACCGCTCCTGCGGGTCCGTCGGCTCGTCCTCGACCGGGGAGATGCCCGGCCTCACGTTGCCGGTGATGTTCGGGAACGTGAGGTGCTTGTTGCCGCGCCGGAGCAGCCGCGCGAGGTACGCCTGGCGGTCCTCGACCGGGCTCGCGCGCCCCGGCGTGGACTCGCCCGAGGAGTCCCCGCCGGCCGGCAGGACGCGCGGCGTGGTGGCGGCGTCGCCGGGGCGCCCGCTGCTGCCGCGCCGGAGCCAGCTGTCCACGACCTCCGACGGGTCCGCGAACCCGTCGCCGGGCGCCGCGGTCTGGTCGACGGCCTGCGTCGCCGCCGTCTGCGTGGTCTTGGAGACCTGGGGCATGTGCAGCTGCAGCTTCTCCGGGCTCACCGTGACGGGCGCGCTGAGCTTGCCCGCGCCGAGGATGGGGCGCGTGCCGTAGCGCTGCTCCACGTTGACGGTCCTGCAGCGCGCCGTCGCGCCGAGGGAGGCCCGTTAGGCTCGGAAAACGTGTGCATTTGGCCATCCGCCCCGGGGGCGCTCTCGGGGCCGGATGAGCAACGAACCGCAGCGCGAACCTATCGGCGACATGCTCGCGCCTGCGCCAGGCCGGAAGGCCCTGGACACCGCGCAGGATGCCGGGGGCGGGAGCGGCTCACCTGGGCGGGCTTTGGCGCGCAGTCAGGGCGTGCGCCGCCCGTGTTTGGGAGCTCCAGTGGCCCCCGGCCAGGCTCTGTGGCGTGTTGGGGCCGAGCGGGACCGTGCTTCCCGACCGGATCGGCAGCTCGACCTTCGGGGGAAGGGTGCCAGGGGGCTCCAGCCTGCCTGTGGTCTTCCACATCACCGGGCTCGAGCCGCCGCTCGCGATCGCCACCTGCGAGGCGGAGGACGGACTCTGTCGAGTCTGCCGGGCGCCGCCGGTGCGGCGAGCACTGCTGCGCGCGGGTGTTCGAGGTGCCCCTTGGCAGCATGATGCACCAGAGGCCGGACTTCTTCTCGGTGCGCCGCTGATCGTCGCAGCGATGCGGAGCCTCGCGAGACTTCCGTGAATGTTCGACCTGGCGGCGTGAGTCTCGGCTCGCGCCCCCCCCGCTTTCGTATCGAAACGACTACGCTCGGTCGCAACCGTCGCTGCACGCGGCCGACTTGCACGTTTTTTACCCGCCGCAGCGGTCGGCCGAGGAACTCAGTCGCAGAGCAGCCGCGTCGAGGGCCAGCGCCGCGCCGTGGGCCCTCTGGCAAGCTCGGTCCACGGAGGGGGAAGAAGGAACTACTTGCGCGGGAACGTCGCCCCACGGGCATTTTCCGGAGACGCTGACCATCGGGGCCATCCGCGACACGGGAGAGACGCACCTGCGACTCCATCTTGTTGACGGTTCCTCGCAGGAGCCGCTTTGGCGACGTGTAGCCTTGGGGCGCTGGCCCGTACGTCACCCTGTGCATCGTGGCGGCGTCGAAGGGGCCATTTCCGCCGAGTTCGACTGTTGAGAGGCCTCTGTACCACTGGAGCCTCCTCGGAGCCACCTTGGGCGGCTCAGCCGCCTCTGCGGTCATCTGTGCCCCACTGTGACAAGCAATCCGCCGCGCGAGGGAGGGCTGGCGTGTGCGGCGAGTTCGCGCCCTCGATGCGATGCCTGGACACCAATCGGCGAGTTGGCGAGGCGGAGTGGGGCTCAGAGCGGTCGCGCGCGCCCCTAGTCGTGGCAGCCAGCCAGGAGGTACAACACCTGCAGCGTCTGCGCGAGCTGGGGCGGCCGCGAAATTTTCCGCCGGCGCTGTCCGCAAGACGAGTGTGTATCGCGCTCGCCCCCCCGGGCTGCCCTCCCCCGCCCCTCGCACCACCACCACCGCGTTCCAGTGGCAGCGCCCCGCGAAGCAAGTCACATCCGTCGTGTCACGGCCGGACGCGCAGAGCGGGCGGCATCCTGCTTGCGAGTCCCCCGCGGCCCACCAGCGGCGAGCAGTCGCTGCTCGACTCGTCGCCGCACGCGCACGCGTCATCGCTGCCGCTCTCGCACCCGAGCGCGTCCATCGCCCGCCGGAGCCGGTCCCGCGCGCCGCTCTGGTCGTTCAGCGCCGCCCGCAGCGCCCCCTTGCGCGCGGCGTTGCGCGTCGTCGCCTGCGCCTGGAGCCGCCGCAGCATGTCCAGCTCCGACTCCAGCCGCCGGTGCGCCTGCGTCAGCATCGACGCCTCCTCGCGCGACGCCGCCGCGACGTTCAGCGCCTTCTCGCGCTCGAACTCGAGCGTCCGCAGCTTCTCCGTCATCACCGCCGCGGCCACGTCCGACCGCTGCACCGCCTCCTCGACGCTCTCCAGCCGCTTCAGCGTCGCGAGGAGCAGCGTCTTCAGCTCGTCGCGCTCCGCCTCCGCCGCGCACAGCTTCTCCACCGTCGCCTGCCGCGCCCGCAGCGCCGCCTCCTCCGTCTCCACCGCGCGCCGCTCCGCGCTCTGCACCCGCTCCTCCCGCGTCCGGAGCGCCGCCTGCACCGCGCCGCACGCCGCCGCGGATCAGGCCCACAAAGCACGCCAACGCCAGCAGCAGCGCGCCGCGTCGCACCGAACACTGTTTTGAACAACAAACAAACATCATCCTCGCGTGGCCGCGTGGAGGCGGGCCGGCACCTTGAGGGCGGTCACGTCGGACGTGCGCGACTGCAGCTGGACCTGCGCGCGCTCGAGCTCGCGCTGCAGCCCCAGCGCGCGCTTCCGGTGCTGCTCGCTCTCGCGGCGCAGCGCCCCCTTCTCCGCCGCGTGCAGGTCCCGCATCTCCTTCATCTCCGCCTGCAGCAGCCGCAGCGTCTGCTTGCTCGGGCCCGCGCCCGCGTCGTCGGCCGGGCCCGCGGGGGGCGCCTTGCGCGCCGGCGACCGTGGCGGGGGCGGCGGCATTGCCTGCTTGGCGCGCTGCGCGGGGCCGGCCGCGCGGGCTGGCGGGGCGCCGCGGGCGCCGCGGGCTTGGCGCGGTGCGAGGGCGAGGGCGCCTTCTTGGCCGGCGAGTACGTCTGCTTGATGAGCGTCTTGATGGTGCTCGCCGACTGCTGCAGGGCGTTGGCGTCCTCCGCGGCGCGCAGCCCGGCCTCCGTCTCGTTCAGCGCCTTCTCGACCTGCGCGCGCGCCGGAGCCGGTGCGCGCGGCGGCGTCGCTCCCGGGCCGCACCGGAGCGTTGACAAACCCAACGCGGCGAGGCGTGGGCGGTTTTCGGCGGTCGGGGGCTAGGTGCCGCACCTTGTTGCACTTCGACAGCAGGTTGAGGATCTCCTTGCGCTGCTGCGCGCGGCGCTCCGTGAGGTCCTCTATGCGCTGGTCGTCTGCACGTGCGAGATGCTCAGTGAGGACAGTTGAGGAGCTGCGCCGCGTCACGAGCGGACCCGCGCCCGCTACGTCCGCACGAACGCTTCTTGGGATGTCACTCGCGCGATAAATCGGTCGGTGCGTTGACGTCGCCGCAGGAGGCCCCGGGACGCCGTGCGCCGCGCCCAGGACGGCGTTGGTGCGCTAGCTGCGCCATGGTCCGTCAGGCCGTGTGCGCGCACCTGAATCCATGAGTCGCAGGCTGGAATTAGAGCTATCACTGTCCCCCTCCGCGATGCCGCTCGCCTCGAACACGCGCGTGCCGCCCGCGTTGGACGCGCCGGAGCCTATCACCACACCCAAACTGGCCAGGCGCGACCTGAGCTCGTCCACGTCGAGGTCGCCCAGCAGGTCGGCAACGGTCTCCACGTCGATCTCGCCGTCCTCGTCGGTCAGCCGCGCCGGCATGACGCGCACCCCCCCGCCCCGAGCCCGTTGTGAGCACTGCACCGCCAGGCACACGCGCGGGACCTCTCGCCGCTCCGGGTCAAACGGATCCCGAACGGCGCGTTCATGCAGCTGCGCGGGGCGCGGGGCGCGGGCGGCCCTTGTCGGGCCCCAGGTGCGCCGCTCCACGAAGCAGCGTTGACAGGAGGTGGGAGCGCACCAGGCCCGACCGACGCAGTCGGGTGCACGCGCGCCGGGACGTTGCCGGCCGCCCCCGCGCAGCACGAGAACACATGCGACATTTCGTCGGCAGGCCGGACAGCACGGCTGCGTCGCGGACCACGCGTCAATCACGCACGCGGCCCTGGCACTTCAAGAGGCTGTCCCGGGCCCGGTAGACGCGGCGCTCTGCGCACGGCACCGCCCCGGGCCGTCATGCGGCTGAAGGTGAAGCAGCGGGACATGAAGGTCCACCAGGACCTCGTGTCGTGCGTGTGCTGGACCCCAAATGGCGAGCTGTTGAGCTCCTCCGACGACCAGACGCTGCAGCGCTGGGCCGGGTCGGGGGAGCCGCAGGGCAGGGTGTGCCAGGTGCCGTCGCCCGCGACGACGAGCATGGAGTTCCAGCCCTCGTCCGTGAGCCAGCAGCAGTCTGCGGTGGAAATATTCGCACTGGCCACCGCGGACGGCAAACTGCTGCTCATGAACCGGTCGGGCCGGGTCGAGAAGACCGTGGACGCGCACAAGGGCGCCACCATCTCCATGCGCTGGAGCAATGACGGCCAGGTGCGCGGCGGGGGCGCGAGCAGGCTTGCCTTCCGCGTGCCCCGTGGCGGGCTGGCGGGCCGCCCAGATACACGCGTGCGGGCGGCCTGACCGGGATCTGCAGACATGCGTCTTCCTCGCGCTGCGTCGGCTGTGCGTTGGCAGCGGCGCCCGGCACTGAGGCGGAGCGGCCTGGCACGCTGCGCCGCACATGGCGCGGGCGCTCACCAGCGCGCTCCCGCAGGTCTCACGGGCTCTCACTGCCGGTGCGCGGCGACTGCGTTGCAGGCTATCTGCACGGGCGGCGAGGACGGGCTGGTGAAGGTGTGGTCGCGCGTGGGCATGTTCCGCTCCACGCTGGCCGAGTCTCGGCGCGCCGTGTACGCGTTGGCGTGGAGCCCGGACTCCGGGAAGGTCGCGTACACCAGCGGGAAGGACATCGTGATCAAGCCGCTGCAGCCGGGCGCGAAGCAGACGTCGTGGGTGGCGCACGACGGCATCGTGCTGGCAGTGGACTGGTCGTCCTCGTCCGGCCTGATCGCCACGGGCGCCGAGGACGGGCGGTACAAGGTCTGGGACGCGGTCGGGCGGCTCATCTACCAGTGCGCGCCGGCGGGGAGCCCGGTGACGGCGCTGCGGTGGGCCCCGTCGGGCGCGCTCCTGGCGGTGGCCACGTTCAACGCGGTGCAGCTGTGCGACCGCAGCGGGTGGCCGCACGGCCGGCACCGCATGGACGTGGGCAACGTGTACTCGGTGGCGTGGACGTCGGACGGCACGCAGCTCGCGTGCGCGGGCGGCAACGGGCACGTGGCGTTTGCCGAGGTGGTGGGCATGTGCGTGGAGCAGGGCGCGGTGTCGGCGACGCTGGAGTCGGGGCGGCTGGTGCGCGTGACGGAGGTGGACGAGAGCGGCGGGCGCGAGGAGGAGCTGGAGTACCGGGACCGCGTGGTGCAGCTGTCGCTGGGCGCGGGGCACATGGTGGTGGCCACGACGACGCAGCTGTACGTGTACGCGGCGGGGTCGTGGGCGACGCCGCAGATCATCGACGTGAAGGGCATCGTCACCATCATCGTCCAGGCCGAGCACTGCTTCCTCACCGTCGACCACTTCGCGGGCCTGCGCCTCTACGGCTACGACGGCCGCCAGCTCTGCCAGCCGCGCCTCACGGGCCTCCTCCCGGAGCTCCTCTCCGCGCACATGCTCGCGCTCTCCAGCGACACGCTCGCCGTCGTCGACCCGGCCAACCCGAAGGTCGTGCGCCTGTTTGACGCCAGCGTGGGCAAGGAGCTCGGCCGCCCGCTGGAGATGCTGCACGACGTGCGGCAGGTGTCGCTCTCGCAGCAGGGCCCCGCGCACGGGCGGATGCTGTCGATCGTGGACGCGAACGGCGAGCTGTGGGTAGCGCGCACCACGCGGCGCGACATGGTCAAGCTGGCGACGGTGTGCACGTCGTCGCTGTGGCACGACCGGTACGACGCGCTCGCGGCGGTGGTGGACGAGCGGCTGACGGTGTGGTGGCGGCCCGCGGCGCTGTTCGTGGACCGCGACCTCAACGCGGTGGCGCGGCACGCCCGCGACGACAAGTCGCTCGGGCAGGGGTCGGAGCTGGTGGACTTCAGCGGGACGCGGTGCTCGGTGCGGCGGCAGAACGGCGTGAACATCGCGGTGGGCGTCCCGCCGTTCGCGGGCAAGCTGTACGCGCTGGTGGGCGCGCGGCAGTGGCACGAGGCCACGCGGCTGGCGCGGTTCGCGAACGACCGCGCGATGTGGGCGGTGCTCGCGAGCCTGGCGCTCGAGGCGCGCGAGCTCAACGTGGCGGAGGCGGCGTTCGCGGGCCTCGGGCGCATCGACCGCGTGGAGTTCATCCAGCGCCTGAAGAAGGTCCCGAGCGACGAGGGGCGCGCGGCGGAGCTGGCCGTGCTCGCGCGCGAGATCGACAAGGGCGAGCAGATCCTCCTGCAGGCGGGCCTCGTGTACCGCGCGATCGAGCTGCGCATGTCGCTCTTCCGGTGGGAGGAGGCGCTGGACCTCGCGCTGCACCACAAGACGCACATCGACACCGTGCTGCTGCGCCGCGCCGAGTTCAACCGCGCCGCGCGCCTCCCGGAGCAGTCGCCCAAGTTCATCCAGTACGCGGAGAGCGTGCCCATCGAACCAGAGGCCATCGAGGCCAAGATCCAGGAGGAGCTGGAGGCGGAGGCCGCGAGGCCGGGAGCGCGCTTCGCCTGAGGCCGCGCGATGTGTGACGCAGGTGACACCGGTGTGAGAGTGCGGGTCAGCCTGTAACAGTGTAAACCCGAGAGAGGAGGTTCTCCGCTAGCATCTCGACGCGCTAGCACACAAAGCCTTATGGCTGACGACGCGAAGAATGTGACACCTCACCTCACCTCACACGCAGTGTCTGCCCACGGTACCTACCGACAGTACCAACACTACGCTGTGCAAACACCCCGGACACCTACTTGGACGTCGCACGAGACACGGCCGGGCCAACCGCTCTGTCCCGTGTCCTCCAGTACCACAACAACTTGCTCAAGTTTGGCTTGCTGTTCCGCGACGCTCGCGGGGCCGCGTGCGTCGCTGGCCAGGGAGGCGTCGACGCCTCCGGAGCTCACCCGGCGCCGCGACTAGGGCTTGCGCGGCTTGGGCGGTATCCACCGCAGCACCTTGCTCCCGTGCTGGCCCTGGGGTGCGGGACGCCTGAGCCATTCTGGGCGGTTCGCGTCGGTGCAGCCGACCAGCACCGTCATGTTCTTGGCGGCGTTGACGTCCCTTGCCACCAACTTCTTGCATGTGTCAGGCGGGGGGCGACGCAGCCCGCGGACCATGAGCCGCTCGACGTGCACGCGCGGGAGAGTATGTCGTCTGTCAGAATGTGTCAGGCTACGAAGGCCTGAGAAGGAAGCTCAGCTGCGCGACATCGGGCGTTGTCGATCCATCGAGTCTTCGACACGATGGGAACCGCTGCTTCAAAGAATGCCGGGGTGAGTGACTGCGGGAAGTTGTCAATTTGATACCATGTGTGCATTTCGTGCAAGCCTTTTGCGAGCATCGCGTCTCTCGACGTCGATGTGCTCGATCGAGGGTCGTTGACCGATCGACCGCCCTGCAGAGACGGCTGCTGCGAAATACATCCATCCCGCGCCCCATCGACTCTTATCATAATCGACATGAACCGATGCGCGCAGGAAAACAAGGCAGAGACGTCGATACCCGCGGCCTGCATGTGCCCAATCTGTTACAGGGTCATGCAAGACCCGGTCGTCGTGGTGGACAGCGGCCACACGTACTGCAGGACCTGCATCACGCGGTGGGCCACGAGTCGCGCGGCCCCGGTGGACCCAATGACCAACCGCCGTCTCAAGCTGCCCCTACAAGTTGTTGAGAACTGGCTTGTGCGCAGCATCATCGAAGGGGGTTTGGCGGACAGGCCGGCGACCAAGTGGGACGACGAGTGTGGCGGGAGAGTGCCGGCGACAGTGATGGAAGCCTGCGAGCGGGTGTTCGAGAACGCGGCGGAGACATCCCTGGTCATCTGCGACGGGCGGCGAGTGAACGACGAAAACGTCGCGGCTATTGCTGATGCTTTACGCGGCTGCTCGAACCTTGAGGTGCTCATGTTGGAGGGAACCAGGATCACCGATCGAGGCCTGGGGATACTTCTAGCTCCTGTGCGGGACTGCAAGAGGTTGACAGAGGTGCATCTCGGCGGCAATCGGCTCGGAGACGGAGGCGCTGTCGCTCTTACCGGCGCCTTGCGCGACTGCACTCAGCTGTACTGCGTCGATCTGCAGGACAACGGCATCTCCACGGCTGGCGCTGTCGCTGTCATGCGGCTCGCGCGCGCTCGTGTGTCTCTGAGGTCCATCGACCTCAGTGTCAACAAGATCGGCGACCATTCGGTGGCTGCGATCGTTTCGGAGTTGCAGGACACCATCCAGGAGCTGAAGCTCGTCCTGCAGCGGAACTGCATCGCGGACGCGGGGGCCGTTGCTCTCGCCCAATTGGTTCGCAGCGGCAGGATCCGGCACCTCGACGTAAGCCGGAATCTAATCGGTATGCGAGGGGCGGAAGCTCTTGTCAAGGCGATGCAGAACTGTCCCTTTCGGAAGCATTCGAAAATCGCTTTGTTCATGCACAAGAACAACATTCTCGACAGAGCGAGGCTCGACGCGCTGGCACAATGCGTGGAAGGACCAAACTGCTACCTGAAGCACAGGGTTGGCCGCTATGCATGCCGGGACCGCGCTGGCTACAGGCAGATCGGGTTTTGATGATGCGTAAAACGCAGCATCACGACCTTGGCGCACTTTCAAGGAGGCCACGGACTTGTCGCCGCAGAAATCATCGAACATCTGACGGACAAGGCGGTGTGAGAACGGGGAAGCGTCCCTCGCGCAACAGTCTGTAACAGTCTAGCGCTCTGCTTAGAGGGAGAGGCCGAGGTTGAGGCCCGCGGCGGCGTGGGCGACGAGGAGCGCCATGGTGGCCGAGCCGATGTAGGCGTGGGCGCTGCGGGCGTTCGGGTCGTCCTCGAAGAAGAGCGGCAGCATGGCCTGCAGCGCCAGCAGCGTGAGGCCCGTGGTGCCCGTCCAGAAGTGCGGCGACTGGAGGATCGGCTTGCCCTGCATCGTCAGCGAGAGCATGCCGCCGAACGCGCCGAGGAAGAAGAAGACCGCCGCGCCGCCCAGCAGCTTGGGGTGCATGTCCTGCGCCTTGGCCACCACGTCCGCGTCATCCGACAGACGGATCTGCCAGCCGAGGTACGAGCCGTACCCGCCCATCGCGGCCAGCACCACGAACATGTTGCCGGGGTGGCCCCACCGCACCAGAGCCTGCGCACACAAAACCAGACAACATGCAAACTTGGGCGCCACGACACGAAGAGCCGCCCCGGGGACACCGTGCGGCCCCCACGAACGCCATGCGTCGACTGGCTCGGCGCCGGGCGCTCCCCGCTCGTCGCGGCAGAGCGTGCTCCGGCGGCGGCGGCGGGTCATCGCGGCGCACCTCGGGCAGGCCAGCCTCGTTGAGCTGGGCGGCGATGGGCTGCAGGGAGTCCTGGAACGAGCCGAGGACGAGCAGGCCGGCGAGGGGCGCGAGCGTGCTGTTGAGCTTCGTCATCTTCTCCTGGCGCTTGGCCTCCCGGGCGGGCTCGGCATCCTTCGAGGCCCGCACGACGCACGCGGCGCGCCTGCAGGACCGCGCATGGACGTGGGCGCGACAGCGACATCACGCGAGGAGTGGGGCATGAGGCGATGCGGCGTCGCGTCCCGAACGGGCGGAGGGCGACCCTCGGACGGTGCGAGGGGCCACACATCCAGAAAGACCTCGCGGTTTTACGTCGTGGTCAGCTAGGCGGTGGAATGTCCGACGCAGAGGACGTCGGGGGATCGAAAGGGGTGCAGAAGCACAATGGATGCATCTCGATCGTCGCGCACGAAGCCGCGCGAGAGGACCCCCTTTGTGTGTGGCGAGTGCGCACTGCCTGCCAGTGGGGAGGCTGTAGGGCGTGAAACGACAATCATGGGCCCTCGTGTACCCGACATATGCATTTGGCGAGCATCGCGAACAGAAACAATGTGTCTGCGGCGTCGCTTCCAGGCTCAGCGCCACTGTCGTCTATCCGCCCCAAACAAGGCAGGCGGCCGAAATACCGAGCCGGGCGCGGGCGACACAGCTGTAGCGCACAGTCCAGGCATTGACGCACCTCTGGGCAACCTTCGCGGCCGGCCGCGTGGCCGCCACGCGGGAGGAGACGAGCATCGTGGCGTTCATGTTGAGCAGGTGCCGGGGCAACGGAATGTGAGCTTGTGGCAGGATGCAGGCGACTGAGTGTCGCTGTGCAGGGTAACTCGCAGGCAATCAAGCCCCTCGTGCCGCGGCACGACGGCCCCGCCCACTTGGTTGTGTCAGCAGAGGGGATGTCACCCGCGGACGGTCCGGGACCTGGCGCCTTGGGGGCGCCTTCAATGCGCGCGGCTGCCGTACGAGCGAAGTTACAGTCAAGAGTAGCTGGTCTTTGTCGAAACGGGTTCCCTGTGTTCGTTTGCCCTCCCAGCTTGCCTTTGCTGCACTGTCACGACGTGAACGCCAGGGCTACCGCCTTTGAAACGCCCCGCGGATCGATCAGCAGCAAGCTTTGTCTCACAAGAGCGTGTCATCAAGAACCGCGTCATAGGGCCAACTTCTGCTCCACCACTCCACCTCTTGCGCACCACTCGCGGTCAAGCCGCGTCCTGCTGATCGACCTTCGACGCTAGTGACCACCCGCTACGATGAGGTTCGATCTGCTGGTCCCCGAGGACGTGAAGGAGTTCGTGTCGGAGCGCCTGGTCCCGGAGTATGGGCCAATGATTGCTGGTGGGCTCTTTGGAGCAGGTACTGCGCCCTTCGCTTCGTCAAGGCGCTCTATGTGCCCCCTCCGCCAGACCCGCGCTCAGATTCCCTACATCCATGCCGTGAGTTCGGCCGCGACGACCGCGTGGGGCTGGCGAAGGCGTGCGTTCCAGGGCGCGCAACCACCCCGGTCGCCCGCGTGTCGTGCTTGGCGTGACAGCGCACGCAACTACGCGGGGTGCGCTCAATCAAGCTACGGAAGCGCTGCAGCGGGCGCGAACGACACGGCAGCCCCCCCGGCGACGCCGTGCATGGTGAGGTGTTCGCATCTGACTCGCACCGCGCTGCGCCCTGTTCCGCGGCCGCAGGGTGGTGGTTCTGGGTCGACGCCGTCTGCAGCGTCGACAGCAAGATCCCGTTCCCGCAGTGGCTACCGGGTTTCGCGGCCACCATCGCCATCGTGATGATCAACATGATGAGCCGCGACGAGTACGAGTACGACGAGGGGACCGAGTGCAGGTGAGGCAGACTGTCCCGCCCGCCGCTGCCCTGGCGCCCCCCGCCGCACGCCCGCGTCCCGGGCAACTCCGCGCCGGGTGCAATGTGCGCGGTGTGTTGTCGTGGTCGCAGGGCCAAGTCGTGGCTGTTCATCTCGTACATCGTGTCCTTCGGCGCGGTGGTCAGCTCCGTCGTCGTGCTCATCGAGGGCTACGCGAAGAACCCCGACGCCACCTCGTTGTGGCCCGGGGTGGCCGGCATATTCCAAACAGTGCTCATTCTCGCCAGCGGGCTAGTGTTCTTCACCACGCGCGCCCGGTCCCGCGGTGACGCGCCAATGTCGCTGTGAGACGCCCCTCCGACGCGGACATCGTCAAACTCGTTCACACGCTCCAGGAAGGGCCGCCCCCCGCGGCCTGCGGCCCCACGAAGAGCTCCCACACCTTGGTGCTCGCGGCGGGTCCGATCCGGCGGCCGTTCCGCTTGACGTCTTGCAGCATGACCATGCAGGCGCGTGCGGGGTCGCCACCCTGCGCCCTCGCGTCCGCCGCGCACTTCCGATACTGCCTGCGAGCACCCCGCGGAAGGCAGCGTTGCATCGGTCGCGCCGAACGACTCGCGATGCTGCCTGCATCAGATGCGCCCACGTGCGCGGCATGCATGCTCACCTGAAGAGCGCGAGAGGCGTCGGGAATTCCCTGACGATACCCTCGACGGCCTCCGCCCCTAGCCGCGGGACCTTGCATAGTTGTTGCACCCAGATGTCTCGGGAACTGAGCTTCTTGGACGACCGCATCTTCGTCGTGAAGTCGTCCAGAGTCACCAAGTCGCTCTGCAGGCATCGCGACTGCTCATGCGTCGCACAGGTCCGTCCACGAGCGCGTGTGGATGCGGGCCGGCAGCTGCGGTGGCGTCGCACCTGGCGCGGCCCCGCGTAGTCCGCGCACGCCTGTTCCAGCTCCTTGGTCATCCTGGCGTACAGCTGCAGCGTGTCCGTCTGCTGGGCGGTCCGCAGCAGGCAGAAGCCGTGCTTGATCTGCACCGGGCGCCAAGATCGCTGTGCGTTGCGCCATCCCTGTGCTGCAGCAAGTGTGGCGTCAACAGCGCTGCATGGGGGCGGGGGGTCTGCAGAGCGACCCTTCGCGCACCTCCGTTGCGATGCACGACGTCTTCAGGCGCCGGACGGAGGCGTCCGTCACCTGCGCGGTGACGGTGGGCATCTTGTTGATGTCCATGGGGTTGCCCTCCACCAGGTAGAACAGGTACCGCAGGCCCGACTGCATCAGCCAGTACTTCTGCGCCTGGTACCGCCGGTCAATGATCGAATTGTGCAGGTCGTCCACGCGCTTCCGCTCCACGACGCGGTCCAGCACGTACTGCTCTGCAACACAACGCGGAGCAGCAAACTGGGAGCAGTCGGGTCAGTGCTGCTGCAGCTGCGTTCGGCGGCTCCGGACCTCGCGCTCTGCGCGCGGTGCAGATGCGTGGGGTGCGACGCACCCGCCGGCCTGTCTCTGCGCCGCGCGACCCACAGCGCGTCGCCCTGTTCGAGCTGCATGAACTCCACCTTGACGTTCCAGCTGGCGAGGTGGCCCGCGACGATCGCGTGGTCGAGCGAGAACGGATCGTTCTTCCTCGCCGGCCGCATCCACTCCCGGTTGTCCAAGATCAGCACCACCTGCGAGCACGAAGTGCACGAGCGGTCGGTGCTGAGTGGCGGGGCATCGAGACGTGAGGCCCGATGGCTGCGGCGGCAGTCCACCTCGCCCGTACCTCGTACGCCTGACGGAAGGTCTCGTCGGCGTGCAGCGGCGGCATGCGTTCCTGCAGCTCCTCGCCCAGCCCCGCAGTGCGCCACCACCCGTGCGTGGTCTGCCCGCTGCGATTGCGGTTCTCCGCAACGGACCCCTCGACCTCCACGCCGTGCGGACGCCTCTGCGCAAAGGTCACGCTACATGGCCGTCGGAGCCAAGTGTGCAAACAAGGCAGCCTTGCGCCGTCACGAGGGCCTGCGTGTGGGCGGCGCCCACGCCGAGCGGGGCCGTTTCTTACGATCGCACCTGGAGGCTCGAGTTCGCGCGGCTGACTGGGGCGGACGTCGGGCCGGGCGCGTTCCGCGAGTCCCCTGGCCCCGCGCCCGCCGTGTCGCTATTGGTCTGCTGGCCTGCCGCCGCACCATCCCCGGCAGCGACGGCAGCCTCTGGGTCGCCCATCAGGTCCTCGGGGCGCAGGGGCGGAATCCTTCCGGCCTGCAGGCGCCGGCACATGTCGGAGACGGTGGTTCATATTCTCAACGCATCAACCCAGGACGTGCGGCGGCGGGGCGCGAGATGCCTATTCGGCGGCGCGGACGGAGCGGGGACTGACCGCGACGCCCTCGAAGTAGAGTCGCCGTGCGAGCGGCTGACCGCGCGGCAGCAGGTAGAACTTGTTGCGGGTCTTGTTCTTGGTGACCAGCTCGTTGGTGAGGAGCGTCTTCATGCTCGACCAGCCGCTGTAGCTGCACGCAGCACCGCACGCTCGCGGGAGAGGTCGGCGACGGCGCGCAAGGCGGCGACCGGCCAGCGAGACACGCGTGGTGGTGGGACACTCACTACGACTTGGCCTCGTTGGACCAGAAGGACGTCTGCGCCTGCATGCCGACGTCGGCGATGCCAAGGCGCGTGGCCTCCTTGATCACGTCGTCCTTGACCATGAACTCCTGCCCGCGCTGCAGGCCCATGTACAGGGTGATCAGCAGGGCGCTCGACGTCGTGCCCAGCTTCGTCGTGTACTCCTTCCGCGCGCGCTTCGCAGGCCGCGCCTCCGAGGTGGGCTCCGGAGCCGCTGCCGGGGCTTTCTTGGATCGTTTGGTTGCCTGCACAGGAGCACGGGTGCACTGTGCATACGTGTCGTTGGATGTGAGGCGTGGGACGTTGCGAGCGCGATACTCGCGGGTGCCACGCGCCGCACCTGCGCAGCCGACGTACGCGCCGGCTGTCCCGGCCCACAAGGATCGCTCCCCGACTCCCCCGCCCCGTTCGGTCGGCTCTGGCGGCGGGGTGGCAAGTTCAGGTTCGTGCTGTCCGCGCCCACGGGTCGTTCCGCCTGACACGGGTGCTTCAAGCGCTGGAGGAACGCCCTTTCGGCGGCTGTTGGCGGAGCCGGCGGGTACCTGCGACACGAGCGGCGGGCAGGGGCAGTGTTGCGATGCAGCCCGCTGGAACGCCGGCCCGTGGTCGACGCGACAGCTTGAGCGCCCGCTCGCGGTGAGCCAGGCCGCCGTGTGCGCGTCGGCGTGGCGTGGGCGCGCTTACCTTTTGAACAGGTACTTGTCAATGACGCTGCACAAGTTGGGGCCGGCCGCCTTGATGTGCTCGCGCACCATGGCCGCGCTCCACAGCCTGCAAACAAGGTGGGATCCAGGACAATCGTCCGTCATCGTCGCGGCCTCGCCTTGCCGGGGCATGCCAGCGCGCCATTTCGCTGCACAACTTGCCTGAGAGGGATGTTGCTCACGCCCTTCAGCACCTCTCTCAGGGACGCGTCGACCGAGTCAGAGATGCGCATACTAAGCAGCTCCACGATGAAGGCCGCTAGGACCGTGTTGTCCTGCAACGCGCGCGGTGATGGTGCCCGAGTGCATTGATGCTACCAGCCCCGTGGCCGCCCCGCAGCGGGCACGCGAGGACGCTCTCGCGATGCAAGGGGCTGCATGTCTGAACGGTATCATGTTGATGCGCTTGCGAGGCGATTGTAGTGCTGCCCCGCCCAGCGAGAGAGAGAGGTGGCTGTTCACACCTGGCACTTCACGGAGACGTTGTACGTGTCCAGCGAACGATGCATTGCCTGCGCGCTCTCTGCTGCTCCGAGGTAGTCGTCGCGCGAGGGCGTCCGCTTGCCGCCCGCGCCGCGCATGATCACGCAGGGCACGCAGCACACAAACACATTCGCTTCGCCGCAGCACGCGCGGGCTCGTCCTCGAGTCTCAGGTTCGAGGTGCCTGATTCGCGCATCGATGCGCGCGGGACAAAATAGTATCGCTGGACCGCGGCAGCGGGCCCTGGTTGGAGCCCCGCGGGGCTGTTCGGTCCGCCAGACACACGGATGCGCGCGCTCGCGTCAAGGCCGGCGTGGGGGTGTGCCCTCGCTGCGAGTCGCGCACCGCGAACAATGCAGCGGAGCGTCGCTACGTTGCGCGACCCCTCACCACCGGGCGCTCCATGTCTGAGTCGAACGCGGCTGTGCTCAAAGTTGTTACCACCACCGCCCTCCCCGTCGTTTGCTTCCTCGTCGCGACTTGATTTGCGGGGCGTCCTGGCGCGGCCAACGCGTGTAGGCGGGGGACGGTCCTCATGGGGCGCGCGGGCGCCGGTGCCGCGGCGCAGCAGGCAGCCCCGGGGAGCCCAGGCGGTGGCCTGGAGGAAGAGCTGCTCCAGGTGCGCCGGTCGCGCGCCGAGGGCCGACCCGAACGGGCCCGGCTGCACGTTTGCCACATGAACCTCATACTGGGCGCGACGTCGTTCCCGCAACCTGTGTTGGCGGCGCGGGCGCAACCGCCTGCCCTGCCCCTGGCGCTCTCGTGCGCTTTCGCGCGTCCGCTGACGCCTGATGCGCGCATGGCGCAGCCGAACGCAACATGATCTTTCGTCTCAATCCAGGCGCTGCTCCTGCCGTGCTCGCGACCCGATTGCGGGTCCGTAGTGGACCTGGGAGACTGCACGCCAAGCAGGCGCTGAATGGTCCTCGCCGTGTCGCGGACCCAGTCTTTCGGCCCGGCCGTGAACAGAAAAGAGGCTTCCAACCTTCACGATGGTCCAGACATCCCAAACATCCTGTCCGTACGGCGGCTCTTGGCCCTCGACCGTGGCAGCTAGCTTTTTGCCGCGCAAGCCGACCCTGCTCGGTCAGCGCAGCATGGAACCGCCGGACTGTCCCCGTCGGTTGTTGTGCAGTCACTCAACGAGCAGGGGCTCTACGAGGCGGCCCAGAAGGTCGGCATCGTCGGTGTTCCGGACGCCCTGCAAGACGCCGGGACCACGGATGCCGCGGTCGACGAAACAGGCGAGTCGCGACCGCCGTCACGCGCAGCACGCGCGGCCACGGCGCCGTCAGCTTCGCTCGTCTCGTTCCCGCGCCGGCACGGTTCTGACGTGCAACCTGTCACCGACGACCTGCAGAGAAGGACGTCGCGGCTATCGAGCAGGAGACACTCGTGGACCGCTGCCAAACAACGTCTCAACTAGCCGGTGCGCCCGCCTCGCCCCCATCCTCGCTCGCACGGCACAGCACGGCTGCTCGCTCGTGTTGCGCGCATCCACGGCTCCACTGCCTCCTCCTGCTCACGCTGCCGGACGCGCGCTGCCTCTGCCGGCATGGTCGCTGCCGCGCGTCCCTTCGCCACGATTCCCGCTAACCGGGCCGCGGGGCGCCACCGAGCGCCCTGAGGTTGCAATGCACATGTGCGTGCGCTGCCTGGAGCGCCAAGCACCCAACCTGCACCGGCTGCCCCAGTGAACGTTCACCACCCACAGGCCCATGCTCGTGTCGTGCGACAGAAGCTCAGGATCAGACCAACGAGCGCGCAGCTGCCGCACAACATGAGCATGGGCATGTGGGTGATCAACGCTCACTGGGGCAGCCCGTGCTTGGCGCTCCGGGCCGAGAACGCGCACGTGCGCACTGCACGCTGGCGACGCGTGGCGGCGCCCCTCTCTCCCCCGTGTGTCATGCCGACGGGCAGCAATGCAGCTGCCACCCTTGCCAGGCACCCCCGTACTGGGCAGCGGCAGCCGCCGTCCCTCAACGCGCGGCGGGCGCTTCGTGCGATCGCAGGTCAGACCGCGGCGGCCGTCGAGGTTGTCCTGCGGCAGCTTGCCGCGTCGGACCCTGTGCAGCCCGCCAGCGTGATGGCCTCGCACGACGACCAGAGCAACCAAAACAACTCCACGCCCGCCAACCCGCGGAAACGGAGGGCGACGGGCCAGAGCGTGGCACAGAAGGCGTCGCAGGCACGTGGCGCCCCCCCTCCTCAGCCGGCCCTGCCCGCCCCGCAACTGTGCCCAAAGCGAGACGGCCGAGTTCGTGCCGCGCGTCCAACGTCTCTGGTTCCTCGTCCGTTTCCGCCCGCAGTGGGACTCGGCGAAGGGCGGCAAGGGCCTGCGCGACTTCGCCAGAAAGGTGTGCAACGTGCTGGTGGACAAGCGCACCACCACGTACAACGAGGTCGCCGACGAACTCGTCAAGGAACTGACCGCGGAGCCGTCGTCGCAGGTACTCCCCTCGTCCTCGCAGCACCGCATGCCCCTACGTCGGCGTTGCCACGCGTGCCCCTGGTGCGTGGCGTATCCTAACGATGTGTTGCAAGCTCCGCGCGCGCAGTTCGAGGAGAAGAACATCCGGCGACGTGTGTACGACGCTCTGAACGTGCTCATGGCGATGGACATCATCCGGAAAGAGCGGAAGATGATCCACTGGCGAGGACTGCCTAACGAGTCAGCGCAAACGTCTCGCGACGAGGTGAGCGCACGTACATGCCCTGTCCACTGCAGGTGCAGAGACATCGTGCACCGCAACGTGTATCGTGCGTGGCCGTCGTCGTTCGGCACGGGCGTGGCGTCAGCGCTGACTGTGTGCGCACTCGCTGCCCTGGCCCCGCAGTACCGCGCGAAGATCGAGGTGTCGCTTCGGCAGGTCAACCAGAAGCGCCACGAGCTCAACGGGCTGACGGACACGTACCGCGCGATGCGGGCCCTCGTGGCGCGGAACAGCAAGCTTGCGCAGGGCGCCAACGCGGTCCCCCGGGAGCAGTGCCTGTCCTTCCCGTTCCTGTGCGTGCACACGCGGCAGGACCCGCACGAGAACAGGTCCACGTTCCGGCCCACGCTCGAGATCGCGCAGGACCACTCCGAGGTGCTGTTCGAGTTTGGCCCCCGGAGGTTCCAGATGCAGTACGACTGCGACCTGCTCGCGGAGGTGGTGCTGGGGCTGCGGAAGGTGTGCCGCCGCCCGGTCGAAGTAGCACGCGCCTGCGCGACGCTCTGAACCAGTGCTCAGAGGGTCAAGGTGGCGCTGTGCAAAACGTGTGCTGTTCGTGTGGCTTTGTTTGCAGAACGAATCTGGGGACAATCCAAGCTCTGAGCGATGAGGGGCCACGCGTGGCACCCAACGCAGGGACTGAAAGAGGACGGAGGATGCTCCTCCAGCAATGTGAGCCTGTCGTTCGTCTCCGATGCGCCCACGCGCGGCACGTAACGTGTCGAGATTGCGTGCGCGGGCGGCGTTGACATCGCGGGGTGTCCCTCACATTCCAGTCACGCGCTGATGCAACATCCAGTTGTAGGAGCCGTCCATCACCTCCAGCGCAGAGATGTCCCCCTCGAGCACACCGCCGTGCACCGCCGCTCCGAGGGCCACAGCCGTCTCCGGATCAACGCCGCCCGCGTCCAGTCCCACCATTTTCTGAACCAGGGCCCGCACGCAGGGCACACGGCTCGCACCCCCGACGAAGACGAGCTGCACACACGTCAAGCGCGACGAACGTGTAACGCGGGCGTGAACGGCCTCGGTGGGCGAGTTCCGGGTCGGTATGTCGCTGAGGATCGCGAACAGTAAGGAAATGACGCAGGCGTGAGTTACCTGCGTGACTTTGCGCGGCGGCGGAGCCCACTTGTCGACCTTCGCTGCAGCCGCTTGGGCGTCGGGGTCCCACGGCTTCCAGTCCCACGTGAGCCGTGCTTCGTCGCCGAGGGAGCGCAGGGGCACCGCGATGCGATCCATAATGTCCCCAATCTGCACGTGTTGGGGGAGGCGGAGATGACCTCGGATCGAACAAGCCGATGTCGCACGACGCTGAGCCCCGTCGTCAGTCGGCACCCACCTCCTCGTCGAACTCCTCCCTCGTGATCTCGACGTCCAGCCCCTCGCATCCTTGCAAAAAAGGGACGAGGACGTGCGTGCTGGCTGCCGTGGACAGTTCAATCTTCGCACGCTCCGCCGCCTCGCGGAGCCTACACAGCTGGACGGGGTCCTCGGGCTCTCCGATTCCGGCGCGGCGCAGAATCAGACGGGCAAGTGCTTGGTCCATGTCGTTGCCCCCCAGGAAGGGGTCTCCGGCCGTCGCGACAACCTGCATGACGTGCCACGCATACCCAGGCTCGACACTGCACCGGAACGGCGATCAGGTGCGTGAGGCGGTCGTCCTTTCTCATGCAGGTGGACGCACCTCGACAACGCCATCGAAGCACTCGAGGAGAGACACGTCGCACGTGCCTCCGCCGAGATCGAACACCAGGACCAGCTGCTCTGCGACCTTGTCCATGTCGTCGACGCCGTGCGCAAGGGCAGCGGCAACTGGTTCCTGCAAGATGACCACACGCTCAATACCTGCCTCGGCGGCTGCCTCGCGTGTGGCGTCGATCGCCTCGGTGCCGAACCTGCGAGGCAACCACAGCGGCGCACGCTCAGCCGCGGCGAGGGAGGCGCGGGCAGCGCGCCACGCGCGTGTGGATGGGACCCCACCTTGCTGGAACGGTGACGACCGCCCTGTCGATGCGGTCCCCCGTGAAGGCCTCTGCGCGCGCCACCAGCGTCTTGAGCACGACCGCGGACGCTTCCACTGGCCGCACCGGGGACCCGCGGGCGCTGCACTGCATCTCCACGAACCCGTCGTTGCCCTCCACCAGCTCAAACGGGAAGGACAGCGGCGAACCGGAGGCCTCCAGATCGCTGTACCTGCAAACGTGTTGCACGGGCTCCTCGCGCCCGTTCGCAACCTAGAGGCGACGTCGGGAACTCGGTTCGGCACGACCTTGCGGCATGACACACGTTCAGGACAGCACCGCACCTGACGCCCATCAGCCTCTTGAACGACAAGAACGTGTTTCCGGGGTCCGTCACAGCGCTGCGTAGAGCGCGCACGCCGCACTCGACCTCACCGCCAGCGCCGTACCTCACGACGGACGGCAACAGCTGCGGCTCCAAAAAGCCAATGAGCGTCAAGTTGTTTTTGTTTCGCTGCTAGGACTCGCCGTCAAATCGCAGCACGCGCCTCTGACACGCACGCCACATCATCAGAAAACGCCATCGCTCGCAACCGCTCGTGCCCACATGCCCCCGCGAGCGACCCCTTCACTGCAGGGCAACCGCACCTTGTTGCCCTCGTCGTCGGCGGGAACAATCACGGCCTTTCCACCTTCAACGATCGACACACTCGAGTTCGACGTGCCGAGGTCCAGCCCGGCATACCGCTCCGCGCGCACGACCCACCGTGCGCTGCCAACAGTGCGATTGCACCACGGCCGATGAGCGCGATGCTCGACCGCCAACGGCCAGCGCGACCGACCGACGCATTCGAGTACACGCATCTGCGTCAGTGTGGCTGACCGTCAACGTGCGGTCTTCCCGCAGCCGCCAGGCAATACCCTCACTTCATCCACAAGCCAGCCCTCCACGGACGCGCAACGTGCGCTCTGAAGTGTGATATCAGGCTACCATCCGGTCGTATCACTTTGTTGGGACGCAGCGCGACCGGCGAGACACGTGTCCCTGGCGGCGCAAGGTCGGTACAAGTCCACCAAGGCATCAGGAGGCCTCTCTGCGGCTCGCTCCGCCGTCGCGCCGGCGTTGTCGTCTTTGTACGCTATGCCAAGCGATCGGCAAGGCCACATGCATATCGCCTTACCAGCTCCGCGTTGGTTTCAGCCTCTGGCGGCCCCGTAGCGCGCGTGCGTCGTCGCGCCGCGCGACCAGGCCAGTCGCCTCGTCATGTCGCAGGCCAAGCGCAGACGAGGCCTCGGGATCGACGTCGAGGCGGTGTACCGAGGTCTCACACACCTCGTCGAGGCATCGTTGGATCGAAAACTCGAGGGCGTGTTGGTTGACAACCGTGTCTACCTCACTTGTGGGCAGCAGACGGCCAAGCTGCTGGTCAGTGCCGACACCGAGCCTCGCGCGCACAACATTGTACCGCACCCGCGACGAAGGACGGTTTTTCATCTTGCTCATCTGTCTCTGGCCTCGCGTGGCCCAGCCCTACGGCGCCCTCTGTTGACGTGCAGGACAACGTTGGCATCGGGCTCGTCGACGGCAGCGCCCTGCCGAAGACGTCCGATGCGCCTGCGGGCTTGGACGTAGATCCAGGGTGCGGCAGGCCGGACCTCACGGGGGCCGGTGTCGCGGACGAGGAGCGCGCAGCCTCAGTTCGCGGTGAAATGCGCCGGGATGGCAAGCCCGTGCCCATCGCCCTTTCGCCCGAGGAAGCGTACTTCCTGGCGGGGGTGCTGCGGATCCTCGACGTCTCCTCCGCGTCACAACAGCCCGCTGGCGACGCGGGTCCCGGGGACGAACATCCAAGTGGTGCACCACATCACGCCCAGGACGGAGCCGCGCACACCCGTGAGCGCACGCTCGGGAGCCAGGAGCTGCTGCAGTACTTCGTCCACCGGGACCCGCACTTCTGCCTCCGAATGGCTGCGTACAGGTTCGTGCATCACGGCAGCTGTGGGCAGGCAGATCGTCGACGCCCGTGCCGGGGCCCGCACACTGTGGCCACCTCCGTCCGCGTCCTGCTCCCCACCCCATGCCCCGGCTATTTCTGCTCACAGGCACTTCCGCGCGGAGGGGTGGATCGTGCGGTCCGGGGTGTTGTACGGCGCGGACTTTGTGCTGTACCCGGCGCACCCGCGCAGCAGCCACTCGTCCTACACGGTCATCGTGCCCCGCCCGGACGAGGTGCGCGCAGCCGCCCCCCTCTGCCGCGCGCGCCGCATGCAACGGATGAGCCGGTAGCCACTGTTTTGGCATGCGCGTGACGACTTGCGCCTCACGTGCTGCCGCGCAGGCCCTCGAGGGGGGCGCCTGCGCAGCGACGAGCGCCCTGTCGATACAGAACTGGTCGGCGCTCCAGGCCTCCTCGCGCGTCAGTCAGCAGGTCGGGAAGCGACTGCTGTTGGCCTTCGTGTCACATCCGAGCCCGCACGGAGACGTGCCGCCGGGCTGCGACCCGCTCCCCGCGGCCGTGGACGGCGAGCGCTTCGTCTCCGAGGCGGCGGTGGACCAAGTCGTGTACCAGCGCTGGAGCGCAAAGAACACTATAGTGCAGTAGGGAGCCGCCGCGCGAGGGACACGCGGCCCACGGGCGCCGATACATGGCCGGTCGCCGGCACGCGGCTGCGGCCAGCGCGGTGCGCGCGGCCCAGGGCGGCGAAAGCAGTGTTGCGGTGTGTAGCATGCATGTGGTCCTCTATGTGAATCGCTAGCGAGGAGGGGCCCGTGTGGCAAGGCTGCCCGTCACGCTCGATGCGGTGGCTTCGCGGCGAGCGCTTCGGCCACTAGTGCGTACAGGAGCGGCATGCCCTTGGTGTGTCCTCGGTCGGTGACATGCAGTCTGCGGGCTGCGACTTCCCTGCAAACACGTGGGCGATACATTCTCCGCAACACATTCTCATCAGACCAGCCGTAGCACAAAGATCGTATTCCTGGGTTTGACGGTCACTCCCGCTGGCCTGTGGCGCACCTGGAGAGCGGTTGCCTCGCCAAGCCTGCTTCTGGGGCGAAGACGGACAACGTGTCGCGCATTCCGTGGTACTCCAGGAACTCGCGCATCAGCTCTTGGATCAGATAGGTCTCCTCGGCCACCGGGGGGCTTGTCAGGCCGGCACGGTCGTCGATGGCTCTGCGAGAGGACGGGCTGATGCGTGGGGCCCACTTCGTCGCTCGGTTCTTGGCAGGATCGTCCGCGGCCAAGAAACTTTCGCCCGCGTTCGCTTCCGTTGAACGCATCCGCTCTTTGTGCCGCGGTTCGGAGCCCCCCCCCGCAAAGGCGGCCCCGGGGTCGCGGATCCACTTTGCAAGGAATGGGCGGGAGCCGCAGTGCCCACCCACCTGATCAGTTCTGCTCGCATACTGGCGCGCATCTTGTCCAGCGCACCATTGCGCTCGAGCACTTCCCGCACGGTGGCCTTGAGCTCCGTCACGGCGCCCTCGGCAGTCATGCTCGGTCTCTTGCCCCTTCCACAGCGCGCGCGACAGCCTCGGGGCTTCGTGGAGTATCAGCGCGAGAGCAGATCACAGCTCGCAGGCTCTAAGCCCGGCGCGCCTCGTGGGGCCCGCTTATCTCAGGGACGCCGCTGCTGGAGCTTCAAGGAAGAAAGAATAAGACGTGTACTGCGTGTCTGCCTCCCAGCCGCCCACGCCCGGCCTGGCGCCGCGTCCTCGGCCTGCGCTGGTACGCGCGCAGCTGCACCGCGCCGCATTCCCCCGGTGCTGCGGGCCTGCTCGGGCGCACCCGGCGTCACCGCCCTGGCACAGTGCACGAGCTGTGCGAGGGGTTGATGTTGCACAGGGCCGTCTGCAGCTGCGACAGCTCGCGCGACATGGTCACCACCCGGTCCTGCACCGCCACGACGTCTGCGCTGCCCGTCGTGGCGCTATGTGTGCGCGCGTCATGCAAGGTCGGCTCCGACGGGGCGTGGACGTCAGCGGGCCCTGCCTCGCGCGCCCGGGGGACGCCGACCTGCTCCAGACCTCGTTCCGCCCCCGCCGGCGCGCCGCGACGCATGCCCCCCGCGCGCTGCAAGTGGGCCGTGACCTGTTTCCGTGCCGTCTCCACCTGGCTGCCTATCGCCTCCACGATGGTCGGACGCACGAACAGACCGGCTCCGAACCCGTACCCGATCCCCACGCCGCACCCGCCCCCGCACGCGAGCACCCTCCCTCCCGGCAGCCTGAAGGGCCCGATCTGTGGCAGAGGCAGGCTGCCCACCGTCGCCGCAATGCCTGCGCGCGACGTGGACGAACTCGCTCTCATGACGCCTCCCACATCAGGCGATGACGTCACCGCGATGTAGCAGGGCTGCGGAGGGGGATGATGGGGCAGACACGGTGTGCTGTGCGCACCAGCCGGCAGCTGCAGCTTCGACCCCACGCCCAGGCCGACTCCACAGCCGACCCCTATCCCAAAGCCTGTCCGACCGATGCCAACGTCCACCATTGCCGGGCAACGATGACTCGAGGCTGCGCTGTTCCGTCGTCCGTCACATCGAGCCTCGCGGTACAGGACGGCGGGCGTGGAGCGCGGACCCTCCTCCTGACACCTGCACCATTCGTTGTGGCCCTCGGACGCCGCCTTCCAGGCCCACTGCAGCCCGGGGCCACGCAAGGGACCTCTCCGTGCAGAGTCCGACGCCGCGCACGCGGTATTCAGGGGCCGCGCGGCGCTGCGGGCGCGCAATACCCGTTGTCTCGGCCGTGCACCGAAGGGGCCGGCTACAGGCAGCGCGAGCGAGGCTTACTGGCGTGCACCTGACCACCGGTCGCTCTCCGAGAGCTCCGCCGCGACATGGAGCTGCCACCGCTGGGCCCGGGCAACCGGTCCGGGTCCGTAGGCGGGCGCAGTCGCGGCACACCGTCGATCGCTAGCCGCGGGTCCGCAGGAGGGGGAGGAGGTGAGCTGCGCGCGCCCCGCCCGGTTGCAGACCATCGCCGGGCTCATGCTGTCGCCCGGCGCGCCGCAACGGTGGCTGGGGCCGAGGAACCCCGACGCCCTTGCCTCCACATCTATAGAACCGTCACGGACGCGGCATCCTCGGTCAGCAGCGGGCTCGGCGCAGGCCGTGGTGCCTTGCATGCATGTTTGTCCGCCGACCACCGTCACCGTTGCCTCGCGTGCCGGAGCGCCCAGCACCTGCGCCCGGACGGTTCCGAGCAGCTCGAACCAGCGGCACGGCGGTGCGGCAGTGCTGTTCCACCGCGTCCGGCCAAGACGACGGGCGCGGCTGCCTGGCACATGCCCACCAGCAGCGCCCCGAGACGCACGCTCGCTCGCGGGCAGACGCTTGCCGCTCTCCGCCGCAATGGTGGCGAGAGACAAGAGGCACGGGGTCGCTCGCGACCGCCCCCGCGCTGTGCGGGTCAGCGGCCGGCCGCAAAGACGCAACAGAGTGAGTGAGCGCTGCACCAGGCGTGCTGACCGACGTGCTGGACCCGTGACCGGCACCCCGCAGGCCGCAACCCGTTCGAGCTCCCCAGCGAGGATGAGATTTTCAGGATGCGGGAGCTCGAGAAGCAGCGGAGGACCGAGGCGAGGGACCAGAACCTGCGGGCTTCAGTGCTCGACAAGACGACCTTCACGTCGAGGATGGCCACCATGCGCGTCAAGGCCAAGGACCGTGGCGGCGAGGGGGCAGGCGGGCAGCAGGAACAGCGGCATGAGGGCGTCAACGCGATGAGCATCGCGGCGCAGGTCGGTGGCCAAGAGCACAGCCACGGCGTGGTGCCCGGAGTGCGCCTCGCGCCGAGGATCCCTCGACCCTGCTCGAACATGTCCAGAGCTTCCCCACGACGGCCTTTCCCCGCTCCTCGCCGCTCGCAGACGATGCCGGTGGATGCCCGGAAGCTACAGAAGGAAAACATGGCCGAGTTCGTGAGCAAGAAGCGGGAAATCTTCCTGGTGCAGATGTCGCTAGACACCAAGCGAGCGGAGATCCGCAAGCTCGAGGAGCGAGCTGCGCAACGGTGCGGTCTTGCCCTCGTCATGATGGCCGCAACGCAGCACCGCGCCATCGCCCGCCGAGGTCCTTCGGCGTCCCTGACCGCAAAGTTCCCCGGAGCTCCCCGTTGGCGTGCAGGGAGGAGGCGTTGAAGAAGTCGGAGCTGATGCTGGAGCGCGACGCGGAGCGGTTCGACGCGTTTTTGAAGGAGAACGACGAGAAGGTGCAGGAGGCGCTGAAGCGGGCGGAGATCGAGGCGCGCGCGAAGCAGGACAAGGTCGCGGAGATCAAGAAGCTGCAGTCCCAGATCGCGGCCCTGCGGAGCGAGCTCAACAAGCAGGAGGAGCTGCTCGACGACTGCCGGCGGTACAAGGGTTTCCTGCACGCGCTGACGCCGAACGAGTGGTTCAAGGAGCAGGAGGAGAAGCGGCAGCGCATCATCGAGGCGCGCATGGCGCGGTGGAGGGACGAGTGCGAGGTGCTGGAGGCCCGGAAGGTGGCGGCGCGGCAGAAGCGGGTGCAGCTGGAGGAGCAGGTGGCCAACGCGCGGTCGCAGCAGGAGTACGAGCAGGCGGAGAAGGCGCTCAAGGAGGCGAAGCGCGCCGAGATCGAGGCGGAGACGCTGCGGGTGCGCTGCCGCCCGGACTGCCACGGTTGCTGTCCCAGCGCCTGTTGCCCCGCACGGACCGCTCACACTCGGGCCCCGCCGTCCCCCGCCGCAGCCACCGCGCGAGCCCTCCAAGGAGCTGACGGAGGAGGAGTGGAGCGAACCGATGTACTTCACGCGCCCGCGGCAGCTGCTGGAGGTGTTTGCCCAGTTGGAGGAGCAGAACCTGTTCTTGATCCAGAACGCCCAGGAGACCGACGAGGCGCTCGAGGGCATGAAGCAGAAGTTCGCGGAGACGCGGGAGCGCATGGGCCGCGAGACGGACGCGCTCCAGGCGCAGATCAGCGCGCTGAAGGAGAGCATCGCCGCGGAGGAGGCCAAGAGCCAGGCGCTGCGGCAGCGCGCGCGGGAGGGGGCGCGGGAGGGCATGTCGGGCGCGACCTCGGCCGCCCCGCTGGAGGAGCTCTCGAACAAGGTGCGCCGCGCGGAGCTGCTGCTAGTACTCTTGTTGCTCGGCTGTGTGTGGTGGCGCGGGGTCTCAGGGCTGCATGCGCTCGCGGCGTTCCCTTGCAGGTGCGCGAGGTGTACATCCAGTGCGGGTTCGAGAGCGACGCGTCTGTGGGGACGCTCCAGATGCTCACCAACATTGAGACGAAGCTGGAGGAGTACCTGGCGGCCATCCGGGAACTCCCGACCGAGTTCCTCCAGGTGAGCGCCGACGACGTGCTCGTGCTTGCCTGTCGCTGCTGATCGCCGTCGCAGACCTCACGTCACCTCACCGCCGCCGCCCGTCTGGACGCACCGCAGGAGGCGGAGAAGGCGCGCGAGAAGGACCGGCGACAGAGGGCGCGCGAGGAGAAGCTGGAACAAGTGCGGCAGGAGCAGGCGGAGCGCGTGAAGCTGGTGCTCGAGCGCGCGTACGCGGCGCCGGTGGAGCGTCGGCAGGGCAAGCCGGTCATGTTCCGGTCGGTGCTTCCCAAGAAGAAGAAGGTGGTGGACGTGGTGAAGAAGGACCAGGAGGAGGTGGAGCTCGAGGAGTACCTGCGACTCCCCATGATGTAAGTCCGGCGACGCGACGCAGCGCCAAACGTGCGACTCGGGTGCCGGTGCCGTCCTGACGCGCTGAGTCGTGTGTGGCAGTCTTTTCTGAGGAACACGTGCCATCCGTAACGTCCCGGGACTCGCCGTGCCTCACACACTCCGCTCGCGTCGCGAAAGACGTCGCCAGACGCGCGCGACCTGGTCCAAGGCGACCGCAGCCCGACGCTCCTGCACAAGCCTACATGCTGTCCACTGGTTCGGCATGGAGGACCAGGACCTGCGCCTGGGGGGCGATCGCGCGGACCACTGCGGCTATGACCGGACTCTGTTGCACGAGGCCGCGCGCCGTCTCCACCTGCGAGGGAAGGCGGTGTACACCGCGCTCTTGGAAGAGGCACATCCGTGATCGGTGCAGTCCGGCAGGTACAGACGGCCGGGGCGCACCAGCACGACGTGCGTGATCTCCTCGTAGCTTGCAAGGCCTCTGCTGACAGCATCGACCAGGCACGACTGCAGTGGCGGCAAGCTGGGGTTGAACGCAGCACTCTCAACATAAGGGCCGCTGAAGACCTGGTCGCCCGTGATCGCCGCGACCCCGGAAGGACACTTCGTATATGGCGCATAGCTCTGGTTGGCAGCGGACAAGGCAGCGGCGGCAGCCTCCCGCACGGTTGCGTCGTGCGACGACAGCTCTGCTTCACTGCTTGTGCACAGCTGGAGGCAGTTGTCGCGAGGTTCCATGAGCAGCGGCTCCGCATCTGCGACCGGAAGGACAGCGCTGCGATGCTAGTCGGCGACGACCGGGCGCATGTTCACGTGAGTCGCGCGAGGAAGCGTTTCTCACCTTCGCCGCTGTCAAAGTCGGTGCCGAGCAGGTCGACGGGTCCGAAGCGATGGGGCAGCAGATCGTCCAGCGAGTACCCACCAGGGGGCGATCGTGAGCCGTCGTGGTCCACGAAGATCAGGCGCACTTGGGCAGCACAAGCCAGCTCTGAGAGGAACTGACGACAGTGGCCGCATGGGGCCGCTGCAGCGCACGGGCATCCAGGCGCGCGCCAGTCAGGAAGGGTCGCGGATCTCCGGGGCTCTGTGCAGCGGCGCAGTGGCAGCGTCGCACCTGTGACGGCGATCGAGTGCAGCCCTGTTTCGCCTCGCAGCAGTGCGTGCATGATTGCAAACTGCTCGGCGTGGACCGAGTTCGCCAGGGGGGACTGCGGCAGCTCGAGGTTCACGCCGAGGTACAGGCGCCCGCTGTAGCCCAGCGCGACGGCTCCGACGTTGAATTGCGAGATCGGCGGCCGCGCCAGCATCGACCCCGGACCCATCAGCCCCTCCATCAACTCATTGACGCCGCCGCTGCCCGTGGACGCCATGAGAGCCTGCGCCACGCAAGAGCAGTCGCGGGGCTTGGACGGAACGTGCGTTCTCGCGGCAGGCACATGACCATGTTGCAGTGCCCTCAGCAACCAGAGATGACAACTCGTGGAGGCACCCAGCACGGGGGCGCCAGGGTGCCGAAAGCGTCGAGCTGACTTGCCTGCACCTCGTCGCTCTCGAGGATGAATTTCTCCCGTGAGAACCCCGGGCCTCCGCCAGCGGCCTTCGAGGGCGTGGCGCACAGCCGCGACCTCGATTTGTGACCGCTCGCCCGGGAAACGGCACAGCTGGGATGCGCCGCCCGACTGACAGAGCTTCGACGCGTTGTCATTCTTCGGGCGTGCTCGGGGCCGTGAATGCGCGTGCATGCGCGGGCTCTCGAGCCCGTCCCAAGAGCGTAGTGGACGGCGCATTGCCGCGTCGAGTCATGCCCCCGCGTCAACAAGATGCTCCCACCGCACAACGTCAGTCCACGGCGACCATTGCTCCGCGTTGTTTGCGCCACGACGGATTCAGCCTGCGACGGCAACAGCCTCGTTCCCTTGATGGCAACAGCCATCGCTGGGCCACCCCGGCCCACAGCGCTGAGAGGCGCTCGCGACCTGGACTCGATCGTGCGCGCATGCACTTCACTGCAGGACATCGCGGGTGCGCATTGACACGGGCGCGCTCGATTTCTGTGACGGGCGGGGACCATCTTGGAGTCAGGTTGCCACTGATGCCTGACAGGTGTGTGGCCTGTGGACACGAGACGGGCGCCGAGCGCCCAGCTTGACCACACTGGACTGCCTGACATCGTAGCTGCGAGATCCCGCTGATGACCGCTGTGGCGTGAGGAAACCGCAGGGAGCACTCCTAGGTGCCTCGCGTCGCACGCGCGTGGTGCTGGCCGTAGGGCCGGCAGGCATGCCACCGATCTGACATGGCGCCGCGGGATGTCGCTGTTGTCGATCGCACGCCTGGTCGTGGCATCAGCATGTGGCGCCCTCGCAAGGCACTGCTCTCCGATTTCACCTCTTCAATGCCGTGCACCGTGGACAAAGCTCCAACTTTCGCAACCGCACGTGCATCTGACTCATTTGGATGCGCTCCGTCGCGCAGGCCACGTGCTTTCGCGACGCCTGCCCTCCAGCGCCGCTCGGAAGCTAGCGCCCACAGCAGGCCTCGCGCACAGCGAGACACAACCCCTCGAACACGAGCCGCCGAGCGGTTCGGCGCGAACGTTGAGGTGGTTCTCTGTGCGACCCGTCGGCGACCGTGGCGGAGTCCACAAGGACGTGCGCGTGAAACGCCTGGGCACGAGAATCTACGGTCACACCTCGTACCTCGTGCAAGTCTGGGACGGATCAGAGTGGAGGCCGGACCGCGTCCTCTGGGGCCCGGCGGTGATTGACTTTCATCTCCGGTCCGCTCAGACGCTTGCGGATGCGGAGCGAGCCATACACAAACATTCTGCGAAAATGAACCAGGCAAGCGGCACACGGAGTCGCCGAACGACGCATCGGCCCGACCTCACGTCCCTGCGCCCCGCGACCTCAGCGGGCGCAATGTGGATGCCGACTGCAGGTGAACCGCGCCACGGCAGTGTCGTTGCTCGCGAGAAAGGCACCGAACAGCTACAGCTGGCGCAACGTGGAGAAGCTCGCGCGAGCGTCGAGGTCGATCGCCGAGGTAAATGAAGTACACCCAGCACATGTCGAAGGAGCTTGTTTCGCGGACAGAGCACGGACCGCGCCAGCGTTGCACCTTGCCCTGCAGGTCACAGAGGCGGCAGTCCGCGCGAACAAGTCGTTTCCACCCCAGCGGCTACAGGTCCGCGAGATCTGCTCAATGCTTCATGCTCACGCGCGAGTTCTGTCCCAACTTCGAGGATCCAAGCTGCAAGGTGCGACGGGTTGCATGTCATCACTTGCAACGCGTCACTGACATCACCGTCGCTGCGCCCGCAAGTCCAACGGCAGCCCCAGCGAGTGGCGTCCCCGCGCAGATAGTAGACAGGGCGTCACAGAGTCGGCTCTGCGGCTCTTCGCTCTCCTTGAGCGGGTGAGCGAAAACGAGCTCATCTGTACACCGCCGTCCGCGCTCGCTAACGGGCTGTGGTCGGCAGGAAAAATCGGCGAACCGGACGTTCGAGCAGCAAGCGAGCGTCTGTTTGCGGCTCTGCTTCAGCCACAGACCTTGGACGGCGCGTCGGCGTTGGATCTCTGCACAGCTTTGTGGGCGATGGCCAGGATCGGAATCGACCCAGGTGCGCCCGCGAGCCGAGGGTCCCCGGGCTGTGTGTGTAGCTTGCGCGGATGACAACCGATCGTTCGCGGCGGTGCGACCTGCGCAGGTGCTGACGTTGCGGAAGTGATTGTTGAGGAGTGTCTGCACAAGGACGCCAACGCGATGGTTCGACGAAAGCTGAGGCTCACGGCGGAATCGCTGGGCTACAACAGCATTGTCAGTGCCCTGATCGATTGCCCCCAGACGCCAGGGACCTAACTACCGGTTGTCGATCACACTAGCCAGTGCCAACAAACGATTCGGCTTGTTTTGATCTTCTATTGCGTAACCATCTTTGCTAGAGATTCGAGGAAGACTTGCAGCGACACGTCGTCCGTGTATATAACCTCGCCGTACCCGTCAACCCCCTGGGAGGGGTTGAGCTTTGCGAGCAAGAACCGCGCCTGTGAGCCGCCCTGGTCGCACTCGACGAGGCTCGGGGGTGGCACCCGGCGCTCGTCAAGGGCGACACGGGCGTCCTCGAGCGGCGCCGCCAGCAGCTGCCGGAACGCCTCGTGCTCAGGCATGTCGGCGTAGCCTGCCTTGCGCCAGGCGGCGATGGTGGACCCGTAGTGGATGACCACCTTGAACCACGTGTCCAGCAGCAGGATGCTGTCGGGGCGGATGGCGGCCGCGTCGAGGAGCGCGGGCGCGGGGGGTCCCGAGAAGGAGTAGGTGAGCAGGGTGGGCTGGATCATCACCATGGACTGCTCCACCCCGTGCCGCAGCAGGGCGCAGCGGTAGAAGCACGTCTCGTCCGGCGTGTTGTTCGCGCACTGGAGGAACTGGGACCGCCGCAGGTGGAACATGAACTGCGGGAACAGCTTCATCTCGTTGGGGAGCGCAAACGTGCCGGGCCTCCCCGGCTCGTACTGGCCGAACTTCGAGGCCAGACGGATCAGGGCGCGGTCCAGCCAGCGCTGCACGTCGTGCTCGTGCTCCCCGCCCTCGGCCTTCATGACCGCCAGGCGCGCCATGGCCACCGCCGCCGCCTCCTGGTCGAAGCTGCGGACGATCTCCGAAGAACCCGGGTCCGCCCAGGAGCGCGCCATGGTCACCACCCGGACGCGCTCCTGGTTCGACGCGTGCCGGTACCGCAGCACGAACTGCAGGGGCAGCGGCGAGCCAGGCTGCACCGCCCCACTGTTGTGCTGCGCGGCCACCTCGAAGTACACGCACAGTGCCAGACTGGGGTCCGCGCTGCAGAGGCGCCACTGCAAAGCGACCCCGGGAAGGTGGTGGTTCGGGGGGCTGTCCGCGCGCAGTGGTACAGCGAGTATGGCGTTGATGGGCGTACCTGGCACGTCCCGCCTGTCCCCATCACGTTGTCCGACACAGATGACGAGATCTTCCCGAGCGAAGCACACCCGCTCGCCCCGCAGATCTTGACCTCGCGGGGACAGAACACCTCGAGCGTGCCATTGTAGCCCTGGCTCAGCAGCCCCGTGGCAGGGTCGCGCTGGATCAGCCTCTCGAGCGAGATGCGCATCGCGTCATGCTTGTACTCCTCCGCCAGGACTATGTGTCCCCCGGTGGCCATGGCGCACAGGCGCATTTCCGCAAGGCCCACTTGATCAAGCGATGCCGCAAACACATCCAGGGATATCCCGAAGTCCACCATCCGCTCCGCCAGGCCCTCGTAGAACTTGCAGCCCTTCTTGTACCACGGCGCGTTCCCCTTCTCCACGTCTTGATGGGTCCTGCAGCCACGAGTAGGGTGGCATGCCAAGATGTCAGGGACTCCCGTACTCGGCTCGGGGCGAAATGGGGACCGCGACCGGGAGGCCGCCCCGAGTCGCGACAGCCGGCTGGTGCTGCACGCGCCGCGCCCTGCGCTGCACGAGGCGCCTCGCATCCTGACGACCACGTCTGTGTTACCTGATGGGCTCGTCCAGCGTCTCCCCAACGGTCTTGCCAGGGCCCACGGTGCACGGCCCGCTCGTGAACAGGAGGATGCGGGACCCGGTGCCCGGGGTGCTTGACTCGAGGAGCCCGACGGCCGCGGCGAGAGCCGCGCCTGTGCAACGCTTCGCTCGATGCCCGTGCGGAGGGTCAGGCATGCTCGAGATGCGGCTCAGCACCGACTCCACCGCGAGGTCGCAGTCAGCGACTGGAAGCAGGAACCGCCCGACTCCTGCAGCGCGCAGCGGAGGGGGTGTTGTGTCATCTCGGGCTGTCTGGAGCGCACCTCTCGCGCACCGGGTGAGCGCCGCGTGCGGGGCACACCTGAGGAGGGCATGTTGGCGATGCCCGCCCGTGCTGCTTCGAGGCCCAGGAAGAGCATGCGCTGCAGGTCGTGACTGGAGGCTGCTTTCCAACCAGGCAGCACGTAGGCCTTCGCACACGCCGTGTAGCCGAGCTCGTGTACCTCGACCATGCTGTTGAACGCGATGATGGCCACAAGCGCATCGTCGGGGAGCAGCGCCATGGCCTGCGGGGACGGCGGCACCGTGCACCAGGATGGGAACACTTCAAACATTGAACGGCGGCGGGACGGCGACGAAGGAGTCGTGGATCGCACCCGCTCGACGGTGCGCTTCATGTCCTGCAGCTCCTGATCTCGCAGGCAGGTGTCGATCAGGAACACCAGCGACGGCCGCAGGGACGTTGACGATGGCGGTGCATACTCGACAGTGGTGTACTGTGGGAACAGCTCTGCGGAACAAGCACGCACACGCGAGCCACGCGGTGAGTGTGCCGCTCGAGCGGCGGAGGTCGGGACGTCGCCGCAGGCAGCTGGGAGCCCTAGCGCGCGACCTTGCAGTCCTGCAGCTCAGCGACGTCCCGCGGCGTCATCCGGAGCGTTGCGATGGCTTACCGGCGGGCAGGTTCGTCTCCGTCACCCTGTGGTACGCTTGAGGCAGCTGATTGCGACTTTGGCAGAAGCAACATGCCCAAATTTTCCCTCTGTAGTCCACCTGGCAGTAGGGGTTCAGCACCGCCGAGCACAGCTTGCAGCGAACGGGCTCGTATGGGATCGAAACCAGATCCGGAATCGATTTCAAGGGATTCAAGAACACCGCAGGAGGCACCACCAACCTGCGCGAGGCCATGGGGGCGAAAGCAGGAGCGCCTTCAGTGCACTGAAGGTCATCTCGAGCTCATCGGCTCGCAATACGAAGTTGAGTGGCATCGGCGGCACGTGCTGGATGAAGACATCCCGTCACGCTGGTGTCAGGAGCCGCGAGCGCGAACATGCTCTCGCAGGGTCGTCTGGGCATGTGTGCTGCAGTAACTCCAGCCCTGCCAACTCGCTCCTGGACGCCCCGGGCGACTCGCTTCGGGCGGTGATGCGATTCGTTATCTGCTTGACGCCGCGCGCCGCGTTGGCCACGCTGCCGCGGCCTGCGATTGCTGTGACGCCCTCGCTGGCAGCGAGCAAGCTCGCCAAACGTTGTCCGCTGGCCAGGGCGCATTGGGATCGCTTGCATCACTTGCCTCGAGCACTCGATCCTCGATGCCGGCCAGATGTTCCATGTGCACCTCGCGCCGCAGGAGGACTCGGCAAACTCCATTTTGCCGCTGCAGATCTTCGCCTCCTGCCCTCGTCAGGACGAGTTCCGCGACCGTGGAAGTCGCTGGCCACCTCCTTGCATCACAACATGCCCTCCATCGCTATCGAGCTCAGATGCATCGACACTATCGCCACGTGGGCCTGATCCCCCTGGCCAGCGAACCACCAAACGGGACCCACTGACGCAGCCGCTGGTTCTCGTGACCGGGCAACAGACACGTGGTCGCAAGCACAACTGACTGGCGCGGAAGGTTTCCGGCGCAACATGCGGTGCGCTGCACCCGAGGTATGATGGGGGAGTGTCGCCCGTAGTGCGTCGGGTGCACGCCGCCCCGCCCTCAGAACTCCGCGCCCGCAGGGACAGTGCTGTTGGAGCTCGACCGGCGGTCACGCACGGCGAGAGGTCGACCGGCCGGCACGATGGTGGCTCTCATTGACACCTCCACACTGGTTTCGCCAGGTGGTGCGGACTGGCCTGTCACGCACGGCGAGGCCCGCCGACGGGCCGCGACCGGATGCCACATGCGCGTCACACGGGCTTCGTCACGAGCGGCGGGGTGCCGCCGGCCACCTGGTCGTGTGCGCGCACCCCTCACGAGTGATGGGTGTTCAGGTACTCGATGAGCAGGTCCGCGCGGCCGAGCGCCTGCGACACCGCCGCGGAGACGCCGTCGTAGGGCGGCGGGGTGCCCAGGTGCACGGGCTTGCGTTCCTTCTTCGAGAACACGCGCTTCAGGGACAGGCCCTTGCTCTTGTGGCTCTCCAGCGACTGGCGCGTCCGGGGACTCACGGGCTGGTCGTCCAGCGACTGCCGCGGCGACAGCTGGACGTCCCCGTAGAACTCGTGCAGCATGGCGTCTTCCTCCGCCGACGGCCAGCCAGTGCCTGCGGGAGAGAGAGAGATGGCGGGGAGTGCGTTCGATGCAGCCCGGCGCCGCGGCGGTGTGGGCAAGCGGCGCCGGACCGGAGCGCACCTTTCGCCCTGGCCTCCTTCCGCATCGCATCGTCGATGACCTTGGCCCACTTGCGTCGCAGGTACTCGAAGTCCACCGACCCCCCCAGAAAGTCCGGCAGGACGTCGGGCTCAATCGCCGCGTGAAGCTCCGCCAGGGCCTTCTTGCCGCTGCCCATGACCTGCGGAGGCGTTGCGGCGGGCGGATCGTTGGCTGCCCGAGCACCGCGCGTCCGCTCGGTCGGCTGGTGCGGAGCGACCCCTGGCTGCACGCACCTTGATCTTCGAGGCCGTTCGTGCGTCTAGGAAGATCTTCAGCACTTTCCAGATAGTCTGAAACACGACGCCGGCGCCGAACACGTAGACCCGTCCCAGTGTTTCGGGGTAGTTGTCGCTGTCCACCTTGCTGATGGCAGCAAACAACTCCTTGACCTGCGGGGCGGGAACGGGGGCGCGCGGAGGTGGGCGCCCTTGTCCCGCCGCCCGTCGCGCACCGTTCCGTCGGCAAGGACTCCCACCTGCTTGGTGAACATGGAGAGCTTCAAGCCCGTGACGTCGATCACCGAGCAGCACGTCTCGATCGTGTTGCCCGCCTTTTTGGACGAGTCCTTCAGCATGTGCTTGGTGAAGAACTCCATCTCGCGGATGTGGAACTGCACCGGAGCGCGACGCGCACGCACAGGTGAAGCAACGGCACCGGTATGGTGCACGCATGTGGCTGGTTGCCCGAATGAAAGAGGACCGCACCTCGACGACGTCATCACTCGTGATCCCCGCCTTCTCCATCGCCGGCTGGTTCAGGATACCGATCCGGTCGACGTACACGGGCTGGCCGGTGCGATCCCACCCGACGTACGTCGCAGGCCTGCGAGGGCAGTGTCCGGACGCGGGGCCGACGCGGTCGCGACACACGGGCCGGCGCGCTCGGGAATCGTGCGGGACGTCTCGTCGCCTCCCCAGTGCCGCCGTCGAAGCGGAAGGGCAACGTCTCGAGGCATGCAGATGTGCAGGTCGAGGGCTTGCGTCGGTGACTCGAGCCCGCCTCTCGCCACGACAGCGTCAAATTCAGGGCTGCACTGACCTGTTCTCGCGAATCGTCTTCAGCTTCACGACGTCGTATCCCGACGCGAGCTTGTCGTCGACATTCAGCTGCTCCCTCCACTTGAGCGTATCCTTGAGCATCTTGAGCTGCGCAACGTCGGCACAATGGCTCGTTCGAGGCATGTTCAGCCGACATACTATCGAAACGCAAGCCACACGCGCCGCAAGCGGCGGTGTTGCGCGGGGCCGTCCAGGGCAACAGAGGCAGCTGCCCCTGTCGCGGCCCCGACGGAATGCGTCCGGGCAGGTTGCTCTGGCGTGCGAGAAAACGGCCATCGCTGATGTCTCTTGGCGTATCCGGTACGTGCAGTGCCGCGCGTGGGGCGTACCGTGGCATCTACGTCGTACTTGCGGGCTCGCAGAAAGCGGTGCAGCGTGGCGTCTTCATCCTCGTTGATCAGGATCCCTGGCGCCAGCTGCAGAGCTTTGGGCAACACAAAGGCCGTTGTGCAGGAGGAGGCGCCCCCCTGCGCGCGGTACGTGCGTGAGACGCGAGCTGGTGAGCAAGAAGCATCAAGTCGGGGGTCACCTGCACGCCCTGCTCCTGCATCCTGCTGCGCAGCGTCCCTGCCACCTTCTCCGTGTCGACACCCCACTCGCTGTCATCCTTCTTGACGTCGCGGGTCATCGTGACGCTGGCGCTGAACTGCTGCTAGTCCCTCGACAATGCCCCCGAAAATGCCGCTTGCGATGCCACCAGGATGGTCTCAGGGTCACCAGGGTGACCAGACAGTTGGGCATCGAACGCGGCATCGCAGTGCCAACATGCCCGCCCTCTCTCCTGCGATTGGACGACCCGTGGAGGTGTTGGTGTCATTCTATGCACGTGAATGGCACCCGGGGACTGACGCAGCACCGTGATGCCTTGGGAGATCTTTGCGCGCGCATCCCGCATGGCGAAGATACGACCTCAGGACGCGCGAGCCGCGACGGTGCGCGAGGAGCAGAGCGCGGGCCCGCAGCTTCGCGCCGCACTGTGCTCGCTTCGTTTGCTCCGCTGGTGAGTGCGGCTGACGCACAACCTCAGCCTCTTGCCAGAGGCGTGACTCGCCGCGGAAAGGCGCCCCCCCGAGCCCGGTGCTGTTGGAGACCGCGTTGCGCGAGGAGGCTGGAGAGGGCCGCGGGGCTCCGAGCAGGATGGCGGCCAAGTCGTTTCGCGAGGGCATCCGCGCCCGGTTGCTGCAAGATGTGCTCGGAGGCGAGCAGGAGGAGATCGACGGGGGCTGGCGCGTGCTCGTCATGGACGAACTGGCTACCAAGGTGTTGAGCGCCGCTTGCAGGTGAGCGTGCGCGCGCCCTGGCCGGAGCGTGCGTCTCGCGCGACGTGGATCTCCACATGATCCCGGGGGCGACGCGTGATCACCGCGATACGGTCGGCGAGCTGCGTAGGAGCCTTCGGTTTGCTCAGGCCCAACACGCGGGCGGGCCTTCCCGCGCCGAAGCCATTCGGGGCTCGCAGGCATGCGTGCACGTGACAGATCTGGGAGGTTGTACTGCGGGCGCCGACAGCAGCGCCTCGATCGTGCTGTGTCGCGGCGCGCCTGGTCCAGTGTGCAGTGACAGCCTGCTCTCTCGTCGCGCGGCCAGGGGTTGGACGCGGCGGACGTCGCTGGCGCCAGGCCTGCTGCTACGTGCGCACTGGCGCTCTGCAGTGGATGACTGTGCATGCGGCGTCGCTCGCTGTGCGAACGTGGAACGTTTCGAGTTCGTTGCCGCAACCACTGCGCTGCAGCATGACGGACGTTTTCGACACCGGAGTCGCGCTCGTCGAGGACCTGAGCAAGAAGCGCCAGCCCATGCCGAACATGGACGCGGTGTACTTCATCTCGCCAACGCCGGATTCAGTGAGGTGCGTGTTGAGCGCGCCCGTGCTCTTTCAGTCCTGCGTCCGCGTCGCTCGCCCTTCTCCGACGCCCCACCGATCACGTGGTCGTGCAGGCACCTGATCGAGGACTTTTCCGGCCCGACGCCTCTGTACAAGTCGGCGCACCTCTTCTTCACTTACCAAGCATCGCCGTCGCTGATGTACAACATCAAGAGCTGCGACCCTCTGCGCGCGCGCCTCGTCAAGGTGGCCGAAGCCAGCGTCGAGTTCGTGACTGTGGACAGCCGGACGTTCTCGACGATGCAGCCCTTCGCCATGCGCAATCTGTTCCGGGACAGGTCCGACCCGCGCTGTGCCGCCAACCACGCCTGCGTCGACGCCCGATCGCGGTGCCACCACCGAGCAGCCGGTCGTTCTCGACAACCGTCTGTGCAGGTGTGAGGGTTCCAGCGACTACGCTGCTGAGATAGAGGTGGCGGCGCGCCGGCTCTCCTCCGTGTGCGCCGCCCTGGGCGTCTTCCCCTCGATCCGCTGCCGCGCACCCCGGCCTCCGCAGGCACGTGCCGCCGATGAGACATGTCAGGCGCTTGGTCTGTTCCCCCCGCGAGACACAGTGCATGACAGAGGCCCACTCTTCCCCCTAAGCGCAGGAAGGGGACCCGCCGGGGCAGGCAGCCAGGGCCGCGGTACCTCAGCGAATCGCAGCCGCCCTGAATGAGCGCCTACAGGCTATGCAGCGGGCCGACCCGTCCTTCGGCACGGGTTCGCGGGACACGTGCGAGGTGCTCATCGTCGACCGGGCCCTCGATCCGATTGCGCCGGTCGTGCACGAGTTCACGTACGAGGCACAGGTGCACGACCTGCTCCCACTTGGCGAGGGCAACGTGTACGACCACAGCTACGTCACCAAAGAGGGGGAACACAAAGTCACGCAGTTCGTGCTGGGCGAACACGACCCGCTCTGGACGGAGCTGAGGCACATGCACATCGCGCAGGCAAGCGCCCGCGCCACGTCCGCGACGCCTGTGGCCGCTGCTTCCGCCTCAGGCCACGTGCCCGCAAGCTCTGGCTGAAACGAGGCCCCAGGCCTCAAGGTTCCCGCAGGCGTCGATGACGCTCGAGCAGAGGCACGTCGAGTTCATGGAGAAGAATCCTGCGGCGCGCAATCAGGCTGGGAAGCTTGGCCGGGGCGCTGCGTCAGAGCCAAACGACATTCGCAAAATAAGCAACATCGCCTCGGCAATCCCAGAGTACCTCGAGAAGGTCGCGAAGCTCAGCCTGCACCTGGACATCGGCAACAAGCTCAGCACCAAGTCGAGGTTCCTGATGGATGTAGGCCTCGCGGGGCTCGAGCAAGATCTGGTGAGCTGAGCTGCTTGGTGCCACAGCCGCGCCCTTCCTCGCCGCCACCACGGGTCTCACCCCGTTCCAGACGCAACCTCGTCCTGGACGCAACCTCCTCGGTGCAGGTGTATGGCGACGCGGGGTCGAAGGAGGTGATCAACTTCCTCTCGAGCGCCACCAGCAGTATGGCGAGCGGCGATGTAGCAGGCGAGCAGATCTCGGCGCAAGACAAGCTGCGCCTCCTCATGTGCTACGTCGTGACGCACCCGGAGAAGATGGACAACGCCAAGCGGACGCAGTGGATGAAGCTCGCGGGCCTCACCGTCGACGACATGCAGCGCATCAACAACATGGAGATGCTGGTGAGCTGCACACCGCGGCGGGCCCCGTCGAGACTGCGATCGCATGCAGCGCGCCTGCTCTGACGGCGAGGCGTCTTCGATCGGGCGTGCAGGGCGTCGCGGTGTCCAAGCGCGTGGCCTCCAAGGGCCTCACGTTCGGCCGGAAGAAGCGGCGCCAGCCACGCAAGGAGCGGACGACCCGGGTCGCGGACAAGGAGTTCTCCCAGTACAAACTGGCGCGCTTCGCCCCCGTGCTGTCCGAGACGATCGAAGACCTCTCCAATGGGACGCTGGATCGTGAGCCGCCTATTTCGTGCGTGCGACGGAAGATTGGTGATGCTGTTGTATGTTTCTCCTTCAGAGCGGCTTACGCGGCCTTTTTCGGCCCGGTTCTTCGCAGCCACGGAGTTCCCTTTCGTGGGGTCTGGGCAGGCGGGTCCCCCCGGGCGCGCGCAGGACTACAACTTTGTGGGGACGCACCCGCCCAGCCAGATGCAGTCCGCGCGCCAAAACCGTACGAACTTCGCCGTCTCGTGGGCGAACAAAGCGAAGGGCGCGGAAGGGCCCAGGCAGCCACAGGTACCCAATCACGATTCTCGCGTGTGCTGCAGGGGCTGCGATCGACACGTGGTTCAAAACGCAAGCGTTGCACGCGTTGCCTTCCGCAGGAGACGAAGCCCGTGCACCGCCTGATCGTATTCGTCGCCGGCGGCGTCGCGTACAACGAGATCCGGAGCGTGCACAAGCTGTCTGAGGCGCTGGGCTGGGACATCATCCTTGGTGCCACAGGTGCGACAGCACTTCGCACTCGCGCACGCACCCGAGACGTCTCGGGTGCCGACGCGAACTGCGCCAGCCGTGCCGGGATCGTAAGGTGTCGGACAGGTTGGTGTGTTCCGGGCCATTGCCGTGCAGATGTGCTGCCTCCCGCCAAGTTCCTGCGCGAGCTGGCCCACCTCAAGTCCGACTTCGCGCACGACTCCGCCGGCGATCTGGCGCTGGAAATCGACGGGATCTGACGGACGGACGGTCCGCGTGGATCTGCCTCGAAAAATGTTCTGTGACGCACCTGCTCTGGCGCGGGTCGCCTGCCGATCCCCCCGTTTGGCCGACTTCACCCTGTCGTGCAAGCCACATCAGCCACGAGCTCCGTGCTTTGCGGGCGTCGCTCGTCGCTCTCTGGTGCGGGCGCTGGCGAAGAGGGCCGCACGCTCCCCGGGGCCTGCAGAGTATGACTTCGGCTGAGCGGCACGCGCTTTGCTGGCGCGGCACCGAGACGTTGCCGGCGCGGCTGCGCGTTGCTTGACCAGAAGATTGCGGCCAGCGGATAGGAAGAGGGACGCATCGCTGGATTCTCGCGTGCTTGCCGCCCTGACCATTCGGCTTCACCCATACTTCGCGGACGCGCGACCTCAGAAGCTCTCATTACCTCGGAAACGCCGTCGGTGGACTCTGTAAGGTATGACTTCCGCGACGAGGCAACTCCGATGGGGAATCGTGCCGGCTCTTCATTGTTCGTGCCCCCGTTGTCTGGGGCTCGCTTCACGTGCCGGCAGGGGCCGAGGGCGCGGTGATGTGATGCACTTCCCGGCTAATGCGCAGCCTTGGATCCAGACAGTGCGATCACCGCACACGACGCACGTTCGTGCAGGCCGGGGCGGTCGTGATTGCGGTGCACCCCCACGCTGGCCTACGGTGCAGGTTGCACGCGTAATTGAGCGCGGAGATCGGATGTCATCAACGATGGATCGATCCGAGGGATGTGTTCGAGCCCAGAGCTTGCGTTCGAGCGCTTGCGGCGGGTGAGTGCGGCCAGCTTCCGGCCCCGCACGCGCGAGATGCTCCCACGCTGCACGATCAGCGGCGCAGCGCAATCCCGCTCACACCGACTCTGAACGCTGCCGCATTTTGCTCTATCGATCCAAACAGGCGCGGAAAGGACACGGGGCGGTGCTTGTGCTGCCCGTCCACGGTCTCAAGCGCGACCCCGCCTGAACAGCATGCCGGGAGCGGAGGTGGCCACGTTTTGCCTGGATGCTCTTGGCTGCGCCCGGGAGTGGCCTGGACGGGCCGCCAGCGCGTGGCAGTCGGAGTCGGTCGACCTTCCTTCGAGTCGTGGGGTTTGCGGATCAACTTGCAGCACGTCGACCTGCAGCGAGGGATCATCGAGGGAAACATCAAGGTGCGGCCGGCGGGACGCTCGGCCCCCGCGCGAGCGACGCCTGTCGATGCACGTGCGTGCCTTTCACGGGGATCACGTCGCAGAGAGGTTGGGAGCTGCGCTCGTGCGATCGCAGGTGTCGGCATCAGATGTCGGGCAACTCGAGTGCCGGCAGGGCGCGGTCGTGACCTACTTCAAGGGCGAGCTCATCGACGGCGTGAACCACTCTTTCGAGACCGGCAGATGGGGCGCGAGCGCGCGGGACGACAGGAAGCACTGGTGCGCCGCTGTCTTTGCCGATGCTGTTGAAATGTCACCTCTTGCGCCTCTTCTGCCGACATGACCGTGGCGCGATACCGTGCTTCGGCGCGCGCAGGGCTCTGTTCGACCCGTGGCTCGAGCTTCAGTCGCGGGGCGGCGGTGGGGATCGATCCGCAGCCCCGTCGGACCCGCGCAACTCTGACCACGTGTTCCTGCGCCTCAAGGAGCAGTTCTTCTACGACGAGGGGTCGTCGTCGTCCGCGCTGAGCATCAACGGGTTTTACTACCTGTGCCTCAGCCGCATTCACGGGGAGATGCATGGTTTCTACTTCGACCCCTGCACGCCCTCGCCGTTCCAGGACATCCGCCTCCAGCCCCAGCCCTTCGTACAGGACTTCGAACGCATGTGACCCCGATCGTGTCCTCTGCCTTCCAGCGGACGCGCCCAGCGTCGAGGGACTGGTCAAGGGACTTGAGACGCGTCGCTGGCAACTGTGCTCACGAGCTCACAGCGCCCATCTACGCGGCGACCGCCTGCGCGCGCGAGGGGTACTGCTCGGCCTTCCGCTCCCGGCGCGTCGGCTTGCCGTCGTCGCGACCGCGGGGCGTGCCGAACTCAACCTCCTCCACCGGGTACACCGACACGATGCTCTTCCCGCGCTTGGTCTCGAACTTGACCACGCCCTCGATCGTGGAGTAGAGGGTGTAGTCCTTGCCCGTGCCGACGTTGTTGCCCGCGTGGAACTTGTTGCCCACCTGCACACACCGCGACACGCCGGCGATGCGATGGAACGCAGCGCGACAGCAGGCGCAACCAGCCAATGCGAGTCCATGCGCTGCATCGCGCACCTGGCGCACGATGATGCCCCCCGCCGTCACGCCCTGGTCGCCGTACACCTTCACCCCGCGGCGCTTCGCGTTCGAGTCACGCCCGTTCTTGGTCGAACCAGCACCCTTCTTGTGAGCGGCCTCGATCGTCATCGGCGCGGCCATGGGCCTGCAGCGACACACGGGCGTGCGTCCCCGGGGATGGGCGCGATGGCGCGGGCGTTGCTGCGCAGGGCTGGCCGAGAGGGAACCGCCGCCGCTCCCTCGGTGGTGGCCCCCGCGGGAAGCTTGCGCAACGGCGGTGCCGGAACGAGACGACGTATGCAGCGCAGGATCGGCATGGCGGCGCGGTAGCATGCAGGGTGTCGCGCGGGCTGCTTCCATCCACTTCTGGTGGCCAGGAGCCCGATGGTCCAAACGGCGCGCTCATGAGGAGCAGCGAGGTCAGATGCGGTATTGATGACAGGAACGAACAAGAAAGCCATGATGGAGCATCAACCATGGCTGCGCGGGCTCGGCAGGAGCCGTGCGGGCACGCATGCTCTCTGGAGCGACGCCGACACGGGCCGAATGAGCGGTTTCGCGCAGATTCAGTGCCCGCGAAAGGTGGCGCTGTACCAATTCAGGCGTGGAGAATGATCGTCGGGCGCAGGGGTCCACGGACGCGGCCGGGGCTGCACAGATGAGGCTTGGAGGCAGAGCAGGTGCGCACCTCGCAACCGCGACGCGGCTGTGCAGCCTCTGGCCCAGCGCGGCGCTGGCCTTGGACGACAGCGACATCTGAGCACCGGTGAACATTCTAGCCCGTCGCGGAACCCAGCAATGCGGCAGTGCTGTGTGAGGAAGCAGGCTACACGCGGCGATGTCGAGGGGTGGTCTGAGTCGCTGACTTCTATCGTTTGTGCACGATCGCCAGCGCCAATGAGGCGCGCGTGGCCGGCCTACGGACGGACGGGGAGAACCACCCTGTCGGGCGGCCCGCGTCCGACGCCGCGCCAGGGGGGTGCCGCGGCCGGAGCTCCTCGAGCGGAGACATCAGTCACCTGGGCCACCACGTCCTCGCACATGCTGTCGCATGCATCTGAAGCGAAACGCGCGAAGTCGTGCCGCCTCGGTGGCCGTCATCGGTGCGATCAACACTAGTCGCTTTTGCGCTGGCCCGTTGCACCTTCGCGGGAGGCAGTGACGTCGTTGGGCCTGACCTGGAGCCTCGCAAGGGACCCATGCCTGGCTGGGCTGCAAGCGCGCGAGTCGATTTCGAGCTTCCGAACACGCAGGAGAGAGCCACGACGCGGTCTTGCTAGTCGACTTGGCTCACTCGCGCCGCTGGGCATCGAGTGCTCACAATGAACGAGTCTTCGGGCAAGGTGCCCGCCGGCCTGGGCAACTCGGGCCTCGGGCGGAAGCCCGGCCGGAAACGGCCCATGCCCGAGAGGACGGGGGCCGCGGATGCCAGCACGGCGGCGGAACAGTTGGGCCGCGTGGCCGAGCTGCGCTCCGCGCGACAAATGATGAAGATGCGGTTTGCAGGACGACATGATACGGATCGTGAAGGTCAAGCGCACCCCGCAGGGAATGAGCCTGCCGGGGGGCTGGGGGTCCAAGCGGTGGAGCTGCAAGCCTCCTCGCCAGCGGTCCGAAGTGGCCAGACGATGCCTGCGGTCCCGACGGCCGCACCAGGCATCAACCCCTGGCTCGATCAGCGCATGTCGCAGGAGCAAAGGATTCAAGCTCTAAGGACCCATCTCTCGCACTCGATAGACGCGCTGGGGCGCAACCCCCAATACAGGTGATCTTTGGCTCCAATCTCGACGCGCGACCTCATCAGGGGCCACGAGCGACGCCCACAGCCGTTGCTGGCGAAGCTTACCTGTGCCGTGTCTGCCGTTGTCCCGCCCCCTGCGGGGCAAATCATCAGCTGTGCAGCATCAACGATTTATACAGTGGCACGTCAGCTCACGAGTTTCAACCTTGCTCGGTCTGGCGATGCTCTGCGAGCGCCACCCAAGTCACGCGTGTCTCTTGGTGCGCAGGGACGCGTCGCTCGATCCGCGCGAGTGGCATCCGGAAGCACTGCGAAATAAGGACGTGGCGAAGGCGGTGCAAGAAGTGCCAGCACTTGCGGCCCTCATGTCGCCGGAGGTGATCGCGGAAGTCAACCGCTCCGTGCGAGATCCCGGGCAATTTCAGCAACTCTTGACCCGTCCCGACATCAGTGACAACCTGCAGGTGCGCTTCCATGGAACCAGACGTTCATGGCTGCGCGTATGCGAACACGAGATCGCTGAGATCGAGCGCAATCCCTCGCCGACCCGGCAGCACGCGAATAGAAGGCTCGGCGATTTCGATAGCTGCAGGATCTCGTCAACCACAAGGATGAGTTGGTTGCATTGAAAAGGGCTTTCGAGCAGGGTATGGCCGAGCAGAATGCGCACGAGGGCGTGGCAGACAACTCGCGCAATGCAGGCGCACCAACTGCGCACGGACCCATACGCAGGGTATTCAATAAACTCATTGATGCACGACGTGCTTTCGAAGTAGCGATTTGGGGATTTGCCTCTGACGAAACCGATGAAGAACACGCTGCCAGGTGCGAAAGACGGGCTCATCACTGCGTTGTGTCTATCTCAATGGATCGATCAGCCTGCCGCACATCGTTCAACGTGAAACAGCAACTGCTCTCCTCCTCCGTGCGCGGTGGCACACACACGCGTCGATCACTGCGCCTCTTGAGGCGCAGAGAGCTTCCCCACATCGTTGCGGACAAGCCGATCGATCCGCGAGTCTACTACGGTTCGGATGAGCCGTCGCAATGGGTGCCGGACGTGGACGACTCGGACTGGGCGGCCGTGATGCTCAGCGTTTACGCTGCAAGTGCGGATGTCTGGTGGCCCGTGACCCTGATTTTCTGCACAGGTGCGCGATTTCGTGACGATCGACCGCCCGGCACTCAGCAATCGAAGTGCGAAGAGACAGTCGCAAATTTGAGGGTTTGTGTGGCAATGTCCTGCAGCGGCCATCTGCAGCTTCGTGGCCCTACCAGTGTGGCTGCTTCTGCCAGGTCTGCTGCTCTTCCTCCTTGTCGGAGTCAAAGCGTTCATCATGGTGCCCCGCGGGATCAAGTTGGCCGGGGTGCTCGAAACACGTTTGGTACGAAGCGCCACGCTCTTTTCGCGAGTCTCTGCATGCCATGTTGCAATGTGCAGCCTAGCTTTGCGCGGATGTGTGGAAGGATGTCGCGTGCGTGTCGGCCGCCACGGTGCAGGTGTTGTCGATCATTCTCTGCATCGAGATCATCTCTGCAACTGACTTCTTGGTCGATCATCTGGTCAACGGGATGTTTATCAAATACAGGGCCTCAGCGGCGACGCTCGCGGTCGTGTGCGTCGTCATTCCGATTCTGCACCTCAAGTGCGCACTCTCTGATCCTGGCTACCTGCAACGTGGAGTCGGAGGATATCAGGCGACCGGCGACGCTGAAGACGGTTTCCACATGGGTCCCTGTGCGTCCTGCAAGACCGTCCGGCCTCTGCGTTCGAAGCACTGTCCCACCTGCAAGAGGTGACGAACGCCCGGGCCCGCCAATCTGCTGCACGCCTGGCGTTCTGAAGCAAGCCCTCGCTGGGGCGGGGAGACGCACTCATCAGCTGTTGCAGATGCATCGTCCGCCCCCTGTGTACGTTTGCAGATGTGTGGGGAAAATGGATCATCATTGCCCGGCGTTGGCAAACTGCGTAGGCGAGAGGAACGAGCGGTGGTTCCTCACATACTTGACAGTAGCACTAGTTGGGCTCGCGCTATACGTTTTCCTGACCACTGTTCGCACTACTGGAGAGGCCGCTGACGATGTTCGAACAGGTTGGTGCGTGCGTGCAGGTTCATCATCGCGCATTTGTCACCTTGAACTGTTGCAAGCATAGCTTCAGCGCTATTCTTCATGCAGGTGGTCTGAAATTGCTGAGATCGTGGTTACGAGGTTCCTTTCAACTCTTCCCGGGCAAGTTCCTGCTCGTTTTGGTGAATGTCATCCTCTTGGTCAGCGTGGCATCCCTCGTGTTCCGTGGGTGGTTGCATGCGAGCAGAAACATCACGACAAATGAGGCGATCAACCGCCGGCGATACTGGTACTTCATCCACGGCCGGTGAGTCCACGACACGACCGGCACGCTTGAGAGGCCACGCACCTCTGCTGCCAACGTTTTTGCTTGAGACGGCTTCCTGCGCCACGTTGCACGCAACGTGGGGCAGCACAGTGGCCCCGGGCTCGACTTCATGACTGCAGGTATAACGCGAACCCTTTCGACCGCGGGGTGTGGAAGAATCTCTGCGACTTCTGGATGCCCGAAAAGCACGGCAAAGGCGCGATCGACTGGCGCGCCCGTTGCAAAGAGTTCCATGCCGTGCGTGAGACGCTGTTGCCCGCCGATGCCTTCAGTCAGGAGGTTTGATGCAGTTGTGGTCTCCCCTTTCTCATGGCCTTGTTTCGTTTTCGCGAGTAAGGAGGGCCAGGCAGTGAGATGGCGCAAACCAATCTATTGGCCTGCGCCTGGAAATGCACCCAAGGCAGAGAGCCGCACGAAACAAGTGTCTTCAAGGCATCATCCTGGGAAGGCACGCGTTCCAGCGACCTATGTCATCCAACCCACTTCGAGCCCGCAAGGACTTGCTGTATGTGCGTTGACGCTATCCATGGGGAAACGTTCCCTCGTTGGATTTGAGGACGTGCTGTGAGCCACGTACAATGTCGACCTGCGCTGCACGGGGCAGCATCAAGTGCAACGCCTACGTTGCGTGCATTCAGCCGTTGACATGCACCAGCATTCCTGTTGACCACAACAGGAAGTCAAATGTCTCGTGATCTTGCACATATTCCGTGGCGATGTATCCTGCATCTCTCCCTGTTGCCAGTTCGCATTCAGCCTTGTGCGCCTGGGGCTCCTGTCAGCTGCGGAGCAATTTGACCTCTAGCTTAGTGGGGCAGGGAAATAGGCAATGCGATTCGAAAGCCACAGCGTGGCCATGCCGCGGCGCGGGGAGACACTTTGTCCTGGCTGAGAACGCTGCCAAGCCCTGTTTGATTACAACTGACCCCTCTGCTGGGATCAGCAGCTGTGGCAGCACGCACATGGTTCACGGTCAAGATACACCATGTCGCTAACAAGCAGGTTCGCTTCTCACGCGCATATGTGCTCGTGGCCACGCTCAGCAAGTGCATTTGAACTAGATGTGCATCCCACGGGACAAATACATGGAAAATTCTCGTGCAGAGAGCAGCACAACGTATTTTTCTATCACCCTTTGAGATTGGATTCACTCGTCGTTGTTGTGACTCAGTTGCTCTCAAGTTGCGGGCCACAACGACGACGAGGTGAGGTGTCACATTCTTCGCGTCGTCATCACAGTCGAATGATCTTTCAGGTCCCAAAGCCTTATGGCTGACGACGCGAAGAATGTGACACCTCACCTCAGTAACGGAGATGCGATACGCATCCGGAGGACGATACGTCCACCACCAGGTTCAGGACCCCAAATGGCGCGGTTGTCACCTGCATTTATCGTCTGCGATGTAGCACCTGAGAGTGATCGACTCGTGCATGGCAAACTTTTTGTGCGCACTACGCAGCAGCGCGGTGTCGCTTCATTGCTGACGACTCCTCAAAATGGACCTCTTAAGTACTGATGTACTTGTCAGTTCAGCTCACTGGATTGTCGACTTTACACTCAATACGCAGTTTCACACACCGACGTTTCGCGCTCGTGACTGCGCACCGAAGAACGATCTTCCCAGCTCCCTCGCTCGGAGCCGCAGTGTCGCTTGTGTCAGCAGCGCAGTCGTGCGAATCCAAGCTCCATGAGGCCTCTCTCTGTCACGCAGGGCGTCGCTCTGGTCTTGCCGGCCAAAGCACAAGGGCAGCTGCTTGCACGCATCTGTAAGAACATACAAGATCGACTGGGTTGAAAGATGGCATCGATGCAATCTTCTGGGAATGATTTGGCAAAATCATTCAGGCAGTTGCGCATGATTGGATAGCAGCGGCTTCTTGGACGATGCTGCCTTGTCTCGATCAAAATGTGTGAGTATTCACTGAATCACCATGTTCAAACCGTGGTCGGCGATAGCGGCTCGTGTATCAAGCAGGCGGCACGGAAATCTTTGCCGCGGCGCTGATTGTACGTCATGGTTGTGGCCAGCTGGCTGCATCGAAAGGCCGATTTCCGAATGACTGGTGACTCTAACGAGATTGCTGCGCTGAGCTTATTAAGCGAAGAGCAATCACATCCGACGTGGCGAAGGCACGGAAGGAGATCGCCAATGCGCCGCGCCCTTGTGGTCCAACCGGCGCAAGGGCGTCTCAAACGGCAGAAGTATCAAGTCACCTTGGACAATCAGAATCGAACCGACGCATCGATGTCGCGCTAACGCGCTGTTTGCCAGCGCGTGCACATGCTTGCGTGCGGTGTTGGAAGCATGCTGCGCGCCCTAATCGAATCAGTGCTTCGGCAGAAGTCAGCGACAGCAGTGCAAATGAATTATTTATTATTTCCCGGTTGTGTTTTGACAACGCAGCAGGCGCGGGGCCGCACGTCCCTACGCTACCGCCATCGCAGGCGGTGCTCGCGCAAGCATGGTCACGAAACTCGCGCATGGAGGAGGGCCGAGATGCTCTCCCCTGCGTGCAGGTCTACCTCTCGCAACTGCGCGCGCCTTGGCCCGCTCTTCGCTCACGAATGATGCGCCCAGGCATTCATCCGCGCCGGCAGGAGAGCGCACCCACGCCGCGGATTCGCTTTCCAGCAGGGCGCGCCGTGTGCGCTCGTGAGTGCGGCCCCACTGGCCTAAGCCGTGTCGCAGCGTCAAGGAGGCACGAAAAGCTGCAGTCAGCGCTATTTCGACATGCAAATGATCGGCACGTCTGCACCGACGCCCTGTCTGCGGGCCTTGTTCACGGCAGCCTCCGCTGAGCGGCAGTCCTGAGGGACATGGGGCACTTCCCGCCAAATTCCTTTCGTCAGCCCCCCGACCCCCCTACATGCCCAAGGCGCCTTTGCGTGGTCGCGTTGCGTGTGGAGGGCATGCCTTTCACGCTGTAGGGGCCCAGAAGAGGGCGAATGGGCCGCCGGAGCACAGTCGCGCGTGCTGGCAAGCTGCACACTACCCAGGTTCCGTCGCTGGCGCACGCCCGGGGCGGCTAGACTAGTTTCACGACCGCCGCGGGCCGGCACATATGCGCTGTATCTAAGCGGGCATGGACGACAAGAGCTTGTCCCTCCTTCGGCGCAAGCTGAAAAGCCTCAGCTACAGGTGCGGAGCAGCTGCACGCTCTCCTGGCGAAAGCTCGATTTTCTTGTGGCCGAACCCAGAAGTACGGCGACGCCGGGGCTCGACCGCGCGAAATGGTGCTCCGAACTGCGACGGCTGCGCGCCGTGGGGGCGGGAATACGAACGACCGCGCCATGTGCTGCAGCGATTGATTCATTGCCGTGCACGCTCTCGAGTCCTCCGCTCAGCGGGCTACATTCTAGGCCGAAGTCTTCTTATTCAAAACTTCGACCTTGCTGCAACGTCGCCTCACCGTCCCCTGCAGCGATGTGTTCGAGGAGACGAGCGCGCCACTCGTGGGCAGGTTGCTCGAGGACCTCGTTCACACGACGGAGAGCTACAGGTCGCTCAAACTGAGGTCGGCCCAGCAGACTCAGGAGAATGGAGAATGGCAGAGCAAAACGGAGGCCCTACGGAGGGACATGGAGCGGGTTGTGGGCGAGAACAACCGCTTGCACTCCAACCTCTTGGAGCTCACGGATGAACTGGCGAAGCGCGATCGCCGAGAGTTCGAAATCAAGCGTTCCCTGAATGTCGAGATATCAACACTGAAGTACGTCAACCGCACGCAGCAGCAGCGCGTGCGTCAACTCGAGGCCGAGGTCAGCGGCCTGCAGGACCTGATCAACACCGCCGGAGCGGGCAACGAGAACCAGCCGCCTGTCGTGGGCAAGATTGACCTGCCCTTCGAACCGGCAGCACCGCACGAGGCGCTGAAGTCGAGTCCTCCGGAAGCCCAGGTACTTGCGACGCCTTTCATGACTTGCCAGGCCCCGTGCCTCAACTCCCGTCGCGACATCATCGTGCGGCTCCGGGTGCTTCGCAGGCGGTCCTCAAACAATGGCAAGAGCGCGTGGACACGCTGGAGGCCCACTTGCGGCAGTCGCGGGCCACGGCGTCCGGGCTGCGGTCGCAGATTGTTGAGGCGCAGGAGAAGGCCATCCTCCAGGACGCAGAGCTCGAGCGGCTCCGCACCGCCGTGTCGAAAGAGCGCGACCTGGATCAGCTCGCCCTGCAGTACCGCAACGAGTCGAGCGAGCGGTTGGTTGCGTCGCTGAACCAGCAAATCGACTTCCTGACCGAACAGGTCTCCAAGCTCGAAGCGCAGCTCGGGCCGCGCAACAAGGTGCGCGACATTGTGCCGGGCTGGATCGGCTTGCCAGGCGTGGCTCCTCGTGCACCCAGGGGGGGCCTTCCGCGCTGGCCCGACGGACGTGTGTCAGGCACACACCGCTTCGTCCAGACAACCGCGCTCGACTTCCCTGACGCCGTGTCACTCGTGCTGTTGATCGTGCAGGCTCTGGACGCGGCGGAGGCGGCGAAGGTGGAAGTTGAGGGCAAGCTGCGGGCGGCAAGCCGGGAGAACGAACGCATCCGGTCAGAGATGTACGAGCTGCAGGCGGTTGTGCAGACGCTGCAGGCCTCGTACGAGAAGGAGGCTGCGCTGCGTCCGGCCGGGCCGCGGGTGGGCGTCAGCGGCGCTGAGAAGGCCAAGTCGTTCGACACTTCGGAAATACCACCACCTGCTGCTGGGCCTGATGCGCACCCCGATCTGCTCGAGCAGCTGCGCACCCTGCAGAGCGTCCGGCTTGAGGGCGTTGCCGCGCTCAAGGCTAGCGAGGAGGAGCGCCGGCGCCTGGAAGCGGAGATTCGCAGTGCCAGTTCGCGTGCTGCTGAAGCTGAGGTTCGTGCCTCCCCTGCCGTGAAGCCACGTCCGCCCAGGTGGGGTGTGGCGTCACTCGAGAGTCCTGCATGCGTGCCCCGAGCGATGCAGAGGGAGGCTGAACGGCTCATGCAAGACCTGGAGCAGGCGCGCCAAGAAGCGGGAGAGCCTGTGCCTCCGAGCAGGCCCGCTCAGGACGCGTCGGTCGACCGGTCCTTCCTCGGGAACGAGCGCATGGCGGAGCTAGAGGCCGAGCTGCACTCGCAGGTAGCGAGGAATCAGGCACTCGAGGAGCAGCTGCGCACTGCACGCGAAGGCCAGGTCATCCCCAACAGCGCCTCCGCACCGGCAGCGGACACGACCGCTGCGTCGGAGCGTGCGACAATACTTGCCCGGCAGGACGCCGAACAGCTCAGGGAACAGGTGCTGCAGCTGTCTGCTGCACAAGCGCGTGCCGAGGGCATGATCCAGGAGCTGACTGCGCAGCTCGGGGAGCGCGCCGAGGAACTTGCTGTCGCGGAGGAGAAGCTGGGAGCCCTGTCCGCGCAGCTCGAAGTCGCGCGTGAGGCCGCACAAGGAGCACCTCAGCCGGCACAGCCTGACACGCAAGCACAACCCATCGCACAAGCCGCGGCGGGAGACGCCTCGTCAGCCGAGGCGGTCAGAGATGAGCTGCGGCGATCGGCAATGCAAGCGGAACAGCTTCGGGCGAGATGCGACAGCCTGGAGTCCCAACTCGGCAAGTCCCAGTTGCAACTCAACGATGCGAGGGAGCGACTCGGGCGCTCCGAGGCCGAGTTCGAGCGGCTGAGCGCCGACCTCGTCGCAGCAAAGCAGCGTGCTGAAGCAGCGGAGGCTGCACAGAGCGCCGCAGAGGGTCAGAGTGCGCACCTGAAGACCCTCGTCTCCCAGGTTGACTCGACGCGGGAGGAATTGCTCGAACGCCTTCACCAGGTGAGGCGGGGCCGCACGTCACGTGGAGGATGGCGTGTGGCTTGCTGGAGCTTGACATGCGTGTAGGCACCCACGCAACGGCTGCCGACTGACACGTGATCCGCAGGCCGACGTGAAGTTGCATGCTGCGCGCGTCGAAGCTGACCGTTGGAAGGCGGACCTCAAGAGTTGCAAGGCGGAGCTGGAGGCGCGCGAGGCCGACTTCAAGGACCTGCAGCAGACAAGCCGGGATCTCGACACGGAGAGGGACAGGTTGCAGGTGAGGGTTTCAAACCACTCCTTGCAACTCACACGACGGATGCCGTGACAGGCGAGCCGACAGCGCACCGCGTCCGACTGTGGCTGCAGACGCAAATCGATTCTTGCGAAGAGGAGTTGGAGATTCTGCGCAGCCAGAAGGCAGCTGCGTTGGACGAGCTGGCGAGCTGTCAAAGCCGCGTCGCTGAGATGGAGTCGTCGCTCGCCGCGGCCAACTCATTGTCCGCGTCTCTGGAGGCCGAGAACAAGTCGGTGGTGGAGCGCTCAACGTCCCTGGAGGGCACGGTGGCGGCGCTGCAGCGGGAGCAGGAGGCGCTGCGGGAGGAGGTACAGTCGCTGATGGAGGACCTGCAGGGTGCCACGCAGGAGTCGCAGGCGCTGGGGGCCGAGCTGGTTCAGGTCTCGCGGGAGCGCGACAGTGCGCGGGCGGCGGAGGCGGCGGCAGCTCACCGCGCGGACGTGTCGGACAAGATGGCCAAGGCCAAGGAGCGGCAGCTGGACGACCTGGTGTCGTGCTACCAGGAGCTCGCCGGCGACAACAGACGGCTCTCCTCGGCGGTCGCGCAGCTCGAGAAGGACCTCCGCAAGCGCGACCTGGAGATCGAAGCCGCGAAGAAGGAGCAAGAAGGCCTCCGCGCAGCGCTGCGAAGTGCGCAGCTCGAAAGCAGCCAGCTCGTCGGGGACCTGCAGGGCTTTGAACACAACGTGGCGGACATCTCGCAGGAGCTCAGACGGGCGGAGGAGCGGGCGGCCGCTGCGGAGGCTGCGCACGAGCGGGTGTCGAGCGACCTGCACGAGGCGCGCGGGGTACAGCTGCACCTGGAGCAAATCAGACAGGGCATGCAGCGCGAGATCGCTGCGCTGGAGACGCACTGCAGCGTGTTGCAGGCGCGGCTGGTCGACGCCGCCCGCGACATCGACGCGCTCGAGCACCGCCAGGCGATGGAAGTCAGCCGCTGCAAGGAACTCGAGGCGTTGCTGGCGGACGCACGTGCCCGCGGGCTGCAGCCGACCGCGCTCAACCAGGAGGCCGCGGGCCGCATAGCCGTTCTCGAGGAGCGGATCAAGATGATGGACGAACGCAACATGCGGTTGGAGCAACAGTTGCTGGACCAAGCGAGCATGCCGACACACCCGGCCCCAGCTGCGCTCGAGTCAGGCTCGCCCGTACAAGGGGATGCAGGCTCCGCGCTCGTCGTTCAGCCAGACACTGAGGCTCAGGAGCCCGCAGCACCTGCGGCCGAGGGCGGCACTGTATGGCATGAGCTTGAGCGCGTGCAAGCGGAGCTGAGGAGCAGAACGCAGGACCTGCAGCGCACCGAGCACACGGTGTCACAGGAGCGCAAGGCCCGGTCCCGCCTGGAGGCCCAGATCGCGTCTCTCGAGGAGGACCGCAAGGCTCTGCAGCAGGACAATGCGTCCTTGCTGCGCGAGATCGCAAGTCTCGGACAGGCGAAAGGCGAGGGGGGCGCGACTGGACAGGACCCCGCGAACGTAGTCCTCGCGGCCAAGGAGGAGCTCGAGCGGAAGCTGGAAGAGGAGAAGGCTCTACGGGTGCAAGCAGAGACCGACTTCCAGGTGCGCCGCGGTCCCGGAACAGCGAGCTCCCTCGCGGAGGCATGTGTGTCGTGCTCGGCGTCACGTCCCGCTGCTCTGCCCCGTGACCTGTGCAGGCGCTGCTGGATAGCGTCGAGCAGGGTGCATCGCCACCCGCTGCACCTGCGAGCGGGCAGTCGGGTGCACGGAGAGGGCGTATCAATGCCCGAGAGCTGCAGCGCAGACTTCAGAAGCTGGAGGATGAGAACAAGCGACTCATCGGGCTCGTCGCGGTATGCTCAATGAAGTACGTTCGCTGTACGTGACACGTGCTTTGGCGACCCCGTTGCACAAGGCGCGCGACGGCGACTGGCTGCGATGCAGGAAGCGGAGAAAGCGGTTGGGACAGTCGTGCAAGAGGCTGGACGCGCACGTGAAGGATACAGCTCGGCAGAGAGCTCACTAGGCGAAGCTGCTGCAGTACTCGACAGCAGTATCGGCGACACGCCGCCGCGGAGTTAGCCCGTCCTGAAGGTCATGACGGCGCGGTGTCGCGTCTACGTGTGACTGCCCGCAGGGCCGGATTGATCCCCACACCTTGCATGCAGAGCCAGGTCGTCAGAGCAATGCTGCTGTGGATTCACAGTAGAGTCCCCGTCCACTTGCCTCCACAGCACGACTGTATTGGCGAAGAGTCGTCCTTTGCCTCGTCGGCGAGCGCGACGATGCACTGGGCATGTGGCTTGCAGGTGGAACGCCCAGATGTCAGCCCCGGAACGCATTGCCCTCGTTTTCGTAGCCGACAGCTCGGCCAGACTGGCCAGGGACGATTTCAGCGGGCGGTTCGTCATCTTCGGCGCTCTCATCTACACCCCACCATGTGCGCTTGGCCATGTAGTACTCCGCAGCAGTGCCCACCACCGCGTCGGTGTTCCCCTTGATCTGCGGGCAGCGCGGGCCCTCTCAGTAGTTGTGCGCCCGCGTGATGAGCGCTGCGCGATCCACGATATCGCGAGACAAGCTTACCTTCAAAGCCCGTTCTGAAGACTGGACCAAGGCCGTTGTCAAGTCCTCGTGCTCGTCGTCGTCCAGCTGGTCGGCTTCGTCGAGCTCTGCCCCCTGGATGCCGTGTGATTTTGGAGTATCGGCCCTGCGTTGCGGGCGAGAAACGTGAGAAGTTCAGCGCTCTAGTCCCACATGACTGCGGGTTTCGAAGAGCCATGAGGCGTGTGACACTCGTCGAAGCTTCTCACTTGAAGCCCTCCAGAAGCTCTCGGCAGTCCAGCGTGTACGAGCCGTCCCAGTCCTTCGCGCCGAACGCAATCTCCGCTTCGAACGGGGTGATGATCTTCTTGTGGTAATCACGGTTGTCAAGAATCATCCCCTGGCCCGTTGCTACCATGACCCAGATGTCGACTTCAGGGAAATTGGCCAGCTTAGCTGGGTTCGGCTTCCCGACGAGAACGGTGTACGTCTTCTTCCCTGGAACAGAGCACATGGGTTCTCATGTCACGCCAAGACGTCGGCTATGGCATTCTGCTCATTGCTGCGATCGGCGGTGCTCACCTGCAGACTCCGCAAGGGAGCGGATGCGCTCGATGACTTGCCGGAACCCAGCGGCTCCCAGCGTGCCAACAAGGATCCCGATGATGTTTGCGTCCTTGGCCTTGTCGATGAGGAAGTATCGCCCGGTGAGTGTGTTGATGAGAGATGCCTCGTGCTCCAGCTCGATCCGGTACGTGTCCCGACGTGCATCCGTCCCAGGATCGGCTTCAGGCCAACTCAAGATGTCAACTCGCGCCCAGCTCGCCTGACTGAACGTGAGCTTCAGCTGTCGCAGGGCAGGCGTCGTGGGACCAACCCATATAAATGCTATGCGTTTCGCGTCGTCTGCGTCGTGGTCTGCTGCCAGGCCGCCATCAGTGTCGTGTGTGTTTGGGCCGTCCGCGTCTCCCTTGCCATCGCCCCACCCCCAAAGATAGCCTGCATCACGGCTCCACACACACTCTGCCGGGCCATCGCTTTCTGCGTGCGCCGCTGCACTGCCGGCGATCGGGTCGGGTCTCGCAACGTCTGCACCAGCGCTTTTGCAGGCCCCCCTTTCCGCCGTTGCACGCGGGTCCGACGGGGCGTTTATATCATCAGCTTGGGCCGCCCCGCCGCGCACGGGCCGAGTCTCCCGCGACGCTGCACGTGCGACCTCTGTTGGCAGCGGCAGCGTTGCTTGTTTCAGAAGCTCCTCAATGTTTCCGGCTTCATGCAGAAACGGCTGGTCAAGCAGCACGATGCACCGACGCGGACAAGTCTCCTGGGAGCTGCCGATCCGGGGCAGCATGCCAACGTGCTCGGCGACGACACGTGCCAAGTGCGGCAAGTCAGGCAGCTCGGCCCGCCCGAAGCAGAAGAACGCCGGCAATGTGGAGGCAGGCGACAAGTCTGCTCGTCCAAAATGAACCACGCAGTCTGCCTGCGCATGCGCCGCTGCAACTTCGTCCACGCACTCGGAATTGTACGTGCTGTCCGCCAGGAGGAACACCTGCACCGCTTCGGGCGCTTGGACGCGGGTTCGGCGAAATATGGCAGTCACGATATCCTGATGCCTCAACACACAAGTACCAGGGAGCGGAGAGTGCGCGAACGCCGCGAGCAACGCCCCTGGAGCGCTTCCCCGCACCTTGGCACGGCCGGGCAGCAGTGCCCGCAAACGCAGCGTTGCGTCGGCTGCAAAGCGCAACCACTCATCGGGAAACTGTGCGGCAATCCTTGTGTACCCATTCGCATTGATCCAGTGCGCAGCCTGAGAGAGCTCTGCCTCGTCAAACCGCCAGGTGCGCTGCAGGAGGCCCTCCATGCTGGGCTCGCCGCCCGCTTCCATCCTTGAACCCGAGTCTACGCGTCGTCAGGCCGAGTGGTCTATCGCATCGCGGACAGCACCGAGGGTGCTGGTGATCGAGCGCCCATGTAGCCGGCGGGGCTCGATTGCTGTCGGACATGGCTGCCGACGCGTTGCGGCTCAGTCGGGGTGTTCGGCACGTTGCCCCGATGTGCTGTCCTGATCGATCCGCGCGAAAAAATCGCCAGCCCCATGCGCCCGACGCCTGCGACGTTGTCAGCGTGCGGCACGCGTGTTCGCCCCACGGTCTGTCGCACTGATGTTCGTCTTGTCTGTTTCTCGGTTACAGGCACAGCGCCGGCCGCGCTCCTACTGTGGCCCGGCGAGCGCCCTACACCGCCGGCTTCTCCTCTTCCTCCGCGGGCTCCTCCGGCTTGACCTGCGGCGCGTCGGCCGGCTCCTCCTTCACCTTGGTGTCGCCGTCAGCGGTCGCCCCCGCGGGCTTGAACGTGCCGGCGCGGTACTCCTGCATCTCGGCCTCGTACCGCTCCTTGTCCTTGCGCGCCTTGTCCTCGTACGGCTCCTTGTCCTCCGGCTTCAGCTCCTTCCAGCGCGCCCCGATGAGCTTGGCCTTCTCCGTCAGCGAGAGCCCCGGCTTCTCGACGTCGAGCTGCACGCGGCGGGGACACAACGGCGTCGCGCGCTGAGCGCTCGCCGCTGAGGGCGTGCGGGTGCCAAGCGCGGTGAGGGTTGTCCCTCCACGCGCGACACATGTTGCGCACCTTGTCGCGCATCTCCGCTGAGTAGTACAGGTACGCCGACATGTTGCGCTTGGGAGCGTTCGGGTCCTTCTTGGCGCGCTTCTTTTTCTTCGGGGCTTCCTCCTGCGGGCGGGGGCGGGGACGACGCGCGAGTCGGGCGCACATCCCGGGGGCAAGCAGTAAAGCGCGGTTCCTTGTCCCCCCCCGGCGCACCTCCGCCTCCTTCACCGGCCGCTTCTTCTTCTTCTTCTCCTTCTTTTCCTTGGGCTCGCCGGGCTCTTCGTCACCGCCCTCCGACAGGCTGGAGTCGTCGTCGTCTGCACGTGCGTGGTGCAAACCAGTCGCCCCTCGGGAGTTACGCGCGCCGTGGGAGGCCATGTGGGTGCGCGCGCGCTCGGCGACAGGAGCATACCCGACGGCTCCCCTTCCTCGCCCGCGTCGAAGTCTTCGTCGTCTTCCGACTCGAGGTCATCGGTGCGGAACAGCTCAGCCGCGTGGTCGACATCGCCCTCCATCGCCTGAAGAGTCGCCATGGTGCCCCTGGCCCCACCCGGGCCGGCTTGAGCCTCCCTGAGGTTCCCAATCTTGAGCTTCTTGGCCTGCAGCCGGGACGTACCGCTCACCATTGACGCAATGGCACTGATCAATGGAAAAGCCCCTTCGGACTGTGCTGGATGCATACCTGGATGAACTCGAGGAGGTTGTGCCACTCTTCGCGAGCGATGCCACGGAACTGGTGCTCTGCATCCTGCTTCGTGATGACGGTCAGGTCGAAGGTCTTCGTGCTCACCCCTTCGCCCTGCAAGATGGAGTCGCGCACGAAGGCTGTCGTTCGGCGCGACTGAGCGTACGTCCCGCGCTCTTCTGCAGCAAGGTCGACCTCCAAGCACCGCACCTTTCTTTCAAACATGACGGAGCTGATGTCGTCATGGGGAATCAGCATAGGCGGCTTGTGCACGTAGAAGAATGCGCGCTCGAGCGGGTACAAGTAGCCGTCGTCCGCCTTGTAGCTGCACCGCACAGCGTACGCGTCGTCCTGAGCGGTGCGGAATTTGCCAGGCCGAGTGAGCTTCGCGCCAGCCAGCCCGCGCATCAGCTTGGCGAAGACGTCGAACGCCAGCCCGCTGTACGACTTCTCCAGCTTGCCGCCGCATTTCTTGTTCTTCTGTTCGAACTGCTCCGGCGTCAAGTTGAGCTCCGGCACCTCCACTTCCTCGTCTGACGGGAACTGCACGCACAAGAGGGCGGCACGGCGTCCCCGGTCTCATGCATGGCGACTCGTGAGCCCATGGCGTAGCACCCAGCCAGCAGATCGAGACCGCGCAGCGCGTCCTGCTGCCCCGTGCGCCCGCCAGCACCGCACCTGGAGCAGGATGTGCTGGTAGTACGTTTGTCCCTTCCTGATCGGCGGGTCGAGCGAGATCGCCACGATGGTGTGCGGCGTCTGTGCTTTCGGAAGCACGAAGCACCTCGCGATGGAGTTGTACCGGATGACGAAGTCCTGCGCCTGGCCCAACAGCTTGATGAGACCCATGTGCATCTCGACCGTGAACTTGCCCCTGCGGCGACCGGCCGGAACGACGCATTTCGCTGGGCGACATTGCATGCGGAGTGCAGGGAGCGGGCATCCGCTGAGCCGGCTTCTCTGCCTCACCTGGGCACGATGACGGACACCTCCCCGAAGGATGCCACGGCATTCGCCTCTCCCTCGTCGATGTCGGCGATCTCCTTGACAGACGAGTACACCACCTTGGCGGGCCCATCCTGCACGCAGCGGGTTCAGACATCGGACTCGATCGTGGTGGACGGAGCGTGTGGTGCACAGCAGCAGTGAAGAGGCGCGGGGCTCGCACGCACCTCGTCCATGTCGGCCGGGTCGCCGAGGTCCTCGTTCGTTGCCGGGATGAAGAAGGTCATGTCCATCAGCGCGTCGTCGTTGCCGGCCGTGTCGTCCTGGGGGAACTCCACCATGACGTCCGTCTTGTTGTTGAGCTGCACCTGCAGGGGCCGCGATTCCGAGGAGGACCCGCGGCGGTGGGCGGGCAGCGACGGGAGTGGCCTCCTTGCGAAGGGGCCTCCATGCGGCGTACGCCCCGCAGGAGCGCGCCGACGGAGCCCGACTGACTGCGTTGCGCACCTGACTGACGTCTGGCAGGTTGAGCGCGATGGCCAGCTTGTCATCGACGTGGTACCGCAGGGACGCCCCATCGATCTTCAGCGCGCCCCAGTTCCTGCCGGTGATGCTGATCTCCCCCACCTGCGACCAGTGCGGCCTTGACATCGTGAGAGCTGACCCGCCCCCCACTGTCGCGACGTTCCCGCACAGCGACGCAGCCGCCACGGCAGCAGCGAGCGTCTCAGGTCGGTGCCGGTGTCGAGCGGCGCTCACCTGCACGTCCCTCTCGTACAGCTCCTTTGCCGCCGTGCGCAAGGAATCCGCGTCCGTGGCGCGGAAGCCAGTGAAGATGTACGACTTCGGCGTATCCTGCCCCTTGGCCTTCGCCCCGACGATCAGCATGCAGCTCCGTCCCACCTGCGCTGAGCCGACGAAACCCCGCCAAAGTGACACCCCGACTCGACGCCCCACGGACGCGGCGCAGAGGAAACTGATATCGATCGTCATCGGGGCAGCAATGGCACCGCTGACAGCGATCGGTGCGGAACAGATTCTGCGCTGTGGGGCCCGTACGTTGGTCCAGTGCAGCCCCTGCACATCCGCCTTGAGGACTGTGACCGTCTTGCCCCCCTCCTTGCTCTTCCACTGCATTCCCGCTGGCGTGACCCTCAACGATCCCGTAATCTGCACGTTGGCACGGTACCGAGGCCGAAACGGTCGGGGGACGGCGCCCTACCGCAAACCCGCGCGCTCTGCGCTGCTTTGGTGGTTCGCGCGCGCCAGCTGCGCCCCCACGCAATACCGCCCGCGAGTACCACGCGTACCGCGACCTATCTGCTCCACGGATAGGGCGGGGCCGCCGGGTGCGTCGTCGCGCGTCCGAGCTGCCCATGGCGACGCAGGCAAGAAGCTTGCGCACGCTATGGCTGATGCCGCAAGCTTGATCGACACCAGCACGCACGGCGCGCGGCGAGGGCTGGCAACGCACCGTTCCTCCAGCTCCCGCCAGCTGCACGGCATATTGCCGCGTCTGCGCCCCGGCCTCCGCCATCCCGCCAAGCTGAGCAGAGCGCCTCTCTCTCTTTGCGTGCTCGACGGCGCCGGTCAGTCCTCGCGCGATGTTTCGTCGCCGCGGTGATCACCGCTTCTGGGCGCGTGCGTCGCGGGAGCGCGGCGATGCCCTGCAGGCCGGGAGGTCCGCCCGCGCCGTGTCATGGTGGTGTCTCAGGCCAGGTCCGCCCGTCCGTGCCCGGCACGTGTTGCACGAGCTCGGCCGCCTAAGGCGCACTTGGCCGAGGGACCGCCACAGTGACAAAACCTGGGTGTTTGCTACTGGACTGGGAGCAGGGAGGACAAGGACTCGACACACAAGGGGATCGGTAGGGTACTGCAGTTCAGTGTGCTCAGCGTTCGCGGGGAACACGATCCACCAGCAACGGCCTATCACTCTCTTTCGGGACCTGGGTGCGTCTGAAAAGCAGCATGGGCGCGTTTGCGTCCTTCCCGATGTCCCAGGGCATCCACGGCATGGATCCTCCGCTGTCCAACACGTGGGTGGGCAAGAAACTCCAAGGCATGTTTTCCCGACTGCATCGTTTCCACGTTCGCGTGCACCAAGCGATGCACTGCCTGAAACACTTGGGCGTGCGCGCGGGGCCACACGAGGCCTCCGTGCTTGTCCCACGCCGTCTGCGCAGAGTTGCGGCAGAAAGGCCTCGACGCTCGATATGAGATGGAAGCTCAGTACCCCAAGGATGTGTTGGAGGAGCTTGAAGAATCGAATCGTCGAGTAAAGATGCAATGGACGCCACTCATAGCAGGCTCCCTAGCTATCACCGTCGGTAAGGCGCCAGTCGCGATGAAGCGACCTCGATGCGCGGCGTTTCAGGACCCAGAGCATCCACCGAGAGCCTCTGTGCATGAGGTTTCACGTTCAGTGCTGTCGCGGCCCTCGATTTGACGATCAGCCCCCCCACGCTTCGCCATGGCTGGAACGCGAGCTGCAGGCTGTCTCGTCATGGCGGGCCGCGTGTCGCGAAGTCCCAGTATGGCCGCCTCCGTGCCAGGGAAGACCTTCTTGCGTTGGCGCTTGATTGGGCAGTGGTCTTGTTTTGCAATCATCACGGCATCGTGGTTCGACATGCGAGGGAAGGGCAACGAGGTGCGGCCAGATGCATGAGCCCGGTCGCCCGCGAGCTGGTCGCCGCAGTCGGTTATCCGGATCTGACGGCTTTCTCGTGCGGGGAGTTTGCGCTGCAGATTCTGCAGCGCGCTGTGGATGAAGGCCGGATGAAGCTAGATCGCGACAGCCTTCCGCATCGGAATGATCCGTCGGATTCAGACGGCTTGCAGTGAGGCGAGCCGAGGTGTCGGATGTTTCGCACCGTCGGCCGTGAGCCATCGTTTGCGTACGGACCAGAGGTAGTCAACGCACACGTCATCCCCCCACTGTTGTGGGAGCGGCAGAGCCGGCGGCTGTGACACCATATCCTGCGCTCCGTCCTGGGGCGCGACATGACAAACCTCGACGACGTCCCGGAATGCTTCGGGGACACTCTAAAGCTAACGCGCGCGCCCCCCATCAGCGCGTGCACTTGAACATGCATCCAGCGGGCGGAGGCGGTGTAAAACAGCCCAGGCTCCGGTCGCGTTACAATGTGGAGTGCTCTCCGATATTTGAACAGCTTCATCCGTGCACTACGCGATGAAACTGTTATAGAGTTCCTGCTGGTACTTGCGACATGCGTTCGCAGCGCCATCATCGCCTCTGAGGGCTTTCGAAACGTTTACTGCAAAATCCAGCAGGGGCCGAGCTTCGTGCGGGGGCATTCGTTTGGCCACCACCCTGATCAGGCTGCTGGTGGCACGGGACGGCAGGAGAAGTGCCTGCCCAAGTGTGCAAAGTGCGAGGATCGAGACAGCTGCGGCCAGCACCTGCGCCAACGGTGCGGCTCCCTGCGCCAGTACCGCCAGCTGCTGCCGTCTGAAGTCCTGCATCGAAGCCGTCAGGACGAAAGACGGGTCAGACGCAAGATCCGTCGTGGTCTAGTCACTCGAACTGTCGCCGCGGGCCCGCACTGGCGCCAACATTCATCGACCGGCGCGGACACTGCACGGGCGACGGGCCTCTGCCTGTTTCATGTCGTCTGCTGCGCGAACACCTCGGGAGGATCCAGTGGCGGTATCAAGCAGTACATCCATCGCGGTCGCGACAACACGGACGCGCGACGCGAAAGCATCGCTATCTCCCACGCGAGAAGACAGGAGGTCGTGAAGTTCTGTCGGGACGGGGCGAGCCGCGTGCTGCGCCATCGTTCGAAGGACCTCCTCGCAGGAAGTCCTTTCCTGCGAGGAGAGAAGTCACTGTGTCCACTTGCCGATCCCTGAACGGCGCACGCGTGACTCATCGCTTGCAGCGACGCGGTATAGTGCATGGAAACGCAAATCCACATGGCGACAGCCGGCCTGGGCAGCAGCTCGGTGTGTGGGAGACCTGCGGATCTGTCATGGATGTGAAGCGCTCCAGCCTTCCTTCTCCGCACAACCTATCCCGATCCGTGGCACCAAGAGTCCAGAGTATCCCAAGCGACGCGGCAATGCCTTCGGCTTTGGTCTGCAGCAGATGGTCTTCGAGTGCCGCTCGCAGATCTTGAGGTAGGTCCGCAGCCATGAGCCCCTCGAGATGAAACACGAAAGTTGCCCACAGTCCTTGAATCTTCTCGCACAACGCTCCTCGCTGCTTGCCCACGGCCTTTGCGTGGTCCCTCAGCTCCTGGAGGCGCTGCTCAAACCTCGCCACGACGTCCACTGCCAAGTCGGAGACCAGGCCGCGCACCGCGCTCCGGGCGAGCGTCCGCAAAGCGGGCCACTCTTCGAGCAACCGGCGTTCCACCCAAGCGTCATTCACCGCTTCCGCAGGTGGTGCGGTCGGCACAGGATTGTCTTTTGTGACAGGCCTGCAGGACGGTGCGCTGCCATCCACGTCCCCGGAACGAGGCGTCTGTGTGCGAGAGTCTCTCATCACGAGATCGGCCGCCGTTCGCGCTTCCTGGAGGAGGCGGCTGCGGTGTTGCTCCAGCTTGACGCGGCTGACAACCACACACGACCCGGTGACAAGTACTCCGTCTCCAGGCGATTCGCGTGCTCGCCAGAGATCGATCGCACATCGCAGATCCTCGGGGGATAAATAACTGCACACGGCCAGGCATGAAAGGTTGAGGCTGGAATTTTGGGCAGCTGGAATTTTGAACAAGGCGCGTGCAGACGATTGCGCGTACACCGCCGTCCCACCGTGCCATGCTCACCTTGGGAGCATGGCCGCAATGTCCGCGCATCCGTGTTGTTCGAGGTCGTCGCTCAGCCCCTCGAACGCTGCATGCAGCTGTGTGTCGTGGATGGAGGCGTGGCGGAGCCGCACGCCCTCGGATGTCTGATTCGTAGCTGCTGCACTGACGATGTCCCTGAGCAGCGAAGCCCAGACCTTGGGCGTGTAGACGTGTTCGGCGAGACTGCCTGCGACATCGCCCCGCCGCACCAACTCGGTCGCGATCCGGCCGGTGGGATCCACTTTGCTGTGTCGCCTCGTCGGGCGAAGACAGCCCCGCAGCGCACCACGGACCCGCGCTTCTTGGCCTTGACGGTGCGCATCAGAGTACACCCACCCGTCCCGCACACTCAGCTGCACCTGCTGCTCCAGCAGCGTCATCGTCAGGCCGACGGTCAGCTTCAGCTTCGCGCACACCGTCGGCACTGGTATCGCGCCGCCTCTCAGGTGAAGGAAGTGGCGCGCCTCGCGCCCAAGCCTCTCCCATGCTGCCTGCAAAGAAACACACTGAGATAACGAGTCCAGACCCGGGCGAGGACTCGCGGTGCGGGCGCGCGTGTGTCCCGAAAGCGGACGCTACGCACCATGCAGACCCAAGTGGATCGGGACGGGCCCGGCGGCTGCCCACGTGCACCAGGTGGTGTTTCTTTTTGCCGGCGTCGCACAGCTACCGCGAATCCGGTGTTCAACGTGATCGGCACCTGCGTGATCAGTTCTCCACCGTTCTCGATGAGCTGCGTCCCCTCTCGCCCGATCTGGTCGACTGCTCGCAGCACCGCGTCTCTGTCAAGCTCCAAACTATCTGCTATCTCATCCACGCTGCAACGTCCTCCGGCACGCTCCGCGGCGACCAGAACTTCCTCCCTGCATGTCGTACGTCGGGGTGCCGCAGCTCGGCTTGACGGAGCAGTGTACCCCTGGAAAGGTTGGTGGCAACACGAGCGCACACCTGAGGTGCGCCTCTGTGACAATGATGCGCCCACGCCCGATCACGACCGATGGCAGCAGATCGAGGGACTTCAAGACCGCGACGAGGTCAGCCGCTGCCCGCTCACTGAGAGCAAGCGCGGCGTGCGTTGGTTCATGCTGCACCGCCTGAAGGTCCCGCAGCAGCGCCTCGACGCTGCGCTGCATCTCGCCACGTGTATGATGGCCGCGATGAGACGGGTGTACGGTGCATTAGCCCGGCATTGATCACGAGGCGTCTGGCGCGCCGCTGATGCTGTCGAGTACAGACGAGTCTGCTGGTCAAGCATCAAGGGGTCCCCGCTCGCCGCGTCGGGAAACCTTGCACTCTCGCTGCCTCAAAGGCTTTCGGCCGCATTGCGTCTGCGCGGGTGCTCCACCGCCTGTTGAGGTCGAGCAGCCGAGGCCGGGAGGGTACTTTTCCTCAGAGCCCTGGAGTGCTGCCTCACGCCCGCGACTGTGCCGCGCGGCGCCATTGGCGCGGCCCCGCACGGCCGCGGTCAGCGATAGAGCACAGTTCGCAGGTCGCGGTGATTGGCGGCTGCAGGGCGGGTGGGCCGTTGGTCCGATTCCCACACAGGAGTTGTCTCTGGCCTGGCATCTCCGGGAGCTCAGCGACCTCCGCGCCAGCACGCACATGGGAGCGTAGGCGACATGGCGTTCGTATACCGGACAGGCAGGGAGCTGGGGGAGCCGCGCACGGCGGGCGACGCCGGGCCCGGCTCCTATGACCTGGTGTCGCCTCCAGTGCCTGCACGGACTTCTCCCGCACCCTTCGGGTCGAGGCGACCGAAGTCGTCCATCCTGTTGAAGACCAGTCTTCCAGGTGCGGCACAACGTTACGTGCTCGCCGAGCGCTCGACGCCGAGCGGCCTCGCCCGAGGAACCGGCGGCGCTGGCCTGTCGACGACGCGCGCAACTTGTTCTGACGATCGTCACGGACTGCTGCGCACCGGCCCGCCGACCGACGTGCTGTCGCTGCAATCGCACGCCTTGTTGCGACCAGCGAGCGGACCTCGGCTCCCCTGCGTGGGCTCCTGGCACCCAGCAGCCACATGCACGCCGCAGCCCCGCCTACAGTAGCGCCCGCGGGGCCCACCCCGCCCGGCCGCGGATTCCTTACCCTGGTAACTGCGAGGTTTTGACAGTGTGGCGGCCGAAAGGGCGTGGCTGTACCCGTCGGGGCGTGCTATTGCACATGCCAAGCTCGGTCCCTTGCAGTCACCCCGCCGACGCGAAACCAGGCTCCCTTGCCGCACTCTTTCGGGCAATCCTGATTGTTGCGTGCCCCCCAGCCGCGCGTTCCGTCCCGCGAAGTCTCTGGGCCGCACGAGCACGCCCGCGCTGGGCTGCACGCTGGCAACCAACCAACGCGCTCGTGCGTTGCTCCGCAGGTCCCGGAACGTACGACTCGGCGGAGAAGATCGCCCGGGCGAACTGGAAGACTGACAAGCGGCCCACGTCGGGCGTGGCCAGCAGCGCGTTCCGCAGCGAGACGGTGCGGCTGGTGGCACATGAGCGCAACGTGGACATGCCAGGGTGAGCTCACGACGCCCGGCCGCCGGCAGCGCTTGCACGTCGCACGCCGTGCGTCCGCAGCGTCACCGCCCACGCGGCACCGAGCGCGCAGGCCCGGCACGTACAAGGACGGAGACGGCTGGATCAAGAAGTCGCACCGGTACGACCCGACGGTGCTCGGGCCGGAGTTCCAGTCGTCGGGGCGGGCGGACGTGACCGGCGGCCAGAGCAGTCCGCGGCGCGTGGACTTCACGAAGCGCGCGCCCGTGCCGAGTGTGCCGGACCGCTTCAGGAGCTATGGGTACGAGGAGGACGAGTACGGCAACCTCGTCGCGCAGGTGCGGGCCGATCGCGGCGCTCCCACCGCCTGGAAGCGAGGGCATCTCGCACCGTGGCGCGTCCATTGTTCGGTGCGCTGGCGACACACGCGAGTCCCCACCCCCCTGTGTGCGTCCAGATCCCCGAGGGACTCATGACCGGTACGGGGGTTGACCGGCCAGGACCCACGAGCTATAGACCGAAAGTTGACGTTCTCAAGACGAAGAAAACAACGGACTTTGGGAAGGCTCGTAACGACAGAAGTTTGTTCAAACCACAGACGACCCCAGGGCCGGGCGCCTACGACGGAGCGGAACCCGACCCCGACGTCCAGGCAGTCGTGCCTGCGATGCGGCTGAAGGGATGGGAGCGGCATAACGCGTCGGTGGAGGTGGGTGCCCCTGAACCCTGTCGTCGTCCCTGCCCAGGGGCACAGCCAACCGCGCGCCTCACGTCACTAGCGCCGCGGATAGCTGCAGGCAATCAAGGGGACACACATGTTCCGCTCGTCGATCGACCGGTTCCACCGCTCCACGACGGCTGCGCCGCCCTCCACGGCGTACAACCCCAAACTGACCGACGGCTACACCTCCAAGCGCGTGGCTGCGTTCCTGACCACGGGGGCGAGACCTTACCAGAAGTGAGTCGGATGGTTGTCCTGCGCGCGGCCCTGCGACGCGATGAGGTCGTCGACGGCGTTCGCTGACACGCTGTGTTGTCACGCCCGCAGGGATGCCACCAAACTTCGAGGAGGCCCAACGAACATGAAGAACCCAGGCCCTGGAACATATAACTACAAGTCTGGCATGGCCCGTGACAAGCGGCAAGCGTTCACCTCTACCGTCCCAAGGTGCGCTCCGCACAGCAATCTTTCCGCCAATTGACTCCCTCTGGCCTGACGCAGCCCACGTAGTGCGCACCCGGGTGTCCATGCGTTGAGCGTGCAGGTTTGCGCCAGGGCGAGTCACAAGCCCCGGGCCGGGCACCTACGAGAACGCGGAGACCACGTCGCTGGCACACAAGGTGCAAAGCAAGGTCGGGAGCATCGCGTCAGACTTCTGCACCAAGGGACAGCGCTTTGGCTCGAGCCACTTCCTGGTGCAAGGCGCATCGCGGAGTCCAGGGCCAGGGAGGTATGACTTGGACATCCCCATACTCGTGCAAACCTACAAGACACAAACGAAGCCCAGCAGTGCGTTCCACAGTCAAGTTGACAGGTTCAAGAGCGATCACGAGGTAGGGACGCATGTGCCGAGCGCTCGCTCGTGGCGACGAGGTCCGTTCGCTGAGGCCGTTGCGAGGCTCACGGCGCGGACGTGGCGTGCGCTCCCGCAGGTGTTGTACATCAAGGACGAGCGCTCGGGCCTGGAGGTCGAGTACAAGAAGCCGACGCCGCACCCCGCCACCTACTCGTTGCCGGACCAGTGGACCAAGGTCGCGAAGAGGAACCCCGTGAAGGGACGGCCAGACGACCACTTCCTGTGCTCCTCGCAAAGGTTCCCCGCGAACGAGCTGACCGCCGGACAGAAAATCAGCCGGGTGCCGGGACCGGGCGAGTACGACCCGCGCAGCGCCGTCACGAGGACGATGAGCCCCACCGGGCGCGGCTTCGGCGTGGGCGAGCGGCTGAAGACGAAGGATGCGCCGGGGCCAGGCCCGGCGGCATACAACACCCGCAAGCGCGGCAGCATGATCACGAAGAGTTTCAATGTCACGTACGACTAGAACTGATAGTATGGCGAGGATCGTGCGCTGTGATCTGACCGGGTCGCTTTGATGCAAGTGTCATTTGATGACCACCACGCTCAGCGATACATGCTCAACAACCACCTCTGCTGCTGGGCGCCGACATCAAGCGGCTCTACACGCACATCCGGCACGAGACGAGCGCGGACCACGGGACCGGCCTCATCGACTGCGTCATCGAACACATCGACGCTGTTTTTGCACTGCATCCAGGGCAACACCTCCTGATCGACTTGCAACCCGCGTTTGACGCGAGGGAGACGTGGTGGTGGGTGGCGCAGCTGCCGGACGCGGACGGCATGGTTGGGAAATGGGCACCGAGCATCGAGCAACTTCATGGTCTCGTGCACATCCTCGTCAAACGCGCCTACGTGGTGTTCGGGGGCGTCGTATATCACCAGACCTGCGGTGTGCCCATGGGGCTCTCGGCCTCCCCCCACCTCGCGAACTGCTACATGTTCCGGCATGAGCTCGCGTTCCTCTGCCAGTTTCGCGACCGCTGGTTGAGCACTGGCGACGTCGCTTGGCTGAAGGTCTTGGGGTCTTTCCGTTATTCCAGGCGCTACATCGACGACAATTTCTCTCTCGCGAACGCACTGTACCGCTACTTCAACACCCACCCCCGCCCCCCCACCCCGCCCCCCGAAACCCCGTCGTCGATCGTAGATCTCATCTCTGGTATACATAACATGTACCCCCCCTGTCTTGAGGTCGAATTTGACGCCCCAGCGAACCCGCTCGACGGTGTCTCCTTCCTAGACCTCCGCGTGCGTCCGCATCCCGAATATCAGGGCTTCCTCCTGATCTCGCACTATGACAAACGCGGTCTGTTTCCTGAGAACATTCACCTCATACAGTACCCCCACGCTTCGTGTGCGCTGCTGCGACGACACCTTTACAACATCGTCCGCACCGAACACATCCGCGTGTCCAGCGAGGTGACTGACCGCGACAGCTACGTAGCCAAGATGTCGGCCATGATGCGCTGCATGCGTGCGCATCGAGGTTACTGCATGCGACAGGTCCTGGCGATCCACCGCGCCGCCTGCCGGACGCACCCGAGCCCGCATTTTGGCCCTGCCACGCCGGCGGGCCTGGCTGACCTCGTGCGTCGCCACGTGCAGTTTGCAGACCATACTGGCCAACCTGCTGACAGGGCGTGCCCGGCGCCCTGCAACTCGTCACCCTCATACATGATCCCGGCGTTGCGAAGCTGGCTCGGAACTATCCAGCCATGCCCGCACACATGACGCACTCTGTTACCCCCCCGATGTTGACATGTTGGCCATGCGCGTATTCCGTGGCCGCTAGACCGAGGTATGATCCCTTTTCGCATGACAGGCCACGCGCGGGGACGGCGATGACGAGGAGAGCTGAGTAGCCGTCGGCGCGTCGCCACACAACGCGGACAATGCCGCAGACTCAGTCACCGCTGTCACCCAGCCGGCTGCCGACACCCCCTGGTACAAGCAGCCTAGGACGTGGACCAGCACTTCGGCGCGTCGGCTGGCGGGCGTCGTCCAGTACTCGCGCGGCTCGCCGCGTTGTTGCTGATGACGCCCGCCACTCACTCTAACTGATTGCAGGTCAGAGCCTTCCCTTGGCACATGATGGCACGCTCACATGGCATTTCGCGCGAGTACTCCTAGCACGCTGCCGCCTTGATCAGGACGATAGCACACCCGCATTTCGTTTCGTGCGCGGGTGGTCAATTACTACTCTATGCAAGTGTCATTTGATGCACGAACTGGTGTTATCGACGCTGGTTCCTCGCCCCTCGAATCCTGACGCGTTCGAGATAGGATGCCATGCGATTCGGCTGCGTCATCGCACAGACCGTCTGGGCTCCCGTGACGGGGTGCGTGCTGACAGATGTGGGGTGTCAATGCTCACTGGCGGGCGCAATACGTCCGCGCAGCGCGCGTCACGGCCGCGTTCGCATGCGACTGCTGTGAAAGATCGCATCATGGGGTCGCACGCGATCTTCCAGCCCGCCCACGGCGCAGCGGGGCACGAGCAGGGATCACACAAACTGTCGCGCAGGATACCCTGCCTGCGCGTGTCTGCCAGTAGGACCGGCGTGTCGAGATCTCTGAGTCAACAGCGTACTAGCGCGGCCGGGGAGTGGTCTCACAGCGGGCGACAAGAGCGGCACGGCGCCCGCAGCATAGGGAGGTGGCGGTTTCGGTCCGCCGAGAGCGGGTCGCCGGACGCTGGTGGTGCCGATGTCGCTGAGAGTGCAGCATCTCTCAGCGCACGCGCGATCATCATCCGCATGTTCGGCCAGCTGCGAGATGCGCTCGTCCCGTTGATGATCTGTGTATTGTCTGGTGCGCTCCCGGCCTCCCTGCCGGATCAGGACCAGCATGAGTGACCCCACGCGCTCACTTAGATCGCAATGACACGGCAGGCTCTCAACATCCGTGGCCTGGCCTCAAGCGCGGCTCTGACAGGGTCGCCCCGTTGCTGCCTGCTGCAGGTGATGCTGTGCTCTGGCTGTTTCACCGCGTATGCCATCGGATCACCAACGAGGTTGCAATTTCAACTGGGATGCTGACGAGGAACGTGCTGGAGAACGCGTGGTGGCTGTCGTCGGACCCGAACATCAACACTGGCAACCCGGGTGCGACAGCACACGTGCCCCCCTGCAGGGCACCGCAGCGACGCCGTCCCCGAACGTCGCTGTCTGCCTGCCACCGTCTCCGCCGACCCCGGCGGCTGCACCCGCGCACCCACGCAGGCTACCAAGCTCTTGGTGTGTTGTTCTTCCTGCTCATTGCCTTCCCGGTCGGGATGGCCCTCAAGTCCGCCGCGACGGCGCTGGCGCTCCGCACGCTGGACGCCCGCGCGAGTGAGGGGTCGGGCGTGGACGTTGCGGCTGGGGAGGGGGAAGAAGAAGACCCTGTCAAGGTTGGGTGGGTTGACCGCATCAAGCAGGCCGTCGCTGAGCTGCGCGGACACTGGCCGGGCGTGCGGGCTGCGTGGAAGCGGCTGTTCGCGGTCGAGGTGGCACTGACGCTGAGGATGCTGCCGCTGCAGGTGAGGCGTGTCTGCCGCAGGTCGTCGGACGTTTCGGCGGACCAGCGCGTCTCACACACATGCTTGCCACATCTCGCGCTGCGCAGGCACTGTCCCTCCTGCTGGTGACGCTCCCCTTCACCCTCCCGCGCATTGCGAACCTGGTGATGTCGCACCCAATCGCCGTCTTGGAGGAAGCAGACGCGAAGCAGACGCTGGAGCGCTCCCGCCAGCTGGCGGAGGGACGCAGACGCGTGGTGCTGTTGCCGCTGCTTGCGCCGCTGGTGGCAGGTGAGCCGTTGCAGGCACAGCACGCGCGAAACACCAAGCATCGTCATCAGTGCACTTGGACCGATGCGTATGTCGATCGTTTCACGCTGTGGGCCCAGCCGACTGTCGCCGCAGGGAAGCTGATCGAGGTAGCAGCGGGGCTGCTGATGTCTGCGAGCATCACGTTCTTCGTCGTTCGCGGCGTCGCGGAGATCCCAGTGGCCTTCTACTCAGCACTCTCCTTGCTCGGTGTCGTCATGAAGGTGGCGCAGGAGGTGGCGCCGTACACGGTGTACAAGCAGATCACCGAAGCAGCGCCAGCAGGTGGCGCGTTGTGACCGTTCCGCTGGTCACTGAGCGCTCAGAGCTGTCCTGTCGTCGAGGCGCCATGCCCGCGAGCCTGGTTCTTCTTCCCTCCCACATCGGAATGCCCGGGGGCGCAGCGGCACGGAGCAGGGCGCATGCATCCCCACGAACGTCTTGCTGAAGAAGTTCGTCCTTTCTGGCCTGCATCCTCGCTGCCGGTCCGACCGGGCCGAGACTGTCCGACTGTCAGCGAAACGGTCGGCGGGCGGGCCGCACTTTGCCGCAGCACATGCGTCCCTGCTGCGAGAGCACGTCGTGCCACTTCGACGGCGCGTGCTTGGCGGAACTTGCAAGCAGGATGCGCGCCTTTTTTGCATGCACATGAGGAGCAACCACGTTCAGTTCCCGCCGATTTACGGCCCGCCGATTCACGGCCCGAGCACCAGTCACAGCCTCTTTCGGGCAAAGTAGAAGCTGTCGCGGATGGGCCGGACCGAGAGGGGCGAGCGGGGCGAGAGGGACCGGCCCGGAAGGCAGCGCGCTATCACCGAGCTCAAGGGCATCGTGAAGGGCGCCATCAATCCGAACAACATCCGTCGGGCAGACATCGTCGCGTTGATGGAACAGCTTGCGAATGACGATGCCGTGCAGCAGAGGGCGGCACTGCGCGTCCTTGCAGCGGCACGAATCAGTCACACGCAGCTGGTCGAGACCCAGGTCGGCAAGGCCGTGAAACGGCTGGGCAAGAACAACAGGTTCGTCTCTGAACGCAAGAGTAGACGTGCGTAGTGCCAGCTGCGTATGTGTTCGCAACGAGCGGCTTGTCCGTGCGTGCAGCGACCCGGACGTCGCCAGTGCAGCTCAAGCACTTGTGGAAAAATGGAAAGCGATCGTTCTCGGTGGGCCTGCGATGCACACCATGGGAAATAGGATGGACTGGCGCCAGAAGCAGAGTGACAAGCGCGCCAGGAAGGAGCCGAAGAACGCCTTTGAGCTCTTGAAACCACGATGAGCGCTGCACGTGCCCGTGCACTCAAGGCCAGGCGCGGGGCGCATCGCTAGCAGCAGTGATACACATAGGGCGTGCAAGCGTGCTCCACGCGCCTCGGTGCGCGGCCAGGCCACGTATGCATGACCACAACACAGAAGATCTTTCCCTCATATATTATTATGATCCGCAAGGAAACGGAGCCGCTTGTGCGTCTCGGTTCGCTCACTGCTGCATAGTGCATCGTGTGGTGCGCATAGCTGCACAGATCGGTGTGAAGGAAGCATCACATCACGTGAGCAGGTGGCAAGCAGAGCTCCTCGTTGACCCGCGAAGAGAGGTACTGTGCGAGGAGGTTGCGCAGCTCGTCGTTCTGCGCCTGCAGGCTGTCGACTTCCTCCAGCCTCGACTGGCGGTGTTTGAGCATCTTCAGGTACCCCTGCAGCTTGCGCTCCAGAGCAGCCCAGACGCGAACGCCGCGCTCGCTGACCACGTTGGTCATGTTGTTCCAGTACAGCCGCTCCTTCTCCATCATGCGCTTCGTCATCACCGAAACCTGCACCCACAAGGCAACGAACCAAGCACGGTCGCAACGCAGCGCTCACGGCGTCCAAGCGAGTGAGCCACGCTCGTCCACCGCCACGCCTCGATGCAGCGGCGCTCACCTTCGACGCCGCGCCCGGCTTGGACTTGACGGAGCGGGCCTGGTTGCCCTCCTGTTCCACAAACACCTTGAGCCGCTGCACCACCTCGTCGCGCGGAACCCACTCCTCCAACTGCGACGGACAGACCACGGCGCGGACAAGAGCGTGGGACACAGCCGTGCGGCGGGCAAGGGCGCCACTCGCTGGGCGAGACGTCCAGCCGTCGCTGCTGCAGTGGGCCGCACCTCCTCATCGTCCTTCTGGTGGGCGGTCGTCGACGGCGACGCCGAGTGCTCGGACTTCTGGCTCTCCTTGGGGACCAGGCGCGAGGCTCCAGACTTGCTGTGCAGGCCGCGCCCGCGCCCCTTGAGCGAGAGGTGCTCCACGAGGGCGTCGAGCGTCTCCACGTCCTGCACGCCGAGCGCGTTCAGGACGGCGTCGACCGCGACGCGCCCCTGCTCGTCCGCGGGCAGCGTGTTGAGGAGGGCCTTCGCGCGCGCTTCGATCAGGAAGCCCGCTTCGTCCAGGAGGAGGGAGAGCAGCCCCATGTACTTGCGCTCCTGCAGCCGCTCCTGCAGCTTCTGCCGCGCAGCGCTCTCCGCGCCCTCGCCCTCTCCGTCCGCCTGCGTCACGGGGCGCGGCGGCCGTGTGCGGCTCAGCGGCAGGAATCGCCGCGGCGCACGCGTTCGAACGACGCGTCGCAGAGCACCAGGCAGGCTCGGCCGGAGCGAGACGCCCGCGTACCTCGGTTGCGAGGGTCTGCATGTCCTTCTCGATCTGCTCCCACGGGCTCTGGAAGGTGTTCTCGTGCGGGGGCCGCCAGCCCCACCCGAGCAGCTGCTCGTGGATGGTCTTGTCCGCGCGCAGCACGCGCTGCACCAGCTCCGCGACGACCTCGTCGTTCACGGCCCACACCTCCTGGTAGATCTTCAGGTCCGACTCCTCGAAGTGCCGGAACTTGGACTGCAAGACGCGCGAGGCACAAACCAACTCGTCTTCCCTGCAAGATGCAGCACTGCCGCTGAAAGGCGTCGATGGGAGCGGGAGTGCGCGGCCTCGCTCGCTCGCGCGGGCCGTGCCCCCGGCGCGCACCTGCAGGTCCTTGAACAGCTCCGTGACGCGCTTGTACTCCTCCGTCAGGCGCATGTTCTCCTCCTGGTACTTGCGGTCCAGCTCGTGGTACCGCGCCTTCAGCGTGCTCAGGATGTCGCGCTGCCGGGCGATCTTCCGCTTCTGCTTGTTGATCGTGTTCTTGTTCTCGTGATCACTGCGGGGGGCGCGCAACGCCGCGGGCCGTCGTCGGCATGCCCGACTTGCATGTGCGTGCACCACGCGATGCAGGCCCTGGCGGCACTCACCGCTCGACGAGGACCCGGTAGTTGTACTCGAGCTTCTCGTTGTTGAGCTGATAGGTCGCGCGCATGGCCTCGAGGTGCTGCTCCTGGATCTGAATGAGGCCCTCCCGGTTGACCTTCAGCTTGTTGTAGTCCTCCGCGTCCTGCACGCGCGCTCCCGCATCGACGGTGCAGGTCGGAGGCGGAACATGCGCACGCGGCACGTGGGGTCGTTCGCGGGCCACGTGCTCACCTTGACCATCAGGTCGTCCAGTGCCTTGTGGTACTGCTCCGCCAGCTCCCTGGTGCGCTCCTGGAACTGCTGCTCGCTGTTGAACCTCTTGTCCATCAACGCGGAGATCTCCTGCTTGTTCGCCGCCAGAAGCTCCTCCTGCAGGGGGGAGCAGTGCCAGACCACGCGCCCATGTCATGTCATGCCGTGCGACAGGGCTTCTGCAGGGCGGCACGGTTCGCTAGCGCCCGTGCGCGCACCTGTTCGAGCAGGAACGCGTCCTCGATCTGCTGCAGCTCGTGGGAGTACGCGGCCTGCGTCTCCCGGTGCTGGGCAGCCATGGCGGTCAGCAGGGTGTCCATCTCGTCCTGGTGGCGCTTGAGGAGCCGCGTGAAGTCCTCGTGCTTGGAGGCCAGCTCGCCGCGCAGGTCGTCCACCAGCTTGTCCTTCGACTCGACGATCTTGGCACACGCCTCCCTCTGCTGCTGGATGGCCTTCCACAGGTCCTGCGAACCGGTCGAGGGGGCGCGGGGGGCGCTCAGCGCGTGCGGGGGCGCCACCCGGGCCGCGCGCGTCGCGCCGTCGCTGTCGCTGCGGGAGTCCACGCCGCCGGGGCGTCGTGCACTTGCCTGAGGGACCTCAATCGAGAACAGCTCGCTCCAGTGAGACGCGACCTGCGCGTTGTTCGCCGCGCTCTGCTCCGCTTCCACCAGCATGTCCTTCCGCAGCTCCTTGCGCCGCTCCTCCTCGGTCTCCCTCCGTTGACGCTCCTTCTGCAGCGCCGTGACCTTCACCTGCGTCACCGCGACGTCCGTCCGCGTCCGCAACGCCGTCAGGCGCTTCCGTGACTCGATGACCTGCATCCAACCGTATCACGGTGCGTCCCGCTCGCACGCCGGCTCTCACGCACGAACGCGGGCACCGCGCAGCAGCACATGCATGTACCCCTGGCTCCTCTGGCGATGCAGCGCTCTCGTGCCGCGACGCCGCCATGCGCAGCTTCAACCACGCAGCAGGAACAGGCCCGGCCCATCCGGCGTCGACCTCTCTCCTCGCCCAAGCGCGGGGCGGTCGCGCACTCACCTGCTGCTTCCCACGCCCGATTTTCCGCTCCTTGCGCGCCTCCATCGCCTCGTTCCCTTCCTCCTGCGCCCGCATAGCCGCCACCTTCTCCTCCACTCGCTGCCTACGCAGCAGGATGCGCTGCTCCCTGCACGCGCCAGGCCAGGAACGGTGCACGGTCTCGAGGCAGCAACGCTCGCCCTGCCGCGCTCCCTCGCGCACCCATGTCGCGAGCGCGCACGGCGGTCCATTGTACGGGCGACAGTCGTCGATCGCGGGGCCGGGCACCGGCCAACGCGCATGCGGGGCGGGCGAGACTTGCTCGTGCATGTGCAGGCACAACTCATGCGGGCGTGCAGTCCAGCACAGGCGCCCACCTCCCCGCATTTCCCTCCAGCGGCTCTTCCATGGTGGCAGAACCACCTACGCGAGCACCGAGGCCCCTCCGCCCTGTCCGCGCGCTCCTCCTCGCAGCGAGGGCTTGCCGGAGCTCCTTGGCTGGTGCGCCGGACTCCTACCGCGACCTTGCTCGGACAAGGGAAAGTGCACGCCGGCACCGGCCGCCAGGGACCATGGCGAGCGTCGCAGGGCCGAGCGGCACCGTGTCACGTGGGGGGGTCCCTGCGTGGAGCAACGCTTGTGTCGTGGCGTCGTGCTCAGCTGACGAGTCCCCCTGGCGGGACGGGGCGCGGGGCTCGCTCTGCTGCTCCCCATGGCCCGCCCCTGGACGCTACGGTGGCCACTCCACCCGTGCAGGTAACCCCGGCGTGTCGCGCGAAGGTGCAGCACGCTGTATAGGTCGCCTGGGCGTTGCAGGGAATTCCCCGCTGCCGCCGCCGCCAGGTGCGCTCCGTGCGAGTTTGTCCGTGCAGCGCCTGGCCGACCAGTTTCCCTGATCGCATGCGGCCGTGCTCGGGCGGCGCGGGCTCGCTCGTGCGCGGTCCTGATGCTGATGAGCACATCACACCGCGAGCCTTTCGCGCTCCGCGGCACGCACCCCAGCGGCCGCACACCGCCTCCACGCTCCTTGACACGCGTCGCCTTGCGCGGCACGCGTGACCACATCGCGCCCTCACAGGGCGCCCTTGCCCTGCCACAGTCGCAGACAGGCGCACGCTGGCGAGCCGCCGTGACTGAGAGACGAGGTTCCCCACCCGCTGCGTTGGCCGAATACGCCTAATTCACCGCCAAAATACGACGAAGGGCGCGCTTGCGAGCCGCACCGCGAAGCGTCGCGCCCTGGCCCCAGCACCCAGCTCTCCGCGGCCCGGCTGCACATCTGAGCTGCCCGGGAGCCGTTCGGGCGTGTCGACAGCCGCGACAGCCCTCGGGTTGACGAACATACCTCTGGGACCGTGGGGCATCCCTTCAAGGGCTGCGGGGCCAAGCGCCAGCACAGCAGGGGCTTCGCCCACAGCAATAGCGCAGCGCAGCAGACATGAGCGGGTGGGTCGTCGGCGCAGCTATCAACCTGCTAGGGTCCGTCATGATCAACTTCGGGACCAACATGATGAAGCTGGGGCACAACAAGCGTGCCGAGCAGGTGAGAGCTCGACAGCAACTGACATTGCGCACCGGGCACGCACGACAGGCCAGAAACCGCCGTGGATGCTTCCGACGGTTTGTCAATGCCGCAAGTTCGTGCGGTTCGCGCAGATGGCTGCTGGGGAGACGCCGAAGGGGAAGAACAAGCACTGGCTGATTGGCGTGAGCGTGTTTGCAGTGGGCAACGTGCTGAATTTCGTCTCGTTCGGATTCGCGGCCCAGTCGCTCCTCGCAGGTATGCATCGTTGCACGCCGTTCCAGGGGTGCCCTGCGCCTGGGACGCCCTCCACGTGCGCGGAACGCTGCACGGGCCTGGTGGGAAGCAGTCCTCTCCCCGCACACGGCGGCACCGGCGGCTGTCGGCGGGGACGCTCCCCCTCGGCGCACACGCGTGAGACCGGGGAGGCGTCTCTTGCTGGCTTTCGCGCGCGCTTCTTGACCCGCGCTGGCTTGTCTGATGTCGGCACACTCCTCAGAGATGCTTCGCCGGTCGCGGGCACGGGCGCCCGCGCCTGCACGCGCTCACGACGACCCGCGCCCCCTCGTGCTCTCCCGCAGCGCTCGGCTCGGTGCAATTCGTGGCGAACGTGGTGTTCGCAAAGCTGGTGCTCAGTGAACACGTGGGCATTCGGACGCTCATTTCCACGGGGATGATCGTGGCGGGCTGTATTGTCCTCGTCTTATTCGGCAATCACACGTCCGAGACACAGGTGAGAGGCGTCGAAGGCGCCGCGCGACGTGCTCTGCCGTGTTCCCATGGTGCAGACACTGACCGTGGCAACAAACCGACCCCCGCCCCCGCCCTGCAGACGGCCGACGAGCTGATCGAGAACTACAAGCACGTCCCGTACATCGTGTACCTCATCGTCATCGCGTCCCTCTCCGCGTCGATGTTCTTCCTGTACCGCACCATGTCCATCCGACAGAAGAAGCTCACCGGGACCGGCGAGTCCTCGGCGCTCTGGACCAAGTGCGTACCCACCGCAACACACCAGTCCGCGACGCGCGCGTGGACCCGCAGACGCGCAGAAGCTGAAAGTCCCCTCTCCCCCTGCTTGCACGACTGCAGGGTGGCGCCGATCTGTTTCGCGCTGTACGCGGCGCTCATCGGCACGCAGTCGGTGCTGTTCAGCAAGACCATCTCCGTCCTGCTGCGCACGACCCTCTCCGGCGAGAACCAGCTGGCCACGTTCTTCTTCTGGATCATCCTCGTCTGCTTCCTCGTGACCTGCGTGTTCTGGTGCGCGCCCGCCCACCCGACGCCCGCGCCGCACCACGCACGGCGCGGCCGACCAGCAGCGAGACCGCGCCCCCCCGCTCCCCTTTTCCCGCCTGCAGGCTCACGCGGCTCAACCTGGGGCTGCGGCTGTTCCCGGCCATCATCATCGTGCCCGTGCTCCAGATCAACTGGACCGTCTTCTCCATCGTGTCGGGCATGGTGTACTTCCAGGAGTATACCGAGTTCGACACCTTCTCGGCGTGCATGTTCGCGCTCGGAGTCGCCATCGTGATCACTGGTGTCCTGATGCTGACGCTCATCAGCAACAAGGAGCAGGCCAAGGTGCGCATGCGAAGACCCGCTCCTCGTGATTCTGCCGCGGTCGCCGTTGCGGCGCCGGCTCCCGACCGCCGCGCTTGCCGTCGCCCTCGCAGGTCCAACAACAGCAGACGTTCACGGACGTCCACGTCCCGGGCTCCCGGGCTAGCTCGGAGAAGGAGTCTCCGTCGTCGCCGATGCTCCGTGACCACAAGACGTCGGGGTTTGACGGGGCCGCGGGCAGCGGCGCTGACGTGGACCTAGAGGCTGGCACCTGTTTTCCTGACGGATCCCGAGCGACATCTCCTCGCGCGTCCGCGCGACCAACCAGCCCTACAGCTCGTGCATCAGGAGACGCGCACCCAGAGCCGCAGCGGCGGGGCACGCTGATGAAGTTCGCGAGCAAGACGTTTGTCGAGGTGCGCCTGCATGTCGTCTGCGGCGCTGAGACGCGAGTGGCGCTGCGAAGTCGCGCATCGTCCCCTGACCCTCTGCGTTGCTTTCACGTGACCGTCCCTGCAGGTTCGCAACCTGATGGCGCTGCCTGTGCTGGAGGTGCCAGGCGACGTTGACGGCGACGGCGCCCCACCGACCAACCGCGGGCCCATGACCGCGCGCGGCATGGTTGGCTTCGCCATGTCGGCGTTCGCGTCCCAGCCGGCGATGATGATGCAGATCGCTACGCCCGGCCCCCAGCCGCATGTGCACCAACAGAACGAGGACTTTGACGCGCGCGGGGTGCTCTTCGGGCGCGGCGGGCACCTCCGCGGCATCAACCCGAACCCGGTCACGCAGCTGCGCAAGACCATCTCGTTCGGTGGGGACCGCGGGGGGGAGCACGTCGCGGAGGCCTCCAGGCTGGAGCGCTTGGAGGAGGAATCGGAGGAGGAGGAGGAGACCCCGCGGGTGAGCGCCGCAACCCCCGCACGCGTCGCTGGCGGGCCCCGCGCGCATCACAGCCGCCGCGCGCCGTTGCAGCGAAGCCTGACTGCAACCTGTGCCGTGTGGGACGCAGGTCGGCTCCGAGACCGCTGGCTCTCTCAAGCACTCCAACTCGGGGGAGAAGAAGGCGCGCAACGTGCAGTTCAAGGGCGTGGACTCGGGCGGACGGAAGCCGCGCAAGGTCGGCAAGGTGCGTGATGTCGCCCAGGTTGCAGCGCCCCCCAGGGTCCGCGGAATCCTGCATCACACTCACGTGGCGGCCTACGCCAACGCTTGCAGGGACACCGACGCGAACGCTCGCGCAGTTTCTCCGCGCTGGGTGCGAACGAGATGGCTCTCCTGGCCATGGCGTCGCAAGCGAAGCCGACCCCCCTCTCCCAAGAGATCAACGACCCACTTGGTCGCACGGCTCCGGCAGGCGGCCTTGCCAGCGCTTTGCAGCAGGCCCGTCCCAAGACCGCCGGTCATAGGCGCGTCGTGTCGTCCCTGCCGGTGCCGAGCGCGATGACGGATCTGACGCCGCCCGCAACAGACACTCCCGACGCGGGCGTCGAGATGCAGCGCATCGGGAAGACGCGGCCGGACGTGACCACGCTGCCGCCACTGCCGTCGGTTCCGGCAAGGAACTTGCCCGCGCTGCCGGTCGCCCGGCGCCCAACGCCGCCGGGCAACATCATCACCAGCAGCCCTGCGGTCAGGGCCACGGACAACAACTCAGATTTCCACTCCGTGCAGTCCGCGTCGTTCAACGAGGAGGCGCCGGACGCGCAGGTGCACCAGAGCAACCGCAGCGCCCGGGGCCGCCAGGCGTCCCTGCGGTCGCAGTTTGCTGCACAGCTGGGTGGCTCGGTGCCGGCCGCCGACGAGGCCGAAGACGCCGACCCGGGACCGCTGACCACGCGCACGCCCCGGGATCTGCACCTCACGTACAATTCGCTGCCGAGTATCGGTCGTGGCCCGTCGGCGGTTGGGGTCGTGCTCGTAGAGCGGGATTCCGACGCTACTGGCTCACAGCGCAGCTCTCGCGGGAGGCAACCGAGGCAGCCGGAGGATGCAAGGGACGCCGATCCTCGCCGTCTGTAGCGCTCGAGCGCCTCGTGCATGACACCCTGCATGCATCATCCAAGATACGACGGCATCCAGAGCAGCGGTGACGCCCTGCTCCGCGGCGCGCGAAACGATCGAGTAGAAGAAACCTAGGCGCTGTTCTGTAATCATCGCGGTCTGCACGGTCTTGGGACAGGCAAGCTGCGCGCCTGCGTGTCTGCCCATCTCGAATTGTTGCGGCACGGCGGCCCGCGACGGCGCGCGCCCGTGTACATTGAGCACGTTTCGTTCGATGGTCTAATGGGCGACAATTGTCGATGGCGGGGGGCGGCTGCGGAGTGACTGCAGGGTAAGGCTGTCGCGTCGCAGCACATGGCGCGTTGCGGATTTCACGTCGCCTTGCGTCACTGGCAGCACTGCGTCGCCACTAGAGCAATGCTACAGGTCTAGCCAGTCTAAGTGCCCGGGCTCTTCCTCGGCTGCTGGCTGGTGATACTTGGGCTTGGCCCTGGCCTTCTGCGCTGAGATGGCGCCGACGCTCTCCGCCTGCACCCTAGGCTGCGCCATGGCCTTCAGTGCACTACCGGCAGCGCGCAGAAGGAGCTTTTTGATCAGCGCGCGCTGCTCGGCCTCCTTGGGCTTGGACGCGAACTCGCTGAGGAAGGAGGCAGCCTCCGTCTCCCCGATGAGCATAGCTAGCGTTGCCCTCACTTCGCTGGTCAGGTGCGAGAGCTGGATCACGTCGCGAATCAGTCCGACCATCTCGCCGTGCGTCACCTGCGTTGAGAGCCCTCGAAGTGACCATTTGCAACGCTGCGACCAAAGCTAGACGAAAACAACTTTTGATGGCCCCTTGAGGCTGTGGCTCGGGCATTCGCACCTGATTCGAGGCGTGCGTTAGAGCTATCACGAGGTTCCGCATCATTCTGCCCCCAACTAGGTCGCACAGGCCCTGCAATTTCGTTTCTCTAGCAATGTCTATCACTGTCCGACACACGATGACCGCCTTGTGCGTGGAGTCCGTGTCCTGCCACACTAGCGCATCGACAGCTGTCATGACAGCAGCCTCGCCGGCACTGAAATCCGTGTGGAGCAGAAACTGCGCAAATACCGTGGGCTGATTGTACTGAGCCAGGCGTCACGTGCACCCATCATCAACCGACGCACGCGGGCGAACGAGTGCAAGGGTGTGGAGCGCGTACCTGGAGCGGCGTCTGCTGAGACGTTGGGTCGCCTGGGACCGGCGAGGGCACGGCGATGGTCGAGAGCAGCGTGCAGTGCTCCTTCGAGATGTCTCGGAGGATGCGCTCCCGCATGACCTCGTCGTTGGCAGCAGCCTGCATGCACAGAGCGCGGTATGAGGTGTCAGGAGGAAGCTCGGACGTCGACATGAGCAGCGATTCAGCTGAAGGGCAAAAGTGGTTGACGTTCCGCACCTGGTCCTCCCTGGTGCTCCCTCCCGCCCCTTGAGCGCCGGAAAGTTGAGCGCTCAGGCCTTGCCACGACGCACCGAGATGCATGTGCAATGTCGGCACGACCTTCGACAGGAGCGGCCCCATCCAGAGCGAGCGCACTGCTGACGGGCAGTGTTTGACCGCCGGCAAGGCGACGTGGCGCAGGATCATGCGTCTGTACCGATCCTCCAAGAAATCAAAGGTGTCGATCACGGCCGCTTTGAGCCGTGCCGCGAGTTCGGGTTCCAGGTAGATCTGCATCAGAGGCACGTCCCAGCGGCAGTGAGCGCTCAGAAAACACGGCGGCACGCCAAGCACGCCGTTGACGTCGCTGCGGGAAGTGTCGCACCTTGGGAACGCGCGAGAAAGCGAGATTGATGATCTGGTAGGAGGTTTCTCGCAGGCCGCGTAGCCAGCTGCGCAGAGACGGCACAGCTGGTCCTGCCACCGAACCTCCCGATTCCGCGTACCCCAGCCCGCGGCCTGCAGCCCGGACACCGCTAAGTCGTGTGCGGTCGCACGAATGAGGGGCGCGCGGCGGTCGTGCAGGACCGGCAGGCGGGAGATGCGCACCTGCAAAGGCCCCCCCTGGGATCGCGTTCTGCCCCAAGAGGACTAGCTTCTCGTACGGGGAGGGGTCCAGCGCGGCGTCGAAAGGTCCGAGGAGACGGCGACCAGATGGTCCAGACAGGGCGTGTATGTTACCGAGGGCGGCGAGCATGGTGGGGAAAGCCCACTGAAGATGATCTTGCACTGGGTGGTCGGGGAGGCTGTCGGGCGGCGTGTCGAGGTTCGCCACGTGCTCATCGGGAGCCTGCAGAACATGGCACCGGTGTTCGCGCTCCCTCTGCGCGATTGCTGGCGATGTGTGCAAGCGGCAGCGGTGTGCTGGGGACATCTTCAGCGCTCACCCGTCGCAATGCCCGCTCAAGCAGCTGTATCTGATGGAACGCCTGCCAGCGTTGCTCGCCACCCCCGACGCTGGCCTGTGTGCCCGACACCTGCGCGAGGTCGTTCCGGCGAACCAAGGACCAGTTGGCACATGTGAGCAGGGGTGGTGCTGGCCGAGACCCCAGGACGTGGAGCCGCCGCTGCGTCGCCGCACCTGAATGGGACAGTAGTATGCAACGAATTTCTGGGGTGATTGCAGCGCCTCCTGGACGGCCTGGCTGGACCACTCCGCCTTCAAAGGACCGAGCGCCCAGTTCAACACGGTGCGAATCTGGTGCGTTCTCTCAGGACCGGCGGACAAGGACGCACAAGCAGTGAGGAGACCCTCGACGACGACGTTGCGTTCGCCTGCAGGCCGCCGAGAGCGAGTGATGAAGCAGTGAGGAATGAGGCATCGAGATTGCACACAAGCACACATGTGGCAATTGCACCAGAGCCCTTGCGCGTCCCACGCACCGTAACGCAGCCGCTGCGACGCCATGAGCTGGTCCGCGAGGTTCGCTATCGCGTCGAGGTGCAGGCCCAGCGCCTGCGGGCACTGTTGTGCCAACCCGAGGATGCCCCCCACAACCTTGGTCCGCCCGATGTACGCCTCGCGCCAGCCGGGCGGCGGCGTCGCAGGGGGCGCGCCTGCAGTGCGCGGTGGGATCGCAAGGACCGTGAGGGACGCGGTGTGCGCCCCCTGGGCTCAACTGTGCCCGCAAGTGATCTGAGCCTCACCTGCACTCTCCAGCTCGATGGCCCCAAGCAGCCCGAAGACGTACTCGAGCACGCGGGCCATCGACTCCGCATGCGTCGCGAGGTACTTGCCGAGGGAGACGATCGCATGCACAAGCGACGTCGCCGACTGCGGGTGAGGGCAGCCAGTCAGCTGCAGGATCTGCTCCAGCAACGCACCGCAGTGCTCAGACGCCGCCGAACCCACCGCGAAGTCCGACTGAGGTAGCGCCTGCATACGTTCGAGCACGTTCCCTGCTCCGTGCGGCGGACTGGCAACACAGGGCGCACGCAACAAAGCGGGAAACCATGCCGTGAGGGCGCGCACCTGCATGATGGCTTCCAAGAAACTCACGGAGGCCTCCAGCTGCGCTGCCGTTGCGAGCTCGGGCGTGCGGATGTTCGTCGCGAGCAGGCGCAGGGAGTCTTCCAGCTTCGACCGCGCAACGACCATCACCTGCGACCCACATATCGCCGTGCCCAGGCGAGACACCTGCACACAGCACGTGGCGCGGAGCAGGTGAGAGGCCGCCGCCCTTGAACGTGGGGCGACACGGGGTCGGGGGGGCGCGGCTTGCCTGCTGGAGGCTGTTCTTGTAGTGTGCATAGAAGCTGTGCCACTCCTCCGGGGAGTCGAACGCCGCGAGGGGGTCCGTCGTCGCGTCCGGATCGGTCTCGTGCAGCGTGATGACCTGGACGTATCGCGGGTGGTCGCGTGGCCGGGTGAGTCCGGCGTTCGTGCTGTGCAGGGTCATGCAGGGCACAGCGGGGGAGGCGGGTCACCTGAAGGAGACGGCTCGAGACCAGGTCGAGGACGGACAGCACGGCCTCGTCAGGCACGTTGAAGCTGCTCGGCGCCGCGGCGGCTCTGTCCCTGTTGGAGCGCCGAGCGGACTCTTGTCTGAGCAGCTCTGCCCAAAAGGGCATCGCCCACGACGACAGCGTCATCTCCTGCACTGGCCGCGAACAGGAGCCAAGGTCGGTGGCCGCGCGACGACGCCGGCCACTCGTGCTCCGTCTGTTGCCCGGGGCCGCGGCCGCACCTGCTGCAGGAAGCCAAGCATGGCCTGCAGGTACGCCACCTTGGTGCTCTCGCCGATGGCCCCCCAGTGATTGCACCCCAACACGGACATGGTGTCGCACAGGCGCTTCGCGTAGTCCTCGTCCACGCCGCCGCTCTCGACGCGTTTGTGCAGGTCGGGCCGCCGCGTCAACACCTGCGCGGCACCAGCAGCCACGCAGACAGCAAGGTCCGCGCGCGCCCTCGGATCCGCCCCCTGCGCCCTCGACAGCATGCGCGGCAGCGAGCGCGGCACCGCACCTGCACGTGGTACTGCAGCGCCTCGGCACACCGGGCCATCACGGCGCGGAACTTCGTGACGTCCTCGTCCTTCGCTTTCCGCTCGGCGAGACTCCGGAGCACCTCGACGCCGTCCAGCCGCAGGTCCTCGACCGTTGCGACCTGCGTCGACGCGAACAGAGCAGCGGTCAGGCTCCACCGCGTCCCGTCTGGTGGCGGGCACTTGTGTGGCACTGCGACGGCAGCCGGGAGCGCACGTTCGCAGCGTCGTCGATGAGACCGCAGTCCATGATGAGGCCGACCGGCGCCCATTCCGCGAACGCCGCGGCGGCGGACAGCGCGTCGGTCAGCACCATGATGCTGGAGCGGAGCAGTGCGGCGTCTCCCGACGACGTCGCCCGCTGCCACTCCGTGCTGTACGACCCCACGACCTGCGCGCGCGTGTGGAGGGCTGGCAGGGTCGCGAGGAGGGCGAGCTGCGAGTGAGGGCGCCGGGCGCGTCGCGCGGAGTGGTTGGCGCTGCGCTGGATGTCACCTGGTGCATGATGGGGAGCGCGGTGTCCAGGGACGAGATGAGCTCCGCGAGCAGCAGCCGCTTCGCGTCCTGCTGCACGAAGCTGGACGGCTGCGTGATCTCCTCCTGCGGAACGTCGCGAGGCCACGCAGTGATGGGCACCAGGCGGCCGGAGTGCCGAGGAGCGCGCGAACGGAGCGCAGAGCGCGTGCGCGGCAGCGCTTCGAAGACCCGGTGTCCTGCTGCGAGGACGACGTACCTGCGCGTACTTCAGAATCAGCAGCGCCATCGAGGCGCTGCAGGGCCCCGCCTGCACCATCGTGGCCACCTTCTGCAGCACGGTCCTCCACAACGCAGAATCGCCGTGCTTGATGGCCTCGGCAAGGAGGACGGCGACCTTCGACCGCACCGGAAACGGCGTCGTCGGTGCCGAGCAGGAGTCGAGCAACCCTGTGAGCTGTTGGGCGGCTTGCGAGGCCTCCTCCTGACTCAGTTCGCCCCACCGGGACTGCACGAGGTGCTGGAGGACGGTGAGGGCGAACTGCTGCACCTCCAGGTGCGCCGATCCGAGCAGGCCCCACGCCGCGCTCCAGCTGCTTGCCAGCTGCCCGGAAGTCAGCTCTCTCAGGAGCTCCAGGGAGGCTTGCCGGGCCTGGAGCGTCGCGCCCGCGGCGTGCCCCGCAACGATCGTCCCCTCCATGTTCATCTTACGTCATGCGGCGCTCCTGTCAGATCGCGAAAGCGACATGTTCGTGTGGGCTGGTCACGCAGTACCGACCATGATTCGATGCTCACGGGAAGCGCATGTCGGCCGATATGTCGTCGTGTCGCCTCTGCATACTGCTCTGGCTCGCCGGCCCGACGGCCTGATTCCCGGGCGCCGGGGGCCCGCCCCAGGGGCCCGACCTCCCCACGTCGGGTACGTTGCAACAGAACCCCCGCACCGCGCTCGACGCGGACCCGTGTGCGCGGGGACCGACCGGGGCTCGCACTCCTGCCGCCCGACGTGGGGATCACACAGTTTCTGCACGCCTCGGCCACCGGAGCGCACCGTTCGCCCCTGCGTTGCACCTCAGCTGCACCACCCGGCTCTTCCAGGACCGCGGCGATCCTTGCCGCGCGCGAGCAAGCAGAGGTGGGCGTCGTCGCAGGCGGTCATGACCCGGGCCAGTTGACCCACAGCAGCAGCGCAGCGTAGTCGAGGGGCGCGCGGTTGCTGCCGGCCCGCCGGGCGTGGAGAAGCGAGCCCCAGCATGCAGTCCGTGCAAAAGGCGATAAAGAAGGCGACGTCGGACGCCTCTGACCTCAAACCGTTCTCGAGCAAGACGCCCCTGTATAGCCCGAACGCGGGGCTGCTGATTGAGTGCTCGAAGATCAAGGTGCGCCCGGCATAGTGGTGTGGGGCGCCGTTGCCGCGCGCACCGCGCCACCCACGACGTGCGCGCCGAGCGCCAGCATGGATGGAGGCCGGACGTCAGGGTGCCGCTGTGTGCGCGCGTGCACACCCTCCGAGAGCCGGGCATTGCGGCACATCCGCTCTGTAGAGTCTGCGAGCCGTGCCGAGGGGCGCCCTAGACGCAGGGCCGTGCTCAAGCTCCCTCCGCGCAGGCCGAGACGACACTGAGGAAGTACGTGAGGAAGGAATGGAAGAAGCAGGGGCGCTGGGGCGGGGACGTGAAGCTGTCGCAGCAGCACTTGCCTGGACCTGTGTCGATACGCAGGGCCGCTAGAGGTACGGCCCGGACCCCCTGCCCGCCGGACGATGGAGCGGATGATCATCGCTCTCATCGGTCCGACCAGGCCGAAGCGCTGCACGGCTCCAGCGCGGACCCTGCGTGGCCCCGCAGCCCAGCTCTCAGCCTCGCCATTCCCACGTCGCGCCCTCCATCGGCGAGATCTGCAGAGCGGGCGAAGCGCAAAGGTGCAGAGATTCTGGTGGAGCCCTTCGCTGACGAGCCGGCGCACGACTCGCTGAACGTGTCGCTGAACAAGCAGATTGGAGCTGACAAAGCGCTGTCGGCGACGCTCATTGGCTCGCCCGTCCAGGTCCGAAGCGGCGACACGCGTTCCGCGCACATGCGGAAGCGCGCGGTGCGTCCTGATGGGGCGGCCGGCCTCGTCTGAGTGCTTACGGGCCCTGCACGTTGTTGTTGCAGATGTACGAGGTGAGCGCGAAGGGCGCCGTGACGAGAGAGGCCAAGCCAGGGGAAGAGCGGAAGCACCGTGCGGCGAGCGTGCAGGGCGGCACCAACTTCGTCGGCGACACTAGGATAGCGTTCGAGGTGCAACAGGCAAGGTCACCGCCGCGGGTCGGTCGCGCTCGGTGCCGCGACGGGGCGGAGCCGTCGCTGAAGGACGGCGCCGCTGATGTGTGTGCAGGGCAACGAGGAGGTGGACAACCACTGCACGACCTCGACGGCGAGCGTGGACGTGAACAGGGCCGACTGGGCATTCGGCATCGCGCACTCCCGACACCTCCCGCGGCGAGGCATGCGCATCTTCGGTCGGTACTTCAACGAGCAGGGATACGGGTCGCAGGTACCGCGCGCCCCGAGCGCCAGGCACCTTCTGCTGACCCGTCGGCGTCGCGCCCCCTCGTGCCTTGTGTGCAACAAGCGACGACTCCGCGGCGCCCCTTGCAGGTCGTGCTGCAAACGCTTCACTCGCGCAAGGGCTGGCCCTCGCTCTCGCCCACCGCGGTCGTGAGCGTGCCGCCCGGCGGCCTCCTCTCCCCGTCGTCGTACCAGAGCCAGTTCGGTCTGTCCTGCACGTTTCGACTGGCGCCCAAGGCGGTCAACGCGCTCGGACTCGGACAGGCGGCGTCCGAACCAGATACATCCTCGGTGAGCGCGAGGTGGCGCGCGCTGGTCCCGTCCGCGTGCTCGTTGCGTGCATCGCAAACACTCCCATCCGACCCTGATACGTCGCGACTTGCGTTCGCAGAACCCTGGGCAGCCACGAAAAGCGGACGATAGTGCAAGCATCCTCAGTAAAGCGCTCGGGGGGGTGTCGCACGTGCTTTCCGGCGTTCAAGCGGGATCGGCGGAGGGGTTCGCATCCGCACTGCAGGTGCGACTCGTGTCCTGCGGTCCACGCCGCACAGCGCACATCTGCGACGCGCTGTGGTCCTCCGCCGCCGCTAGCGCCTCCCCGTCGATCGTCGCGCGCCGCCCCCGTATTGCAGCGGCGCATCATGGGGCACTCGAGCGAGGGCCACAGCCCCGTGCACGGGTTCTCGCACGTCGAGCAAGTCGATCACATGCCCGGGTACGAGCCGGCGGGGAACGAGCTGCAGTTCCGCGCCATCATCAGTCCGCGCGACAAGATGGCGGCGCTGCAGGTGTCGCTCAACGTGGGCGGCATGGTGGCGGACACGGAGATCCTGCCCGCCCTGCGCATGTCCACGATTCACAGTGATGTCTTCTGATCGCGTGTGACCGCCGCCCTTCGTTGAGAAGCCCCCGCACGGCGTCTTTGTGCTACTCTTGTCTGGTCCTGCGCCGTGCTTCTGTTTTCCGAGCCTCCCTGAACTTCCTACCCCCCTCTGACGCGAACTAATGGAAGGCGAGCGGCGGCCTCCCCGGCTCGCCCTGCGCCCTGCCGCGCGCGACCCGCTGCTTCTTGCGCTGCAGCTCGTCGTGCATCTTCTCCACGCGGCCCGCCGCGCTCTCGACAAGCTCCCTCAGGCGCTTGCGGTGCGTGTTGACGCGCTCCGCCATCTTCTTCCGCTGCGTGTCGACCAGGGCAGCGACTGCACGAACGGAGCAGCACAATAAGTGGGCACACCAAGCGCTCCGGTCAGCAACAGGCGCGACACGAACGCCGTCGGAGTCCGCCAGGAGCGTGGCGTGGCGCGCACAGGGGCGAGCTCGCACTAGCGCACCTTCGCGCGTGCGTGCGGCGTCGAAGGCCAGGAGCTGCCCCTCGAAGTGTTCAAACACCTCCGTCTCGAACTTGACGAGGTCCGCGTTCACGAGGTCGGCCGTCTGCATGAGGGACTGCCGGAGGTCCTGCATGGCGTGCTCCTGCTCCAGCCGTGCTTGCATCTGCCGCTTGTGGGCCAGCGCCGTCAGCAGGGTCTGGATCATGTCGGTGTCGGAGCAGTCGAAGCACTGCAGCGCCTCCTCGATCGCGGACGCCGCGTTCTCCGCACCTGCGTCGCCGTGCAAACAGCGCGCGTGTCGGGCGAGGTTCAGGTTTGTCATGCGCCCAGCACATGGAACAATGTGTCTTGTTCACCTTGGGCCAGCGTTGCCGGCGTCTTGACCCCAGCCGTGGCGGAGACGCGCCGGACCTCGTTGTGCACGGGCGTGGCGTGCGTCCGAGGCGTCTGGTCGTCCGCTTGGAGTCCACCGAGGTCCTCGTCGACGTCTTGCGCAACCGGACGGGGCGGCGGCAGGGGCGGCAGGGGCGGATGCGGCCGCTGCTCTTGCTCCCTTGCCGGCGTGACCCCTGCTGCGGCGAGTGCGTTCGCCAGATTGAGCGGCTCGATGTCTGCAGCGCATGCGGAGGGGCCGGTCATGCTCGGCTCTTGCGCGCGGTGTTGGCGACATGAGACACAAGAAGGCGACGCGAGCGAACAAAGCGCCGTGCGCTCAGGTAGCCTCACCTGCACCGGCCCGTGAACGGTGCTCCGGGGGCGCCGCACTCCTCGGGGGGGTCGTGCGCTGACCGCGCGCCTCCGGAGCGCTGATGTGCTTGCCCGCCTTCTTGCTCTGCTTGGCCTTCGCAGCTGGCGCAGCCGCAGGCTTCGGTTTCCCGAACGTCTTCAGGACCTGGCCGGCACCGCCGTCCTTCGCACCGTCCGCGGCGGCCTGGGCAGTCGACGGCGCAGGAGCACGCTCCGTTGCGTGAATTGCTGCCATCGCCGTCTCGGCAGCAGCGCGACGCGGGTTGGTCCGGCGCGGCACCGCCTTGGCCTTCTCCACCTTGGCCTTCGCAGGTGGTTTGCGCTGCGCCTGCTTGCTCGATGACGCCGACTTCTTCCTCTCTTTCTTCTCCACGGGTTTGGCTGGCACAACTGCGTCCACAGCCTTCGAGGTAGGCACGGGCTCGAGATTGCGACCGGCCCGCGGACCTGTCGGCGACTTCTCTCCGGCCGCGCAATCCCGCCCGCCGCCTCCGTCCTCGGTGGCGTCCGCGTGCGAGGGCTCCAGAGATGGCAGGGGCAGCTCAAACGACGCTGGCTCGAACGACAGGGGGGGGCTGCGGCCGCCGCCGTCGCCGCCGCCGTCGCCGCCGTCGAAGCCCTCGAGAGCGCCGAAGTCGAGCACGCCGTCGTCCGCGGGCTTCGCGTCGTGTGCGAGTGCCGCGAGTAGGCCCGACTTCCTGCTCTGCTGCTTTGCGTCCCCGTCGCGGGCCACGACCGGCGGCTTCACCTGTGGGAGCGCAGCGCGGCCCCGGCGATGTTAGAGGCGAGGCTGCACTCGCGCACACAACCTATGGCGGCGCAGGCGGACATGGACCCATACCTTGTTGCTGGTTTTTCCCAGGCGCCTGCGGAAGCCCTGAACGGCTTGCTTGCCCTCGTTGGCGAGCTCCGAGCGTGCGTCGGGCTTCAGGATGAGCGCGGGCGTGTCCTCGTCGCAGGTCAGGTCCGCGAGTCCCAGCTGCGAGGCTACCAGGTTGCCGTCAGCCACCTTGGGCTCCTGCGGGGGCTGCTCCTCGCCGCGCTCGCCGAGGTCCTCGTCGTCGCAGAGGAAGTCGGACACGGGGTCCTCTCCAGCCGATCCGATCGCGTTGGACTGCACGGCGGAGAGCACACCGCCGCACAAGTTGAATTGCCAAATAATGTGTGGATTCAATCCTGACACACGTAGGCAGTCCCCCCCTGGCGCGCGTCCACGTCGTGCGTGCCGGCACTAGCGCGACCAGCGGTGTGGGCGCCGCGGGGCGCACCTCGAAGAACGCGGGGAAGCGGTGCTTGTGGTCACGGAAGCACGAGAGTACCGCGCGGTAGTCGCTCTCGCAGCGCAGCGAGAACAGAACGAAGTCGTCGCTGGCGACAGCTCCGGGGCGGAGGGACGCGGGGGGGTCCGCCTTGATCGTGACCGTGAAGGTCCCGTCTTCCGACGAGGAGAGAATGTCGTGGAGCTGCACACGCGGGGGGGGGGACTGAAGGGGGGGTGTCGGGGGGGTGGAGTGGGGCAGCTCTCTACGCGGGGCGTCCAGCGCGGTGGAGCTCGGCGACGTCCTCGGCCGTCACCTTGTCGTGTTCGAAGTCCACGCACACGGCCTGTCCGTCCTCCGCTTCCGCCCCAGCGGTGATCGTGCTGTCCGCGGGGACCTGGAAGGTCGTGTGGAGCGGGGAGATGTCCACGAACGTGGCGCGTGCCTCGCAGTCGACCTTGTGCGGCCCGATCTCCAGCCGCTGCACCTCGAACGACTGCACCCTGTGAGCGGTACGAGGTGCGCGGACGGGGGTGTGATGCGAAGGCGAGCGGGCGGATCGCCCGCAGGCAGGCAGGGTGCGCGGGACACGCAGGGTCGTGCGCTCACTTGGACCTGCCCGGCAGCCCCCTGTTGAGTTCGAGGGAGAGCTGGCGCAGGCTGGCGATGAGGTCCACGCGCTTGCCCTCCCCGAGCATCTGCCGCAGGCGGGCCGTGGCGCCCCCGGGCATGTCGATAGTGTCCGCAGCCTCCAGGCCCTGGTGCAACAGCGCCCTGTAGACGATCTCGAGGACATCGATCTGCACAAAGACGTCGTTGGCATCCTTGGCCGCCTCCACGAGCCGGTGGATCAGCGCCGGACCCTTCTTCGCGCGCACGACCTTCTCCGCGTTCGCCTTGCACCTGACGTGGAGCTCCGCCATGACGTAGGACACCTCGCGGCGCAGCGCGACGGTCAGACTGCGGCGGGCAGAGCGCGAGCGGCGCGATGACGGTCCGACGCGACCCTGGCCGGCCAGGCACGTTCGCATGGCGGTGTCGCTCTGCGTGTGTCTCGCGGTGCGAACCTGTCGGAGTTGATCGCGGCCAGTGTGTCCTCGCAGACGATGGCCTGCATTGATGACTTCACGCCCTGCCCGTGAGCGGCCCACTCTGCGAGCGTCGCCTTGCTCGCATGAGCGTTCTTCGTCGTTGAGTCAGCGTGACAGCATCGAAGTATGTCCTGAGTTGCGGCGACGAGCTGGAACGCCTCCTGCAGGCATGACACTTGAAATTTCCTGCGTGACGCGTGGTCCGCGGAGCCATACTCCTCACGAGCTCACGATGATCGACCGCGAACGTCAATTTGCGATACTGCGTGGGTGCTCGCCTCCTCGTTCTTGCTCTCCTGCGCCGTCTTGAGGCAGAGCTTAAATGCTCTCACCAAAAGCGCTGCTTTCGGCTGGAGATCCGCAAGGAGAGGGCCGAACCTGCGGTCACAGGTGGCGTACATCCCGGCGGTGGCAGAGACGGACATAATGTCGAGCCTCAGCGGCTCTTTGACAGCAGCAGACGGGAGCATAGGTCGACCGAGCGAAACGAGGTTCGTGTGCACCACTGACAACGCGTGAAATCCTCAGCTTGCACCAAAAGCGGCGGGTTCGCAGCGAGAGCACGGCCTGGCTCCGCGCCAGGGCGAGAAAAGCGATTTTTCGCGGGTCGCTCGCCTTACGACCTCTGCGATCGCCTCCACGGATCCTGCCAGCTGCCCCTGGTCACGTGTCGTGTCATGATTGCCTGCTCCGTCCCCGAGCGCGGTTGCGAGCGCCGCGACGGCGTCGTCGAGGGCCTTTTGCGTTTTCGATCTCGACTTGCCCTTGGTCATCTTCCACGGCGTCCGGGGCGCCAAGACGTCGCGCACGGACGTTCGCTCTCGGGCCTTTTTACAACCTGCTGCTCCGCGCCCGAGGTGATGTGCTCGCGCGGCGGAGCCGACGTCTGACTGAGGCAAAAGAAGAAGTCGACTCAGGGTCGTCTCCGGAGCAACCAGGACCACGACGTTGGTTCGAGCAGGCACAGCTGGTCACCTGAGCGACGTGGCTGAGCGACGGCCGTCACAACTCGGACAGGTACGCTTTGATGGCCTCGTAGGAGCCCAGAACAATAGCACAAGCGGGCGCCGCGCGCGCGGAACGCGGAGCCCACCCCGTGAAGAAGCCCGATATCCCTCCCGACCTGTATATCGACCGGATCGATGCCGTCCACCCGTTCCCCGCCCCCGCCCCCGCCCCCGCCTCCGACGACATCCCGCGCTCCACGCCCATGCTGAGGCCCCCGCTGTACGCGTTCCGAGCGTGCAGCGCGTTCCCGAGGTTGACGCCGTGCGCGGCCAGGCCCTGGCTGCCAGCCGCCGCGGGCGCCCTGGCCGTGCTGGGCGCGGGCGCGGCGGTCGGCTCGGCGCTGCTGCTGATGAGCGTGCTGGTCTGCATGTAGGTCTTGACCACGTCCAGCGGGGTGGTCACCGCCGCCGCCGCGCTGCCGGAGACCGCGCCGGCGACCATGTTGATCAGCACCGCGTCGCGCTGCTCCTCGCCCGCGTGCGCCTCCGGCCTCCGCGCGAGCGCCTTCCCCAGGGGCCCGTCCACCTGCCCCGCGCGCAGGCTGTGCACGCGCCCGCGGATCGCCTCCACGCCCATCCAGTACAGCCCGCTGTACGGCACGTCGCGTATCAGCGTCGCCCCGGCCCCCCGCCACAGCGGCGCCACGGCCCGCGCCACGCCGCGCATCCCCGCGGAGCTCCAGCCCTGCTTGATCGCGGTGGTGCTGCAGCGGCGCGCCTCGGAGGACGCGGTGGCCTGCGCCTGCGTCCGCAGCAGCTCGAGCGGGCCCACGGAGAGCACGGAGACCGCGCGCGACATGGTGCCGGCCACGAGCGGCAGAAAGGGGCCCGGGCGGTCCTCGTGGAGCCAGCGCTGCATGTGCACGAGCGTGGACTCGTAGAGCGGCATGTAGATGCCCACGAGCGGCACCGCCATGAGCAGGGACTCCGGCGTGCCCCTCCAGAACGCCCGCAGGCCCTCGCGCTGCCACACTTTGCGCACCAGGTCAGCGCTCGAGTGGTAGATGTCGCACGCCTCCACCGTGCACGTGTGCGGCGCCTTCACGCGCCCGAGCTTCGAGGGCTTCCGGAAGCACGTGGCGGCGCACGACGAGATGCCCCACCGGTCGTACAGCGTGTGTCGCGGTGCTGGCTCGCTGAGGATGCCCGCCAGCAGCAGCTGCTGGGCCTGCATGCGCGTCTTGATGACGTCCAGCGGATTCACCACCAGACCTGCGAGCGCACCCGAGCACGCGACGACGCCCGTGACGCGCCGGAGACGCCTGTGTGAAGGACTGGCTGCCGCATGTGTCGAACCGCGCACGCGCAGCCCCCGACGGATCGCAGTGGCCAGCGTGGCGATAACGTCAACACGTCGATCGCGTGGCCACGCAGTTTGATGCACCAGAAAGGGACGTCACGTCACTTTCCAGCTCAGAGACCACCAGAGTGTTCACGTCTCAGCGGCGCAATCGGCGGAGGAACGGCACCGACGAGCCGCAACGCACCTGCTACAAGTGAAGCTCCTGCTGCAGCCACAGCCCGGCCCGCCAACGTTGGCTCGCGTGGCGAGTACAGGATCTCGGAGAAGCGGGGGGGGCCAGCTATGCCCCGCGGGCTGCCTGCGGCGACAACTCCGTGAACAACGATCAGCGCCACGGTACTCTGTTGTAGCTTGATGTCGACGTGGGCCTCAGGCGCGGTTGGCGCCGGCGTGTACAGAAACTTCGCTCTCTGGGCACCCTAGCATGCTCCGGACGCGGAATCGGGCCGACTCAGGACCTCTCACCTTGCTTGGACATGCTTCTAGGTCGCCATGTATGCTGATCTACGCAGAAACCGCCGTTCTCTCCACCTCCGCCTATCAATGACTGCGGGCCGCAGCCTTCTTTCACCGGCCCAGCTGCTGGTCGAGATTCCTCGGTCGTGTCCTGGGCAAATCCGACCTAGATTCGCGCGCTGCTGGTGCGCTGTGGACTCCCCCTTGACTCGCCGTGTAGACGTGCCGCGTCGCACGCGAGGGCGATGACCGCCTCAGACGCCTCGACACGGCCCTGAGTCTTGTCCAAGTCCCCGGGGGCACTGCTGCGGTCGGGAGGCGCCCCGGCGCGCCCATCGACGCCCCCCCGCCGCGCGAGGGCGAGCCGGCGATGCCTCCCTGCGGCATTCTGCGATCGTCTCGGCGCGCCCTCGCACGCACTGCGCGACAGGTGTCGCGGGCGCGGCAGTGCACACACGCGTCCGCGCGTCGCGGATCACACGGGTTCAACACGAGATCACGACCACCGCGGCCGGTCGTCCTTGGTCGGGGACGCGCCGCTGGGTCCCGCGGCCCGCCGTGCCTCGTCGTCGTCGCGGATGTTGAAGTTGCGCACCCGCACAGCAGCGCGCCGCGCCTGCAGCTCCAACAGCTTCTCCTTCTGCACCGCACGCCACGGGCGCAGACACACATGGTCGCGCTCCGCACTGACGCGTACTCCGGGGTGCATGTGCGCGACGGGCCCGTGGGAGGTGCAGCAACCGTCTTACCTGGGAGGCCGTGAGGCGGCTGGACGCGGAGACCGGGCGGTCGCTTGGGGGCTCGTACACGCCCGCGCGGCTCCCGTGCAGGTGGAGGTCCGCGTCCGACGGGGGGCCGTGCTCGGGGTACCGTGAGAACCCCCCCGCGGGGCCCGGGCGGCTCGTGGTGGTGATCGCGGCGCGGCGACGCTGCTCGGGCGACCGCGCCGCGAGCCGCGTCGTGACCTCGCGGGGGCTGTCGACGCGCGGCCCCGCGCGCCGTTCCGCGACGGGGCTGCCCCACGCGCTGCCCTCCACGCCCACGCCGGCGTCCGTCTGCACCGCCGCCTCCACGCCACCCCCCGCCGCAGCCCCCGCTTCCCGCAGCGGCGCGAGGCTCTGCAGGTCCCGCAGGTCGTTCAGCTCCGCGTGCATCTCGTTGCTCATCTCCAACAAGCGCTCGTTCTCCGCACGCAGCCGCCGCAGCTCCGCCGCCTCCGCCTGCCCCGATCGCGCCGCCGGCTGCCCGTACGAGTCCCGCTGCTGCAGGGCGAGCGCCGCCAGCTGCCCCTCGAGCGTCACCACCCGGGCGTTGGCCTGCTGCAGCGCGGCCTGCGCCGCGCGCAGCTCCGTCTGGTGGTGCTTCTGGATCTCCTCGGGCGTGTCTCCGCCGGCGGCGGCCTGCAGCGCCTCCATCTCGCCGCGCATCGCCCCGACGACCGTCCGCATCCGCGAGTTCTGCGCGCGTGCGTCCTGCAGCTCCGCCTGCAGCGCTGCAACGGTGCCGCGCATCTCCGCGCAGTTCGCGCACCCGCGCTGGCCCGCGCTCTCCTTGGACAGCTCGGCAAACGACGCGTCCACCGTGTCCGCCCCCCCGGAGTCCCCCACCCCTTGCGGCGCCCGTCCCCCGCCCGACTCAAACGCCGGCCACGGCGCCGGCCGCGGGGAGCCTGCGGGCGGGCTGGCGTTGAACCCCATCGGCGATGCCGTGGTGCTTTCTAGGAGGTGCCGCACCATCGGGCTCGCGGGCAGCGACACCGACCCCAGGTCGGACAGGCTCGCGCCGAGGTGGTCCGGCGCACCCTCCGGCGCCGCGGGGTCGATGCCCAGCGAGACGTCGCGCCGCCCACCGCCGTGCCGCAGCCGCGACCGCTCCCGCACCGGCGCGGTCCCGCCGTCCGCGCTGCCCAGTCCCGCACGCTCCCTGCCGCCCGGCGTGCGCGCGGCCGGGGCGGCGCCGTCGCGCGCCCGGTCGAGCGCCAGGTCGCGCTCGCCGAGGACCTCCTCGAGCTCGAGCACGCGGGCCATGGCGTGATCCCGCTGCGCCGTGAGCGACGCAATGAGCCCCTCGCTCGCCGCCAAGGCCGACGCCTCCGCGGTGTCCGCCTCCTCCTCCGCGCGCAGCCGGACCTGCAGCAGGAGCCGCTGCAGCTCGCGTTCCCGTTCTGCGCCCTCCGCGACCTGCCGCTTGTACCGCAGCAGGTCCTCGCGGCGGTCCTCCAGCGCCGCACGCAAACTGTCCGCCTTCCCGCGCAGCGCCCGCGCCTCCGCCTCCCGCGCCCACGCCTCCTCGCGCGCCAACCGCAGCTCCTTCTCCAGCCCCGCCACCCTCGCCGCCATCTCCCTGCAGGCCGTTCGCGCCCACACAATCCCACGCGTCATGTCAGCACGCACCGTCGGCCGCACGACATGCGGAGCGGGCCGCCGTGCGCGTCGTACCTGCGCACCGCCGTCACCTCCGCCGCGTGCTTCACGTCGGCCTCCGTCGCCCGCTCGTCGCTCGCCTCCTGCGCCATGCGCCGTGCCGTGCGCTCCGCGTCCGCCTCCGCGCGCGCCTCCTCCGCGCCAGCGCTCAGCTCCTGCACGCGCTCCCGCAGCTCCGCCACCTCGGCCGCGTGCTCCCGCCGCAGCCGCTCCAGCCCCGCCTCCCCCGCCTTGCGCTCCTCCGCCACCTGGGCACTCGCGCTCGCGCACCGCGCCACCGCCTCCTTCAACTGCACCGCACAGCGCACACAGAGCCCCTCAGCGCCGCCGAGCGCAAGCGAAGCGCGCCACGCGGCCTCGCGCGCCGCCAGGGCGTGCGCGGCGCACCTTTGTCTCCAAGTGCTCCCGCGCGGCCCGCGCGTCGCGTTCCGCGCGCTCCAGCTGCCCCTGCAGGTCGCTCACGTGGCTGTCCTTGAGCCGCCGCAGCCCGTCCAGCTCCCACTGCAGCTCCTCCGCCCTCAACTCAACCTCCCGCGCCCGCGCCTCCGCAGCCTCCTTCTCGCCGCGCGCGCGCTCCGCCTTGGCCTTCGCGGCGTCCGCCTCCGCCTCCAGGTGCCGCGCGCGCGCCTCGGCCCGCCGCTGCGCCTCCACTGCCTCGTCCGCGGCGGCCCGCAGCTCGCCCTCGCGCGCCGCCATCTGGCGGTCGAACGCCTCCGCCATCGCCCGCCGCTGCGCGCGCGCCTCGTCCTCGCGCTCCGTCAGCGTGCGCTGCAGCGTCCGGACCTGCTGCGCCGCGTCCTCGTGCAGCCGCTGGGCGGTCTCCTGCCGCGCCGCCCGCGCCTCCTCCAACTCCCTCCGGAGCGCCTGCTCGCGCCTCTGCCAGGCCTCGCGCTCCGTGCCGAGCTCCTCCTGAGCCGACCGGAGCTCGACCTCCGCCTCGGCCACCGCTGACCTGCTCTCGCTGCACAGCGCGCACACGGCGTGTGGGGGTGTTTAGCCCGAGTCAAGCGGCGTGCCACTCGCGCAGGGCCGCCGTGGCGGGGCGCGCTGCACGGCTCGCACGTCGCGCGACGTGCGGGGGCGGTCGCGCCGCCGGGGAGGGCGCCCGCACCCGAGCAGCGCGTCCCGTTCCTCGACCAGCACCGTCAGGCGCGCCACCTCCCTCCCGAGACGCGCGATCTCGCGGTCCCGGCCTTGAAGCAGCTCCAGGTTGTACTCGAAGTCCCCTCGGAGCCGGTCGACGGCGACCTGGTACCGCTGGATGCGTGTGTCGCGCTCCGCTACGGCATCCTGCACCAGACAAGCGCCGTGCTGTTGCCGCTTCCACGGGGCGAGGCACGCGACAGATGACGGACACGTACGCACGCGGAGCATGTCCATGACAGCACGGGTCCGGAGCGCTGTGCCAGCGAGCTGTTCAGAGCCGACAAAGGCCGCACGTCGGCCCGCGCGGAATGTGCAGCCAGGGAACCGACCTGCAGCTCCTTCATCCGTGTTTCGCGAAGGCGGATGACCTCCATTTCTCGCTGTGCTATCTCATCCGGTCCCGGCCCCGCCGGCCGGGCTGTCATGTCTGGCGTCATGGCGGCGCCACGCCCCCCCCCTTCAGATGCCATCCCGCCGCTCGACCCCACTTTCACCGCCGCAGCCCCATCAAGCGAGTCTCAGATGCCCACGGGCAACGCAGACGCATCTGCTACACCGGTTCATTCCCGGCCCTGCGGTTGACCTCTACTCGCTCCTTCAATACGCCGCTATTTCAAAAAGACGACAGCTCTACAGGCCGGGCGCTCTCCCTGCCGTTGGCACATGTGCAGGCGACGTGCGCCACTGCGGGGCCGTTTGCTGCCAGACGCTGGATGAGAGGTGGCCAGCCTTGCGGCAGACAGGCGTCGAGAGCCCGTGCAGACAGGCAGTCGCGAGCGTGGGAGGGACGCGCGTGTGCTGGATTTCGACACCAAGCAACAGCGCTCTTCCGCGGACGGCAGAAGTCGTTCACCGCGACGGGGAGCACGTGTGTGGCGGGAGGCGCCCGCCGCGGCCACTTTGCCCGCCGCGCACCGTCTTGGCGCAGCGGCACCCCCCAAGGACCTGGTCTGTCCGGCATTTCTGCCCCCATCGGCATCATGGGCGGGCTCCCACGAGCGAATCTGCGTTTCTCTAGTTGCTGAGAACACGTGAACGGAGCAATCGATGCTTGGTGACAACGCATGGGGCGTGGACCCCACTGCTGGGGCTGGCGGGTGAGCTCCCTGCACATGCTCCTTGCGCGCCCGCGAGTTCTCTCGGGACGAACGTCGCCCCGTGAATCACATCCGGCCCTTGGCGAGGTCGAGCGGCCGCCGCAGCCGCTGGCACCGCGTGTCCGGAGAGACGCCGCTCTGCATCTCGGCGAGGCACGAAACAGTGCCTGCCCGGCAGTCAGGATGCCGTATTTTGTCTCACAGACGCGCAATTTATCGAAGCGGACCTGAGCGTCCCCGGACGCGCCTTCGCACGCCCGCCGCGGAGCGCGCGGCGCTGCCTGAGATGCCCTCCAGCTCTGCCCCGCCGCGCCGCCCACTGGCCCGCGTGCATTGTCGCTCCGCTGCGCAGGGCGTGGGCGAATGAGGTCGAGGAGGCGGAGACCCGCGGGGAGACCCTCGGGCCGGCCAAGGCCGCGGCTTTCCCCACTCTGGCTGCTGCCAAGCACCAGGACGCCTTCCCCGCGCTGGGCGCCGCGCCCGCGCAGGGGGGCAAGGGCAAGGGCAAGGGCAAGGGCAAGGCCGTCCAGAAGATGAGCCTCGGGGACCTGCTGACCAAGCAGCACGCCAACACCTACAGCGCGCCCGGCCGGTCCGCTACCATTGGGCCGGCCGGCGCCCTCCCCTCCGCGCCGCTCGGCGCCGACGCCGCGGACATGCCGCGCGGACCGGGCGGCCCGCGCCTCGGAGGCGGCTTCGACGACGCCCGCTACGCCGGTGAGCCCCGCCCGCCGTTCCACGAGTCGCGCCGCGCGCCCCACGCGGGAGATCGCAGCCGCTGGTCGCCTCGCGCCCGCGCCGCCCCGGGCCCCACGCGCACCCGCGCCCGTCCCGGCGGCCCGGGGCGCTGGCGAGCGCGCCCGCGATGCGCAGCGCCCCTCGTTGCCCCCGGGCGCCGCGTGCCGCCACCGCCGCGGTGCACGCAGCTCTGGTACGCAGCGCGTCGCGCGCCGCCCCGGGGCCGAGGCGCGGCGGCCGCATTGCTGTCCGCGCTGTTCAGTTCGTGCGCGTGTCCTCGCGGCCGACTCGCGGCCGTGTGCTGCGTGTGCGCGCGTGCAGGGCGGGGCGGGTTTGGCGACCGGGAGGGCCGGCGCGGCGGGAGCGGGCGGGAGGAGGAGGACATGGGCCCGTCGCGGGCGGACATGGCGGACGACTGGGGCAAGGACAGGGAGTTCCAGCCGACGGGCGGCCGCGGGGGCGGCTTCGGCGGCGGCCGCGGGGGCGGCTTTGGCGGCAGCCGCGGCGGGTTCGGGGAGGAGCGCCCGGGGCGCGGGTTCGGGTTCGGCGACGCGCCGCCGCGCGGGGACTCACGGGAGCGCATGGCGCCGCGTGCGGACGAGGTGGACGACTGGGGGAAGACGCGCGAGTTCAAGCCGACTGGCCGCGCGCCCCCCCCTGCCGGCGACCGCGGGTGGGGCCGCGGGTCGGACCGCGAGGCGGGCGCGTGGGGCGCCGGGGGCGGCTTCGAGCCGCGCGACGACGACCGCGGGCCGCCCGAGCCGTCGCGCGCGGACCAGGAGGAGGTGTGGGGCCACTCGGACTTCAAGGGCGCCGACGGGCGCGACCGTGCGCCGGGGCCCCGCCGCGACGGGCCGGCCCCGCGCACGGACCGCGCGGACGAGGCCGACGTGTGGCGCCGCGACCCCGACCCCGCGCCGGCGCCGGCCGCGGCGCCGTCGGGCGGGCGCCGGAAGCTCAACCTGGCGCCGCGCACCAAGCCGATCGAGCCCGTGGCGGCGCCCGCGGAGCCGAAGCTCCCGCCCGCGCCGCCGGCCGCGGTGGCCGCGGAGGACGCGGAGGCCGGGGCGCGCGCGGAGACGGAGGAGGAGCGGCAGCTCAAGGCGGAGATTGAGGACAAGAAGGTGATGGTGGCGGCGGGCGAGGCGAGCGAGGGGGACGTGAAGGACCTGGAGGTGAAGCTGCGCGCGCTGTCGGTGCGGCTGGACGTGGCGTTCGAGAAGGAGCAGCGGGAGCGCGCCGCGCAGGTCGCGGCGGCGAAGAAGGCCGAGCCCGAGGCGGAGGCGCCCGCGGAGCAGAACGGCGGCGCGGACGGGGGGTGGTCGGAGGTGGCGGCGCCGGCGAAGCAGCGCGGACCGAAGAAGGGTAAGGAGGCCGCGCCGGCCGCCGCGGCCCCGGCTGCGGCTCCCGCGGCGGGCGGGCGCGGGCGCGGCGGCCGCGGCGGCCGCGAGGGCGGCGGGGGGCGGCGGCCGGGCCCTGGGGAGCAGGTGGCGGCGGACCCTGGCAGGTGGTAGACGAGGAGGACGCGTGCGCGCGGCCAGCGGACGACCGCTCGAGCTGCACACTGTGAATGCGCCTGATTACACACAAACGTACTCGACGTCCGATACACAAACCTCAACTCCCTCTCGATGGCTCTTGAACATCATGCACCTATCTCGCTGCCACGACGACGTGCAGCCCCCTTCCGGCGCGGGCGGTGACGCGTGGGAGCAGCCCTGCAGGACGTCACGTCCGCTGCGCGCTCCCGACGTCCCCGCCAGCCGCGCCGCGAGCGATCACGGCTTCCGTCCACCAGAACACGAGGCCCGCGGCCAGGTAGCAGCCCGGCGCGAGGAGCAGCGCGTACCGCAGCCCCACCTTGGACGAGAGCAGCGCCACGCCCGTCGGGCCCAGCGCGGCGACCACGTTGCGCACGGCGAGCCAGACGCCCGTCGCGGACGACCCGAGCTCGGGCGGCGACACGTCCCGCACGATGACCGCCGCGTTGGACCGCCAGCACTCGGACAGCGCGAACCCCGCCAGGAGGGCTGCGAACGACATCTGGTACGTGTCCGCCAGGAGCGACTCCGTCAGCACCGGCGCCGAGGCGATCGTCGCGCCGGCGGTCAGCCACACGCGCCCGCCGCGCGCGCTCAGCTTGTCGCCGAGGATCCCCCCGCCGACCCCGCCGATGATGCCGCCCACGGGAATGCACAGCGCCAGCAGCGGCGCGTACACCTCCGGCGAGAGGTCGTACGTGCGCTCGTAGAAGGCCGCGTGCCACGAGATGAGCGCCCAGCCGCCCACGTCGACGAGCGCGCTGGCGAGCGCCACCCCGCGGAAGGCGGGCACCCGGAACAACGCCACGCAGGCGTCCCACAGCGACCCCTCGCTCTTGCTCGGCGTCCCAGCGCCGGCACCGGTGACATCGCGAATACCACGCGCCGCGCCGTTGCCAGCGCCGTTTCGCGCCGCCGCCGCGCCCTCGTCGCCGCTGGTTGCCGTCAGGGCACGACCCGATGCAGACTCGCTCGGCAGCCTCACCTCCGACACCACGAGCGAGGTGCGCGACCCCGGCGAGGCGCCCGCTGTCATGGACACCGACCTGGGCTGCGGCACGGGGCGCCCTCCCCGGTACCGGTACTTGCGGCGCGCCCTGGACACCTGCTGCTTCAGCCGCACCACGAGCCCCTTCATCTGCTCCTGCTGGTCCGCGAACCCCGCCCAGTTGGTGCGCTTCGCGAGCCCCGCCAATCGGCCCCGCGCGCGGGCGCGCCGCACCGCGCTGCCGTCGGCGACGTACACCACGGCGGTGGACAGCTCCTGCCAAAACACCGAGAAGACCGTGGCCTCGCGGCGGACGCGCGACTCGAGCCCCTCGGACATGTCGCTGACGCTGCCCATCTCGGGGATGAACTTGCCGAGCTTGCGCGGGTCGGACACGGTGAAGGCGAGCAGGAAGGCCAGGAGGAGGCCCGGGAGCGCAATGAAGTCCAGCACGAACCGCCAGTCCGCGGTGAGCATGACTTCGGGGAGCGCGGCGGACCCGTAGTCGTACACGGGCGTGATGGCGGCCATGTCTCCGGAGATGTACAGGATGGAGAACTCGGAGAAGTCAATGCCCTCGATGGGCACCATCTTGACGCCCGTGGCGACGGGGGCCGCCGCGGTCGTCTTGGCGACGATGCTGGCCGCGGGCGTGGTGTCGAGCACCTTGGTGACCCAGGAGGAGAGCGTCGAGGCGAACAGGACGATCTCGAACGACATGGCGCGCCCCAGGTACATCGAACTGTTGTACGCCGCCAGCGCGAGCGTGCGGTTCTGCGGGGCGGGGGGGCGCCGCGGGGAACGTCGGGCGCCGGTGGGCGCGGGGTGGACGGCGCCGTCAGTTGCCAGCGGGGACGCAGCCAGCCCGTGACATGTGGCGCAGGCTCTGGCGCACCTGGGGGAAGAGTTCCGGGATGATTGAGAAGCACACGGGGTTCTGGGCCGCCTGGGCGATGGCGAATCCCATGCGCATGATGAAGAGGGACGTGAAGTCGTCGCTCTGCGCCGCCAGCAACGTCAGCGCGGACCACCCTAGCGTGGCGATGGCCAGGAGCTGCGGGGGGCGGCGGAGGGGCGGGCGAGGCGTCAGATCGGTGTCGCTGTATTTTCGCTTCACGGACGTGCGGTCGGCGCGTGCCCCCGCCGCGGTGCACGTGTGCGCGGCGTGTGTTTGTGGGGTGGTGTCTGCACCTGTGGTCGCGACACCTTGTCTGCCAGGAATCCCAGAGGCGTGAGTGCGACGGCGTAGATGAGGGAGTAGCCCGCCGTGAGGGACGCAGCTTGGGTGTCGGACAGGCTGAGGTCGCGGGAGATGTCCGGCAACATGGCCGGAAGCCCAAACCCACACACCGAGTGGTGGATGTACGTGAGGGCCAGCACGGTGAGCGCCCACCGCTTGGCGATCTCCAGGTAGATGGACGAGCCGTCGATGCCGTCGACGGACTCCAGCAGCACGCCAGACTCGGCTGCACGCGTAGGCACAACGTCTAGCGGTGAGCAGCGGTCGCGCCGCGCTCGGCGCCGGCGGTGCTCCTCGGCGCGGGGACGGATCTCACCTGCGGCCCCGCTGAGCACCTCCTGCAGGTTGTTCGAGCTCGCGCGAGCCGAGCTGCCACCGTCTTCCCCCATGATGCTACCATCGTCTCCGCTGTCCCAGGGAGCGTGAGCAGCGTCGTCGTCCGCGCCCTCGCCGTCCTCGACATCTACAGGAGCGCTAATCTGGCCACCGGTCCCCCGACTATCCCCTCTCTCAACTGCATTCGCGGATCGCCTGGGGAGGATTTGCACGGCACCTCCCGCCTGGCACGTCGCGCAGTTGATCAGGGGCGCGCGCGAGGAGCCACAAAGGATGCCACGTGCAGCAGAACGCAAGCAAACTGCGTCTGTCGCGACCGCACCTCGCACGACCCACCGAGGCTCCTGCAGCAACCTACCGACGCCCCTGCTGCCACACCCAAGACGGCGCACTCGCCATCGACCTCCGCAACACGTTGTACAGCGCAATGAATGGCTCTGTATCCCTGCAGCGCAGCTCCGGATCGCAGCCCCCGGCCGCTGTCCTACATGGGCACCCACATTCATGACGTGCCCCCGCTGGACGCGCCGCCCCCGCGCATCCAGCGCGATGCGCCGTGCTTGTTGATTCCTCTAGCGTCCGTCGATTCAGGCGGGCGTCGCCCTTTTTGGCGGTTCTACACCGCCTCTGCCGAGGCTGAGATCCAGCTCAGCTCGCAGCGCGCGCGCGGCTCAAGGCGTCGAGCGGCTGCACCCGTCGCGCTTGTACGTGCTCTACCTGATCGTTCCGTGCGAGGGATCGCGAGTGCGCACCGGCGCCGCGCCACCCGGCAACGACAGCCCGCTGGGTGGTTGCGTCGCGCGCCCGACACCAGCGAACGCACCCGGGGCGGCCGACGCGCGCCGGCGAGCTCCGCCCCGTCGCCGCGCACGGCGGCACAGCACGTGAGGCCCCCACAGCGCTGCCCGTGTAGTGAACACTGTGCGCAACTTGCGCGTACTACGCCGTAGGTTTGTACTTCGCTGACCTACAAGCACCCTCACCGCGAGGACGCTTGAGCGACCGAAATGTCGCGTAGGTTGACTACCAGAACGACATCGTTCAAGTCTTCACAAGTCGGGCAGGGCACGGCGGCGGCACGACGCGTCCCGCCCCGCGAGTGCGGGGTATGCGGCGGTCGCGTGGGCGCGCGGCCGCGCGTGCCCTGCGGCACGGAGTCTGTGGCCAGGCCACGCGGGGGTTGCGGCCCCCTCTTAGGCCTCGGCGGCGAGCTTGGCAGCCTTGGACTTGACCTCGTCGATGCCGCCGACCATGTAGAAGGCCTGCTCGGGGAGGTCGTCGTAGGCGCCGGCGATGAGGTCCTTGAAGCCCGAGATGGTGTCCTTGAGGTCGACGTAGCGCCCGGGGGAGCCCGTGAACACCTCCGCGACGTGGAACGGCTGCGAGAGGAAGCGCTGCACCTTGCGCGCGCGCGACACGGTGAGCTTGTCCTCCTCGGACAGCTCGTCCATGCCCAGAATCGCGATGATGTCCTGCAGGTTCTTGTAGTCCTGCAGCACCTTCTGCACCGAGCGCGCGACGCCGTAGTGCTCGTCGCCGACCACGCGCGGGTTCAGCAGCCGTGAGGTCGAGTCGAGCGGGTCCACCGCCGGGTAGATGCCCAGCTCGGCGATCTGGCGCGACAGCACCGTCGTCGCGTCGAGGTGGGCAAAGGTGGTGGCCGGGGCCGGGTCCGTCAGGTCGTCGGCCGGCACGTACACGGCCTGCACCGACGTGATGGAGCCCTTCGAGGTGGTCGTGATGCGCTCCTGGAGGCCGCCGAGGTCGGTCGCGAGCGTGGGCTGGTACCCGACGGCGGAGGGGATGCGCCCGAGGAGCGCCGACACCTCCGAGTTGGCCTGCGTGAAGCGGAAGATGTTGTCGACGAAGAGCAGCACGTCCTGCCCCTCCGCGTCGCGGAAGTACTCGGCCATCGTGAGGCCCGTGAGCGCCACGCGCGCGCGCGCGCCCGGGGGCTCGTTCATCTGCCCGTAGACCAGCGTGCACTTGCTCTCGGCCTGCTGCGCGCCCGTCTTGATCACGCCCGACTCCATCATCTCGTGGTACAGGTCGTTGCCCTCGCGCGTGCGCTCGCCCACGCCCGCGAACACCGAGAACCCGCCGTGCGCCTTGGCGATGTTGTTGATCAGCTCCATGATCAGCACCGTCTTCCCGACGCCCGCGCCGCCAAACAGCCCGATCTTCCCGCCGCGCTGGTACGGCGCGAGCAGGTCCACCACCTTGATGCCCGTCACCAGGATCTCCTGCTCCGTCGACTGCTCCACGAACTCGGGCGCCTCGCGGTGGATGGGCAAAAACGTCTTCGCCGGGATCGGGCCCTGCTCGTCGATCGGCTCGCCGATGACGTTCAGGATGCGGCCCAGCGTCTCGCGGCCCACGGGAACCTGCGCGGCGGCCAGGCGCGGGGCGCGGGGGTGAGGTGCAGCCGCGCGTGGGGGGGTGGGGGGGCGCCGGGCGGGCGCGGGGCGGCGAGCGGCGGGCGCGCGGGTGGGGCGGGGGCGGACCTTGATGGGGGAGCCCGTGTTGAGGACGTGCTGGCCGCGGGTGAGGCCGTCCGTGCCCTCCATGGCAATGCAGCGGACGTTGTTCTCGCCCAGGTGGGCCGCGACCTCGAGCACGAGCCGAACCTCGTGGTTCTGGACCTCCAGGGACGTCATGATCGGGGGCAGCTCGCCGCCGGGGAACTTCACGTCCACGACGGCACCCACAACCTGCGCGGAACCCGGTCGAGGCACGACCACGTTGGTTGGGGACCCACCGCGCACCCGCGGGGCCGACCGAAGCCTGTCCGCGGGTGATGCTCGAATGAACCGCATCTCAGGACGACGTGCGGGGCGGCAAATCGGCGAGAGCGCCCCCCTGCGGCCCCAGGTGCGGGGTGCGTTCACCGAGGTGGCGCTCGGGCGCTGAACGCAGGACCACGCGACGCACGGGGGCGCGCAAGGCGTCGAGTCACGCCCGGGATCCGCGATAGGCTGCGTATCGAGCGCCCGTCGACACGTGGCCTGCCCGGGTGGTCGGCGAAAGAGGTCGAGCACGCCCAGCGCTCCGTGGAGCGCGTAGGCCGCCAGGTTGGGCCGCCGCGTGCATGGAAATGTCAGATACAGGCGAGCGCGCGGGGGATGTACCCCGCGGACCTGACGGAGCAGGGAGCAGGGCCAACGCCTTGTTGCACCGTGGGGCAGCACGTCGCGAACCGCACCTGAGTGACCTCGCCCATGCCCTCCGGCAGCGACGACTCGCTGGGGGCGGCCTGGGCAGCCTTGGCCGCCTTGGTGGCCTTGGCCAGCGCCGGGTTGGTGGCCCGGGCGAACTGGGCAGTGCTGCTAGTCACCATGCGCGTCGCCTGCGGGCAGAGAGGGCGGCTCGAGCGGGGGAATCAGCAGCGTGTTTCTCGGTCATCCGACGCGTGCGGGACAGACGCGCCAGGGAGCCCCACGCAGCGCACCTGCAGGCCCGCACGCTCGCCTTCCACGGCGAGCGCGCCCCCCACGGCGCGGGCGCTGCGCCCGAGGAGTCCAAGCGCCCTCCGCATTGCCATCTTCCCGAATCGCGAACTCTACCGGTGCCGCGCCGAACCCAGCCGCAACCAGCGGGCCGTCGCCCCTCTCTGTCCGTCATGAGGGCGCCAAAACACTCCGCCGCGCGGCCCGGGACCACCACCACGCGGCTTTCGGGGCCGCCCGCGCCCAGCACGCGCACACCGTCGTCGGCCGCACCCGCCAGTCTCAGCCTGCGCGACCTCCCGAAGCCGCAGCGGCCTGTTCAGTTGGGCCGCTCCCCGCAGCGTCCTGTGCCGCCGCTCGAGGACCCCCCCGTCCGAAGAACCAGCCCGCGCACCCCGGCAGCGGAGCGTGCTCGGTCGACCTCGCCAACGGGACGCGCGGCCACAGGATGTGCTTGCAGGCGCTGTCGAGCAGCTCACCGAGGGTGGTTGGCCTCGGCCGGGTGCCGTCGCGGCGGGCGGCGCTCCCAGCGAGGCAGGGCCCCTGCAGGCAAGCTCCCCCTCGCAGCGACCAGGCGCGGGGACGCGGGGCCGCGTCCCGGGGCCGCGCGGCGCCCTCGCGGCGATCTCACCGTCGGCCCACTGGCTGCTTCTGCGCGCCGCTCGCAGGGTTGTGGCCCGGGCTGAGCCCCGGTACGGGCACGCGGCGAACGAGATCGCGTCCATCTCCGCGAAGACGTCCGGGAAGGAGGCGCAGCAGGTCGTGGCGCCCAAGAGGCCGCTCGGGCTCCCCAGCGACACTTCGGGGACGGTGATGGTCGCTCTCGTCATCACGCAGGCAAGCGCGGCGCCCCCGCGACAGCGAGCGCGACGCCCGGAACATGACGCCACCGCGCTCGTGCTCCTGGGCGCCCTCGGTCGCGCGTGCCGGCTGCGCGCCCCTCCCTGGAGTGCGCCGCCCAGCCCAGCGGCGCGCCCGGCGCCCCACGCGCGCCCTTCCGACCGACGCGCTGCAGGCTGTGGGACTGATCGGGGCGTTCGTGGGCGGCAGGCGCGCGAACAGGTTCAGGAAGGAGCTGCAGCAGGTCAACTCCCAGCTGCGGCAGATCAACGCCGAACTGCGCTCCCGCAACGAGCCGGAGCTGGTCCCCGAGGCCGACGAGGCCGAGGCCGGTATCGCCTACAGGTGCGGCGCCCGCTTGCCGGCGCGCCTCTGCCCGTGCGCACCCACTCGTGGTGCGCCTGCCAGCGGTGCGGCGCAGCCAGCGCGGGCTGCGGAGGGCGCCGCGAAGCGAGCAGTTGCCTGCCCCGCGCGTCGCAGGAACGCGCTGGAGAACTCGATGAACTCTCCGTCGGCGGCGCACCCGCTGGAGGGCGTGGGCAAGGGCAACTTTTCGGTGGCGCAGGCGCGGCGGGAGATCTCGCGGTCGATCAAGGAGAGCTACGACGACGCGCTCGAGGGCGACCCGGAGAAAGGTGCGCGCCGCCGCCGCGCGGGCCCGGCCTCGCACGCCCCCCGACGGGGCAGCCGCGTCGCTGTCCGCAGTGCGCGCGCCGCTGTGTCTGTGTCTGCGCGACGCGGGCAGCCGCCGCGGGCGCTCGCAGGCATCAAGGCGCTGGACCACGCGGAGGAGCTCGCGATCGAGCTGAAGGACGCGGTGGCGGAGCGCGCGGTGGTGCGCGCCATGGCGCAGTGCTACCGCGAAATGGCGGCCGCGAGCGAGTCGGAGGGCAAGCGGCAAGAGGCGTTCCGGTCCGCGATCACCTGCCTGGAGCGCGGGCTGGAGATCTCGATGCAGGTCGGGGAGTACACGGGCGACGCGGACATGTACGGCGACATCGGCGACCTGTTCGTGGAGCTGGGCGACCTGCAGAAGGCCGGGGAGTACTACGACCGCTGCATCAAGGCGCTCTCCGAGGACAGGATCACCATCCCCTCGTCCTCCTGGGACTGCTGACGCGCCGAGGGCACATGGAGCGCCGCGGCGACGGAGCCGTGGCGAAACAGTCGCGACGACGGGTGTGAGTCTGTCTGCGAGGTCCGCGGGGCAGTCGTGCCGGCCGCAGTGAGGTCCGCAGGTCCAGTGTCGAAGCCGCAATGACAGCGATTGCAAGACGGGGGGTGTGACTGGCGCGGTGCGGCCTCTGTGCCTTTGCGGGCCGCTGCCGCGCCGGTCGTCGACGTGCGCGCATGGCTTCTTCGCTGCCATGAGGCGGCAGCCGCACGGCGGACCCGCCGCGGGCGACCTCGGGATCAGCACTGAGCCCTACCCGGCGCTGCTGGTGCTGAGCTGCAGGAAATGCCTCGAGGTTCTCGGTGACTCGTCGTCGCTAGTGTGTACCTGCAAGGCTCTCCACTACATCTGCATCAACGTCGCCTGCAACGTGGTCGTAGACAGGCGAGACAGCCCTGCTCCGCCGGCCAAGTGCATGCCCGTCAGAGCAGCCGCATGCCGCGTCAAACCGCATCATCATGGACTCGAGTTGGAGTACATGTAATGTCGATGGCATTGGTGGTACAGAGGCGGCAGGATGTGGCGTCTGACCGCGCGTCCTGCGCGTCCCCCTGCAGGTCCAAGTTGACCGTGTCCAGGTCCGGCGCCGACGCGGGTGCCACGAGCTACCCGTGCCAGTGCTCCGTGTGCAAGACGCACGTCGGCCGCGTGTACGAGTCGACGCCTCCGCAGCTCAGCGTCTTGCAGGGGTGCTTCAGCCTGTACACCGACAAGGTGAAGAGCTACACCGTCGGCGCTGGAGTGACCGCGACAGGTGCGGCGCAGAGCGCAGAGTGCCGCCGCCTGCGTGCGCGCGTGCGGGCCGGAGCTGGGCGCGTTCCTTGCGACGACAGACCATCCTTGCGAGAGACAGCGCAGCGCGCGTTCGTTCGTTGCAGGCGAGGACGCGCAGGTCGCCGTGGCGTCGCCCGTCGCGGGCGGCGGCGGCAGCGAGCCGGGCGACGCGCTGAACGAGAGGGTTGCGCAGCTGGAGGAGGAGATGCTGCGCGTGCAGAGGCTGCTCCTGTTGCACAGCGAGTACTTCGGCGAACTGGGCGTGGAGGTGCGGGTGGGGGGCGGCGAGGGAGAGGAGGAGGGGGCGCGGCAGGGTGGAGGCGGTCGAGAAGAAAGCGACCTCGCGGCCCAGTCAGGTGGGGCAACGCACGCTGATGGTGCACGTGCATGTCGGGCTGGCCAGCTGGCGACGAGTCAGCTCCGCGAAGGTGCGGCGGTGGTTGCAGGGCGCTCTGCGTCTTTGGACGTGGATGATCTCGGTGCGGGTGACGGTAGGAAGCGAGCGAGGGCCGACGACACGAGTCCTGAGCCTGGTGCACGGACAGCGGGGGGGCGGGGGCGGGGGCGGGGCCGAGGCAGGGGCAGGGGGCGCGGCACGAAGCGGTCGAAGCGGTGACGCGGCGGAGTTTCGAGTGCGGCGAGGGCGCCGGGGACGCGGCAACCATTGGATCACAGAACTACAGATATCTTGTGAGGAAAGGTGCGGTGTGGGGGTGAGTCAACGGCGGCGGAAGCGCGCCTGAAATTCAAAACCTGGTGCGGGTGTCGGGGGGGTGAATGCGCACGCTGCGGACGGACCGGTCGAGGTAGGATGTGTGACCGGGCGGCGACGCCAGACCATGTCGCGGAGTCTGTACAGGCGGACAAGGGGCGACGCGCGGCGAGACGGAAGCGGTAGCGGCTGCAGGGTCGGGGCATGCAAGGCCGTGCTGGCCTCACGAGAGCGAGCTGCGGCCTCGTCGGCGGGGCTCTGGGACCTCGTCCCGTCCGCGCTTCGCCTTGCGGTCCGCGGCAGCGACCGAATCCAGCTCCTTCTTGCTGGCCGACAGCAGGGCGTGCTCCCAGGCTGCCGCGGGCCCGTCCCAGGACATGTCGGCAGTCATGCACCGCTGCCGCCGCAGCTCAAAGTCCTGCGCTCAAACACTCGATGAATCGCACGATGGGCAACTGGAGCGCCCTCGGTCAGCAGAGCAGCTTTGGCAGCAATCCGTGGGGCCGTACCGGTGAGCCGTACTCCACGAGCGCCTCTTGGATGCCACTGATGGCCCGCGTGACGCACGCCTCGAGCGTCCCCGCCGACCGCCCGCCCAGCGGCCCGAGCAGGAAGCCCCGGTCGATGGTGACGAAATCCGTGAGCCCGCCGACGGACGACACCATCGGGATCGTCCCGTACTGCAGCGCGCACTGCGCGACGAGGCCGCACGGCTCGAACCGCGACGGGACGACGAGGTAGTCGCACCCCGCCATCATCAGGTGCGACAGGCCGACGTCGAAGCGCGCGATCCCCGCCGCGCGCCCCGGGTAGGACTTGCCGAGGAAGGAGACGGCGCGCTCGAGGCCCGGCTGCCCCGTGCCCAGCACCGCGACCTGCGGGTACCGGAACCAGCGCCCGTCGCGCGTGACCGCGACCTTCCGCACGGCGTCCACCGCGCCGTCCTCGCCGTCGGCGACCAGCGTCGCGTCCGTGCCCAGCGTGCCCGCGCTGCCCACCCGGTCCGAGGAGCTCAGCCCCGACTGCATGCCCACGAGCTCCATCGCGCGGCCGAGGATGCTCTTGCGCGGCGACGGCGACGACGGCCGCTCCGGCTGCAGCTCCGGGAGCGCCGCGAGCAGGATGTCGACGCCCTTCTGGTGCTCCAGGCGGCCCACGAAGCCGATCAGCGGCGCGTGCGGGTCCTGCTCCAGGCCGAGGCGCTGCTGGAGGAGCTGCTTCGCGGCGGCCTTGCCCGTGCCGACCGTGCCGAGGGAGTACCGGGCGTGCTCGGGCAGGAAAGCGTCGGTGCGCGGGTCCCACTCCTCCGTGTCGATGCCGTTCGTGATGCCCACGAAGCTGCGCGCGCGCATGATCTCGTCGTCGAGCCCGCAGCCGTCGCCGCTGGCGATCTCGCGCGCGTACCCGGGGCTCACCGTGAGGATGGCGTCCGACAGCCGCAGCGCCGCGCGCATCCAGTTCATGCGCATCCCGCGCGGGAGCCGCCCGAGGATCCCCGGCGCGAGCGGCTGCAGCGCGGGCTGCGACGTGGCCGCGCCGCCGAGCGAGTCCGGGTCGTAGAGCACGTCCGAGGTGCCCGGCAGCTCCACGCCGTGGTTGGACGGCGGCGTGCCGTTCCCGGGACGCAGCATCGCGTCCGACGAGAAGATCTGGTCCACGAGGCTCCGCGGGGGCGTCGGCCGCGCCTTGTCGAACAGGTCGTCCACCAGCTTGGGCTGCGAGCGCCCCGAGTCCCCCGGGCGCGTTGGGTCCCTGTCCCCCAGCCGCGCGGGGGAGTTCGCGAACGACGACAGCAGGTCCGCGCCGGCCGCAGCCGCGCCCGCGCCAGGCTTGTCGAACAGCGACGCGAGCCCCCCCGCCCCGCCCGCCGCGCCCTTCGTCTCCGCGGGCGGCGCGCCGGGCCCGTCCGCCCGCACCGCCTCGCTGAGGAGCGACCGCCGCGACTCCGCGGACCCGCGCCCCACGGACGGCGCGTCCCCGGGCGGCTTGGCGAGCGGCGGCCGCACCGGCTCCGCGAGTCCCGGGAAGGTGCTCCAGAACGTCTCGGGCACGTCGAGGAGGTGGCGGACGAACTCGTCGGGGAGCGTGAGGCGCGGGAAGAGCTCCGCGGGGAAGTGGCCCTGGTAGGCGAGGTTGTGCACGCACGTGGTGACCGTGGCGCCGCGCAGCCGCCGCTCGAGGGTGCGCGCCAGGGCCAGCAGCTCGATCTCGTGGGTGACGGCCGCGGCGGCCGCGGAGGCGGTTGGGGGCGCCGAGGAGGCGCGCGGGGGCACGTCGGGCGCGCCGAGCGGCCGGTGCGCGCTCACGGACGTGCGCTTCGAGGACCCGCTGGCGCCCGTGGTGCGCGGCGTCGACGCGGGCTCGCTCACCTCCTCGACCTGCGCGCGGGGCGGCGCGGGGCGCGGAGCGTGGGGCCGGAGAGCCCTGCGCGTGCTGACCGCCGGGGGCGCGGCGGCGGGCGGGGGAGCGCGTGTGTCCCGGGCGTGGGGGGTGGCGGGGGGTCGCACCGTGGAGAGCAGGGGGAGGGCGCGCGAGGGGGGGCTGGTCGGCGCCAGCGGGGGCGCGCCCGTCTGGAAGGGGTCGGGAGCGGTGCTTGCCGCGAGCTGCGCCTCGGCCTCGCGCAGGCGCCGCTCGCAGGCGGCCACCATATGCCCGCCCTGGATGTGCGCCTTGACGCGGAGTACGAGCATCGCGGCCGGCCAGTCGTTGGCGACGAACACGAGCTTCTTGCCCTCCCCGAGGGACCCGCGGGGCGAGCCGTCCGCTGCGTCGCTGCTCGCGCCGTCGCCTGCGCGGAGGAGACGTGGCATGGAGGCTCTGGCGTGGGAGGCTCCCTGGCGGGTCGGCGGGGGCCGTGACGTGGGATCGAGGCGGCGTGGCCAGCTAGTTCGGGCGCGAGACGCAGATCGGGGGCGCGTTCGGGGCCGCGCGCGCACCTGGCGGCAGCAGCAGCGCGGGGGCTGCTGCAGCGGCTTGGCAGAGGATGGAGTACTGGATGTCGAGGTTGGACCCCTCGGCGCCGCCCTCGATGTAGCCCGTGCCGTAGATGGTGTGGGGGTCGTTGTTGTCCGCCGCGTTGAACGCGGGGTGGTCCACAAAGACGCGAATCACCCCGCCCTGGTTGCAGACGTGCAGCTCCGCGTGCGAGGCGGCGCTGCGGTCCCCCGCGTCGCCTTCCCCGGACCCTGCCGCCCCGGTCGCGGCGTTCCCGGACAGCGCGCTCTTCGGCGGCAGCTCCAGCGGCACGCGCACCCCGGTCGGCCTGGTGTCTGGGTACAGGCCGTAGCGCGGCGCGACCGTCATCACGCGGTGCCCGCGACGCGCTATCGCCGGCGGCAGCGCCTGCATCACGTCCCCGAGGCCGCCCGCCTTGGACCACGGCGACACCTCCGCGCTGCAGAAGACCACCGTGAGCGCCTCTGGGCCGTGCATACTGTCACCGATCGCCTCCTCCAGGTGGCCCAGCTGCATGTCCATCTCCGAGATCAGCAGCTGCGCCCGGCTCTGGGGCGAGAGCTGCCTGGTCGCGGACCCGACGCCGGCAACGTCGGTCGTCGCGGCGCCGTCCGCCGTCTGCTGTTGCTGCAGCTGTGTGTGCCGGAGCCTCAAGCGGCGGCGGGGCCGCAAGCCCCCGCGCCGTCTACGGCCTCCCCGGTAGGCGCTCGCTGTGGTCTGGGGGCCGGGAGTGAGTTTCGGGTGCGGGGTGGCGGAAGGGAGGCTAGGGCAGAGCGGACGACACAGGCCGGCAAAGCGAGCCTTCATGAGACTCCTGAAGCAGCCAGCTCGGTGGCCTGGGGCCAGAATCGAATTCACCCGGCGCCCTGGCGCGCCAATGGGCCGCCCGGCCCGCTACAGCGCGCGTGGGGACGCTGTATAAGGTCGGCAGTCGGACCCCACGGCAATCGGGCGATTCCGCGGCACCCGGGGCGCGTGCAGGCGACAGGATGGACTCCCCTGCTTGGGCTTTGCCGACTGTGCGCGAAAGGTGCGCTTCGGTCCGTATATATACACCGCGACCTGCCCGTGCCGCGTGAGAAGCCCCTGGGGTTTTCCCTGAGACAGCTGTCGGACAAAAACGCCCCGCCACGCGCCCCTGGACCCCGCCGCGCCGGAATCTCCCCCGGCCGCGCTGCCCCGTACCTCGCACGTTGCGCCGGACCCTGCCGGGCCGCCCGCAGTCGCGCCCCCCGCGCGCGCCTAGGGACCAGGGTAGATGAGTCACCCCCCCCGCCGCGCGGCCGCGCCCGCCGCGCCCCGCACGGACCCCCGGTGGCTGCCGCGGGGGGTCCGCGTGCTCGCCTCCCGGAGCGCGGGGAGACGCGGTGCGGCCCGTTCCTGCCCCCCGCCGCCCCTGCAGTCACCCCGCGCTCCTGCTATGCGCCCCGCAGCGGCGCGCCCCCCCGCGCACGGCCCGGCGCCTGGCGAGCAGCGGGTTGGCGAGCAGCCCTGCACGTCGGCCGCCGCGACGCGCGAACGGCGCGCTTCCCCCGCGTTCGGGGCTCGGTCAACCGGCGGCGCGGCGTTGCTCACATGGCCGGGAAGGCCGCGGTCGGTCCGGCTGGCTCGACGTCGATCTCGCGGTCCGGTCCCACGATGCCCACGAGCGCCCACCGCCCCGCGAACGCGTCCGCCCACGTCTCCGCCGCCGTGGCCGTCTCCAGCAGCGCCGCCCACGCGTTCTCCAGACGCACCTTGCGCCCGGCCAGCCCCGACGCCGCCTCCTCCCACCCGCGGTTGTGCCCCACGCACAGCACGCACGCCACGGAGTCCTCCGCCTCCTGCACGACGAGCTCCTGCACCGACACCGACACGAACCGCAGCACGCGTCGCGGCCGTTGCAGGCGGCAGCGCCTGCGTCACGCCCCCGAGGCCCCCCGCCTCCGACCACGGCGACACCTCCGCGCTGCAGACGACCACCGTGAGCGCCTCTGGGCCGTGCGCGGTGGTGGTGTCGGCGATCGAACCCCCCAGGCGGCCCAGCTGCACGCCCGGCTCCGGGGCGAGAGCTGCCTGGTCGCGGACCCGACCCCGGCGACGTCCGTCGTCGCGCCGTCCGCCGTCCGCACGGAACGTGTGCGTGTGTCCGGGGGGGTCAGCGCGTGCGCACCTTGATGTGCTCGAGCGTCACGCCGTCCATCGCTGCCGCCGTGTACAGCGACCCGTAGCTCCTCTGCGCGGCCGCCTTGAGCGCGGCGTTGGCCTCGCACAGCTCCTCGATGGTCTGCCGGGACCGCACCGAGTCTGCGGCGGGCGGCGAGCGCGTCCGTCGACGTCGGCGGCGCGACGCCGGTGCACGTGAGCTGCGGGGGCGCTGTCGTCGCGCGCCACGCGCGGCGCGAGGCGCATCGGCGACGGAGGTGCTGGGCGGGGCGTTGGAGGTGCGGGGCCGCGCGCGCACCCGAGGCAAGCACGAGCTCCGGCGCCCATGGCCGGCCCTTGTCGAGGAGGTTCTTCGCGAGCTTCGCGGCATTCTCCTTCCCGACCACCGACAGCGGCCTGCGCGGGCGGGTTCCAGCACGCGCTGGTGCTAGGTCGTCGGGCCTAGCGACGCGGGCCACGATGCGGCGCGTCTGCGCGCACAGAGACGGCGCGGCAGCGCTGCGGCGCGCGCCGCGGATGGCCCTCGCTGCGTCCCGCGCGGCGCGTCGGCGGGGGGGCGCGATGGAATCCAGAAGTGGGGGTGGTGGGATAGCGGGCCCACGGGCGACGAGCGGTCGGGTGGTTCTCGCCTGTCGAAGTCGCGCTCGACCTGCGCGTCCGCGTCGGCCTGCGCGTGCCGCAGCATGATGATTCTGCGCTTGCTGCCCGCGCCGGACTGCTCCGCAGGCTTGCTGGGCGCCGAGCCGGCTTTCGCGGCGCGCGCGGCCACAATGCGACGGCAGCGCGGATACGTCCCGACGTCGTGCACCGCTCGGCGCGCCACAGCGCCGCGGCCGCCCCGCGCCTGCGACGGCACGTTGAACTGCAGCGCCTGCGAACCCATTGGGCGGCCAGAGGCGCCCCTGGGGTTGCGACAGGTCGTCGACGGGCTGTAAGCGGCCCCCACCATGGCCTTCATGCTCATACCGATCGCGATACCGCGCCGCCACGCGGTCCGACTCGGCCAAGGCGCCGGCAGCGGTGCGTGCCCTGCTGAAACAGGGTGCGCGCTTTCCACGGGCCTGAGCGCGGAAGAGAAGCGCCCGAGTCCGCTCGTCAAGCTGCCACGCGCAGGACGGTGCCGGTCCGGCCCGTCCCCGCGGCAATGTCTGCGCGAACGCGCCTGCAGGGGGTGGTGCAGCGACACACCTCCGCGGGCCGTCCCGCGGGCGCCCCCCGTGGGTGGTCGGGCCGCCGCGCGCGACGTCTGCGGGCGGCGCGGGCCCGTGCTGCGACATCCGCTCCAGGACAGGCGCGTGGCCACGCCCCCCCGCGCTCATGGAGGCTGCCCGCCAGATGCCCGCGGAGGCCAGCGGCGCTCTGGCGCGGCTCCTGGACGACCCCGCGGGGTTCTTCGCGGACAGCGATGCCGCGGAGGTGACGAAGCGGATATGCAAGATGCTGTTCGACGAGCTCGCCGCGTACGCGCAGGACGGCGGGCTGTCGTCTCTGTTTGTCGACGGCTTCGACGCAGAGCAGATCTGGGGGCAGCTGGACATGCAGGCGGGCGTCCTGAACGCGCGCGCGAAGAAGCTCATCCGCGCTGGCACCGAGTCGGGCGACGCGGGGCTCCTGACGCCCGAGGGCGCCGCGCTGCTGGACCAGCTCCTTGGCGGCGCTGCGGCCGTCGCCGGCCGCGGCTCGGACGCGACGGGGAGCAGCGACGGCGACGACGGGGACGGAGGGTCTGACCGGGAGAGATCGGAGGCGACGTCCTCCGAGCGAGGTGCGCGGCCTGCTGCGCGCCGCGGCGGGTGTAGCCTGCCAGCACCCAGGACGCCGCGCGCGCCGCCGCCGCCGGCCTCGCCCTCCCTTGTGCCCGCAACGCCCCCCTGATAGCCTCCGCAGCCCGCTCCTGCGCCCGCCAGGCCTTGCCATTCCGCCAAGGCGCGCGAGCCGCCCCACGACCTGCACGCAGGAAGCTCGGGGGAGGACCGCGGCGACGACGACGGCGCCGACGGCAGCGACAGCGACGCGGAGGAGGAGGACGGCGACGCGGGCGCGGACGTGGACGCGGACGAGCAGGCGCAGTTCGAGCGGGCGCTGCGGCTGGAGCCCGGCACGCGGACGCTAATGCAGGAGCTGGCGGAGATGAACGACTTCGTGAAGCAGGCGGAGCGCGAGGCCGGGGAGGCGAGCGACGGCGAGGACGACCTGCGCAGCGACGGGGGCGGGTCGACGGAGCCGTCCGAGGCGGGCAGCGACGGGGAGGAGGAGGACGGCGACGACGACGGTGACGGCGAGGGGGCCGGAGGGGCGCGGAAGCGGGCGCGCGGGCTGTTCGAGAGCGACAGCGAGTCGGGGGGGTCCGGCGACGGCGCGGCGCGTCTGTCGCGGCACCAGCGGCAGCAGGCGGCGCTGCGGCGGCGCATCGCGGCGCTGGAGGAGGCCAACGCGGGCGAGAAGCCGTGGGAGCTGCGCGGCGAGGTGGATGCGCGGAGCCGGCCGGTGGACTCGGCGCTCGAGGTGGACCTGGACTTCGAGCAGACGCTGCCGCCGGTGCCGGCGCCCACGGAGGAGCTGGCGGGCAAGCTGGAGGACGTCATCCGGCGGCGGTGCGCGGAGGAGCGGTGGGACGACGTGGTGCGGGTGGCGGAGGAGCGGGAGGGCGCGGGGAGGCGGGCGCGCGTGGAGCTGGACGACAGGAAGTCGGAGCGCGGGCTGGGCGACATCTACGCCGACGACTACGTGGCGCGGAAGACGGGGGGCGGGGCGGAGGACCCCGCGGCGCCGCTGCACGAGGAGGCGCGGGCGCTGTTCGCGCGGCTGTGCGCGGCGCTGGACGCGCTGTCGCACAACCAGTTCGCGCCGGCGCTGCAGGCGGCGGACCTGGAGCCGGTCCGGGTGTCGGTGCCGGCGGTGGAGCTCGAGGAGGTGGCGCCGGTGGCGGCGGCGGGCGGCGGGACGGCGGCGCCCGAGGAGGTGCACGAGCCGAGCCGGAGGGAGGCGCTGGGCGTCGAGGACAGCCGGGCGCGCAAGAAGGCGCGGCGCAAGGCGCGCGGGCAGGAGAAGGCGAAGCGGCAGCCGGAGAAGTTCGCGCACGGGGTCAAGGTCGTGACGGCGGAGGACTACAACGAGCGCAAGAACAGGGCCGTGCCGTCCAGCGCCGTGCTCAAGGGGTAGCACTGTTGTTGTGTGACGGGGGGCAACGGCAGGGCCTGCGGGCGCGTGCCTGTCGTCGCGGCGCGGGCGTCGCGGCGCGGGCGCGGTGAGAGTCTCACAGTCTGGGTGTTGCGGCCTCGTACGGCCGCAGGTGTGGCGTGGAGGTGTGCAGTGCTGCCTCGTGCGCAGTGGCCGGAAGGGGCGTCGTGGCGGCGGTCGGGCTGGTCTCAGACGGCCGTGGACTGCGTCGACAGCGGGGGCTCCTTGTGCCACAGCTGCCGCACGGTGCGCGTGAGCCCCGGGCCCGTGGCGTTGAGCTTCGCGAGGCCCAGGAACATCGTCGCTGCGGGGAAACGGACGCGGTGGCGCGGTTCTGGCATGTTCACGACGCAAGCGGCAGGGTGTGCGCGCGTGTTGCGTCGTGGGTCGCCGCGGGGGCGCGCGCGGGCCCAGACAGGGCGAGCAGGGGGCCGTGCGGGGCGGTCGCGCGCCCACGCGGCGTCGTCAGCGGCGGCGCCGCGACCAGCACCGCCACCGTCAGATGCCGTGTCGGCGGGCGCGGGTCGCGTCGCGCTTCCAACGCCGCCGTGCGGGCGCGCGGGGCGCTTCTGTTGGGCAGCAACAACCTGGCCGGGACCCGCCGCGTCCCAGCGTCAACGCGCGCCACGGGCGCGGTTGAAGGTCGTGTGCGAGCCGTTCTCACCTGTTCCGAAGAGGGTCGCCACCCTCGCCGCCCCTCGGACGGGCTTGGGCACGTAGTCCGAGACCACGGCGTTCACCGAGATCTGCGAGTGCACCGGCAGCGCCGCCGTGATGCCCCAGTCGGCCACGGTCTGCAGAACGCTGTTGTCGGGCGCGAAGCACGCGAGGGGCACGAATGCGCCCAGGGCGTAGTGGCTGTAGTGGAACAGAGCCCTCCCGCTCCTGTTGAAGGAGTCCGCCGCGAGGATGCGCGACATGCTCCGTGCCGTCCGACGTCCGGTCCCGCAAGTGTGTCCGCACGTGCGCGCGCCCGCGCCGACGGCCCCGGGAGGCCGGGCGCGCCGTCCGCGTCGTCGCACTGGGGGCGGGTGCAACCACTACCGACGCAGGGACGTCTCTCCCCCGCACGCGGCGCGGCGTGGGCCGTGGTTGGGGCGGCGGGGCGACGCAGAATGCAGTTATCCGAACGTCCAGCCTCCCGCCTACCTTTCGTTCTCTCTGTTCGTCCCGGCTCGCGCAACCAGGCCAGGTGCGTCGCCCAGAGGTCGCACGCGGCCGTCGCGTCGACGAGCGGCGCCCGCGTCGACGTCCGCCGGCTGCGCGAGCGCCCGGCGGTGGCGCCGACGCCGCCTCGCCGCGCCTGCCCCCGCCGTCTGCTCGCCGGCGCCCGGAGGATGCTGACTAGGATGCCTGCGGTGCATCTGGGGTCTGAGGAATCACGCTTTCGCGGCGCCCTGCAGGCCTGATCCCCCAGTCGAGGGCGCTCCGCGGATCTCCACCACGATACTCTCTTCGGCCCTGCTCCGCGCGCCCCTCGAATCTCGCGTGTCGAGGTCCAGCGGCGCGCTGCAGGCAAACCTACCTAGGCCGCGTGCCTGCACCGCCGCTGCCACCCGCGCCTCCGCCCCTGCCATTGGCAGGCGCGGTCTAGGGTTCAGGATGCCCACGCTGGATGCCGAGGCGCGCGTCGCGGGCGAGATCGCCGGCTCCCTCAGCTCGTCGCTGAGCCTGGGCACCAAGGCGGGCCACGGCGCCCGCACCTTCGACGTCCACGCGACGTCCGTGGACGTCCCGCACAACGGAAACGTCGACGTACGTCGCGCGCGCCCCGCGTCCCCGCCGCCCCCGTCCCGCACGGCTGCGTGGCGCGTTGCACCGTACGCGTTGCACCGAGGCCGCGCGCCGCCCGCACACCGCGTTCCACGTCCCGACGCCCGCGCGCAGGTGTCGGGCGGCAACGGATCTGGCCGGCGTCGCAGGAAGATCATCATCGACACGGACCCGGGCATCGACGACACCATGGCCATCCTGGCGGCGTTCAACTCGCCCGACGTCGAGGTCATCGGCCTCACGACGGTCTTCGGCAACGTGGTCACCTCCACCGCCACGCACAACGCCTGCCTCCTGCGCACCATGGCCGGGCGCCGCGACGTCCCCGTCGCCGAGGGCGCCCACGGACCCCTCAGGTGCGCACCCGCGCGCGCGTGCGTGCGTGCTCGCCCTCCGCTCCCGCCCCGCGCCCGCGTCGCAGCAGCACCGACGCCTCCTCCCCGCGCCCCGTTCCCCCGCTCCGCAGCGGCGCGTCGGTGTCGCTGGTGGCGGACTTTGTGCACGGCAAGGACGGGCTGGGCAACCGCAACCTGGACGGCGAGATCGACAAGCTGTTCCCGGACGCGGGCCCGCCGGACGGGCGCACGGCCGCGCAGTTCCTCGTGGACATGGCGCTGAAGTACCCGGGCGAGGTGACGATTTTGGCGCTGTCGCCGCTGACCAACCTGGCGCTGGCGATGCTGCTCGACAAGCGGTTCGCGCAGTGCGTCGGCGAGGTCGTCCTCCTCGGCGGCGCGTACGCGTGCCTGGGCAACGTCAACCCCGCCGCGGAGGCCAACATCTTCGGCGACCCCGACGCGGCCGACGCGGTCTTCCGCGGGTTCCCGCGGATCCGCGCGGTCGGGCTCGACGTCACGCTCAAGTGCTCGATGACGCGCGAGGAGCTCGCGGACCTGCACGGGCGCGGCGAGGGCGTGGGGACGCTGGTGAACGACATTGCGCAGTTCTACCTCGACTACCACGTGTACTCGGTCGGGGAGCACAAGGTCTTCCTGCACGACCCCACCGCGCTCATGGCCGTGCTGCACCCGGAGTGGTTCAAGTGGACCAACGGCGGGGTCATCGTCGTCAGGGACGGCCCGTGCCGCGGGAAGACGATCATGGACACGGGCGAGCGCGTGTTCAAGTTCCCCACCGAGTGGGACGCGCGGCCCAAGGCGCAGATCGCGGTCGGCGTGGACACCGAGCGGGTGCGCGCCAAGGTCCGGGAGCTGCTCGTCGGCGGGGACGTCGCCGTCCTGCAGTCCCAGTGAGGCGCGCGCCGATGCCCCCCCCCGCCCTCCCGCCCTCCCTCCGTTGCCACCGCGCCCCTGCACACGCCCGCGGAATGTCGATACCCCTCCCCCGAGAGAGAGCCCCACGGCCACGCACGAAGCCGCCGGCGGCACACAGCGAGACCCACCCATTTGTACATACCAGAGCCACCGCAAGGACGCGCACACCGGGAGTCTCCCCGCCCACTTTTGCGCGTCGTGCGCCCCCTTCCTTCGCGAGAAATTCCAAGGTCGCATCATTCCAGCAATTCCCATGTGACCAAGACTTTCGAGTCGTGCCTGCACGGTGGCGCAGCCGTAAGCAGCCTCCCGACCGTGCCCGCGGGACCAACACGTCAGGGACGCCGGCAACGGGCCCCCGAACCGTCGGAGGGACACCTCGTGCGCAACTTGCACGTGCACGTGTGCGCGCGAACGCAACAACAACGCTTCGATCCCGTGTCCGGTGGGCTCTGGACCGTATGGTTGGCGGCGAACAATACCCTTGCCCTAGTCTGCGTCTCCGCGAGAGAACGGCCCGCCTGTCCCTGCTCCTGTCAACACGAGCCTGTTGCCCGGCGACCAGCGCCGGTCCCTTGGCGAGGATGAGGGTGCCTCGACCCTGGGCTTTCGCGTCCGGCGGTAGCGCAGCGACCGTCGGCGCTCTCGCGGGCCGATTGGGATGGCGGGGGGGCCTCGGCCGCTCCTGCCTCCGCCGGCCGCACGGGGCTCGCCTCCGGTCTGTAAGTCTCAGTCTCAGTTTGACCCTTCAGGTTCTCCCGCCGTTGGGTCCGCGATGAGGCGGCGAGCACAGGGCGCGTTCGCCCGCGGCATAGCCTCCAGGATCATGGTCAAGCTCATCCGCGGCGCAGCGTGCCTCAAGTCGTCGTCTGCTGTGTCGGAACCGTCAACATCGTGCGGCCGTCGGCGGAGGTGCCGACGGCCGTGCGGTGCTCAGGGACCGCGAATTGTCCTTACGGCGGCCGTCACCGGCCTCAGGTGCGTTGTCGCGACCTGCCACGACCCCCGCCGCGCGATGTTGGATTTGCACCCGTCGCCCGTGCGCATGCCACGGTGAAACAGTGTTGTCAATGACATGCACGTCATCGTAAAAGTGACATCGTGCTCTGGAATACACGAAATTGACATTTTTTCTCACGAACGATTATGCTCGTTTGACACCCCCTCCTGCGAAAAGCGGGCGGGGGGGGGGGAGTCCCCATGAGTCAGGGCGTGTAACTCAGTGGATAGAGTGCCAGACTTCGAAGCCTACTGGGCGACGCAATCTGGAAGTCGACGGTTCGACCCCGTCCTCGCTCGCGACGTTTATGCCCATGTTTCTGTGCCCTGCTGCAACAACAGGCGACGTTGACACGCTCGCCAGCCTCCGACGCCTCGCACCACCCCCGCCATCCCGTCCCGATGCCAGTCGCCACGCTCGCGGTGCCCGCAGCGTCCGCTGCGTGCCCGCACCGCTCGTACCCCGCGCTTCGCTGCTGTGTGCCGCCCCGCATCCACTCCACGCTGTGTGGGGGCGCGCGTCGCCGGCACCCCGCCCGAGCGCCCGAGCCCCTGCACGAGCCGCGCCCGGCACCGCACGCACCGCCAATCTGCCCCCTCCGCACCGCCACGGGCGCCCCGGGCCCACGCCAGGACCGCCCACAGGCTCGTGTGCCAGAGCCGCCCCGCGGCGCGTCGCAGACGGTCCGAGGCGACCTGCCCGGGCCCGACACAGGCGCTGCAAGGAGCGCACGCGGCAGGTCCGGACGTCGCACCGCCGGCGGCGAGTCCCCGCCCGCACGTGCGACATACGCCACCCGGAGCATGTTTGGTGTCATGTGCTGCTGTTGGTCGCACGCGGCGGCGGTGACGATGCATGTGTGGGCGGTCTCCGCCACGCGTCGGTGCTGCTCGGGGCCAGCGGCACCTCCGGCAAGATCTCCAGCGCGCTGTTGCCGGCCAGGACGGCCCGTCGCTACTCGATAGCCTGCAGGGGCGCCGGCGGCGAGGTGGTGCGTGCAAGGGCCCTGGTCATTGGCCGACGGGCCCGCGGAGCGATCCAGCGGCGCGCGTCGTGTGCCAAAGCCGCCCGGTGGCGCATGGCTGACGGTCTGAGGCGTACTGTGACAGGAGCAAGCAGCACCTCAAGCTCGCCGACGGCACAGACGACATCATCGACTAGACCGTGGGCGTCAGGCAGTGCTGCCCGCCCAGCCCTGCGCTCTTCGGCCTGTTTCTGCATGCCCGCTGCACAAGGAGCTCGACAGGGAGTGCCCGTGGCTCGGCGCCGAGCTCAGCGACGCCCCCACACGCATGCTCCTGTGCGCGGATGACTCCGTTCTCCTCGCGCGCTCACAGGAAGAGCCCCAGCAGCTCCTCGACTGCGCCACTCGCTGGCTACGCGACCGTGGCACGGCCCTCGCATTGCAGAAGTGCAACGTCATGGTGGCTGACGACAAGCAGGGGCGTGCCAAGCCTCGCGCCTTCGCGCGCGACGGCCAGGGGGCGCGCCAGCGCCTCCCGGTGGTCAACTCACTGCAGTACCTGGGCTGCTGGTTCCACCGCGAGTCGGAAAGCCACCCCAGGCCGCTTTCATGCTCGGCTCGCGGGTCCGTCGGAAGGAAGCGGAGATGCGGGCGAAGATCTCGGCCGAAACATGACGCACCCGGGCACCACAGCGGTCTTCTTTGCTCACGAGCAGAGGTCATGCCAGCACAGCGCGGCATTCGGCCCCCCCTACATCCCGAGCTTCGCGCTCAGCTGCGACTAACTTCGTCAACGTCGCGAGGCGGTTCAAGGCCGAGAACGCGGGCCCTGTCGGCGAGTTCATCTCAACTATGTGCGCTCCTCCGGGCTGGCGCAAACACCGCGTGGAAGAACATTCTCCGCGAGGCCGGCCGCTCTAGCCCGCACTGCGTGGCCTGGGCACACACCGCTCGGTTCTGGAACAAGGTGCCGACGCGCGCAGCCGATGTACACGCCGCGGACGGCCTGGAGGTGTTGACGTTCAACGCCACCCTGGAGCTGGCGATGGGGACGGAAGAGTGCTGGGCGGCACGGGCGCGTCTGGGGCGCCAGGCCCTCGACCTCGCGTGCGGCACGCTCGACGAGGCAGCGCCGATCGACGAGCGTCCTGCGGCGGAAGATCGATGCGATTCAACTGGGCAACGCGGCGGGTGAAGCGCGCTGGAGGAGTTGTATGTTGACGGATGCAAGAGTCTGATGGGCATGCTGGATCGGAGCGACACGGATAGTCTGCGTCGATGGGACGTTCGGGGGAGCGGGCTGGTGCTGCCAGGGGTGTGGAGGAGAAGCATTTTGGGTGAGGTGCTTGCGGTTCTGCTCAAGGATGCCGACGGTCCGTGTGACGCCCCGCGTCATGGTCGCCCGCGACGTGACTTGCCACGCTCTCCCGCCCGCGTCCGGGCGCCCTTGACTGAGACGCATGGTGCTCCTGCTGTTCAACAATTGTTGCAGCCAAGCTCCCGTGCCGGTGCCTCTGATGCTTCGTCCGCTGAGACGTCGGTGAGCGATGGGGTCTGCGCGCACGTGTCTGCGCATGCTGATGCGCGAAAAGAGAGGCGCGCACACAATGCCAGACTCACGCGCGCGCATGACTGGGCCCCTGCAGCGCAGCACCATGCACGCACGCGGCCGCCACCACGCACCAGCACCGCGCCCCTCGCGACCTGGTGCGTGCGCTTGCTCGGTGCGGCCCACGACGTCAGGGGGGAGGTGGCTGCTGTCAGGGAGGGGGGTTGTCCTCGACTGGGCGTGCGAGCCGATGTGGGTGCCTCGCCGCGCCGGCCGCGCACAGTGGGGAGCGTCCAGCGTCACGGCCACGACGCAGACTCGCGACTCACCGACGTCACCGCACGCACGCGTCGGGCGGCAGCACCCGTCGAGCAGCGAGGAGCAGGGTGGTCTCTGCGTGCGTTCGCGGGCGGGCAACAGGTGTATCGGTGCACAGGTACGTGACATGTGTGTCGCTGGCAGTGCGGCTCTGCGTGTGTGCGTCCGGAACGCGCCTGAATGTGGCACCGCTGGCGATGCAGCACAGCCTGGGTGCTTGCCGCGCTGCTGCGTGCGGGTGCCGCGTCCGAGGCGGATGTCAAGCATGGCGCTACGACGTTTAGTATCAGCAGAGCGTGGCTCGATGTCGGCCGCGCGTCGCTGCCGTCGGACGACGTTGGTTGACGGCCCACCTTCCAACCGCCTCCCTCGTTGTCTCCGTGGGCACGCAGAGGCAGGGCACGGGCGCGGGAACGCGGCAGGTTGAAGCTGTCGTAGTGCGATGGCGCCGCGCCGGCGCAGCGATGCGGGCGCGCCCCGCGGGCGCTCAAATCGCGCACGGCCCCTCCAGCATCACCTGGAGGACATTCAGTGCGGGCGGGACGGTCCCCTGGCCAGCGTCATCCGTGAGCTGCCGCGCAGGTCGCGCGTCGCGCTGGCGGCGACGTCGTCGGCGATGATGGCCGCTGTGCTGGAGAGCTGCGACGGCGCGAGGTGGTGGTCAGGGGACACACGCAGCCTTTCTGCGGAGCGGCGGGTGGGACGGACGGTGGCGCGGCGGCTGGAGGGGCGGGTGTCGGAGGGGACGAGGTCGCTGGTCGGGGGGGCGAAGGGGCGCGGGGGGTGGGTGGTGTATCACCGCGCAGGCAACGTCGGCGGGCGGTACGGATCCGCGGTGGTGCGCGTGGAGGCGGGAGATCGGCGTCTGCTGTGGTCCCTGGCCCGTACGGGTGCCGGCCGGCGTGACCTAGCATCGCACCCGGTGGTGACAGCGGAGATGACGGGCCTGCGGTACCTGGACATGGCTGTGTACAAACTGGACATGGAGCGTGTGTGGGGGCGGGAGTGGCTGCCTGCGGGCGTGGCGGCGGGCATCACGGAGCTGAGAGTAAACTCGACGATGCTGGAGCGCGTGCCGGAGGGCATGGTCTCGCTCGAGGTCCTGGACGTGAGCCATTGCAACCAGCTGCATGGCGAGACGTTCCTGC